TGTTGTTCGATTGACCGGGCACGATACGATGTAGAATACTAACAGTTGGTGGAAAATTTCTCGCTGCAGCCATGTATTGTACTCTGCATACCTATCGGTGTATCGGTGAAAGAGAATGACGCCATGCAGAACTGAATGAGTGAGACCTGTGGATCCCATCCCATTCCAGAATCTCTCTCTCCTCTCTCTCTTACCCTCTCCTCTCTTGCCGGTGCGATCCGAGTACCGTAAGCCAGGTAGTTAATGGCGGTTACTTGATTAGTTACCGTAAGCGGGCTAGCTCGCGTGTTATTGTTGTTTTTGATGTTGTTGGGGCGTGGGGTTCCGTTTCTCGCCTCCTTGAGTGCTCGGATGATTTCGATTTCGAATTTTGTTTGTTTGTTTGGCAGAGGTTGAACTGCGGTTTTCGTTTATCCGGCTCCAGAGCCGCATAGTTGCCGTACTATATTCGTTTATGTAGGGAGCGGATTATTTCTCCTTCAGCCAGAGTATGTATAGTACAGTACATACCACTTGGTACGTATGCTACCAGGTACCTGGAAGGAAAAAAAAAGTCCTCATGCAGTGCAGTGCAGTGCGGTGCGGCGCGGTGCGCGCGAAGGTTTCGGCATCTTTATGTATGTTTAATACCGTAGTGCATCCGCGAACTTGAACCCGGATATGCAGGGAGAATCCTTTTGTATATAGTCATCCGTATGTAGGTATGTAGATATGCTTATGTGCATAGATAAATACTCTATGTATGTATGTGCATCTAGGGGGCTTCGTTCCGAGCGCCTCGCCTCGCCCTGGGGCCGTAGATATGTGTGGAGTATGTGTGGAGTACTTGGGGTAGATATGTGGAGTAGGTATGCTCCACCGATCGGGATGGGTAGCTATCTGGTACCGTATCTGGTAGATGAAGACATGCGGCGACGATGGATATAATTGAACCAGCGATTACTGTGCAAAGTAAGGAAGTACAATATCTACATAATTACATAGCGAAGCCACGGGTTTGGCCGGATTTGACTGGCCTGCGCTGGACTGGCCTGGTGTCCACTGGCCGGCGGCCGGCCCGGATCGCAACTGGACCAACACCCAGGACCAACATCCGGGACCAACATCCAGGATTCCAGGGACGATTGGCGATATGTAGAGTACAGAAGCTCGAGCGCTTGATCGATTCTCTTCAGGGACAAGGAAGGGGAATCGTAGATATCGTATCGTCGGCCCATCGGGCTACCTATGTATGTAAAGATAAGTCCACAAGTTACTCATTGAGAGGACGTGAGTATGATATGTATTTCGGTAATCCGATAAACTCGCTCCTTTTCTCTCAACTGCGACTGCGACTGCGACTGCGACTGCGACTGCGACTGCGACTGCGACTGCGACTGCGACTGGAGAGAAGGGGGGATAAAAAATAAAAAAAATACAAGCTGCAGGAAGATCCAACATACTGGGTCGGGACTGGGTAAATCTGCAGCTACATACAGAACGTGACTTGAGGTGCATCCTACCTACCTAGCTTGCATTGCAGGCTGCAGGTGAGAAGTTAGAACACCTACGGTGAGGCAGCAAATGTTGGTATGATATGTAGGAATGCAACAAGGGGGTGGAGATGGTGATGGCGATGTATTGTATCTACACAGCTTCACTTGTATGTAGAGTACCCTCTCTATGCTTACTGGTAACTAACGACTAATACATCAGGAGTTCATGAGATTATGGCGCCGAGAAAGCACTCGCCTCCTGCGACTTGTGTACCTGCATCCTTCAAAGTTCAGCTGTATCTTTGGCCGACGCAGCCATTCCAGCATGTATTCTGGTACAAGGCATTTCCTGAGGCCTCCCGCAACTCGGGGTAGATAAAAGTAGATGTCCCCTCCCCTAGGTCCTCTAGCTGACCAGTTATTGGCCTCGGACAGGGATACGACATGATGCTCATCGGACGTTGTTGGATCGTGAACGAGTTCTGCTTTTTATCGTCGCTAGCGATCGATTCGCCTTCAACGCTCATGATAGGATGGATAGGATGGATAGTATGGATAGGATGGATATGTAAGATGGAGGGGGGGAGGAGGGGGGGCGAGGAGGAGCTCGCGAGTGCCGGTCGGGGACGAGAGTGGGGCGGTTGGTGTTTGTGAGCGTCTGATGTTCGCTGCGATTGGACGTTCGTTGCAGTTGTTGTTTCCTCCTTCACCGGTGCGGTGTTATCGACGGTGGGACGCCAATCATGCTCCACTCGGATGAACCGATTCGAGTCGCCCGACGACATACCTAGCTGAGGACGAGGTAGAGTACTAGTATGGTACCAGCGCTCCCTGGAGGAGTATCTTGTTAGCATGTAGCTGCTCGTACCCACCATATGGATCCACAGATGGGTGGTTGTACGTACTCGACGGGAATTGGCGAGGAAAGCAAAGGACGTTTCTGTCAGCTTGCCACTAGCGTGGAGGCACTACGGAGATGGAAAAGGACGAGAAGGAGAAGCAAAAGAGGCGATGATGGGGGAGGGGGCTGGCTGGCTGGCTGGCTGTGTTGTGCCACCATCATGGCCTGAGCAATCTCCATTGGGACTCGAGAACAGTAGACCGAAGGGCTTCCACGGAGCGCGAAACTTCCACCTGTCGCGGTCAACGTTCGGCATCATCATCATCGGAGCAGAAGCATCATCGTCAGACCACTATGTAGAGTACCGGTTTGCACGTATTCCTAGCCGCGACGATGACGCCGGTGCCTACTGTGGAGTGGAGAATCGTCTTCTCTTCTGGCTCCAGCCCAGAACCGCCCCGACCAGGCAGAAAGGACTCTGGAGAGCCAAGCGAACGAAACGAGCGGTTGGCTGTGCCTAGCGGGGCAGAGCTTCGGGGTCCTCGTTCTAAAGTTGTTCCCCTGAACGACGGTTAGTTAGCTAGCACAACCAGACTAACGAACTAACATGGCCAGGATCCCGGTAACTAACGTAAGACCCTTTTGGGTTCACACCGCAGAACAGAACTTGAGCGTGTCTCCAACACCGTGGGATCTCGACCCTATGGCCCCCTTCCCTCCCTATGCCTTCCCCACACATCCCATTGCCATCTCTCCCCTTTACTCACCTGTAGAGTAGTACCATCCTTCCAATTGATCCTTCGATGGCGCCGAGATGTTCGAGGCGAGAATCAAGGGTATGTATTCACGCATGCATATCAATATCTGGGCCCGAATGGTTGGGCATTGCCTCGTCGGATGGACGGACGGGCACGCACGAACGGACGATGCGAAGCGCACGGTAGTTGTTTGCATGGACACACAGTCCGGACCGCGGGCGGGAACGGTACGTAACTGCCCTTTCACTTTTTTGCTCGACAGAGCCAAGCGGAAGTGAGGAAGGGGGAGAGGCAAAGCCAGGGCAGTGCAAAGGTTGGACCGTTGGTTGGTTGGTTGATTGGTTGGTTGGTTGGTTGGGTCGGATCTTCAGGAACCGTGTCTGGAATTCCGCAAGTGAAACGTGAAACCGAAGGCACACGGTGGACGCGGACTCGAGTGAGTCCTCATCGGCGAATGGCTTCTGGTTGTATAGGTATTATAGAGCACCGTGGTACCCATGGGAAATACTCAATTTGACCTGCGTCCGTAGACATGTGCAGAGTAACTACGCACCTCTGTATAGATACTAATACTATAGCAATAGTACAGGGCGTCCGTCATCGTGCCGACGAACTCGGGTCCCGTTGCAGTGTTGCAGAATTCGTCTTCTCCGTCTTCTTTTTCCGGTTTCTTCGTCTCCTTGGTTGTCTCCTTGGTGGTCTTTCTTTCGGGATGTTCGTCCTCTCCTCCTCCTCGCTGGTCTGGCTGGCTGGTGTCTTGGGGTGCGGCGGACGACTCGTATCGGTCTAGCACGCTGCCCAGTGTCCCAGGCTAAACTCAGAGTGGCCATAGCAGCGTCCTCTCGCCATCTCTCGTTCATCCATCACATCTGAGGGCGAACTTGACTTGGTCGACGGACACTCCCCCCCCCCAGCCCTTCCTCCCCCCGGTCCGTGCTTGCTTGGATGCTTGCCCGCCCTGGAGCTGCATCCCTGCTTGTCTGTTCCGCCCCTGCAACACACGCAGGCGGAGAGAGAGGTAATGCAATAATAATTCCAATAATTAACTTGGGCACATCCCTCCATTAATATTGTCATTCGAGTCCCACCTGCAGATAGCCCGTGCATCTCTCCTCCTCCTCCTCCTGCTTCCTCCTCCCACTCCTCCACCTCTACCTCTAGAGTACTCTACCTACCCTCCCTCCCACCCGCCCACCCCCCAATAGGTAGACGCCCCTCCCCGCCCTTCTGCATCCTAACCGCCCGACCCATCCCCCAATCCGTCGTTGTCTCGTCCTCGAAGGAATCCGATCTTCCTCTCCGACTCCGACTGCAACTCCAACTTCAACTTCAACTCCATCCCTATACACGCATCACCTACTCGACACGACTCTTACGACGAACGAAGCTTGATACCTCGTGGCCACTGGTTGGGCCGATCCCGTCGCTCTTTCGTCAACTCGATCCCGCTCAATCGCTCGCGAACCGCATCTCACATTCCCCACTTTAGCTTCCGTAGCAGAGACTCAATCCGTGGAAGCGCTGGGAGGATATCTGGTTGTCATATTTTCAGGTGGTTGGACTACTGCCCGCATTTGCTACACACGACGACGTTGGGGAACCTGAGTTATCGTGCTTCGGGAAGGGAACACTGACACCATCACCCATCGCCTTCGCTGCTGCTGCCGCCTGCACGATTCCGGTACTCCCACCCGTCAAATTGCCACACTCTCGTGCACGACTCCACGCTTCGGATCGCATAGACGGCCGTCGCAACGCGAGATAACTTTGCTCTCAACGGGTACCCGCGTCATCATCGTCGTCGTCCGCATTGGATTTTTCGCTTCCGTTTGGAAACTTGCCTTCGTAGTGTGCTTGTTAACAAGTCCGTGGGCACACACCAGAAAAGGAAAAAGGAAAAAGAAACTGGTTCATTGGAACCGGGGTGGAGACATTGCTCTCGAGTCAACCCAGGCCTGTCCGCTGTCGTCGTGTGAATACCCCTCGGTGCCCGCGGGCGAAAAAAATAAAAATAAAAATAAAGCTGTGGTATGCGATGATTCTCCGATGAGGTGGTGGAGGGACCAGGAGAAGGTCCGTCCTATATTTTTGTGTATCACGGGAAGCTTACGAACCACTGGGGACAAAAGCAGCATCTAGTGTCGTCTCCACTCGGCCCTTGCTACGAATGACCAGTTGCTCGATTGTCGATTTCGAAGTCGACGCCCAATAAAATGGACGATACATCCCAACCATCACAGCGTACCAGCATTTACGTTGTTGCGCCTCTGCGGATCGAAAAAGGGAAGAGGAGTACGAGCATCACATCACGAGGCTCGGGCTCACAGAAGTCGAGACCTCGCAGTCGCAACCACTCGCACAACCGTTCCGCCGGCGGTCATTCACATTCTTCCTCAAATCAACAGATCACCCCTCCTCCTTCACCACATCCACCTTATGGATCATACACGGACCCAGAGATGTCGCCAGAGTTCCATCCTTTCCTACGAGCGTTCTATCCATTCCACCCCACATATTCGAGCAATTCGACAACAGTAACATTACCACTTAATGCCGGGGATGTTATTCTGGTGCATAGTGTGCATACCAACGGATGGGCCGATGGCACCATGTTGAGTTCTGGCGCGCGAGGATGGCTACCGACGAATTATTGCGAATCGTACGAGGCGATTCACATTCGAGCGTTGCTGAAGGGATGCTTGGAGTTGTTTGAGCAGTTCCGTGCAGGCTCGGTCAATCAGATCGCTGTCACTGGCATCCTGGCCGGTGTGAGGCATTTGCTGGTACGTGCACTCAATCTATTTGTTACCAAAATATACCCCCCCCCCCCCCCCTCCCCGAGAAACGGATCGACGGATGAATGGACGAAAAATTAATAAATTTGCTGTGAGCAGGAATCAACCGAATGCCTCACGCGCGAGGCAGACATTGTGAGATCCAACGATGCGATCCGAAAAGCTCGCAAAGTGGTGCTTAACGAGCTCTCCGGACTGGTCAAGACTGCCAAGAAAATCAACAGCAAGTGCGGGGATGATGTCGTTGACGAATTGATCCTGCGGAGCTTCAAGATCGTCGTGCGCGGGGTTCGTTTCCTAGACGTATGGTACGACCAGTACGAAATCACGGAGAGCTGTGCGGGCGATTTCGACGAAGATGATTACCTGAACGACAATTCAGTTCCGCCCACACCTCCGTGTGATTCGCTCGCTTCCCGATCGTCGAGCACGGCTGGGTCGGACGCCAATGCTGGCGGCTATTTTAGTCCGCAGTCTGCAGACCGCGACCAGATTCGCTATACCCCGACTCGCCGAGTAGCCAGTGTGAAGACAGAATCCCATCCTCTACCGTCCACACCTTATACTCCGGCCCCACGTGCCAATGCGGACGAACATCTACGTCCGCAGAGTATCGAACTTGCGTCCCCGCAGCAGGTCTATGCGCTGGCACGACTCAACACCACGCATGATGTATTACTATCTTATCTAGGATCATATATCGGTCGTATCCACTTGCAGGCGCGGTTTACACCCCAACTGCAACTCACACAACAACAGTCGGTTGCCGCAGCCCGTGATCTCCTTGCTGTCGTGGAGGCCGTTTACGCACGCGATCCCCGGGCTGGAGCTCTCGAGACAGCGAAGGAGGCTCTTTACCAACGAATCTCCTCGTTAATTTCGGCCACCAGAGAGGTTGTTTCGAATCGGACGGAGGAAGACATGGGCGAGGACGAAGATGGAATCTTGATTCCAGATGGGGGAAGGAGTTTAGTGGAAGCCGCCACTGGGTGTGTCCGGGGGGCGGGAGAGTGTGTTGCGAAGTCGAAGTTCGCGATTGAGCGGATTGGCGACTTTGTCTTGGAACCAGCAGCGCTCAACATTGGTCTAGGTATAACTACCGACCCAGTGGAGGCGGAAGATGCCTTGGTGCCAGCTTGCGAAACACAACAAGAAGAAGTAGCTGCTGATGCGCCCACGCAAGAAGAAATCGATCGAGACCTTATGCCCCCTCCCCCAACACCCGACAAGATTCCTCCACCACTACCACCCAAAGACTCGCCCGCACCGCCGCAAAAAGACTCCCCACCACTACTCCCACTCAAGGACTCCCCACCACTACTCCCACGCAAAGATACATCACTACTACCACCCAAAGAAATCACACCACTTTCGCTCGCTTCGACCACACCCGCATTAACCGTAGATACTAGTGTGCGATCGTCAATAACATCATCATCGACGGTTGCTCCATCTTCGCCCGTCGCTGCCGTGCAGCAGCCCACCGCCTCGCGACGGTCGTCTACCGCTTCGTCGCTTTCACCTCCTATGCTCAATGTTTCACCCTCGAACATCCAAGGTGAATACTGCGTGGAAACCATCCGAAAATCCTTCAACAAAAGCGTTCGGGCCGATAGCATCGGTGCCGAATCTCTCGCAGCAACAGATTCTACCGGGGTCAACAGCGTCCGGGGATCCGAATTTAGCATTGTTTCACAGACGTCAACGAGAGCAACCACACCCGAGCCTCTTTCCTCTACAAGCATCGACACCCCGATTCTCTCCACCGAGCTGGCGCTGCTCGGAAGCAGTCAAGTTTCCCTTGCTAGTGGCTCCGGCAGCGAATACCTGTCGGAGTCGCATGCAGAGGACTTGACATTTAATAAAGACGGGCAGATCACCGGTGGTACCCTTCCAGCCTTAGTGGAAAGGATGACCGTGCACAACTCTACTCCCGATGCGGTCTTCGTTGCGACGTTCTACCTCACCTTCCGACTATTCACGACCCCTCGCGACTTTGCCGAGGCATTGGTGGACCGCTTCGACACCGTGGGGTCGGCACCGGGTGCCACCCCTGTCCGACTCCGCGTCTACAACGTTTTCAAGGGCTGGTTGGAGTCGCATTGGCGAAACAGTGTCGATGGCGATGCACTCGAAATCATCATATCATTCGCAGGCATGCGACTGAAGGAAGTGTTGCCTGGAGCTGCCAAGCGACTGCTCGAGCTTGCCGAGAAAGCCGCCTCCGTCGACGGACCCCTGGTTCCTCGCCTGGTTTCGGGCATGGGCAAGACCACCTCTTCGTCCACCACCTACAGCGTGCCCGAGACGCCCATCCTGACTCCTGTCATCACAAGGAGCCAGCTCAATGCCCTCAAGGGTGCCCTCGGGCCTAACGGGGTGCCAGTGAGCATTCTCGATTTCGACCCGTTGGAGTTGGCGAGACAACTCACCCTCAAGGAGTCACGGATGTTTTGTTCGATATTGCCTGAAGAGTTGATTGCCCAGGAATGGACTAAGAAGAGTGGATCATTGGCTCAGAACGTGTTGGCAATGTCGTCGCTTTCTACCGACTTGGCACATCTCGTTGCCGAAACCATCCTCGACGTCCCAGACACCAAGAAACGTGCGGTGGTGATCAAACACTGGATCAAGATCGCCGACCGATGTCTGGAACTCAACAACTACGACTCCTTGATGGCTATCATGTGCACGCTGAATGCGTCCACGATCTTGCGACTCAAGAAGACGTGGGAGCTGGTTTCGTTCAAGACAAAGCAAGTTCTGGAGCATTTGAGGTCGGTGATTGATGTTTCGAAGAACCATGCCGTGCTCCGCGCACGGCTACGGAGTCATGTACCGCCTTGCTTGCCGTTCCTTGGAACCTATCTGACCGATGTATGTCCCATCTCACTGCTATATTGAAGGATTAAACTAACATGCTCCAGCTTACCTTTGTGGACGTCGGAAACCCTTCCAAGAGACCCTTGTCTATCGACGGGTCGACCAAGCAGCTCATCAACTTCGACAAGCACATCAAGACTGCACGGATCATCTCGGAACTCCAACGATTCCAGATTCCATACCGGATCCAGGAAATCCCTGAGATGCAGAGCTGGATCGACCAGCAGATCGACCGGGTCCACAATTCGAAGGCGGCCGATGTTCAGCACCTTTACCGACGATCGTTGCTCTTGGAACCCCGCGAAACCCAGACCCAGAGGCCGACAAATACCCCCGAAGTCCAGACTCCGCCCCCACCGCCTCCGCAGGTAATCCCGAAGGAACACTCCGCAAAGTCGGATCTGTTCGCGTGGGCACATGTGTTTAGAGCTCCCGTAAATTAAGGTTTTGCGGGGTTTCGCACGTCCTGGGTAGCCGTCTCTTACTTTCCACTCTTGCTCTTGTGTTGTACGAGTCATCTTTAGTCTTTCTTGTCGAAGCGGAAAAATGACGGGATGCTTTCTTACGGGGATATTTTTTTCGGGGTTCCAGGTGTTATCCTTTGGTCACTATTACTCTCTTATTATATTCTTGTCTCATCCTTTATTTCTTTACCATGGGACACCTTGGTGTCTTTTTTCTCCTCTTTTTCTAGCAGTTTCTTTTTTGGGTTGGGGGAGTTTTTGTGTTGCGTTTTTTTTGTTTCTTTCTGATCTCTTATGTGTTTTATGGTGCATGGGGAACGGGTCTGGGGTTTGATTTTTTGATTTTTTTGATTTTTGATTTCATGTTAGTTTCGATTGAGGACGACGGGGACGGGGATGGCGACGGGGAAAGGGAACGGGAATGGAACGAGGGACATCTTTCTTCTTCTTCTTTACACTTTTACATATTTATTTTACTTGCTCATCTAGCGTTTTTGAGTTTTGATTAGGTGGCAGCCGGGCGGGCGGGCAGGCTTTGTGTATAAAATTTGGGGCGGGGCGGGCGGGTTGGGGTCGGGGACGGGGGGGAGGTGGGGGAAGTTCATGTCTTATCTTTTCGTCTAGGAGTTTTTCCGTTTCTACTTTGGGGGGGTTTTCAGTTTCTACTTGGGGGGTTTCTACTGGGGAGGGGTTTGGGGAAGGGGGGTTGTCTTTTCCGGTTTCTTGTTTCTTGTTTCTTGCTTTTATATACCTATCACGTGGCCTCCCCCCTCTATGCATACCCTCTACCCGCCCTAGAATTAGTACCTATTATCTGTCTGTGTCTGTCAGTCTCTGTGTCTGTCGTGTTTTTGATGTTTGAGATACCCCCGGTTTTTGATGCGATGCTGTGTATGCGTGTTGATGCGAGTTCATGCTTGGTTGATGCGGGTTGATGCCTCTACTTAGTTACTTGGTTATGTGGATGTTATAAAAGTTTCGGATGATGGATGATGGATGGATGGGGGTGAAGGGGAGGGAAGGGGAGGGAAGGAAATGGAGTGGGATAAATGGAATGGAATAAGAGAAGAATAAGAGAGGATTCATATCATACTGGTGAAAATGAATGGGATAATTGGGATTGTAAATGATGTTTATTGTTTGGGCTTTGAGCTTTGGGTCTACAGACTACAAGTGGATACCTGTGAGCGGAGGGGCAGCCTGGGGGATCGTCTGTGGAATTATCTTTGTCCTTGGAGTTGAAGTTGTTGGGAGGATGCTGATCTGCCAGTATATGATACTACTCAGTACCTGGTAGTAGGTGCTGTACATTCAACTCGAGATCCAGGCGAAGAACTCAAGGGCGGGCGGGCTGGTGGGGAATGAGACCCATGTGCATTGTGTGTGGCAAGACACCCACCATCACCCGCGGATCAAGACCAAAGCCACAACCGCAGTAGGCCCTAACTACAGGGGGGATCGTCGAGTATCTAAGCGTATGTACATAGCGGGTATGTACATAAGCATCATGCACGGGTAAGCCACGGGTAAGCCACGGTTCCTAGTAGATATATGTATTAAGCGATGCGGACGCGTTGCAGTTGGCAAACCCTGGTCCTTGAACCTGCGAGTACATGTGTAGCTGAGATCCCGGGTTACACTGTGGCCCTACTGCGGCGCTGGGGTTCTGGGGTTCTGGGGTCTACTGTGGCTCTGTGGCTTTGGGGTTCTGGGGTTCTGGATCGAAGGGAAATGGAAGTGGTTAGTAGATTCGTAGCTTGGTATGGAAGGGCGATGATCGATCGTGAATGGAAATTTGCAGTTTTGCATCGTGGTTGGGGGGATTGTCTGGTTCTCGGAGTTGTGTCTATGTACCGTAGATTTTTAGTCCTTGGTTTAATCTCGCTGTCTGGGCGTGAGTGTCGTTTCCCTCGCCTTCTGCAGCCTGCGGGCTGATCACTTTGAAGCGTGGGATTCGGTAGCCAAGTTGGATGGTGGGGGTATTCCTCGGGTTGAAGTTCCAACTTCTCGGGAACGATCATGTTGCCAGCCCTCTTTGGGTACATAATGTATGTACGTACCTAATCTGTGCTATATCCCGCGCTCTTCGCAGACTTCACCATAAGTTTGAGCTACCGCACCCCCCGCCCCCGTTTATCAAACCACATTCCCACGTACCGTATGCCAGCCCCTACCACCACTACCACAACTGGCACTCCCAACCGCAACCCCACCGCCCTCAGCGTGCACGAAGCCGCGGCCCGCTTCTTTGCCGCGCGGGGGATCGACTGGCGCGGACTCGGATTTAAGTACACCCGGAGCCAGCGGGTACTCCGCATCTTTGCCACCGCTGACGACCCCGACGTTGTCCGCGCGTGTGCGGAGCTGCGGAGGAAGCTTGAGCGCTGTGAGCTCGAGATCGAGGTTATGCTCATTGTTGCGAGGAGCTGTGCGAGGGGTAGTGCTTAGCGGTGGTGACAGCATGCCATGCAACTCGGACCGGATGTTCTATCGAAACCAGGCTCTCGAGCGAGTTGCACTTTTATACCTGGCTGTTGAGGTTGGCGCTTGAATTGACTTGACAATATGTGATTGAAGGTTCACACGAGGGTGCTCGTGGGGGTGCTTGGAAACCATTTTTAATTCGAGAAGGTGCGGATTCGAGTGAGGTTCCATGGAGTAATGCCGGATTAAAAGTTATCCAGATACTATGAAGCTTGTGGTGCTATAGCTGTTAGTCTTGCCATTGGAAACGTGAGCTTTTGTTGGGTTGGTTCTCGTATACATACTAGCACTGGTACTGGTTAGAGGCAGGAGGCCTCTGACCTCATCGGTCCCCAAAGCCATAGGTGAACTTGCTCCGCCAGAGTCTGTAGTAAGTGGCATAAACATAGCCAGAAGGCTGAATGGGCTTTGGATTATATTGCTCTGGCTCGCAGTGATTCACTCTGTTTACCGTTCTTTCAATCCAGGGAAACGTGAGAATAAGTTGGTCACAAAGCATCACTCAGTCTCGAGTCCCGAGGATGCCAAGCCCCACCCAGTCTCGGGTCCCTAGAATGCCAAGCCCCACGCTAGCATTGAACTCTAGCGGCTAGGGCAACACGACAAGGTGAACCATCACGTCCTCGGCGGGGGGGAGCAATATCGCGTGGGAGAATGTCAGAGCTCTCAGACCTACAACAGTGATCATGCCGAGTCCCACGCTTCCGCTCGACACATACAGGAAGCTCTTTCGCAAATGCATCTTGCACCGAACACCCGTCGATAGGGTATGAATCTCCCCACGCAGTTGTTTTGAGAGATGAACTCGAATGGAGGCCTAACGTTTCCGGCGGTCCGCAATGTAGTTCGAGGGTTACTTCCACCAGCTGCTGTCGCGCTCCCCGATTCCGCCCACGGCCATCGCCTCTACGGCCCTCGAGCCCGAGCTGACGTCCAATGCCTCGGACCCGCTCCACCTCCAGTACGTGAGCCGCCTCGTCGAGCGCGACATCGTCAGTCTCGCCAACATCCTGGTCGCGCTGCTGCAGACGTCCGCCGCGAAATCGCTCACCACCTCGGCTACCACGTCCCCCGAGGCCGCGTTCAAACACCTGCGCGGCAGGGAATTGCTCGAGCAGGATGTGTTCCTGGTGTTGGCGCTTCTCCTGCGCGGCCAGAAGAAGCCGCGGTCGCCCGAGAGTGTGTGGTCGGCGGTGCAGGCCATGAGCGATTGGATGGAGGCGGTGATGGCGGCTTCCGGTGCGGGCATCCTGAGCAGTGGTGATGGTGCCGCCGAGGGGATCACCGAGGTGTCGATGGCACAGGATCAGTCGAGCAAGCTTCGGCTCGAGGCGCTGGGCGAATTGATCATTGCGCTGGGGGCGAACGAACAGGCGGCCAAGATCTTGAGTGAAGGATCGAGGAAGGAGAAGAAACTGGCGTTTCAGACTAGCTTGAGTCTGTTCACGCAGTATATCCAGGTCCAGAATCCGCCGCTGGCGAGCAAGCTGGAGGAGATGAGACAGCAGTATCAGAGCCCGAGTCCGAAGCAGCAGAGAGGTATGCTGAAGGGTGGCCCCAGTGAAACGATCGATGGGATGGTGATGGGGCTGGGAGGTGATGCGGCGGATCTGGGGCCTATCGTGTGGACTAGGGCACATCTGTTCATATGGCTGGATAGCTTGGTGGGATGCTCAATCTTTCCGTCGAGGGTGATGGGCTGACAGATGTATTACTTGCAGATATGTGGCCATCCCAACGTCTACGACGAGATCATAATCGGGTATCTGTATAGCCGTTACAAGGAGGAGGCAAATGTCATGGTCGCAGACTTTATTACGGCGGTAATCGACGTTATAACGAATGCACTGGCCCGCAATGAGACAACCTGTACCCTATTCCTCCTGCGCTCATTCCTCTGCAACAAAGTGCCCCTCATCCTCAATCGGATATCTCCCTCTTCCCTGGCATCGTCCTACGCGATATCACAAACTTTCCTCCGCACGGACGTGGGCACACTCATGAATCTTGCGCCGGCGACATTCGAACCTTTCGCGGACAACTCCAATTCCAGTCCGGATATGATGTTTGACGACATCACGGTGGACCTGCGGCAAGACTTCTTGTTTGCTTGCGCTCTGCATGGTGTCATCGGCGAGCAAGAAATCCAGGGGATATTGGGCGAGCTTCCGTTGAGTGCGATGCCGAGTTCTGGAAGATACGATTACCGAGTGATCATGTCGGAGTGTAATGTTGACCCTTCGCGGGTCGACCGGTTGCTTGAGGAGATCGAGGGAGTCGAGGGAAACTCGGGGGCCGTCGTTGCGGCGCTATTCGATGTAAGCAAAAACTTCACCGCCTCGTGGCCAAGCCTACTCGAGCTAACCGCTACATAGGTGATGAAGCAAATGTGTGAGAGTCGGGAAACAATGCCGCTCCGAAACATCTGTAGCTTCCTTGCCCGGAAGCCTAGCAGTATCGACGTGATGCTCCTCTTCGTCAAACCGGCCGAGATACTTGAGCCCCTGTGCGATCTCCTCGACACTTGGCGGTATGAGGAGGACCAGGGCGAATATCAACCGGTGTACGAGGAATTCGGATACATCCTACTCTTGGTCCTGACTATAATCCACCGCTATTCCTTCACTACCTCCGACCTCGTCTTCTCCCATCCTCCTAATAATGAGGCGTTCATTCCGCAGCTGCTACACAACTACTCTACGGCCCAGCGAATAGAAACCCTCGGCTCCTCTGACCGCCATGCACAGTTGGGGGGCTGGATCAAAGAGCTTTTCGAGGGAGAGGGCATTTCGGATGGCCTCATGATGTCCTGTCGGCCACAAGAGTTCTATCTTCTCATCCCAACACTCTTTGCCCAATCCATGCTCGCGATCCAGCGCGGGGTCCTGGATCTTGACACTGTCAACGAAGCATTCGCGTTTCTGCTTACCCCCTTCCTCTTACCATCGGTCATAGCGGGTCTTACATGGCTTGCCCAGCACCTCTGGAGCCACATCGACATCCCCTCACCCAGCCTGTCGATCCTCACATCCCTTATCATCGCACACGACCTTGCCCCAGAGACAGCCGAGACGCACCGCACCGTGGTCGCCATTTCCGCGCGGCCTCTCGATGCCGTTCTCTGCGAGCTCCTCCGCCGTCCCAAAATCTCGCCCGACGTCAAACACACCACGGAGAAGCTACTAGCCACGCTCCGCCCACACCTCGGGTTCAAGCGCACCGCGACCCCCACCCGCGACGAAGTCGAATCGTGGATCCACACCGCCGGCACCGGCGGGCTAGCCAGCGCCGTGGCCAACAACTATAACCAGCTGCTAGCGTGGAACGCCGGGTCGCCGCCGCAATACACGTCGCGGCTGCTCGTGACCGCATGGAAGCTCCTCGGCGCGCGGCGCGTCGTCGAGATCATCACCAACGAAGCGGGCAAGATGAAAGCGGCGGGGCACGCCGGCGTCGCCGAAGACGTTGCGGCCGCCATGCTGGGCGCATACATCGGCGAAGACGGCCGCATCGACTTTCGCGAGGCGCTGGGCGCGCTGGTGGGCGAGGGCGCGAATGATACGCTCGTTGTCGTCATGAGGAGGGTCGAGGCGGCCTGGAGGCTGTGGGATGGCGTCAGCGGCGTCCAGCAGCGCATGCAAGAGGTGAGGGAGATGGGGGATGTCGATCTGGGCGATATGGGATTGGGCGTCGGTGTGGGCGTCGGCGATGGCATGGATATGTTGATGGAACACCATGACTTTGATGGGAGCATGGGCGGCATTGGCGGCTTGCTGGAGATGGAGATGTAGTCTAAATGATGGCAGCTATGGATTCGGTGCGGGTTTCTGGTTTATTTTCTGGGGGGATACAGCGATTCGATGATGACGGCCTACATAGAACTTTCGATTGTAACAATCTCCTTGCTGGCATACTAGGAAAGCGCACCTACTGGGGATGTGGGAAGTTGTATGTACTGGAGATGCCCCTAGACCACAAGAACATACGTGCCTACCGAATACCGGTCCATATACCCAGGATACTGAGGGCCTTCCAAGTTCCAAGGTCCAAGTTCCAACCCTCCGCAACAGCAGCAAACAAGTTGCAACCCCAAGACCGAAGGCCGTATGACCAACAAACACGCTCTGTTTTCTGTTACTTGTTGGAATGTGTGAACAAGTATTGTATTGTCGTTGTAGTGTGAGAGTCTGAAGCCTCGAGAGAATACATAAAAGAGGAGTGGTAGGCGGCCAGTGCTCCCGACGTCATGGCCGCGTAAACGACTAAGCAACGAGTGAGATATTACGACACTTCCTCCCTTGCTGCGTCCCGTATTTCCCATAAAAACCAAGCAGCAAGCACCTAACAGAATCAAAAAATGAAAACATATCATGGCCCAATGATTCTCCGTTAGCCTCGTTGAAACCTACGCAGTAAACCCAGTGGGCGAAACCTGCTAGGAAAGAGTACCAATTCAACAAAAACGTCCGTACAAACAATATACCATTAAACCAATCAATGAAATTCGACCGACACCTGTGCAGTCGTACTATCGGTTTCGTTTTTCGAGTCGCATCGGAACAGGCAATGTATTCTGCCTCCGAGCATGGGCGTGGGATCGCGCCACTCGATACCGTCAGGTAGCTGCATGTAGACATCGGTGTCTGTCGCGGGATTGAGAAACGCCGTAATGGCGTGCAGATGATCTATCTGATGGTTGTTCTGTGCCGCGAAGCTCAGTAGGTACCGTAGGGTTATTACCTTACCGACTGGTGCATAGGTCTTATCTTTGTATACCCTTCTGCAGCCTACTATAACTAGTCTTCATGCCATTGGTATCAGTAACGGGTGTGAACGTGCTATTCTCAATCAGTGAGACGTACACTTGACTCATAGCTACCTTCAATTGCTAGTGAAGTGCACTATTCATTGCATCCCTTGAGGTACCGACACAAGCGGTCCTGCTTCTTGCGGTGCTGACACATGCAGTCCTGAACCTCACAGTACCGGTACATGCGGCCCTGAATCCCACGGCACCGACACAAGCGGTCCGGATTCCTGTAGTTCCCGATCTTGAGGTTCCGGCTCTTGGGGTTCCCGATCTTGCAGTTCCCGATCTTGCAGTTCCCGATCTTGCAGTTCCCGATCTTGCAGCTCCCGATCTTGCAGCTCCCGATCTTGCAGCTCCCGATCTTGCAGTTCCCGATCTTGGGGTTCTGTCTCTTGCGATTCCCAATCTTGGGGTTCCGATGCAGGTGCAACCTCGTCAGGCGCATGCTCTGCTGCAGTGACGACCTCGCTAGGCCCGTATCCAGCTGCCAGCGCGTATACCTCATGCGCTCTTTCAGATGCATTTCCTTGCACGGCTTCTTGTGTGTCTCGACCTTCAGTCTGCGCCGGCCTTTGCAGTGGCGGTAGCGTAACTCGGTCTTCGACGTAGGTATATAGGTTCTTCCTCCGGAAGACCGTGGAGCGGTGGTTTGTCAAGATTGTCTCCGCCGGCGGCGCTGCTCGTAGGTACCGCGGTAGAGGCAGCCCGTCGAGAGACCAAGGCTGCAAGCCCTGATCTTTTTCCGGGTCGTCCTCCTGATCTTCTCCGGATGCTTTCTCCGGTCGGCCTCCTGGAGTTTCTCCGAGTCCTTTCTCCGGCTCGGACTCCTGGTCTCCCTCCGGCTCGGACTCCTGGCCCTTCGCCGGGTCCTTTCTCCGGGTCGGCCTTCTTATCTTCCTCCGGATCTTCATCGGCCCCCAAGTGTCGTAGCTGTTTTAGGAAAGCTTCTCTATGGATCCGTACTTGAAGTTGTAAATTTCGGTGTTCGACATAGTGGATTATGCGGTTTCGTTTGTGGGAGGTAATACGCTATCAAAGGCTTATTCGTAGGCGGTGGGATAAAGTAGTAATCGACATGGATGGATATTCTGAATATGGCGCTGGGCCGGGCTCATAACCTGTTGGAATGTGTGAACAAGTAGTGTATTGTTGTTGTATCTAGTGTGAGAGTCTGAAGCTTCGAGAGAATACATAAAAGAGGGGTGGTAGGCGGCCAGTGCTCCCGATGTCATGGCCGCGTAAACGACTAAGTAACGAGTGAGATACATATTACAACATTCCTCATCTTAGCACCCTCGGGTGATATTGTATGAATGACCTGGGTGAAGGGGGGGCGGGGGGATATCACCCTTATTTCAGAGTCTGGCACATCGTAGGAGATTTCATGCCCAGCGCAGTGTAGAGAACGGTTATTCTCAGTAGAAGTTCAAGAAGACAGCGACGCAATGCACATTCAAATCTAGGTATCACCACGCCCGGCAAGTGGAAACAGCAAGGGAAAAAAGAAGAAACAAAAACATCAACCATAGAATGCCTCATTGAACCCATCTGGTACATCCTCTGATGAACCACCAGTGCCAAGTACCCATGTGATGCGAGGTTCTCATCTACCCCAATCTACTCCCAAGCTCACACAGCATTGAGGTTCTCGTAAGCACATTCAAATCCATCACCAAGCCCGGCAAGAGGAAACACTAAGAAAAAAAGAAGAAAAAACAACCATGGGTAGTAGAATGCTCAATTGAACCCATCTAGCACATCCTCTGATGAACGACCAGTGCAAAGAACCCATGCAACAGCGCGACATTCTCATCTACCCCAGTCTACTCCCAAGCTCACACATCATCGGGATCCTCGTAAACTCCAAGATCATCGCCCTCCTTGTACTCCACGGCCTTGAATATGTCCTCCCGCAACGGAGTCTCTTCCCTCTTCCGCTTACGAGAGCTGATTCCGAGAGGGCGCAGGGCGAATCCGTCGATACCAAGGTCCTTGAACCTAGGGATATCGCCGAGCTTATCCCAGACACGATTCAGCGTGGCGCGGTCGTAGGCCTTCGGATCGTCGAGATACAGTTTAACTTGGACCGAAAAAATGATGAAGACTTCTATAGTTGGTACTTGTTAGCAACCACACGGTAGTACAGATATCAGGAAATTAGGTAGGTAGGAGGTAGATGGGCATGGCGCATGGGACTGTATTTACCAAAAATGAAGGTCCTACAAGCATTGGAAGATTTCGGGAGATCGATGATGTCATGAGCCCACCAGAAAACTGATCTGGCTTCATCGATGTTGAAATGATCGCGAAAAAAGGCTCGCAATATTCCTGGATCGGCGCTACTCTTGATGTCGCACTCTGGGTGTTTCTGGATCAGGTTGGAGACATGTTTTTCGAAGCGTAGCATGGCCTCGTGTTTCCAACCTTGCTTCATCTGCATGGCACGTCGGCGGACAATCTTGTAATTCTTTAGATCGTCAAACATGAATCTGGATCCAAAGTGCTCCGCGATCAGGCTATCTATCTCGACTACCTTGAACCAGCGGGTATAATGTAGACGCAAGGCATTCTGAAAACCAAGGATTTTTCCATCAAAACTTCCGGGCAGGGTGTCAGGGTGGATAGGATTTGGACCGAACTTCTTTCGAATCTTAGCGATGAAGCCCAGGGATTTCGAAGGTCGGGCACTCCCCCCCTGTGACTTGAGGATGTGCTCGAGAGTGTCAATGGCAATCTGGACATTCTTGGCCTCGTCCTTCCAGTGATACGGGATCTGTAGGTAAGTAGGAATTAGATGAGCTTAGCCGGGAGGAGGGTACATCAGTCACGGAAGCGGCTTACCTTCAAGTTGGGAATCGTGACAATGCGGTATGAGTGGTGGAGCTCATCCCCGCCTTGTCCATCCTCTTCCTCGAAGAGCGAACCGTCGTCTTGGTCATCCTCCATTTCGAAGGGTGAACCGTCGTCTTGGTTACCTTCTGTCTCGAAGGGCGAACCCACGCGGAAATCAGCCGGGTGCCGCCGCCGCTTCTGTCGATTCGACAGCTCATTCGGCTCTCGCTTCGTCTGTGACTCGGGTTCTTGAAGCTGCTCCTGCAGTTGTGACGGGGGCATGGTATCAATTTCGTTGCTCTGAAAGTTCTCTGTTGATGACAACCTCTGTGAACGTACTCCTGGACGTGCCTGCCCCGAACTTGGCGTAGGTGTTTCTTGTGATGAGATGCGTGTATCCCGGCTCTTCTGGCCAACTGCCCGTTCGCTGTGCATGGCTGATGCTGACGATGAGCCTGATTTGTCTTTTCCACGGGCTGCGCGATTAGCAGCGCGTCCGCCACGTGGGGTGCGGAATGGCGAATCGCGGGAGGTGGGTTTCTTGTTGCCGGACATGGTGGTGGTGGTGGTGGTGGTGGTGGTGGTGGTGGTGGTGAAGGTTTTGAGAGCGGTTGGTTGGCCCACACTCCTCAGGCCGGAGGCGGGATCTGTATGGAAGTACACGCAGAGGAAAGAGAAGATTTGAGGTTTGGTCGTCTATTTGGTTGGTGATGATGAGAAGAAGAAGAAGAAGAAGAAGAAGAAGAAGAAGAAGAAGAAGAAGAAGGAGAAGGAGCAGAAGCAGAAGCAGACGACCCCATTGGACCGCTCGAAACTGATGCTGCGCGCCCACTAACCCGATTATCTTCCTCCCACCGAGACGTCCTCCTCCCGCTGTCTCCTTCCACCGACAGTTCTCCCATCGCTCTGCAACAGAGGTAACGGAGGGCGGCAGCTGTTAGCTAACACTCTTGCGTCTAAACCCTTTGGGACGACTACATGTGCCTACGCAAACGAGAAACCCTGTAGCGCTTAAACGAGCGAACAAGCCCATAATCACGGCGTAGTCAGCGCGGTATCCACGGCGACGAGCACGATTAGCAGGAAACAGTACCCGCAGCGGAGCCAGCACTGTATCTGCGATGAGGGCATCACAGTATCCGGGACGAGAAGCAGTACCAGTAGGACACAGGATCCGCAGCAGTGCCAGCTTCTGGTAGCCACAGCACTGTATGCGCAGTGAGACCAGCACAGAATCCGCGGCGGAGGCATCTAGAGCAGTAGGGGAATACAATAATATTGGTATGTATGCTGTCGTAATATCTCACTCGTTGCTTGTCGTTTACGTGGTCATGACGTCGGGAGCACTGGCCGCCTACCACCCCCCTTTTATGTATTCTCTCGAGGCTTCAGACTCTCACAGTACAACAACAATACATTACTTGTTCACACATGCTAACATATGCACCTTCGTAAATTTCGAGTGATTACCGTGACTTTCGGATCACTTCTAGCCTTTCCTAGCCCGCTGGCCTAATAATCTACTGCGAGCCTGTAGCAGTGTAGCCTACCGGATATCACACGTGCGTTGATCGAAAACGTTGTGACAACGTTTTCTTCCGCAAAGTTTCATCCTCATGAATGATGACGACGCGGAGGGGGTGTCTCGATCGTTATACTTTGTCGTTACGTGGTGTCGGGATAACTCTAACTCTATCCCACAGCTGACGTGTTTGATTACTATACTACCTATAAATAATCCCAGACATACCTAAGCTGTGGTCCATGCCCGGTGGGAATGATATCGTACATATCGTCTCGTACATATCGTATCGCATCCTTCTACCATCAGGTATGAAGCTACATCCTCATTCTCTTGGCAACAGAGAGGCGAGTAGCTTCTACATACCTGTTAGAGCACCGAACAACAGATTCCGAGTACTCGGAAAGCTTGCGTCGTCATTGGGGACAAAGCCACTCTGTTCTCCCTCCGGGGCAGTGAAGCACTGCAACATTGAGAGCTGAAAGTCCCCCTTTACCGGAGATGCCTCTGTAGGTATGCATACCCTTAACGTGCGATCATATTATGTTCATGCTCATGACGGTCGTCGTGGCTCTGAAACAATTATTCAAACCCATTTAATGCCGAGTGATTTCCCATGATACGATATCTATCTAGCTTTTCCGTTCAACCTTTCGTCCTTCCTTTCCATCGAGTTCCAAACTCCAAACCTTGAGAAGAGGCCAGTCCATCATGGAATTCCCCCGCTCCGTCCATCTCCATCGTCCCACCGTTCCCTCTAGCACACGCATACAATGGCCCCCCTCACGATGCTGCTGTCTCTGCTGCTACTTCTGCAGCTCCTCACCGCCACAGCCACTACCACTGCTGCAGCCAATGCCACAGCCTCGGTCCTCCTCTCCCCGGACCACAAGACGGTGTACACCTACCACGCGCCCCACCTTTACAGCCGTCCTTTATCCCCATTCAACACATCCAACTTCAACGACAACACCACCCTCCTCCCCCCACCACCAACAGACGCGGCACTGCACCCAATCCTCGCGCGCAACAACGAGAGCATCTACCTAATCGGCGGCTCGCAGAACCTGATGGGCTATGCATACCCACTATCCTCGCCCACATCTCACTGGGAGCCCGCCGGCCGCTGGCTCCGCAAATCCATCAAATCCATCGGTGGCGCCGCTGCTGCTGCCGCGCTGCCCGATCCCGCCGGCGGGAAACTCCTCCTGCTCGGCCAAGAGGTCATCGTGCTCGTGGACCTCATCGCAGCAAAAGTGCGCGCGTTCGAAGTGCCGGGGCTGCTAAACACCACCACCGGCGGCGGTGCTGCAGCTCTGACACTACTTGACACGCAGAAAATCCTCGCGGTCTCCAACACCACGACGGGCGTGCTAGATCTCAGCGGGATGAGCTACACCTCCCTCGGCGCGGGGGTGCCGGACGTCGTAGCTGTAGTCGCAGCCGACGACGGGACGATCATCTCCCTCGACGCTGCCGGCGTAGCCGCGACAGCGGACTCCAAGTCCCTAGAGTTCACCCCGCGCGCAGAGACGCACGGCCAGCAGTGGCGCATCACGGCCGCGACCCTGCTGCCCGGCGACGTTATCCTGGCCGTGGGCGGTAGTCCCGCAGAAGTAGCGCTGTACGCCGTTGCGCAGCGGCGGTGGGTGGACTCGTACCCGCCGCCGCCGCCGCCGGAGCCGGTGGTGGCTTCGCCAAAGCGCCGGCGGCGTGCGTGGTCGGCGGGTGCGAAGGCGGCGGTGGGGTGTGGTGTCGGCGTCGCGGCGGTGGCCGCGCTGGTCGGCGCGTATGTGCTTGTTAAGCGGTGGAGGAGGAGGGGGGTACTGGGGGGCGTGGATGCGGCGGAGACGGGCGCGGATGTGGAGATCCCGGCGACGCCGAGGGTGGTGCCCCTGCGCGATGCGGAGGTGGATGTGAGTGCCGACGGGGTGTCGTCGTTGGATTTGGATGAGTGCGGACAGGGTAAGACGGCGGAGATGGGGACGGTGTGTACCGGCCTAGTCAGGGTGGTGGAGCTGGACGAGGATGGGAGGAGTGTTAAGGTTAAGGCGGACGACGAGGACGACGAGGATGCGGATGTGGATTCGGTCGGATGGGAAACGGCGGATGAGGAGATGGATGGATATGGGAAGGTGGCGAAGAAGTGTCAATCCGTCTAGACGGGCTGGGTTCATGTCAAGCAGTATCCATCCGTCCAGACGAATTGTGTTCGTATTAAGCAAGCAATGTCCAATCAATAGAGTGCGAAGCACAAGGTCGAACCGCTCATTAAGCTGTAAACAAACATCAGGTGGAGATGGTGTCATATACAAGAGGATGTTTTGGCTGATAATCAATTATTCCACAGTCTCTCCGGACTGGAGCTCCTCTACATATGCAGAATCTCTCACTCCCATACGACATGGTATGTCCATGGCCGGATGTGCGCGCACGAATATGGTGTGTGAGCAGTGAGCGGCCATGGCCCGTGGAGACGTCGACGGCCGCGAGGAATGCGCTGCTGCTGCTGCTTTTGTGATTGCTACTTACTTCTGGCACGGATTCTCGCTCGCAGAGCGAGTGATATCATGTGCCAGACACCAGCAAAAGCTCGTACTGAGGTGATGGGGAACCAACGCCAAAAACAAAAACCTTCACCACCCCGGTGGGTGGCTTAGAAGCCCCCAGGAATTGAACTGGTGTTCAAATGCCCTCCGCCGGGTACGTGATCACTAGGCTATGCGGGGAGGGTTTTCCGTGATGGAAGTAGTGTTTCATAAATTATAAACTGGTGTTCTGTAGAGCACACGGCTACTTCTCCTTGCCTTCTAGGATAAGATAATAGCGAGTGGCTGTATCTTCCACCATCTTTATAAAATGTAGCTTTCTGCGAGGTGCTAATTGCGACGCAAGTTGTTTTTGGTTTGATCAATAATTGCATGCGGCCTGGCTACATCATGGCAATACACACACTCACACTCCACTTCCCACTCAGAGCCCTCACTTGCTGCGTCATCCTCGACAACCTCTGGGATCCGCCTGCCCACATCACATCACATCACATCAGTGGTGGTGATGAGAAACCCCAAGATTGCCTGGCTTCGGGGCTACGAATAACCAGCTTTGAAATATCCTGCGGCATTGTTGAGGGAGATATGTGAGTGATAGACTGTGATACACCTTCTTCTTCGACGGGGGTGCCTATGTACCTACTTCGTCAGTGCACCGTGTGATGAGTATATGTGTCATCTTTCCTCTCTTTTCGCAGTGCCCACCGCTCGACAGCTCGACCGCTCAACCGATTCCAGCGAGCAAGTCTACATACACATACATACCACGTAGCTACTCTACAAACTAAACGCCCGTCTCAGCAGTCCATACCTACCTACCTACGCGCGCACTGATCCAGACTCCACCGTCCACCATCCACCGTCCACGGAGCTCGGGGGGAGGGGGGGGGAGTATTTCGCAATTCCTTCCCACCGCCCACCGGGCCCGGGCCCGGGCCAGGCAGGGCCAGGATGGCACGATCGATCTTATCTCCCATCCCATCCTATCACCCGGGGGGGCCCGCCAAATGTTTTTCCAGCGGGCGCGCCAGGCGACGAAATGTACAGTACAATACGACGACACGACGCGCGCGCGATTAAAGATGCTCTGGGGTGCTCTGGATGGATGGAGGAGGTATGAGTGGATTACTACTATAACTTGGTGCCTGGGCTACCTGGGTCCTGGGCAAGTGAGTACATACCTCATACATGCCTACCTGGAGTGTATAGATAGTAGTACCTAGGTGTATGGGTAGGTCGATGGGTACTCTAGATACCAGTAGATAGTGATTTATCAGCGCGCGCACGGACCAGGTGTTCGTCTCTTCTCCTGGGCAATGGGCGGTGTAACTGACTCCTGAGTCCTGAGTGTGTGTACTGTAGATATGAATAGCACGATGGTAGAGTACTCTACGTACCAGCACCCTCCCTACATCTCCGGATACGCAGATACCGCCGCGACACGGCACGGTAAGTACGCACGCACGCACGCACAGGGTGGGGGGGTACGGTAGGTACGGTAGGTACGGTAGGTACGGTAGGAACGGTAAGAGAGGGAGAGAGAGCTGACTGCATCTCGCGGCCGTCCCGCCCTGTCCCGCCCTGTTCTGCCCTGTCCTGTCCTGTCCGGGGCTGGGCAGTCCCCGTCTCCGTCTCCGTCACCGTCTGCGTCCGTCGGTCGGCCCTGCATGCAATGCTGCAACTCCCAGTCCAAGTTGCCAACCCCCTCCTCCACTCACCCAACTCCCCCACCCGCTCCCTCTCTCTCTCTATGTAAGTACGGCAGAGTAGAGTATGTAGAGTACTTTACCTGTAGAGCATCTCACGATCGATTGGCTGCATCAGCCTGAGTCCAGAGTCGTTCCCTCCCCCGCCACCAGCACCCCCACTCCCACCCCCACTCCCACCCTCCCTTCCACCCTTCCCACTCCCACCCTCTCTCTCACACACCCAGCCCGCCGGGATCCACCCGTCCATGTAGCCGTATGTATGTATGTCCATGTATGTCCCTGTATGCCATGTATGCCATGTATGAATGATATGTACGTGAGTGATCGATCGGCCCCGCGGCGGAGATCGGTCGTTTCTCTTTGGGGAGTTTCTTTTTTGAGCTTTTGAGCTTTTTTGGACGTGCTGTGTGTAGGTTTGGTTTTGTATCGTATCTGGTCTATCTGGCTGTCTGGCTGTCTGGCTGTCTGGCTGTCTGGCTGTCTGGCTGTCTGGCTGTCTGGCTACCTTAGTGCGGGGGGTGGTAGAGGGGAGAGGGGCAGGTATGTTTCTCTCCCTGGAAGGAAGCAGGAAGATGCGAGATTACATCACTGCGCTGCGGCGAGATGCGGGTCGGGGAGTGGGTTGGGGGTGGGTTGGGCTGGGGAAACAAAAAGGAAACAAAAAGGAAAGGGAAAGGAAACAAAAAGGAAAGGGAAAAGAAACCGAAAAGAAACCGAAAAGGAAACCGAAAAGAAACCGAAAAGAAACCGGAAAGAAAAGGAAACAAAAGGAATCCTCCTCCTCCTCCGCCGCGCACGAGGTACCGTACACGCACACTGCTGCACAACCTCCGCCCGCGAAGCTGCGAAGCTGCGAAACTGCGAAACTGCAAAAAACGACTTTGCTGTTGAGGTAATTAACGCTGCTCGCCAAGTATAGCATAGATACCGGTACTGTAGAATAATACACCAGTATCTCCGTCTGCACTGACTCTGGGGTCTGCAGTGCCTGTTCAAACTCCGGACCCGTGTGTTTCATGTTTCATCCCATTCCCGTCAGCCCGTCAGCTCGCCCGCCCACCGCCTCAAGGCTCAAGGCCCAAGGCTTGAGTTCGGAGTTATGTAGGAGTCAGCCAGACAGACAGATGTCTCGGCGGACGGTGGGGACATGGTTTAGTATATAGAGTACCGTACACACACACATCCACCGCCCTCCGCCGCGTCCACCGCGTCCAGCACCGCGACCGCGATCGGCCCGAGACAATCCCCCTTCACGACAGGGGGCGGAGCACTCAAGAGTATCATACATACTTCTACATACGGTACGGTATGTATGATAGTGCGGTGGAGTTGGGACATGTATGTAGCACTAGCATACCAGAGTAGAGTACATAGCAGATCACATCTAGAGTACACGTCTACGCCTTCTCGACGTCTACGCGACGCCGCCGACGAAGAAGAAGCGAGACTCGAGACTCGAGAGTGCAAGCCGATGATGATGATGATGATGATGATGATGATGATGATGACGATCCCCCCACCCCACCACCACCGCACCATCGCAGCATCGGCGCATCACCACCACCACGCTCATCTCCATAGCCAGCTCTCGCCCGTTTGCCCCTCCTCTTGCCCCTCCTCCTGCTCCTCCTCCAGCTGCCGACGTGAGAGGGAAAGAGGAGAGGGAAAGAGCGAGGGAAAGAGCGAGGGAAAGAGCGAGGGAAAGAGCGACGTGAAAAAGCAAAAACCCGCAATGCGCATCCACCTGGCTCGGCTCGTACACACACACACACACCTTCATACCTGCCATACCATACATACCATACCCACCATAGAGTACCTACCGTAAATACCGGTACACACCTAGAGTAGAGCAGAGTACGCTATGTACTCGATCGCGATCGGTGTGGACATCGCACACGACCTCGCGCCCTCCCTCGCTCGTGGGCGCGCGCGCGGATTCAGTCGATAATATAGTACCCAGGTGTAGCGGTGTTTAACAAATAAACATGGGCGTTTGTCCGGCCGTGCGTTTGTTTCAATGAATGGCAGTGCCAGTGCCAGTGCTGTGGAGGAAGGTGTCCATTAATTGACGGCGGCGGAAGGGGTGGGAAGGAATGGGATGGGAGGAAAGGATGAAATGGGAGGGATGGCGAGGGAAACGAAACGAAACGGACGCACGGCGATAACAGCCGTCAGGTTCTCCCGGTGGATGTGGATGGATGGGTGGATATATGGATGGGTGTGGATATGCATATGATGGATGGATGGGTGGGTGGATGGATGGGTGGATGGATGGATATGGAGGGAGGATATGGAGGGATGGATGGATGACAGGCGGTAAGCGAAGATGGGAACTGGGCACTCGTGTGCTACCTTTGCTATGTACCGGTATGTTATGCATCTACATACACAGCATTTTAGGTATTATGCTCTACTCTATATTTGTAGTACATACTCTACATAGAGCCCACGGAGGATGCGTGCCCAGGGTAGGGTTGCGGTTGTATTGCGGTGTAAACCGAACGAAGCCCTTGACATAGTAAATCGCGCAGACCCGCGAGAGTGCGTGCGAGCGTGCGATGAGACACTGAGACAATGAGACACTGAGACAATGAGACAGCTTTCCAGGTTCCCTGCTCCCGACTCTCCGCTCCACTCCTCTCGGCGAGTCGGCGTGCGACGTGCTATTAGAGTAGGTACCGTACTCTATTTTGCTATGGAAGCTGGATAGTAGGGGCTCGAGACGTTGCCAGTGACTGATTCACTGTGTATCACCCATCCAGTCATCCAGTATCCACAGCTCTGCCGCGGTAGGAGTATCTACTCTACTGTAGAGTACTATGGAGTACTATGGACATCCACCCACCAGCTCCGCGCATACCCACTGCCCACTGCCCACTGCCCAGTGAACAGAGGAAACAAATGCGCGAGATTATGCCCCTACACCCCCCTCCACTCCCCTCCCCGGCTTACCGGAATTTTGGAAACAAGAGATGCCCTCCCCCCACCCGCCCGCGAGACCTCCATCTCCTGGAGGCCAAGTATGTATGCACCGTATGTAGTAGAGGAGGAGGGTCGTGGTATGTACTCAACTCCAGAGTACCTTTCTTAAACTTGACGTGCATCTACTCTAGGTATCCCCCTCCCCTTGATATACCTACCGGTAATACAGTACCACACAGTGCTATACACGAGTACACTAGTACTTTATACCTGCTACCGTAAAGCTGTAGAATGGCGCAGACCTTTAGGCTTTGCCCGGTGTACCACATTATGTAGAAGTTGTCACAAGTGATCACCGGTGATCCACGGTGATCCATGGCGCTCGAATCTCTAGCTTTGCTCACGATCCACCATCCATCATCCAGCGAGAAGGTGGAAGGGAGAGCTCGCTCATGCCAATCACTCACACCACCAACCAACCACGTCGACAATACCCATCCATATCCATATCCACCGTCCAGTTTCCGAGACACAACCACTGACACCACTGCCACCACCGACCCCACCATCACCACTGACAGCAAAACAGTAACCAGTAGCCAATAGCCAGTAGCCCGTAGCCCGTAGCCCGTAGGCCTCGACTGAACTCGAGCCAGACTCAAGCCAGACTCGTCACAGTGAAAATAAAGTTGCAGCAGCAGCAGCAGCGACACGGACACGGACTCCAGAGTCCAGGACGAATAGGAAGCTTCCCTGAAACATGAACCGAAAAACAAAAACAACAAAAACGACAAAAAACAAAACCACAAAAAAAATGACACGTTCCGTAATAGCAGACCTATCATACGGTATTCCGAGAGAGAGAGAGGGAGGGGGAGAGGGAGAGAGGAAAACCTTGTTCGCTCTTGCCACAAGCCCACAAGCCCACAACCACAGCAAGAAGACTCACGATAATTCTTTTTTCCTATCCGGCCATGCCTGGAGGGGAATCCTCCATCCTCCATCCTCCATCCCCAGCACGCGTCCGCGCCCCTTCCCCTCACCCCTCCAAGGAAATCCGGCGGAAACCCGGCGGAAGCCGACATAGAGCCGGAGTCGCATTTATGTACGTGGCGAAGACTAGAAGAGCTTGTTTTCCATTCCCCAGTAGCCGGCGTGATGGTTGGCTGGTGGCGGATTTTAGATTTCGCCATTTCCATCCTTCCAGGTCCAGGATGCGGGACGCAGGTTTCCGCGGGGCCGGGGGTCGGGGGTCGGGGGTGGGTGCGGTGGGTGGTGGGTGGTGGGTGCACGGTGGCAGGTGCGTCAGTTATCGTGAGAAACACCATGCTCAGCATCGTGGGTTTTACATATATCCGGGTGAGGGTGAGGGTGAGGGTGAGGGAGGGAGGCCTCAGGCAGCGCGGTTCCGATTCCGGTTCCTTCCACGCTTGCTCGTGAGCGTAGCGTAGCGTGCACTCTGCAGTGCACTGGGAGGGAGAACTAGCGTACCTACTCTATGGTACCTATGCTACATACGGACGGCATCTCGACGAGAAAAGCGATGGGCGATGGCACGATACGATGCCCTCCCCGCACGTAGTTAACCCCCCCTCCCCTCCCCTCCGTCGACCGTCTCGCTCGCTCGCTCGTTCGTCGTCTTCATTGCGAGTGGACATGATGATATGCAAGAGTGCTTTCTCCACGGACGGGACACGGCCCAGAATTGCAGGCTGCTGCTTGCTCACTCACTCACTCACGGTACTAGACCGACCGACCGACATCCTTCATGCGCTGTGGGGAATGGGGAAGTGGCAGGGGGGGCGGTGGCTCCTCTCCTCTCCTCACGAAGCTTGCTTTGCCTGCCTGCCTGCCTGCCTACCTGCCTGCCTGCTTTGCTTGCGTTGAGTAACCTGACGGGTCGATTCCGCACTCTACTCAACGTCTCTGCTCTGCTCTCTGCTCTGCTGTCTGGCACAACGGTTATCGTGAGCGTCGCTCCCTGGAGTCCTGGGGTGCCTTGGGGGGTGGGTGTCGGCAGATGCGACACGATTGAACCTTCGTAGTCGGCCAGTTCTAGACCCAGGCCCAGTGGCCCACAGTCGAGAAAAATAAATGAAAGACGACACACACATCACCTTCAACCTTGAGGCTTGCACAGTTGCACGGTTGCACGGTTGCACGGTTGCACGGTTGCACGGTTGGGTTGCACCCCGCGCCGCGCGAAAGTAAAGTAGCATAGAGTAACTAAAGTGCAACAGAAGGAAGGAAAAGAAAAAAAGGACGCTACGCTACGGTACTGCTCCTTCTACTCCTTCTCATCCACCCCCAACAACTATCGTGAGATGCAGGAGGGAGCAGAGGAATTGCGGTGTCGGTATCGGTGTGGGAGGCGATGGGGCCGGCAACTGGGTAGAGCACACACACCATACACAATCTCTCTCTCTCTCCCACACGCACTCACTCACTCACACGAGCAAAAGACCCCTGGTAGGTATGCGGAGAGTGCACATGCAGGAGAGAGGAGTACCGTATGTACGAGGTGGAGGAGGAGGAGGAGGAGGAGGAGGAGAGGGAAATGGTAGATGCGGGGGAATCCACAGTGCGAAGCTGGGACGAATCGGCATCGACGGGCGTGATCGCAGTTGGGGGAGTGGGGAGTGGCGCGTGGCGCGTGGCGATTAGGCACCGCACCGTAGTGAAGGCCGGCCCGGTGCGTGCGGCGATCGGGCACGCGAAGCAGAGGCCAGCGGGCGGCGGGGTGGAGAGTGGACTCTGGAGGGGGAGGGTGGACGTGGACGTGAGGGCACCGGCACCGAGCAGGATTCGGACGTCCCTGCTGCTGCTGCTGGGGGTGACGGACGATTGACGCGCAACGAACGCAACGCAACGGCAGTGCTCGATGTTTAGCGTTCAGCGTTACATCCCATGTATAGCCGCATTCGACATCTACCGGTGACGCACGCTGGTCCGGTTGCAGAGTAGCGGCTAGCGGCCAGTCAGTCGAATTTCATGATGCCCACCGAGAAGACGAGATGGTGATGAGGAGGATGGGGATGATGGTGATCATGACGACGATGATTGTGATGAGGAAGCTTCATCCGCCAGTGCTTCTTGCGGACGGGCAGCAGGCGGAGTGGACAGAAACCGTATCTACTCCAGAGTGCTCGTACGCTCTTTGCTTCCTGCTCTGGTCGATGGCTTCTGCCGGTTGATTGCTCGGTTGGTCAGTGGCTGCTGCTGCTGCTGCTGCTGCTGCTGCTGCCTTCCCGCTCCGCTTGTTGGCTGCTGCTGCTTTGCCGCTCCTTTTGCTGGCTGTTGCTGTTGCTGCTGTTTTCTCGCTCTGCTTGCTTTCTGACCGCTGCTTGCTCGCTCTGCTTCCCACCCTGCCCCTCCTGCTTGGTTGGGCTGCGGCCACAGCAGCAGCAGCAGCAAGCGGACAGACAGCCAGAAACGCGGACGGACAGACGGACGGGCCACGCACTCGGTCGGTCGGGGTGTGTCGTGTCGGTCGTGTCGGTCGCACACACACGGAGACGAAGAGAGGACGAGCACACATCACATCGTATCACATCACATCACGCAACAGCCGTGGCAGTCCCAGACGAACGCGGAAGGGATTCGAGCGGGAAGTGGTTGGCCATCCCTCCGCTGCGTCTCTGCGTCTCTGCTTCCTGCTCGTCTCCAGCCCGCTTTCGCTCGTTGCACGCCGCCCGTGACTCTGCGTATGGATATCATACACATGTAAGGACATCGAGCACTTGCCTCCTCCTCATCCCACCCACTAACCCCTACCTACGGTACTCTAGCACCTACCTCCGGTACTTGCCTTCCGGTACTCCATCTACGGTACCTAACTCTACTCTACATACTTCTTACCCACACGTTGCCTAGTACGCACTCGACCCGGTTGCCAGCTGTGGCTCTCCTCGCCTAGAGTGCACCATCTTTCGTGCCTGCGTGGGGGGAGGGAAGCAGCACCTGGAAAAAAGTGCTCCATACATACAGATACCAGGTAGCTCCGGCCAGCCAACTCCGCGGCTCCAGTGAGATGGATATCCGGCGATGGCGGTGGTGGAGGGCGGCTCTCTGGTCTTTGCTGAGTGTTCCTCTTCCTCCCCGTCGGCTTCTGTAACTATCATAGCACCTTGCGCTAGGCACGATATGTCTCCGTAGCGTGCTGTAATGTACGCATCTCCACCGACCAAGCAGTACCCTGCATACCGCCCAGAGTCGACTCTGCTGGGCTCTCCTCTCTCCTCCTCGGAGCATCACCGCCATCAGCATCATCGTGGGTCCTAGTTCCTAGCCTGGAGTGGTTAGCTCCTACAGCAGCCACTCTACTCTACACTAGCTACCCTAGCCCTAGCGCACCCCCCCCCATCGAGCCCTGACCGGGGGACCACCCTCATGCCTCAGCTGTTCGGTCCTGTCACATCGCACATCTTCCAGCGCCCACGATCTGCAGCCAGCTAGGCTCGGTGCGGGCTTGGTTGTTCGATTATTTCGCGCAGGTTTTCTGGGCAGAACGTTCATTCATCGTCGTCAAGGAGAAGTTGTTATGTACTCTTACATGGAGACACCGGGAGTATGAACAGTACATATTATGATTCCTGGGAAACAGGGCACCGTTTGTATGTAGAGTACATATCGTCAGGGTGTTGCCGTATGTATCCTGCGGCCCTGGTCCGAGACTGCGCGGAGCGAGATTCGAGAAGCGTGCTCGCTGCTTAACTGCTCTCCTCTAAATCCAAAGCATCGTATGTGCTCGTCGAACGTGTCTCTCTGTGTCTGTCCGTCTTCGAATGCAAGCCCGAGATCTTCAAGTGCAGTAGAAAAAAAGAAGAAGAAGCAAAAAAAAAGTAATGTGTGCGGATGAGACGTCGACGATGGATCGGCTTTTCTGTGCCTTGAACGAACTCGCTCCCACCAGAGGGCACCACCACCACCACTTCACATCCACCACCACCACCACCACCACTTTCATTTACTACCACCACCACCATATTTACCACCACCACCACCATATTTACCACCACCACCACCACTGCCACTACGTATCCATAGAGTAGGTAGTGCTAGACATCACCGAAACTTCCCCAAAACCCTCGCGCTACACACGCACGATCGTTGTAACTCATACAACCACATCCACCCCCCCCCCCCCCACCCCCCGCCACCGCCGCCACCGTTGGGAGGAATCTAAACAATATCCGCCCTGTCGAACCACCTCAACCACCGACACACCCCCACCCCTACCCCCCTTGATTTACTCACTCACCTCAAGAGTACTTGATCCGATCTCCCCTCCGACCACATCACTCACACCCGCACTCCTCATCATCACCACCACCACCACAATTACCACCTCTTCCACCTCTCAGCCAGCAGTTGAGAGAGCTGTGACCCGGCCCCGAAGCGTGGAATTCCACGAGCCGAACCCATCCAACCAAACCAACAACCGACCGACCGACCGTCCGACCGACCGACCGGCCAACCACCAACCTGACCCACTACGACCAACCACACGGCCGCACCGAACGACCAAACCCCTCCTCCTTCGCGATCCTACCAACATATTTACCTACTCAACTTACTTACTTGCCTATCCCCTACCGCTACATACAGCTTTCGCACCCACTGGTAAGGAGCAATTGCTTTCTCTTTTTTTCTTTATCGGCCCGTATCAATCGTATCGCACTCTGCACTCTATTCGTCCTCATCTGCCTGCCTGTCGGGCCAGCAGCACTGTTGTTGTTGTTGTCGTCGCCGTTGTCGTCGTCGGGGGTTGCTACCGTTGTTCGAACTTACGCACAACCTAAATACAATCCTGCATCAGGTACTTTAAAACGTTTGGTTGGCTATCTACAGTCCACAGACGGTCCGCAGGAAGCTTGCCCGTTTTTATTGCAGCGCGCGCATTCTGCCTGCTGCCCTGTCTGTCTGCCTGACTGCCTACCCGTTGTGATGTCGCTGGATCCATTCCCGTTCCGCTCCTGCTCCTGCTCCTACTCCTCCTGCTCCTTCTGCTCCTCCTCCTGCTCCTCCCGCTTCCGCTACCTGCCTACTATACATACCCGCTGCTCGCCATCACCGGCACGTCTGTCCTGCTTGCTTGTCTGCTTGTCCGCGCTGTAGTAGATGAATGAAACGAGACGAAGACGAAGAAGCAGAAGAAGAAGCGATGGCTAAAAGTTTCGAGCGACTGCAATAGATTTCGTCATCTTCTCCTCCCCGTGCATACCTATTTAACCTGGTTACGAATCACGACGTCAACGGTCTCACGATAACGATAAACCCCCTCCCCCTTCGCTTCGCCTCGCATCGCATCGCTTCCCGCCGGTGTAAAGGTTAGAATCCTAAATCATCCACCCCCCCCCCCCCCTCCCCAGACTCAAACGTCCATTCCGGACCGTTCCATTGTGGGTATGAGGGCCGTCTTTACGAGAGCTGAGAGAGAGAAGAAGACGAATAGGAATAGCAACTGAGAGAGAGGTGTAACTGACAGGTCCCCCGGACTGTTGCATAGCGCCCCCCTCCCTCCCCCGGCACGCATCGACCGTTGAAGGTTCGCCTCCCGCCTCCCGCCTCCCGTTCGCACGGACACCAGTCGTCCGCGACCCGGTCAGGCATCGTGCGCGCCTGTCTTCCGGAAGACTCTGAACGCCCCTTCCAGCACAGAATGCGACTGAGAAGACGACGATCGTGAAGAACGAGAAATGCGGAGCACCGCACCAACCCGGAACGACCGGCTACTGCCGCTTCCACCCACACTCCAGCCCCTACCACAATTGTCGCCTTCACTACTACCTCCATTACCCGTCGACGATCACCACCACCATACCCAAACCCAGACCCATCCCCACCACGTACACTATCGCCAGAACCAGAATCGCGGTGGTGGCGACTGTTCGAATCTGACTTCCACAAACACCTCGCGGCAGACGTCGAACGCTTCGATACACTCGATGCCTTTCAACGCTGTGAGCCGCAATTCCACACCTCCGACTCCGCTGTCGTCGCCAGGGCTGTTCCGACCGCCATCCCACCAACTGCTGCCGCAGCTCGACGGAACCGAGGAACCCGAGAAGCAGCACCTACACCCCTCGCAGTACCGCGCCGAAGAGGTCCGCGAAACCAAGGAGCTGGAAACGGACTACGACCCGATATCGGGCAGGAAGACGATCAACCACTACGCCATCATCAACGAGATTGGCCGCGGCACGCACGGCAAGGTCAAGCTCGGGTACGACCTTATCCTTCGCGAGCACGTCGCCATCAAGATCGTTGAGCGTTCGCAGGGCCGCCCGCGGCTGGGTCGCAAGGGCGACGGAGGAGAGGGCTCCGAAACAAAGATCCGCCGCGAGATTGCGATCCTGAAGAAGATACGGCATGAGAATGTCGTGCGGCTTCTGGAAGTCATCGACGACGACCGGAGCAAGAAGGTCTACCTCGTGTTAGAATTCGTTGTCAAGGGCGAGGTCGTTTGGAGGAATACCGGCGACACCGATGTGATTCGTCGCGACCGTCTACGCCTCAAGCGGGAGATTGCCGCTGCACGCGCGAAGTCCGCCGCCGCGAACGAGAAGAGTAATTTGAGCCAGCACGATGGAAAGCGGAAGAAGCATCGGCGGAAACGGACGAATACTTCTTTCTGGTCGTTGGAGTTTGCGTCTGACTCGGATGACGTGGAGTCGGACGAACCGACGTCGGACAGCGATTCGGTCATCAGTTTGGCGGAGGATGAGGAGGATTGGTTTGTTCCGGCGATGGAGATCGAGGCAGCCCGCCGATGTTTTAGGGATACTGTTGTCGGTCTGGACCACCTGCATTGGAACGGAATCATCCACCGAGATATCAAGCCCGCCAATCTGCTGTGGGATGACAACCAGGTCACCAAGATTTCCGATTTCGGTGTCAGCTTCCTGGGAAGGCCGATGCGCGAGGATGCCGACGAAGGAACCGAAGAGGACGAGCCCACGGGATACGAACAGGATGAGTTGGAGCTCGCGAAGACGGCTGGAACCCCGGCGTTTTTTGCTCCGGAATTGTGCTCAATGGGTGAGTTGAGCTCTTTTTTTATCCTTTCATCTGTTCACGTATCGTAATGCACTTTAAGATTTCGCGCTGCTGTTGGGTCTCCGTCCGCTAACTGAAAAATGCCTGGTCTCAGATGCCGCCGCTGCTAAGGTTCCGATCACGAGTGCTATCGATGTCTGGGCGTTGGGAATCACGCTCTTCTGCTTCATCTTCGGGCGCCTCCCCTTCATGGCGGAGTCCGAATTCAAGCTATTCAGATGCATCGCCGAAGAGGAGCTCGTCATTCCCCTGCGCCGGATCCGGCCACATAAGCCAGAGTTGGCGCCCGACCACATCTTGACGCCCGAGGAATTGGAGGAATATGAAACCGAGGCCGTTGACGAAGACCTACGCGATCTGATCAAGCGATTGCTGACCAAGAACCCCAGCAAGAGGATCCTGTTGAAGGAGGTTAAGCGTCACCCTTGGGTACTCCAGGGCATCAAGGATCCCATCGGCTGGGTGGACAAGACGGATCCGGAGCAGACTTCTCAGGGTAACAAGATTGAGGTCACCAGCGAGGATGTCGAGACGGCCGTTTCAGTTCCGAGTATTGTCAACAGGGCGAAAACCGCTATCCGCAAGGCCGCTGGTAGTTGGGTCAAGACTTTGCGAAAGAGGGGGAGCAGCACGGTTAGTATGCGCGACTCCAAGGCGAAGCATTTGGCGGACGTTCCCAGTGGTAGTGGTGGTGGTGGTGTCGGAGCCGGCAGTAGTAAGCAAGGTCAGCAGAAGACGTTTCTTAGTTCTACCGATAAGGATGGTGATCCAGAAAAAGAATTGCAATGGATGGGAGGCGTGGAGGAACCGAGAGAAGACGAAACGCTGAATCCATTAGCTCCAAGCGGCACAAATTCCAATTCAGGATCCTCCGATACAGTCACCGTGCAAGCGCCGCAGAATGGTGGCGAGAATGAGTTTCATGATCAACAATGGTCTTCGGGCGTCACGGGCAGTCAATGGACGCAAGCACAAGCTCCACCTGTGGCCGACAAGCGGCTCAGACGGAAGCAGTCGATGAGTCTACTCGGATACAACATCTTGAGACGCCACTCGTCGGTTTCGCACGATCCCAGTCGTTCCGTCAGGGCCAATCACAGAGCTCCGACCGAAGCGCCTCCGACCAGTCCTCAGGACGACACCCCTGCGAACCTTTTCAAGGCGGAAAGCACGGCGGCTCTCGCGTCGCCCTCGATTTCGAGGAGGGTGGTGCGTGGTACAAGGAGCGATGACTTTGCGCGCGCTGGCAGGAACAAGTCCATGTACGACGACAGCGGTCTTTTGACGGCGAGGGGAGTTCTCAGTGATGCCCTCCACCCCAAAGCCAACGGACCGGATTATGACACACTGCCCACCGGCAATCCCCAGCTCAGGAGTATCTACCAGCCACTCGACGTGGAGAATGGGATGCTGAACATTTGCCCCAAGTCGCCTGACTCGAACATGAAACAGAAGGTTGAACGACATCGCCGCGAGGAGCAGGAGCAAGCGAGACGTCGACTGGGCAAGGTCGATCTGGATGACGATCAGTTGGATCAGCCGTGTCCGCCAAGTCCCGATGACGACGCATCCCCGCAGCGGCTGTACGGCCAGGAGAACCAGCGGATGATGCTTGAGGAAAACGAGCGCCAACGATGTACATCATCTTACCGAACCCCAGACGGCTGGTCGCGCGAGAGCTTCTACCATCCAGCGAGAGACTATCCGACTCCTCCGATCGCCATGGGATCACGTTCGCGCGGATACTTTGATCCTCCGTCCCCAAAGAGTCATGCCGCCTTGGTTTCGTCCTCTAGTGACGAGAGATTCGTTACCACTGCCGGATCCAGTCTCACGAATTCCACCAGTTTCCCGAGCATCGCAACCGACCCGTCTTCGGTCTCGTCGGACATGTTCCTCAGCCACTACTCGCGTCGCGGATCCTTCGCGCCGCCTGACAATAGCTTCGACTGCGGCGACGACGACGACAGGTTCCGGTTGATGCAGGCCCAGTCGTGCGGACGAAAGATGAGCGAGCTACTATTCCAGCACGAAGAGGACGACGAGGATAGCGGATCCGATTCCGAGGGTGGCTTCGTCATGAAGGATACGCGGCGACCTAGACGCGCAAAGAGCGTCATGGTTGGAGACTTGGCGCGGAAGAGCGACGAGGCTAAAGACGCGGCTATCAAGAGGGGCACTGCTACTCGCCCACGGCATCTCACTCGTGCTTCCGGCAGCACTAGCACCGTTAAGCCGGCTGCTGACGCTTAAACACTACCACCACCACCAGGTGTTTCGATTCTATTCCGCCTCTTCCACCGTATACTCTCGATTCCTTTTGTACGTGTGTGCATGCGTGAGTTTATCCCCTATGTGCATGTCTATGTCCGTGTCGTTCAATTTCATCTTATCGCAGCGGGGTTGTTTTTTTCTCCTTCTCTTTCATCAACACCCCTAAACAAATGAAGTGACGAAATCTGGGAGGAAGGCGTTTTTCCTCTTCTTTTTTACCTGTTTACTGTTTACTGTTGATTATTGACTGTTTCCTACCTGTTTCCTGTTTATTATTCGAGATTGTTTCCTTGAACAATTCTCTTTTTTTTTTTTTTTTTTTTTGCCTGCGGGTGTGATATACCCGCTGTTGTTTTGTTTGACTGGGCGGGCGGGCGGGGGGATCTCTGGGGGGAGGGGGATCTTAGGGGGGGAGGGATGGTCTTTTGTAGATGTCTCAAGTCTCGAGTCTCGAGTTGGAGTTGGGAAGGGAAGGGGCATTATGTGGGGAATGTGGGGGTGGGATGGGGGGTGGGATGGGGGGAGGAATATTGTTACTTGTTACTTTTTACTTTGGTGGCTGGCTGGGTGGCTGGGTCGTTGGTGGTTGCATTTTATCATAAGGAAGGGACATCACTGAGCATTCATTGGCATTGGGTTTTTTTCTTTTCTCTTTCTTTCTTTCTTCCACTGTTTCTTCCGTTGTTTCTGCTTGCTTGCTTGCTTTATTTGAAGGAGGGTTGTGGGTTGTGGGTTGTAGGAGGATTGTGTTGCTATGATGTTTGAGTACTGTCTGTCTGTTTCTGTCTGTTTCTTAGATTGGAACGGAGTTGGTGAGGTCTTTGGGTATTTGTGTATTAGGGGTATTAGGGGTATTTGGGGTATTTGGGGGGTTTTGCATGGGTGGGGTGCGGTAATGAAATCATGGGGGAGGGGGATTTTGTCGATTCTTGAATTTTGATCGTGATGATCGTCGTGGGCGGATGTGGTGTGAGAAATCGTGATCGTCGCACTAGTTATAACAGACAGAGTCACATGCCACATACCTACTCTCCACGCCGCCCGAGGCGACAGAAAAGACGAGGAGTCGGTATCCATCCCATCCAGCCATCCCATCCAGCCAGGAAACGCAGCCTACTTTGCAATGTTTGCAACGGAATGGCAGGCCGGCGGCAGCAACGCTGTGGCCTTCGATATCTACGGAGTACAGACAAGACCGAAGCCATGCTTCAATGATGCTGCTGACACGGGAAAGGAAAGGTAACTGGGACTAGATTCACCAGACAGTTGAGGGAGACGGGAGGGAGACGGAATGGAGACTGAAAGGAGATGGAAGGGAGACGGAAGGGAGGTCAGATTCAATGGACCGCAACTCGGAACGCAACTCGAGGGCTAGGTAGGCTAAATAGGCTAGGTAGGTAGGCATCTGGAGTGATGCGGAACTCAACCCCAAGCAAGGCTCACCACCACACCACCACACGATGATGAAGAAGACTATCCTCCCCCAACAACAGAGCAAGGCGATACGTCCATAATGTACGCTCTACGAACCGCTAGCCTACATAAACAAGCCTACATACATGCCAGAAGGCGACAAGACTAGCCAGGCCAGCTGGCCAGCCAGCTCATCACATCAAGTCTGCAAGCGCACTAGATACATAGGCAAACGTCTAAGCCTACCGGTACCGGTATGGCTGGGACTGGCTGGGACTGAGCGGAAGTCTGGAAGTCTGGAAAACGTGAAACGACAAGACAAGACAGTCCTGTGCGAAGCCTCACCTTGTCTCTCGGAGCCGCCAAACTCGGAGCGGCCACAGTCATCGCAGACCCCCGGGGGGCGGCAAAGAAAGAAAAGAAGCGGAAACCCCTCGGCCCGGGCTCACCATATGTGTGGACAGATGGATCGCGGTTGGAGAATGGAGGATGGAGGATGGAGGACCGCGGCTTGAGCATGCGGATAGGTACGGTACGGTGCTCAGTGGTGTGGGTGGGGAAGAGGCACGAGTTCCGGCCAGCTGGCGAGGGGACAAAGTCCATATGTATAGGTTAAGACCAAGAGGCCTACACAACTACGACGCGGAGTGCGCTGCCATTGTTGCCATCGTAAGGGCGCTGGAAACGGCGGCAGACCCTGGAGCGTGGCACCGTCTTCACGGACGCCGGCCCAGGCAGCAATACCTAGATATTGCGAATGAGGTCCCTCGACGTCGGCCTGGCCAGCAATATGCCATGCCATCCAAGCAGGGGAATGGCGTGCCAGAATCAAGTACCTAGTGGAGAGCTCCGGTGGTGTCCCGCCCACGCCACGAGGTATAGAAGGAAACGAAATAGCAAATGAAATGGGTGAGCCAAACTCGCGGCGGAAGAGCCAGACAGACAACATGGAGTAGGTACATAGAATGGCTCCGGCAAGGTGACGGATACCGTATGGACGCCCCTTCCGATCCGGCATCTTACTGGCACATCTCGAGAGGCGGATCAGCGACGAGAAATGGAGAGAGGCCTAGGTACATACATATCAGTGGTCATTGTCGCGGACCAAGAATCTACCTACCTCCGGTACGACACTACGTACGTAAGGGGCCCCCAGAAAAGACCCCCGAGTCGCTCCCAGCCAATGCGCCAAATAACACCTGAAGTGGATCAAGAAGCTGGTGGTGTAATAGACCAACCAACCAAGCAATCGCGAGAGCACTTTTTCTAACACTGCTCGCGGTGGAGAAGCCGGCAGAAAGCCAGCAGAAAGCCATAAGGTATGGGCGAAGGTTGGGAAGCAGACAAATAGAAGGAATGAGAGGTGGTCAATAGCGGAGCTGTTCGCTGACGAGCGGTGCAGCGATGCGATTTTAGGGAAGGAGTGCGATGGTTCGCCATAGTCTGGATAGATAGGCTGCATGCGAAATAAATTGAAGATCTCTCTCTCTCTCTCTATACACACGCCGCTCACTCGCCACAGTCAGAAGTTGAATACGAAAAATGATCAATCGAGCGCTCGAACCCCTATTCCGAGATGTAGACAGCAAACCCATCCGACACAAGCGCTCGACTCACAGCTGTGTGTATTTTTCAATTGTGGCACTTTTTTTTTTTGTTGACTGCGTTTGTGCGGTGGTGCGTTGTGTGGGGCAAAAAAAAATCACACTTTAAACTTCAACTTGTAACCATCACTCACACACCCCCGCCCCGCACCGCACCGCCGCTATCCACATCCCCGCGAATCAACGAATCAACGAATCAACGAATCGATAAATCAACGAAGCGAGCAATCAACGAATTGATCAAATCGAGAAGAACCGCGAGCTGCAAGCAGCAATCATGGCGCCCCACAGTAATTACGAGGAGGATGGCGACCTCGAGGAGGAGATCGATTTCTCTGGTGGGTTTTATCATCTCTCTCGATTGAGGACGGGGCAAGGATTGGGTGATTGAGGAGGGCCAAGGGCTGATGAACTCCGGCAGATCTCAAGGAGCAGTACGAAGTCCGTCTCGACGAGGGCCTCGACACGTTCGTGGTCGTCGACGGATGTCCCAGCGTCACCGAGGAGAACAAGCCCAAGCTCGTCAAGTTCCTGTGCAAGAAGTTGAGCGACGTCGGAAAGGTCAAGCCCGATAGCGTGTTTATGCCCATCGATGAGGCGACCGGGCAGACTGAAGGGTGAGTTTGATGGATGGGGGTGGTGGCGGTGATGGCGATGGGTGCTGATGGTGCATGGCAGGTATGCGTTCGTCGAGTACGAGACCCCCGAACAGGCGCAGGCGGCGTGCAAGAAGCTCAACGGCATGGCGCTCGACAAGAAACACACCATCTACATCAACAAGCTCACGGACATCGAGCACTTTGGGCGCGAGGGCCGGGTCAAAGAGGAGTACGAGGAGCCGCCGATCGAGCCGTTCGTCGAGCAGGAGCACCTGCGTTCGTGGCTGTCCGAGCCGAACGCGAGGGACCAGATGATCATGTTCCGGGGCGAGAGCGTCGGTGTGTTCCTCAACAGGAAGAAGGATGCTCCCGAACAGGTGGTGGATCGCGTGCACTGGACCGAGAGCTTTGTGCAGTGGTCCCCCATGGGAACGTACTTGACGTCGATCCATGCCCAGGGTGTGCAGCTGTGGGGTGGTGCGAGCTGGAAGAGGATCAGGAGGTTCGCGCATCCGTTTGTGAACCTTGTCGATTACTCGCCCAACGAGAGGTATCTCGTCACCTGGAGCAACAAGCCGATCGTTATCCCCGATGTCATCCCGCCCAACTTCCCGTTGTCGGTCGATGAGGATGGAAAGAACTTCATCATCTGGGATATCAAGACTGGAAACGTCGTCCGTTCGTTCGCCAGCATCGACACCCCCGAGTCCGCCGACAAGGGACGCAAGAAGATCTCGTGGCCCAGCTTCAAATGGTCGTCCGACGACAAGTACGTTGCGCGTGTCGTGCCCGGCCAGTCCGTCCAGGTATACCAGACTCCGGAGATGACGCTGCTCGACAAGAAATCCATCAAGATTGAGGGTGTCGTCGACTTTGAGTGGCAGCCGGCCGTTCCCGTCGCCGGAAAGGGCAAGCCCCAGGCCGAGCAGCTCTTCTGCTACTGGACTCCCGAGATGAACAACCAGACCGCCAGGGCTGGTCTCATGAGCATCCCTAGCAGGGAGATCGTGCGGACACGGAATTTGGTCAACGTCTCGGACTGCAAGCTTCACTGGCAGAGCGAGGGTAAATACCTTTGCGTCAAGGTCGACCGTCACACCAAGACCAAGAAGTCCAACTACACTTCGCTCGAGTTCTTCCGTGTCACCGAGAAGAACATCCCCGTCGAGATCGTTGAGCTGAAGCAGGTCGTCGTCAACTTCTCGTGGGAGCCCAAGGGTGACCGCTTCGTGTTCATCACCACTGACGAGGCCGTCGCCGGCGCCATCGTCGCACCCAAGACCAATGTCCACTTCTACGCACCCGAGAAGATCAAGAATGGTGTCGGCGAGTGGATGTGCGCCAAGACGGTTGAGAAGAAGAACTCGAACGCCATCTACTGGGCACCCAAGGGCCGAATCGTGGTCATCGCCACCGTGCACTCGCAGCAGAGCTTCGAGCTCGAGTTCTGGGATATGGACTTTGAGGGTGAGAAGCAGAAGCAGGAGAAGGTTCCCGCGAACAAAGAGCTGGCCTGCAACATCATGCTCATGTCGACCGCTGAGCACTACGGTGTTACCGACGTCGAGTGGGATCCCACTGGACGGTACGTGGCTACTAGTGCTAGTGCATGGAAGCACCAGGTACGTACAGATTCTTCCACCCCCGCATTGTCTCGCCGCGGATATACTGATGATTGTCTGTGACTGTGACTGCAGATGGAGAACGGCTACCACCTCTACGACTTCAAGGGAGCCCTCCTCCGCGAGGAGCACATAGAGCGCTTCAACCAGTTCCTGTGGCGTCCCCGCCCGCCGACCATGCTCAGCAAGGAGGAGCAAAAGACGATCCGCAAGAACCTGCGCGAGTACTCCCGGCAGTTCGACGAGGAGGACGAGTTCGAGCGCGACACGGCGACCAAGGAGGTGGTCGAGGCGCGCAAGAGGCTGCTCAACGAGTGGATCGCGTGGCGCGAGCGCGTCGAGAAGGAGCTCGAGCGCGAGCGCGCAGAGGTCGGATGGACCCCGCCCGTCAAGGATACCGACGAGGAGGACGCTGTCGTCGAGGAAATTGTCGAGGAGGTCATTGCCGAGACAGAGGAGGAGATCCAATAGATGTTTTTTCTTTTTCGTTCTTGACGATGTGCACGATGTGGGATAAAAATTTGTGTATTTTTGAGTTCTGGTTTCTTTGTTTCTGGGGGGATTTGGGAGGATTGGGGTGAATCGATGGTGTTTGTTTACAGCTTAATGAGTGGTTCGACCTGGTGCTTTGTGCTCTTTGATTGGACTTTGCTTGATATGGACTCAATTCATCTGGACGGATGGACGTTGCTTGACACAAACCCAACCCAACCCACCTAGACGGATGGACATTTCCTTGCAACTTTCCCATCTCCATCTGATGTTTGTTTACAGATTAATGAGTGGTTCGACCTGGTGCTTTGTGCTCTTTGATTGGACTTTGCTTGATATGGACTCAATCCATCTAGACGGATGGGACGTTGCTTGATGCAAATCCAACCCATCTACCATCGTAGGTAGACGGATTGACATTTCTTTGCAACTGTCCCATCTGTTGAGTTGGATGTCCGGAATGTATAGGACGACGACGGTAGCAATGCTGACAGCCTGACTGATAGAAAGAATGCTGACTGAAGATGGCAGCAGCGAGCAGCGTCTTCGGCCGGCCGAGTATTTGGTCCGGTAGAGTAGACACACACGGGCTCGATATAACTAGCCTTGATATTTTTGTTTTTTTTAATCATTAATACTTACGACCCACAAGCTAGATCATAGAAATATACATACTCTGGTTCCACGCCGCTGTCCAACCCAACCTTCATCGAGCGGCTCGATGTGGCATTCGAAACTGCGATGCAAGATTTCTGCATCATGTGCGATCACTCGCAGAGCGAGTGATGTAGTGTGCCAGACCCTAGCAAAAGTTCGAAATGAGGTGGGGAACCACCGCCAATAACAAAAACAAAAACCTTCACCACCCCTCGGTGGATGGCTTGGAAACAACCCGGGAATTGAGCTGGTGTTCAGGCTTCATCCCTCCGCTAGGTACGTGACCGCTAGGTCACGTGGGGGGGGAGGGGGGGGGTTTCTGTGATGGAAGAAGCGTTGGGTAGGTTATAAACTGGTGTCGTGTCCAACTCGAATTTCATCGAGCGGCCCGTTGTAGCTTTCCCTGCCTTCCGTCTTGGCCTTTCCCGATAATATATGAACGCACCAAACAAATAACACTAGGAAATGACAATCGCTCCCTCGACTCGTCCGTATTCCGCCGCGAGTCCCAAATCTGCCTCGCCGCCTCCTGCCGGTCCAAAAGGAGTTGCCACGAATGGGGCTGCAGCGAGGAGGAAAAACGGGTGTTGTAGAGTACTGGGAGAGCTGTCGGCGGAAGGAGGCAGCGAGAGGTGGACATATCGGCGGGAGGAAGCCAATGGGGTTAGTAGGTAGCACTAGCGTTGGGGGGTCTACCTGCTTCTGCTTCCTCTCCATCTTCTTCTTTCTATCATCATCATCATCCAAATAGACGATCAACCCTCACATCTTCTCTTTCCTCCGTGTATGCTTTCCTCTAGATCCCGCCTCCAGCCTGGAGGGGTGACCCGGGTTCCTCAACTTCAGCACCCTCCTCCTCCCTCTCTTCCCGCTCCCTAGCTCTGACTCGGACACCTCACTTCCTGCATCTTCCTCATTGGCCTTTGGGATCTGCCTGTCCATATAAGTGGAGGAGAGGAAGCCGAGGATGGCCTGGCTGCACCGCTCCTCTGCGAAGAGGTCTCGGATTTAAAAGCGGTACTTACCCCTTCCGTCTCCCCCCGGACTTGTACCCATAGTATATTTTGCTGACTTGTGCAAGTTTAACTCTGATCCGCCCATCGACCACCACCCACCGTCCTCCGTCCTCTGCTCCGAGTGAGATTCTGTGTGTGCCGCAACGGCGCCGACGCTTTCTCCCTTCCGGGACGCCCAGCCCAGCCAGTGCAGAGGCTTACATCCTCTGCATAGGCCGCAGACGGCGGTGCGGTACACGCCACGCACAGCGAGCGGAGGATCTCTGTTCGGATCCGTTCCGACGGGTCATCGGCCATCGGCCACGCGGAGCCACGCACGAGCAAACACGCCACACCATGCGTACAATACACACCGCCGGAGAAGATGCAACCGCGTCCACCGCCCGAGAATGCCAGCCTCCAGAGTTGCGTCTCGAGCCTCCAGAGTTGCGTCTCGAGCCTCCAGAGTTGCGTCTCGAGCCTCCGCCGGCCGCGGCTCGTGCCTCGACAGGAGCGGCTGACGCGCTAGCGACACTTGTTGGAAGGTAGTCGAATGCGCTTGTTCGAGGGCGGCAAGAAATGGAAGTGAAGTCACGGGAGACGACCATGTGCGGTGGAAAGCGTCGGTCGAGATATCTGAGCTCCTGAGCTCTTGGTTGAACAGAAGTGTAGGTAGCCTGGTTGTGCTAGACTGCCACGAGAAGCACGGATGAAGTCGGCCATGCTGATTATTGTGATAATAGTTGGTTGGTTGAGGGCCCCTGTAGGCTGGTGGGCCCGGAGCTGGAACGCCGGCGGCCTGTGGTCGTGAGTGCGGCGGCACGATCTGAAGGCTGAAGCTGGAGTCGACGGACGTCTGAATAGACTTTTGGATAGACTCTCCTCATTCCTTGGACAAGCCCGAAAGGGTCAGGGCCATAAGCACGAGTGCCTTTAACGCTCAAAGGGACGGAGATGCAAAGCAAGTACTATGCGTTTTGCTTCCACGCCACCGCCGCTTCCAGGACCAGCCGCAATTGGATGATTGATCGGATGATCCGGCAGCGACTGGAAACGACGGCAGAATTTTAAGCTCCAGTGTTTTGGGATGAGTCGAGCCGAGTCGTCCGACTAATGAGTCACGACGTCGTCGTGGTGGTGGCGGGAGGCGAAAGTGGACTACCACTATAAGAGCAATGGTGGGCCGTCACAACGCACGTCCACCGCATATCACATAACCGTCACCAGCTGGAATCTCTTCTGCTTCACGCTTCACGCTTCACTTTGGCATCGTCGCAACCTTCCCTTCGCCAAGAAAATATAATGTACCTCGCTAACGCAAAGAGACCAAACACCCCGCTCACAATTAGCTCTCCAACACGATCGGCACGATGTCTGGACGGCCAGACAAACGCAGCACACAGCACAGCACAACACAGCGGACCACTATAAAATAACAACAACCGCAATAACAATAAATCCGTAACAGTCCGCCATCATCCGACCATGTCTTCGTTTTCTTCGTGCGGTGGCGCCCGTGATCCCAACATCCAGTCTTCCATCGCTAGCCATTTCGACCACGACCCCTCCGCAGCCTCGATCTCGCCGTCATCGACTCTCCCTAGCGGCTTTAGGTACGGGATCGCTTCGTCCGTTACATCGTCGTAGTCCCTCTTCACGGCTGCCCACCCGCCGCTCTTCGCCGCGAATAAATAATTCCGTCGCTCCTGCTCGTGCAGCGGTCCCACGCCGGTCACCCAATCGTCGCCGAACCAGCCGTGGAGGATCGCGGGCACGTCGAAGCCCGTAGCGACCAGTCGCCGGATGTATGGGTGTAGCGATACCCATCCGTACTGCGACACCGTCGGATGACTGGCGATCGGCGAGGAGGGCGCGGGCCCGATGCCGCCGGATCCGGATCCCGAGGCGTACGCCGGTCGGTACAGCGAGTGTGGAGAGTTTGTGCGTGGAGGCACGAGTCCGCCTCCTTGAGAGCTCAATTGTGGTAGTGGATTGCCGCCGCGTTGGAACGGCAAACGGATGTTGATGAATGCAGCCAGAGCTTGGCAGGGATAGCTGTGCTGAGAGACTTCGACAAAGTACCGGAGGCAACTCTGATACTGTGGGTACCAGAGCAGGATGTCGAACTTTGGACCCTGATTGTTGGAAGATGACGCGCCGCCAGCGCCCCCCGCGCCTCCGGGCCGCCCACTGCCACCACCACCACCACCACCACCACCACCACCGCCACTACCACCACCGCGGCTACCGCTTGGGCCTGCGGCACTCGACTGTCCGGCGAGGTCGCGAGGCGTTCCAAACGGAGACTGGGTCGGGCTGCGTCGGTACTCCATGCGCGCAATTTGCGGTATCCGTTAAATCGAATCGGGAACGGAACGAATCGCGATCGAGATCGAGATCACCTCTGGAGAGCTGAAAACCCTTGCCTTGTCGGGCCTGGTCCGATGCAGAGGCTGAAAATAAACGGTGGTCAAAGCTTTCCGATATATTGTGGCTTGACTGGGTGTTGCCGGACAGACGGGACGACGGACGACGGGGCTCGCAGTCGGTATCAATTGCGGGATTGGATTGGTGAGCAAGAGAGTGGAAGGCGCCGATATGGTTGGGGTTGAAGTTTGGTTCGGGTCGTTCTGTCGCAAGTTGTGGGTGGGCGAAGTCGAGTGTCGATTTCGGGTAATCAGGGTTTTCTATCTCGATCGTCCTCCTTCAAGTGGTGCAGAAATATGTCGAGCTTGGTAGGGAGGGGGCTGACATTTGTGCACGTTCCTGGGTAGAACACTTTCGGGCTTGTCTCCACCTTATAAAATAATGACTTCTTCAACCGCCCCCCCGGGTTGTCGTTGTCTGTTGCCTGTTGTCTCGAGCAACAACTACTCTACTGTGCACAGGTAAGTCAGGTAAGTCCAACTGCAGATTTGGGGGGAGAAGCAGACCGGGCGATCCAACGGGGCACGGCCTGTGGTGCCTGATTTGTCGGTGGATTCTACCGACTTTGCCTACGTTACCCAGACTGAGCAATAATAGTGGCGGCGGCAAAAGAAAAGCAATCACCCTGGAAGCGAGACTAAAACTGCTCGAGTGTCTGATTCGCTCTCAGCTGGATCCTGAACGAAATTCTCCTGTACCGGCGACTCTGCAAATGGGAGATCGGAAAGCAGTCCATATCTACTACCGGCAATTTGCAGGGAAAGTCCGTTTGTTAAGCTTGACGTTCGATGGGCGGGCGTTTTTCAGCTGAGTCTGCTACTCTAGTTACCTCGGACTCCGAGCTTTAGGTGGGTGCTTTTTTGACAGCATCTTTTCCTGCCCTGCATGAACAGGGAATTTCGCGATGTGCTCCTACGCCGTGCCAAGCAACAGCTAGTGAACGGCGGTGGGCGCGATGCTTGCGTTCACAGCGTGGCGAAATGCGTTCCTGCATCTGCTCATGGGAATCTCCGTTGTCGAAGACCGGTATGTAGAGTGTCTGTTGGCCTTCTGTTGTCCTCCGACCGGGCCAGGAGCCTCTAACTAACTGCACACATGCGCAGCAGAAGCAGAGCATGCGGAGTTCTCCATGGCGGATTGGCCCGACGCCGCCAGGTCCAGTAATTGTCACCGAGATCATGTCTACGGAGCTAGGGCATACGTCGCCCATTACTCCATATGAATAATTCTTCTTGCGCCGGAGATCAACGTTTTGACGCAGTTGATTAGTTGGGACAGGCGACATGCGGGCCTGACTACGTGTGCGTGCGGAGCTGCCAACCTGTCTCTGGTCTGCTGCGGAACTTTCCGACGTCGCACTCCGCAGTTCGGGTCCGCCCCGTAGCGAGTGATTTGCGTCGCACACTGGTGATTGCGGTTCGGTGGATCGCGAGCGCGAGGGACGGTTTGCGACTGTTGATCAATTACTCGACACCGAAGAGTCGACGACGCTTTCCTTCCTAAACGCCAAGGTTACACTCGAGGAAGTTTTTCTGTACGCCATGATATGTTAACTAATGGCATGTGCCGCTGTGGTGGCCGTGGCCGTTATAGATATCCTGGCGAACTTGCCAACCAACTAGCTGCTGATTGGCCGGATCTCAAGCAACTGCTTGGCGGCAGCCAGCGACCGCCGACAATCGATAACATGCATGTAGACCCGCGGGTGCCCGCAGAAGACCGCAAAGAGAGCGCAAACACGCAATTGCCAATACAACTCTACATGTTCGTGCAACGATCCTTCCATGCAGGGGCTGGAGGATCATCATAGTGATCGTTAGTACTCCGATAATTACTGGGCGGCAAGATATAGGCCGCCGTTCTTTCGTCAGCCTTCCGCACCGGAGTTATCGATTACACCGCTCGCTCTTCTCCGAGCCCCGTCGTCGACGTCCGTGCTCGTACATACTTCGATTTACTTCCATTGCTCTCTCGGTAGCTGGCTTTTTTTTCGCCACCCGCAAGGCAAATCGTCTACTCAGCTGTCTTGCGCCCCGGCCTTTCTATTTCTTAGGGCACTGAGAAACCGGGCTCCGCTTCGACTATCATGGAGTTATCGACTAACTTCCCCCTTCATATAGGAGAATGGTGTGCGAGTGATACCGTGCAGCCGCTGATCGGTGTCTTAGATGTCAAATGGAAGGGAGAGGAATCTTTTCTCGACGAGATGGATCTTTCGGATTCGATGGCGACTACGGTTGCATGGGGGGTGGGGGGAAGGAGCTACATACGCAATAGCTGTCCGGATGGGCGGATGGCGAGCGGGCGAAAAGTCCGCGTTTTCCCTTCGACAGCCAAAGACCTCAGAGACATAGGGAGCAAGGAAGGGAATCGGCATCGGTTCGCACGGCTCCGAAGGGAGCTCATTTCGGAGTGGGCGTCTGCATGTCGAAATGCTGTCCAGTGTACTCTACATTGGGTATTCCTTCTTGCTGGTTCCCCACGCCGAGAGATGGCACGGTGCTACAGCACTGCAACTGGGCGTTTACACTCATGTCGGGCAGAATGGATGTTGCCTTGGGCGAGGCCCGTTGGGGGACCGATCTACGAGAATACATGTGCTCGGTTGACCAATGGATCGCCAGAGATTGTGGAGACAGGGAAGGCAACACCGTCTGTTGAGCAGCAAACTACTCCGGAATCAACCTTATTAGCCATGAGGTGCCAGACATCTCGCCAGCCAGCCAGCCAACCAGCCAGCCAACTAGTATGCAGAGGTTACAATTACTGTTTGCTGGTCTGGCCGAGGTGATGAGGCTGCGAGAGTGGTGTGGGGGCAGTATTGTATGCTGCAGATGAAACCACTCGTAAGTGGACTTCTCAAAGGTTGTCCAGGGACATGGTCATGACCATGACCGACCATCTTGTCTTGTCCATCCAGGCAGCTCTCCCGACTCTTCATCATGTCGGTAGATTTCGAGGTGTCTGGGAGCAGCGCAATGACGGACAGTCCGACCATGGGATGATTGCTGTTCCAGTCGGTTGAGGTTGTTTCGACCCTTTCCGGATCCAGAAATCCGACAGAAAGAAGAAATGTCTCTCTCTCCCTCCCTCCCTCTCGTTCTTCCTGCGGACTCGAGGGGTTGACTCGCTTTCCCTCCCTCCAACGGAGGCGTCGTACGATAGACACGATGGCTGGCGATGGGGGAAGATGGCTGCCGGCGTATGCCTGTTGGACAAGTCGCACCTGTCGTTCGCCAGATGGACTGAAGGAGCAGAGTGAGGGGATGCTTCACAGAGAAACCCCTGCGAATCTGGTGGCGGTGGTTGGTGAGATTCGATTCCAGCGGATGAGCGATGCAGCGCTTTCAGTGCTGTCCGTCCCTAGTTTACTGTTTTTCTCTATTCCAGTCCTCCATCTACCTGCTGTCACTATCCCCTCTCTTCCTCTCCCCATCGTTATCTCTCTTGTGGCCAACCACCCCTTCTCTTGGCGTCTTCCTCACAATCATCGAGATTCCTCTGAATACGCCGTCTGAACGGGCGCGACTAAATCTTCTCGAGGAGGTGCTGTCACCGACCGCTGGCAGCTGTGGCAACGGACAACGCACGGATTCACAGTTCTCCCACCTCCGTGCTCTCCCACCCACCTTCATGCTCAAAGTTTTCACCTCCGAATCCCCTGAACCCGAAGTTGTTCGCACTCGACATGATGAAGCTTCTCATAATCGATCACCCGCAGCTCTTCGTCCGATTACCAGCCGTTGATTCTGCCCTCCGCCGATCCTCGTCGCACGTCTGTCGCTTCGGTTTACCAGAGGGTAGAGCACTGTACCATCTTCCGTTCATCCCACACTTCAGACATGTCTACTGTCTACTGGCAAGGCTTGTACCTAGTCCTACTCGCAGGTGTTTTCGCCGGTGGATATTTCTTTATCCGAACCGCAGATGGTACAGGTGGGTAGAGGAACCCCTCCGCGAAGCAGAGCATATTCGAAGCGGCAGCGCTAACGATACCACTCCTCGATCGTGAGCTCGCTTCTATCCCGCTCTCTACCCAGCGCCGTCTGTTGCGAAACAGCGAAACAGCGAAAATACCAGTCGTCCGCCGACGAAGTCGCTTATCGACGTCAGCACTCTTCCACACCGACTACATGTAGAGAAGCTTCTCCCGTCCGAACCACCTGTTTACCAGCTCCTATGCCCTAAAGAAGTTCCAAACAAGAAGCAAAGAACCTGCCGTTTCACCGGTGCCAGAGTTTGAGCGAGTGATATTGTGTGAGGCACTCTATGAAAATCGAACTGAAGCCGGCTGTCGATTGCTATATACTGTACTCTGATCTCCCCGCGTAGCGTCCCATCGTACTTCCTCCACCGTGCTCGTACATAACACTTCGTCCGAAGATCGAGAGCCACGGTCCGGTATTGGATCGGAGCGAAGAGCTGTCAATGAGTTACCGAGATAGTGGCGTGCTAGACACAAACATCACCAACAATGCCGTGTGCTCGCATAGTACCAGTGACTACATCTTAGTCGATCGTGTACAGAAAGTTGCGAAGGACCCTAAGTCTCTGTCGTAGCAGTTACTGTTATTCGCAAAGAAAATACTCGGCCATCGGGGCTCTCTAAATCGGGCGTCGCGGATGGTATTCGCCCAAGTTCCAACCGGACTTTTGACTCCTACTGCCCTACCTCTACCACCGTGACCGAACACGCATCCTCCCCCTTCGACGTCCTCCCGCGTCGGATAACCCAGCAGCCTGTAGCTCGAAGACTGGGGACAGCCACGGACAGCTAGCTATCTGAACGCCGCCAGCGCTGGAAACAGTCCGTTGGAAACCGTCAGCTGCAGTCGGTTACTTGGAAATGTGACATTACATAATAGGACTGCACCTCGTGAGGAAAAAAACAGAAACACTGCGCACTCAGCCACGTCCAACCGCGGTTAGTTAGCCCAGCCTGTCGCTCGGACAGCTACGGACAGCTAGCTATTCGAACGGGCGCCGCGGGCGCTGGAAATCGTAAACCGGCTGCGGCAGTCGGCGACTCGGAAATCAGACATTAAATAGTAGGCTGGGTTCTTGGGGTGGGACTGCACGCATCACCATCCAGGCCTTACAGTCACCGAGTCACGGCATCCCCGCATTGATCTTGGCCCCACTGAACCTTAGACTTCACCGATAAGTACGCCGAAATGGGAAGCAACGTCCGCAGTGTCACTATCGGTGAACCCACGGATGGGCCGGGATGACGCGGATCGACGCCACGCTCTCGTGGACGTGGACAATTTCGATGAAGCTATTACACTGTAGAGATTTCTCTCACATACCAGGCCCATCGTAAAAAGCGATACGCTCAGTCAAAATCATGAAGACTTAAGCCCAAGAATGGAACTATAGTCCATCCCTGACGTACGTTGGTGGTGGGGACGTAGGATTTGAGGAAGATGGAAAGGTTATCCGATCTCTAACCACCGTTCAGAGTTCCACCTAATGGACACTTCTAGCTGGAAATCTAGCTATGCAGGTCGCACACGATTAACGATTGGCAAAAAAGAAAATAAAAAACCTCCAGCCAGCTTAACCCTATGGCATCCAGTATTCTCATCCTTCAGACGTCATCTGTGGCATCTCTCGTAGCTCCCCATCTAATCCACCAGCCAGTCCCATCTTATCGGATCTTTCCATCTCCCCGTGCCACTTGATGGCAGACAACAGTTGCCCTAAGTGATAGATACTTTGTATGTTGCTTAGCGCCACACTCACCCGCAGCCCTTGAATGCTGAAAACGCTAGCCCTCAGAGCCCTCGGAGCCCTCGGAGCCCTCGGAGCCCACAAAACCCTCAACCCGCAGTCCACACGCTCACCATCTCTTGCAAATAATCATCACTTACCTATTACACCAAAGACGAAAAACAACCTTTACAACCATCAACAGTCGACAGCCACAAACCACGATGAACAACAACGATAACCCCCCCATTAGCCACGCCGCCGACGGCAATAGCTCCAACGACAAGCTTACTCCCGACGGCAAGATCACGAACGACAAGCTTACTCCCGAGGAGAAGATATTACAGATGCAGGTATGGCTTCAACCCCTTTGTTAGTATTACCGAAGTCTAACTCCCCAAAGCCGACCCTTGAGGAGCTGACAGCGCGCCGCCGCGAGGTTGCGAATGAGATGTGCCGGAGGGACGTCGAGCTTTCTGTCATCGAGAAGGCTCTCAATGCGAAGCTGCAGGAGCCGGATGCCAAGGAAGAGGATATACAGGCCTTGGTCAACGAGATTTCAATCAAGACGGAGGAATTCGACGAAACGATGGCCGAGTCCACTCGCGTCGGAGCCAAGGTCGAACGTATCAAGCTCGATATGTACAAGCTGGTTGTGGAGGCGGAGAAATTGGACAAGGAAAAGGCGGGAGAGGCTTAGCTGAGAGTCTGGTGCTGCCTCACAGTGTGTCCCCTGGACTGGTTACATGATACCTAGGCCAGCTATTGACAACACTTCCGAATACCAGTGTCCTTCATTCCTAGAAGTCCCTACTGCGTGAATAGATCGTGTAAACAAAAAATCTGACTATGTACAATCAGGAAGAGAATACAATAGAAATCGGACGCCCAATGCCCTTCCGCGACGGACCCACTTTGCCAATACCGTGCCCTCAAGCCTGTGCCCCTCCCTTCCGTGTCGTATCTCTCCCCCACCACCGCTGCAATCCCCGCTACTTCCAGCTCTAGCTCTAGATCACTTGGGTTGCGGACGTTTACTGCATTCGCTTTCCGCTCATCGATCATTCCCGTTTGTGGACAACCTTCTCGAGTTGGCCTTTCTGCCAGTCCCAAAACTTGCTCATGCCCGCCAGCTCCGCCCGCACTTCGTAGGCCTTACTGACAAAGAGCGTCTTCGGTTCGTTCTGCCCCTCTGCTGCCGCCCCGCTGTCATCTCTCCCGAACTGCCAGCGCTGCCAGGGCAGTCTAAACTCCGCCACGCCCTGAACCTCACAGGAATTCTCCCAAGCAAGCCTCCCAATCCCCCTCCCCAATCGCCCCAATCCGCATACCAAAGAAATCGATTCTTTGAGAGTTATCTCACAGTCCCGTAGGTATCTGAGAGGTATGTATGAGCCTCGGATCGATTTAATCGAACGTTTCTACTCTATTTGTGCGGTAGATGTCCAGTTTAGCCGATTAGTCGGCCTTCTCGTTTCCGGTTTCCGGTGGCACCTTTGTGTGCCGGACACCATCTGATCGCAATCATGATATTTTGTTTCCCCGCAGAAGGGCGACGACGTGGTTCCATGTAACTAATCGCGCTGCACGATTTCTGCATCATCTGTTATCACTCGTAAAGCGAGTGATATACCGTGGTAGGCCTCACCAAAAGCCCGTACGGCCTCCTCCTGGGCACCCAATGTAACTACACGATAACGACTGATATTGCGAGGGTGCTAACCGTGCTGCACGATTACTACATCATTTGCGATCACTCCTAGAGCGAGTGATCTAGAGTGCTAGACCCAGCAAAAGTCCGTGCTGAGGTGGGGAACCAACGCCAAAAACAAAAACCATCACAATAGCGTGCACAAACAAGTGGTTGAAATTATGCGCTCGTACATACATCCATCGAAAAACAACCACCACCGCGCCGCTAATTAAAGCCCTGAATCCAATAATGCGCCTCAACGCCGTTGTAGCTCCAGTCCCAGCGGCCCCCATTCCTTCCGGAGCCGACAACGCACTGGGAGATGATGTGGTGAACGCATCCTGTGTATCATATATTCGCCAGTCAGCATACGATATACCCAATCGATTACCTGGAGTGAGATATCGAGAGCCCTCACCCGACAGTGGACCTTGGCGGTGCCCTCGTAGTGCCCCTGGATGATCCTCGGCCAGTAGAACGGGAAGCCGGTGGTGCCGAACTGTATCTGCGCGTCCGGCCCGACGCTGCACACTTGGTTGGCGACTTGCTGGAACTGCGCAGCGCTGAAGCCGTTGTTTCCGCTGCTGAAGCAGTCGGCCGCCAGCACTGTGGTGGTCGCGGTGAGGGAGGGAAAGCTTGGTCATAGCTGTAGTGGGATGAGTGGTTGTTGGAGTGGATGTTCTCGCTGGATGGGAGGCCGCTGCTACTGGGTTTATATAGTCCTCGGTGGGGCGGACCTCCAATGAAAGCAGGTAAGAAAGACGGGAATGCTCAAGAGCTCGTGCGCCATGGCGGCTCGTTCTTACGTACAATGTAGGTACCATACCGTATGTTCAGTAATCCACATACCGTGTATCTATGGTTTATTTACACAACATCTCCAGATGGGAGCGGTAGATTAATCATGTTTCGGGAGTTTGGTACGCAGCTCCGGTCGCTTCGCTACAGGTCCGAAACCGTCCTCCTTTTACACTCTAGTAACCACTACCATTTCTTCAGGCAACCACAACAATTCCCATGTTGCTACGCCATTGGCTCAGCACGGGAAGGTCGAGTTGAACATCACTGCGCTGCAACCATCCGTGGTAGTATTTACTGATTACTCGTAGGCGCTAGAGTACCCGGGTGCGGGAAATGCGCTGCAGCGCGCGAGCTCTGGATATGCTGTCTACAGGAGGTGGCCGGCAGGATGCCGCAGATTATTCATACGAAAATCGACGCGAGACTTCAGGTTTCAGGGTCCGCGATAATTACTGATCGAGGGGATTTAAGCTATTCCAAAAGCCTTGGTATGTAGTGAGCTAAGATATCGCAAAGCCCAGTTATGGGAGTCTAGGGTACGGTAGGGCAGGCAGAGTGATTTCCTGTGAATCGCGCTTACCCCATGGTCACCAGTATTGGTAGTGGCAGTATTCCCAAAGCGCCCTGGTGAGAGCGCACTCAAAACCGGCGGTCATATCCCGTGCTACTAGTAGGTAGGCCGTGTGCGTAGGCATCCATCAGTAAGTCCTAGCAAATCTCAGCATATCTAGAGTATATGTAACACAGGTATCACAGGTAAAACGACGTTCTCCAGGCACCAGCGCACACCAGGTGCGACCCGCGGGTTGAGGGCGTACGCCTGCCTGCGTACGACGTCGGGCAAGAGCCCGAGACTCGGAGGATTGTCGCGTGATGCGGGTTCGTATACGGGTCGTATAATGATGTGCTGATCGGAGCCTCGGGATCCACCGACCTTAGTCGGCTGCGTTTCTCAGCCGAATACCGGTATCGGTCAATTGCAGCTGCCAAGTAATTATCTAGAACCACTTCCGTGGTGGTGGGGGACCGTGATCGATAGAGGACGTAAAAACGGCAAACGTCTAAACTGCCATAGTTTTCGACCCCTGTAGTCTAAAATGCCAGTTTTTCGACTGTATTTTTTTTGAGTAGGTCACCTCCAGTATTAAGACAATTTATCCGTGTAGAGCTGGTGTGCGCAGCCTCACCGGTTTTAATCGTATTAATCGTACATATCCGCGGCTGCCTTTCCCGCTCTGCGATACAATGAGCAACGTTGGTTATCACTCGCTTTTTGAGTCATTGTTTAGCACTCGCTCGATCATTCTTTGTCACGTGTGTCATTCACAGGTTGTTTTACTGCTCAATGCTGTGGCTAGGAGCTGTGTGTCTTGTAATTTATGAAGGTACTCTCCTTTTCTGTACCAAGACTATTAATCTATCTCTTATCGTCGTTCGAAAGTTGAACACATTTCATACTTTTCCCACAGAGAGAGAGAACATCAATTTATTGTCGCATGCAGCCTTACTAGACTATGGCGACCACCAACTTCCCAATCTTTCCTGCCAGCTCCGCGGGGTCGAGAGAAAGCTCTACCACCACGGCTCGATGCTGCGCCTCATACGTTTCCCACCTTATTCTCAACAGAGCAATATGGGAGCAGCGCGATTGATAGATGGTGACGCCAGCACGTGGCTCGAGTGAGTGCGATAGAATGCAGCGAGTGATGTACTAATAGTACTATAGAAGACCTATCGAGAGCGATGCGGAATAAACTGAAGATCTCTCTCTCTTCTATGGAGGGCGATTACCTCGGGAGGAAGCTTTTGGATGAGAGATACTACGAAGGGGAAGATATGAAGCTGACGACGAAAGAAGCCGTGCAATCAGCAGGCCCTGGCGGGGTCCGCGCGGGTTCTAGAATCACCTATGGATGCCAATTGTCAAATTGAAATACTTTGAACTTTGCGTCCATTTGCTATGTCTTGCTGTTAATCGCACGTGTTTTACCGTTAATCGCACGCATTTTGCTGTTAATCGCACGTGTATTGGACGCGTGCGATTAACGGCCGAGCACGCATGGGTTGTTTGCTATAGTAAAGGGCGCATGTGACTCCGAAGTCGTGTTTTTCCCAACTCCTCGGGCCGCAGCAGCGCGAGACTTCTGTCGTCGTCGTCGTCGTTCATTGCCGGTTGAGCCGCAGAGCGACACACAGGAGATGGTGACCTCCGCTACTCTACTCTAGCGTAGTTAGAGTAGCCATGGCGGTTGAGAACGACGACCTGCAAGGCTGCACCGCCACTTCCCGAGTCACAACAGCCGCAGCTCTCGCCTCAGCCCCTGCACATATAGTATCGACATAACGCCACTCATAGCTTGCATGCCGCTACGACGTCGCCGAACATTCGGATCGGCTTCTTCGATTACTAGTTATGCACCAATCAGCACCTTGTAAATTGCAATACGGATAGAGAAAGGAGATGCTCTTCTAGTTACACTCACGGTCGTGCTCGATGGTGAAGACGGTCGTCTCGGGAGTCATGACCCGAGTAAGGCACCGGGTGTGAGGCACGAAGGAAGAGGCGGTTTGGCGTCATCGGTGAGCACCGGAGAGAGGAGACCTCGTTGAGACCCTGCTGAGACCTTGTATTTGGGAGGAGAGATTTGCTGGGACCTGCTGGGACCTGCTAGGACCTATGAGTTATGGAGGGAGGAACCGACGCAGACCCGATGCGGTCGTTGAACGTTGAAGTATTTCTGTTGTCACTAGCTCTGTTCTTCAGTCAGTGGATAAGAGCATCAGTTCAATCTCAGTATTTTATATGACTATAGTACCGGGGTGAATGCTGATTTTATATCACTACGGGCCGGTTTATATGCAGTAATCCAGTGTGTCTCACATTGAACTTCTATCTAGTATTCTATCTACTTCCTTCATTATTTAATATTCTTTCTAGCCTGTGCCAAGTGGATATATTGCGCCGAAGGGAATGGAGAATAGAGTTGCTGCTAGAAAAGCTATGAGAGAGAAGCTATCAGCGAGGGTAGATTTGCAGCCAGAGTAGATTTGCAGCCAGAGTAGAGTTGCGCCGAGAGTAGAGTTGCGCCGAGAGTAGAGTTGCGCCGAGAGTAGAGTTGCGCCGAGAAAAGCTATGAGAGAGAAGCTATCAGCGAGGGTAAATTTGCGGCCAGAGACGAGGGTAGAATTGCGGCGATAAGACCTATAAGAGAGAAGCTATCAGCATGTGTATGAGCCGCGGCGGAAGGAATGGTTGGGCCGAGATGAGTGGAGAATAGAGTTGCGCCGAAAGTAGACTTGCGGCAAGAAAAGCTATGAGAGAGAAGCTATCAGCGAGAGTAAGTAGTTGCTGCGGAAGGGGGAATAGCAATTGCGGCGGGAGTGGGAATAGCAATGGCGGCGAAGAGAGCTATAAGACTGAGGTGCTATTAGCGGCAGTAATAGTGGCGGCGGGAAGGGGAATAGCAGTGGCGGCGAGGGTAGAGCTGCGGGAGAGAAGCATCAGCGAGAGTAGCAGTGGTGGCGGGAGGGAGAATAGTAGTGGTGGCGGGAGGGGGAATAGAATTGTGGTGGGAGTAACAGTTGCGGCGGGAGTAGAAGCTGCAGCGAGAAGAACTAGAAAACAGATCAGCATCAGCGAGAGTAGAAGTTGAGGCAGTAGGGGGAATAGCAGTTTCGACGGGAATAGCAGTTGCGGCGGGCGTGGGAGCTATAAGAGAGAGAAGATATCAGCAAGAGATCGAGAGAAGCTATCATTGAAAGGAAGTGGAGGAGCTGTCTGTGAGGAAGCGGAGTGATGGAGGAAGTAGCAGAGGAGCTGTCAGCGGGTGGACTTGTCAGCGAGAGGAAGTGGAGGAGCTGTCTGTGAAGGTGGGAGTGATGGAGGAAGTGACGGTATGACGCATTCATATGAATCTGCATTACATTGGGTGCTAAATTCTATCACGGTACTGAAGCAACATGGAAATTGCACAATTCAAGTTGCACTCTGGTCCCGAGCAGCCCATATTTTTTACTACTGTAGGTGTGGTGGTCGATGGTGGCGCTACGAGAAACAGCATGTACAGAGCACTCCCAAAGTTGCTTTGGTGGCGAGTGACTGATTTCACCTCTCTTGGGCTAAGATGAATAGGTACGTACCGGTATGTGTCCGTTCGAATATCTACCACGAGTACGATAGCTGCGTCAACATCCTAACTACATGCATCGCATCTTCTTCTCGACGAATTGTATCCATTCCTTCGATGATGCGGTAATCTTCAGCATATGGAGTCCGTGGTGCCGCGAGGCTTGCATCATTTGAACCGTGGGCTCGGGATCGTCCAATGTGCGCTCCCCGGGAACGATCGGACGAGATTGGATCGCCACCGTTGGAGCACTCTAGAGTATCTCATGTCCATCCCTTGCTTCTGATCTGCAACCGTTTTGCTAAGTAGTAGCTACAGTGCAGAGTATCTCAGCTACCGTACCGTATCCGTCGACCCCCCATCACATCGCATATATCCGGCATGACGTTGCGAACGACGCACCTTTCCATTATCGTCGCTGGCTTAGATGCTGTAGACAGGCCAGCCAGCCAGGAATCTCCCCTAATAACTATCGGGGACGTCAGAGCGGTGACTACCGCACCCCGGAGGTGGAGGCGGATCGCATGCATGCACGGGTCTCCTGTAAACCGTGACCCACCGCCATAGCCTCACAAGGGATCAGCCCTCCCTCCTTGCCCAATGGCTCTATCCCACTCACTCCGCAGCAGCATTTTCCCCACAAGGAGGCCGCTGACCGTTAACCACTGGCCGCTGACCGTCGCATTCACATACTATGTTTGGATAGCCCGCACCCTCCCACCCCCGTCGATTCGGTTCCGTCCACATGTCGAGGGCTTGATTGTGTCGCCTAAACCGGGAAACGTCGATCATCCGCGCCCCGGGCAATGCCAATCCTTCGCCGCCGCTCTACGTAAAGGTGAGGCCTACGGCCCGGCTTATCTCCATACGAGAGATAACCTCATCTCGTCTGCGCTGGGTGTTCAGGGGGCAATGCGAAAGTTGGTAGACATAAAGGCGTTGGTATATCCGCATTCTCGACAATCCCAACTCTGGCTCACTATCATATACACCCATATACTGACCGCTTTCCAGCTCTTTCTAGCATTACACCAGACGACTACATGTTTCCCGCCTCAAGATTCTTCGATGAATCGCCGCCAAATGCAGCCCGATAAGGAACGACGGTTATGGCTTCGTTCACGTTCGTACGGATACATACTGTACATGGACGAGCACTGTCCTGATGACGAGCGAAGCACAGCTACTCACTCGATCGAGACATCCATATCCGCCGCCTCGCCACTTGTTACCCCCACACCGTCAAGGCTTAAGCGCCGCCTCCGATATCTCCGAGTGGATGCGACTACAGCTTCAGCCTTAACGGTCCGCCGACTGACAAATTCCGATTCCTAAGTACACAAGTCCCCTCCAACCGAATCCGCTACCTGCATCGGCTCATTCCTATTCTTACTATAGGTACCGGGTCAGCTGTAGACGGTACGTACGCACCTCCATAGGTATCGTCGCCCCACGCACTACCTACCTTCGAACCCGGGCTCCGCGCGACACGATATTCGCCTACCTACTACCTACCTACATGCGGCACTGCTTCCATCGTCCTTGTCCGATGCGTTCGCTTCACGGCCGTGCACGCGATACGGCAGTTGTCTAGGGAGATACGCATTCCTAGCGCCATGACACAAGAGGAACACACAGACATTCACCACGCGGGGCGGAAGGGAAAGGGAAGGGAAGGGGAAGGAAGAAGGAAAGAGGGCCATCCCTTCCCTATCGTCGTCGACCGCCCCGCGTCCGGGGAGTCCGTTCGTTATTGACATTGCTAAGCCTTTTGCTAAGACTGCGTGGAGAGCGCGCCGCCGGTTGTGCGGGAGGCGTGGCCGGTACCTGGGTGAGCGGTTCCGTGGCGCGATAAAGCGTCGTCGTCGGGGGGTTGGATGGGGTTGGATTGGATGATGAGGGGGTGTCCGGCGAAGTTCGATGTTCGGCGATGCTGGAAAGGAGTTTTCTTGACAAAGAGAAACATGGAGACTGCATTAACTTCTGCCGCCAGAGCACCCAAGGTGTGTGGTGGGGTTAGGGATGTATCATACGCAACTCTAGTTCCGCGGGAAGGAATTAATCCGTACATGTACCTTATGTGCGTAGGTAAGAAAGTAGAGTTACCGGATCGATAACGTGTTTTTCCGTCGCGTGCCTCGCTCAGCTCGTGTGTGCGTGTGTGCGTGTGTGTGTCCGTGTTGGTCGGCGATATGACATCGGGGAGGGGATGAAGCTTCGGGGCGGGGGGCATGTAGGTACATCATACGGGGTTTGTCTGGGAACTCCGCACGAGATGGGATCTCGGTGGTACACGGCACAAAAAAAAACCAGTATCACTCCGCAACGAGTGTGGAGTTCTCTCCCCGTGGACGATTCTATATGTCCTTCCACTCCATTTTCTTCATAGCACAGAGCCATCTGTCGATAGATAGATGCTCTACTCTATCATAGTAGAAATATGAACGGCGACCACAGGGAGAGAAAGAGGGTGAGACATCGCCATCGGCACCGTCGCATGGTACATGTGGTGTTGACGTCGTCGTCCGGCTCCACGAAACGCCCACGATCCTGGTTACGACCTGCAGCGGCGATTAGGTTCTCGAGCAGCTCGACGGAGATGGAGGTGGGGAAGTTGAAGGGAGGGCAGGGAGGGAGGAAACCGCTTAGCGTGGAGTAGGGTTCTCCTCGGGGGTAACTCTGCTTTACAAGGTTGTTATGATAGATCTGACTACGGCTGCTTCGGGATGGAGGGGTAACGATTCTCTCGTGAGACTCGAACGGGAAAGGGCCTCGACATGAGAGACAAGAGAGAGAGAGCTTAGAGAGACAGAGACAGAGAGATCGGCTGGTATGGATACTTCTGTTTCTTATCGGCGAGCGCTGAATGGTCGGCACCACTGAGCAAACAGCATTGGCTAACCCGGACGATTGAAATCGGGGGGGGGGGGGCGGCGCGTGGACTATTCCGCATCGAGGTTTATTTTACGTTTTTGAAGTCCAACGCCTCCCCCCCAGGCTCTCGCGGATGGCGAATTCTGCCTAGAGCCTAAGAAGAAGACGGAGAAGAATACAGCCCCACGGTTAGTTATCCACGACGGTTCGGCCGTCCGAGGTACATACATAGGTCGACTGGGCTGGGTTGTCGGGCTGTGCGGTCAAGGTCATGGTCATCATCAACACGCGTGGCGGGCGTGGGTGGAGCACCTACCGACCTACGGACCTACGGTGCTCTAGTAAAGCATGAGAGCGCATCCCGAAAACTTCCGCATCCTTTCGGGGGCGTTCGCGAAACGTTTTCTTGCCAGGAGGCGCTTGCCTGGCTACTGGGCACTGGGCTGGGCTGTGGTTCCAACGGTGGGACTTCCGTCGCCTCCCCCGCGGACTCTCCCCGGAGGAGGCCTCCAGCGGCGTGCGTGTGTGGGTGCGTGTGCGATGGGATGATGGATGTGCGAATAATCAATCAATCCGAACAGAGGAGTCCCTCGCTACCGCCTAATGAATATTGCACTCTGGAGAAGGCGGTACCTGTGGATATACTCTATGCAAGTAACCATAGATATCGTAGTAACGGCGTTCTGACGTGCAGCGGCATTGCCCACGGTTGGACACAAAACACACATCGAACTGCGGGCGGATAGTGCTCTCATCGATATCGATATCGATAGTAGAGTAGTACCGGTATCGATATCAAAAAGCAAAGAAAGAAAAAAAAAAGGTTTGTGTGCCCTGGAGATATGCTATGCACTGCTGGCGCGGGTGCAAAGAAACCCCACCACTTCCCCTCCACGCGTACCCCGCCGGTTGCGCGCGATCACCAAACACACAGATACGTACATACGCCGGCCATCAGGGTCGGGAGATCATGGGCCCATCGTGGTTAGTGGGATGGTCATCCCGTAGGGTGTGGTGGTGCTGCTGTTGACGGCGGCGGGCTTCGGGTTTGCGTTGCTTGCTTGCTGGGGTTGCCGAAACTCACTACCACCGTATCTTCCCTCCCTCCTCTCTCCGCTGGATCCAGGGCACGCTAGCTTGAGTAATCGTCTTTACCTCATGGTTCCCTTTCCGTGGAAGAGCTGAACGACGGCTTCTTTAAAGGGACCACCGTTTCCCCTCTCTCTGCTGCTTCATTCTTCAATCAGGGTTGCGTCACTCACAGGATTCCTACACCTACACACACCCACACCTACACAAATCAGAAGTCTTAATCGGACGCCTTCCTCCAACATCCTCAACCCCCACTACCGCAACCATCACCACATCCAAAACCACCACCACTACTCCATCATGTCCAACATTGCTTCTGAGCCCGAGTTCGAGCAGGCCTACAATGGTTTGTGCCCCATCTTGCGACGATCCAGCAACAGCAACTAACGTCGAGTCAACAGAGCTCGCCTCCACCCTCGAGTCTTCCAAGCTTTTCCAGGTCTCGCCTGAGCTGAAGGCCTGCCTCCCCGTCGTCTCCATCCCGGAGCGCGTGATCCAGTTCCGTGTCGTCTGGGAGACCGACAAGGGCGAGATGCGTGTCAACCGCGGTTTCCGTGTCCAGTTCAACTCCGCTCTCGGTCCCTACAAGGGTGGTCTCCGTTTCCACCCCACCGTCAACCTGTCGATTCTCAAGTTCCTCGGTTTCGAGCAGATCTTCAAGAACGCCTTGACTGGATGTGAGTTTTCACCCTCCTCCTCCTCCTCCTCCTGGGGGTAGTAGATATGGTTTGCTGATGCTGTAAACAGTGAACATGGGAGGTGGCAAGGGAGGATCCGACTTCGACCCCAAGGGCAAGTCCGACAACGAGATCCGCCGCTTCTGCTACGCCTTCATGCGCGAGCTGTCCAAGCACATCGGCCAGTTCACCGACGTCCCCGCGGGTGACATTGGTGTCGGCGGCCGCGAGGTCGGCTACATGTTCGGTGCCTACAAGGCCTACCGCAACCAGTTCGAAGGTGTCATCACCGGCAAGGGAGGAAGCTGGGGAGGATCCCTCATCCGTCCCGAGGCCACCGGTTTCGGACTCGTGTACTATGTCGCCCACATGATCTCGTACGCCTCCGGCGGCAAGGAATCCTTCGCCGGCAAGCTCGTCGCCATCTCCGGTTCCGGCAACGTCGCCCAGTACGCCGCCCTCAAGGTCATCGAGCTCGGAGGAAAGGTCATCTCCCTTTCCGACTCTAAGGGTGCCCTGATCGCCACCGGAGAGGACGGCTTCACCGAGGCCGACGTCGAGCTCATCGCCAAGGTCAAGCTCGAGCGCGGCTACCTGACCGGCCTCTACGAGGCCGAGGACTCCAACCTCAAGTCCCGCTTCCGTTACATTCCTGGTGCGCGCCCCTGGACCAACGTTGAGAAGGTCGACGTTGTTCTCCCCTGCGCCACCCAGAACGAGGTCAACGAGGAGGAGGCCAAGGCCGTCATCGCCGCCGGCGCGCGCTTCATCGCCGAGGGCTCGAACATGGGTTCTACCCAGGGCGCCATCGACGTGTACGAGGCCGACCGCAAGGAGAGGAAGACCGAGGGTCTCTGGTACGGTCCTGCTAAGGCCGCCAACTGCGGAGGAGTCGCCGTCTCCGGACTCGAGATGGCGCAGAACTCGCAGCGCGTGTCGTGGACCTCCGAGCACGTCGACAAGGAGCTCGCCGGCATCATGGAGCGCTGCTTCTGGAACTGCCTCAACACCGCCAAGGAGTACTACGACATCGCCGAGGGAGAGCTTCCGTCGCTCGTCGCTGGTGCCAACATCGCCGGATACATCAAGGTCGCCCGCGCCATGCACGACCACGGTGACTGGTGGAACTAAACGCTCCGCTGAGCTGAGCTGAGCCATGCTCCCTTTCCGACTGTATATATAACCTTTTCCTTTTCATAATCAGCTCTTTTGTCTCCGGGTTTCAATGATTTCTCTTTTTCCCCTTTTTTCTTTGTGTGTTTGTTTTGTGTGTTTTTCTTTTGGTCTTGCGTGCGGGGGTCTGGGAATAACTGTTGGTTCGGGTGTCGGGGTTTACTACTGGGTGTTTTCTTTTGTGCGATTGAGTAAAGAAGTCTGCACGATTACGATTACGATACGATTGGTCGATGATGCTGTTGATTGATTGATGATCGATGATCGACGAGACGAGATGGATGGGATGGAATGGGTTGGAACATAAAAAATGTACTCTACAATTTCTTTTTTCTTCGAAGAAGATGAAGAACAAATTATTTCATGATCTTTTTGAAAATACTGCCTACATATGATACTTACTCAATATCGTGAGTCATGACTCGTTATGAGAGTTGTTCTACATCTTGGAGTGACAGATCGCGGGGAGTGGGGGGAAGGAGGGAAGGGGGCGGATGACGCAGCGAAGCGGCAGTGCTGGTGGCAAAGTCCTCTAAGTACATAGATCATCCAAATAGGGTAAGAGGGGAGTGCACCAGCCAAGCTTCTAGAACCAGAACCAGAACCCGGCCTTATACTTACGTACGGTATCTTGGTAGTTAGTCGCACGGAGAATTTCAGGGTGGGTGGGCAGCAGTCACGGTTGCACACCCGAGCTCTGGCTCGACTCCGCGGACGGGGCGCCCGTTCCTTATCGCGCGCGTTCCGTGGCGCACTGGGGCTAGAAAAGTGGTTCCGAAGGTCAGGGGGAGGGAAGGGAGGGAGGCTGTGAAGGAAGAGAAGGGATGGCCGGATACACATGTGCGATGGGGACGATGGCATGGACAGGGCCTCCGGGAAGGGATGGGCTCGGTTTTCGAACTAGAGAAGAGAAGAGGACTCCAGCAAACTAACTAGCGGGGTCGCTGGGGTCAATCGCTCGGTCGGTCGGTCGGAGGTCGGGTGTTGGAACTGGTGGACTTGATGAATGGAACTGGTGGACTTGATGAATGGAATTGATGGCTGGTGGTGGTGGTGGCGATGAGGCAACGGTGATGACCGATTGTAACTTCTCTATGCACTCTACGTGATGAGACGAGACGGGGCGGAGTCGGTACCTAGTGGTGGGCGTGAAGTTTGGTGGCTGTGACGGCTGGGCCGCTGGGGTGGCTTGGACCGGAGCTGCGGAGCTGCGGAGATGGAGTCTTGGAGAGTGGTGATGCCGTGTGGTGATCTCGACCGAATCGTCGGTGCATAAGATCTCAAATCGTCGGCCGATCGACTACCGTGCCATCCTTCACTGATCGTGATGCGGACATAGGTTTCTTTGCGTGGTGCTGTCACCTGTAACTTATCCACTGCATGTGCGACTGTGCGTCGGTGCGACGGACGGGCGAACGTTGATCCGTTCCGGGTGCTGCTGCTTCACCGTACGCACCTCCTCTGCACCAGCACTTGAACTCTTGACCATCACCACTGTCTGTTGAGCCCTTCACAACCTCAATCCCCACCTAGAACTATTACCATCGTGCCACCGTTGTGCCACAAGTTTACTTACAACTACTCGTGAAAGGTATCAGTGTACCTGCATGTACACGCAAGCCTCGCTAGCTCAATGGCTAGAGCGTGAGACTTTTAGGACACACAAGTCCATCTCAAGGTTGCGGGTTCGACCCCCGCGTGAGGCTTTTCTTTTACCATACCCGTTGTTTTATCCGCGAAAGTGAGGTGGTGTGGTGGACAAGGAGTCAAGACCCCGCTTGTCAGCATTCCCAAAAGTGGCGTGGGATGTGTATGCTACTTTTGCGGATGGCAGCTGTCGACACTTGAAAGGGCTGCGAGGATGGACATTTGATGCGCGGAGCAGTGGAAATACAACGTCAGAGCTCCCGAGGCGATGGCGTCGAGACGTGAAAAGGATGCTCGGTCTTCCCCTCCACGGTACTCGGCCCGAGGCAACGGTTGGGGCATGGTATCACTCGGAATTGCTGGATGACTGCGTGGTGGAGATATACGGTGGGAGAAAGTATGCAAATATACGAGGTGAGGAATAATATGGAGTGCTTAGAGGAGCTGACGGGACTGGACCGATGGACTATGTAGAACACTGGTTCCGCAGTTCGCGGGCGCCGCTTCACACGGCATGACTCGACGGCGAGTGATATGACATGCCTCGACGGGAAAGTCTATGGGAGATCTGTCTCGGCTGTCTCGGCCGCCCTGCACCCACTTCGGGGGTGCCGCCTATAAGCGGTAATTATTTACAGTACAACCGTCCTCAAACTAGGTCTCCGGAACTGTTCGAGGAAGCCCATCACCTTCTGTTTCTACTACTGCTAGGTTCTCCGGGTTCGTCGCGTCTATAGTGACAAGGGGGAGCTTGTGTAGGCCGCAGTCCTACAGACTAGTGGATGGACGCGCCCAATGGTCGGCACATACGGTGGCATTTGGGCTTCGCTTGGAAGCTCACAACTGCCGGTATCCTGGTGACTAGATATCTTGTATCGCCAGCGCTGCGGTATCGGGAAAACGAAAAAAACTGTGATGGCCACCAAGCTGACAGAGATCGAAGAAACGATTGACAGAAAGAGAACAGAATAGAGAAATGTGATCGGAACAGTATCGATGCATGAAAACTAACGCAAACGGCACGAGACAGAACGAACATCATGGGTATGTAGTCGCGAGCGGAGCGGAGGTGATTGTGAGATCATAAAACATAGACACGGTGAGGGGTGGATCGAGAAGACGTTATGTACACCGCCGAATAGGGTAGTTAGTAGGGTAGTAGCCGGTGGTGGTTTTCGTACTTGCCAGCCAAACTTTGGATTCCGGCACACCTAGGGAGGGGAATCCGACAGCTTCAATCCTTTGACACCCATCCTAGTACTCTGCACGAAGTCATGGAGCGCGGGAACCCAATCGCATTGCTCATGCGAAACCAGGGGCAGTGGGGGGATTCTTCCGAGTTCCGCGAATATTGCATTCAGTTCCTGGTCCCAGCTCTCTTTCTCGTTGAGCCTGAGTCTGACAATGGTCTTTATGAGGTTCCCCAGCCCGAGCGCTTCACAGTGCTCGCCGTTCGTCGCCCGCAAACACTTGTGCGATGATGGGGCACTCCACTCGGTTTGGATCGATTCGATGTGCGTGCGAAGGATGTTCGCCCTGTTGTTACGCTCCTGCTCTAACTGTGCTGTCTGGGGTGTCAGTGGGTGGCGACTCCGAAGAGGTGACGAGATCTCACCGATGGTGCTGGACGGGGTGCTGGCGGAGAGTCGCTGGTTGTGCTCGAAGTGCAATCCCTTTCTCGACCACAAGATCACCTCCTTCGTTGCAACCGTGAAGAGCCGTTCGTATCCAAAGACATATGAGATCAGCACACAATCCTCATATCCGTTCGTTGCTGTCACCACATGTTCCAGGTCCAGTAACTCCTTGAGGTCATCCGCCAGTGCCTGGAATGGCTTGCGCAGTTCATATTTACAACAGATCTCGGTAATTTTCACGAACCGCTGGGAGCCGACATCCTCATCCGGAAAGTCGTATCGATGGTGGAGTACTCTCAGTACCAGTCCGAGTGCGTCGGAGTCGTCCTCCAACCGGATGACGGCTGGACGGTGGTGTCCGAGGATCGCCGCCCGCCGTGTATCGATGCCTTCCTTGAAAGACGAAGCGCGCCCCAGCATCGCACGAAAGACCGGCGATGTAATGCACAGTATCTGGGACCCGACAAGATAGCCAACCCTTTTGCCAGCTTCGTTAATCGTTTCAAGCACCACGTCGCCCCTACCGAGCATGATTTCCTCGAAGAAGTCGAACTCGGCAGAGTAGTGGCAGGCGCCAGGGATGACCTTAGCTCGGTCTCGGAAGCGCCTATCACAGTCCGCACCTCGATAAATCTCCGCCTGATCTGCCGCTGACACCTTGCATACTACTTCCAACCGGTACTTCGGAGGAGGGCTCACGGAGCTGCCGTGACTGCTCGGAGTACTGTACGCCACCACGGCCCCTTCCGGAAGTTACCACCCTCTTGGTCCTCCTCCTCTTCTTTGGTTCCCCTGTCGTTCGCCATTCATTGCCGGAACTTGTGACGGAAGCCATAGTCCCATTTCGTCTCCGAGGATGCAGCTCCGATGTGCGAGCTCAACGGCAATGGTTGGTAATCGAGGTGGGGGCGGTGTTGAAGGTACTACTAGAGCTAGGGCGTTTTCGACTCTCGAGGACGGGCATGCGATTGAGCTTCGGTGGGGTGGCTGGACGCAAGACAAGGTGTGACCGTGTGAACGGGGTAATGTCCATCGAGCGATGATTGGTTGATCCTAATGCAGATAGAGGTCTCTCCTCTCCTCTGAGCTGTCCACGCCGATACATGGTGATATCCACCCGGAATACGGTACACTGACGGCGTCTATGTATTAGGACTAGGCGCGCGCACCGCAATCCTTCTCGATCGCTCATGCGAACCCATCCGCCCCAGCTTTTTGGTCTTCTTCTACCCATTCATTCACTTCCGATCCGTGCTACGAGCCGTAAGTGCATCAAACTCATCACTTGAGGGTGTTCAACACACGAGCGACAGTGTTCACTGACAGCCGATCTGGATGCAAGGATGCTGGTGTGGCGCGTGTTGCGTGGCTGTGCAACTGTCCGGACAGGTGTGCTCGTCTCGAGGACATACCGTTGAGTAGCCACGGAGGAGACCTGGGCAATTGAAGCACGACTCCAAGTATTTTCTGTTCACTTCTGATCAGGGTCCATCTGGCATTGAATGCATACGCACGGTATGTAGCAGTTAATCATGTGTGTAGGTCCAAGGTACGGTACCTATCCCACACCGCCTAGGAGGGCAGTAACACAAACCAATCATCCGACACACATTACCCCGCTCTACACCGCTCGTCTTCAGCCTAGTCACTCCGTTCGAAGCGTGTCTCGCACGCCCCCTCTTCCCGAGTCGACATCTTAGCTCTCCCCCTACCTACATCATCGACAACCACTCCGTTCTAACGAGCCCCTTGCCATCAAATCTGTACTTCCGAGCAGCATCTCCGAGTACTTCTGGAGAATGGATTCAGTCGCAAATCCCGGAGATGAGTCGCAAGTCGCAAGGACGGCCAGGAAGAAGGTGAAGACGGCCCGGAAGAAAAAGACCAAGATAGAGATGACTTCCTCCGGGAGAGGTCGTGAGGAAATACAGGGTTTCGAAAGTATCGAACGTTCCGGCCCGTCCCGTGTGCCCCCGCCACCGCCCGCGCCCGAAGCACTGGTTGGAAGTACGCAGTGGGCGGTGATCGGAAACCGGTCCAAGTTGATGGCGGATTCGGCGAAGATACCTGCCGAGCGGGACATCGCTCCCTTAGTATTGCCAGATTTTAGGGCTGTAAGTACACAATGGAGGCTCGCCGGGGAACGGACCCGAGTATTGACGATAGATCAGGAGCGGATACCTACCGAGCGGGACGTCGATGACACATGGCTGGATAGCTGGGATGGCAGGATCCATCGATGCAGTAACTGCGATAGGCCCTTTCGAGATCAGGCCAGACTGGCAACGCACATTCGTGTCCACCGCGACGGCGCCCCTAAGATCGAGACGTACACGAGGCCGCAGACGGCCGCCAATACTAGCTGGGACCTCGAAAACCTCGAGGAAATCATGCTTGGTGGAGGCGACCTGATACTCGAAACAACGGACTATGATGGAGAGCCGGTTGGGTACCTCGTGGGGTCCCAGATCCTTTGCAATTCATCACCGGTGTTTCGTGCGATGCTGGGACGATATTCTACATCGAAGGAAGCCATCGATATGCGGCGGGCGGCTATCCTCGGACGCCCACCTGCGGTGATTGAGTTGGAGGACGACCATAACGCACTTGGGCAGGTGTTGAAGGTGCTGCATCACCGATATGACTTGCCGGAGGAGGACATTGATTTTGAGGAGCTTGCCACAATCGCCGGGATCTGTCTCAAATACGAACTGCGCAGGTCATTACAGGCACTGGCCGATCGCCTTGTTGACTCGCTGTGTCTTAAAGAGAGTCTAGGGCGCTGGCTATATTATGAAAACTGTTTGCTGATTGCTTACGTCTTTGAATACGAAAAGCTATTCGCCTCTTGTACTAAGCAAATAATTCTTGGCGACTCGTGGCTAAATGACGCACCCGAAAGAGAGGAATTTATGCCCCTCTCTGATAGTATTCCTCTCCACGTCATTGGTGAGACCCTCAGGACCTCCGACCACAACAGCAATAAACTGACGCCAAGTTAGAAAGGATGCACCACGAGCGAGCTCGCTTCGTGAAAATCCTCCGGACGCAAATAAAAACACTTCAAACGGAATGGGGTACCCCATTCTCAATAAAGTGCCTGCGGAATAAGAATCAGAGGAAATGCACGACACTCGGACTGGGGAACCTCCTGAAGACTGTCGTTGAATACAAGCTCAACGAGACGGAAACTTGGAACAAACCTCTATCGAAGATCACAGAGCAATTCAATGAAATTGTCCCTCTTTCCTTAGATTCACACATGGAATGCGATTGGGCTCCACCACTCATTAAACTTGCAAATAGTACCTATCAAGGTGTTAAGGGATTGTCACTATCGGACGTTCGTCACTCGGGTGGCTAGAATTCAGCACCCCTAACTAGAGGTACAATGACCATCTGCAATGTCTTGTTAAGACTCGGATAATAGTAACGCTAATGTATAGATGCGTCCATGTTGAGGTTTAGGCAGAGGTCGCATCGCCCTTCAAGCCCGTTTCTATAAACGAGTCTACATTCCTAGATAATACGATCTCCCCCCCTTCCACTTGGTACATGCTGTCAATAGTGGGACGCCCCAGCTTGCGTGACTTTGTCTGTCTCATTTTGTGCCGGTTTACGTCGGGGAAGGCGTGAGGTATTGAAGCTGTGCGGACTCTGTTTCTTCTCAAGTCCGCGTCCCTTCTTTATTGGTTGTCCATTTCTTTGGTCTCTTTCCGCTTCTAGAAGGCCGTTGTAGTGTGTACTTAGTTGTTTATTTCTCATTATGTTTACTTGCAAGAACGAGTATGTATCTAGTAGTACTACGTTATCACTCCACATCGCGAAACAAGTCCGTATCCAGGATATTTGGTGATTTGTTTCAGAGCTTCTCGGCGAGTGTGCCACCAGCCTGCCCAAACACTCCATTGGCTATACACGCCTCGGCCCTCTCACCGGTCGGGGCGCAGCGATATTCACTGGTCGGGGGCGCAGCGATATTCACAGGCTGACGGACTGCAAGGATGGTGCTTCGAGGTATGTAGGTATCCACGTATGCAGTTACGTGACACAAGTATACTGTACTCTATGCATGATAATAGTGACACGGACTAGTCATCACCCCGTAGTCTGCAGGTAATACCTGCCTATCTAGTAACAACTTCAATCTTCAGTCCAGCCGCCTCTTCCCACGTTCCATCGCACACGCCCGTCGCCCCGAGTCGACGTCCTACCTAGTACACCCAGACCCGCAGCCACTCCACCCGACGGACTTTTCAATCAACACCGCATCCACTGAGCATCCCCAGTGATAACGAGACGATGAGTTCGGCCGGATGCCCCGCTACTGTGCGCAAAGCCGTGTGGTCAGCAGAATCTGTGAAGGCCATACTGGAGGCGGCGGAATTTAGACGGGGCGGTGGTGGTTTGGAGCACTCGGAGAAGCCACGGCAGCCCGGGGAGTGGGTGCCCGAAGCACTGGTTGCGAGTACGCAGTGGACACCGATGCCGGCGGAGACGCGCTCCAAGGGGTTGGCTGGGAGGTGGACGGACGAATCGACGACGGACAAGGTGCCAGAATCGGGGCTTGCCGTACAGGGCGGCGATATCGGCCGGGAGCAAAGAGTCTATCGATGCGCCGACTGCGACAGAGGCTTTCGGGACAACACCACACTGGTCGTTGGTGCCGCCGGGCACCGCGCACCCCGAACGACCGAGGCGCAGACGACCGCCACCACTGCCGCCGACTTCGATATCCTCGAGGAAGTCATGCATGGTGGGGGTGACCTGATCGTCGAGACAGCAACCGAAGATGGCAAGAAGCTTGGATACCGCGTGGGATCCCAGATACTTTGCGCAGCATCACCGGTCTTTCGCGCGATGCTAGGGTGTGGGACGTTGCCTGAGGAGGCCGTTAATGTCCGACAGCCTGCGGCTATCGGCGAACTCCTACCAGCCGTAATCAAGTTGGAGGGCGACGTCGAGGCACTTGGACGGGTGTTGAGGGTGCTGCACTACCGCTACGACCTGACAAACGAGGATATCAGCTTCACGCAGTTTGTCAAAATCGCCGAGATCTGTCATAGGTACGAACTGCGTGGGCCGTTACAGCCATTGGCGGATAGCCTTACGGAGTCGCCGGACCTACAGCACAATGTGGGGGAAATCGGATATGAGGATTGTGTACTGGTCTCTTATGTGTTCGGATACGAAGAGCTCTTTGCAAATTCCACTGTGCACGATGTGATTATGCGGCGGTCCAACGAAGGATTGCTTTCTGATCAGAACCGACGACTCTCTGCCAGTACCCCTTCCGGTGTAATTGGTGAGATCTAGTTCGCCAGCAGCCAATCCCTGAGAGCAGAAGTTCGCTGACGTGACCGGAATAGAACAATTAAAGTTTGAGCTTCATGCCCGGTTGAATGCCCCCTAGACGCACATTAAAGCTCTCAAAACCGCATGGAGTAACCAGAGCTTAGTTATATGTAAGGAGGCTTCGGACAACATGCAGTGTCAAGCGCTCGGGCTGGGGAACCTCACAACGACAATCACCAAATTGAAACTTAACAAAATGGAATTCTGGCAAGGCGACTTGTACGGTATCATCTCTTCCCTCAGGGGCATTAACCCTCTTTCCCTAGGCTCGCATGGAGGATGCGACTGGGTCCCAGCATTTCATAAACAAGTAATGAGAACCTATGACAGCATTGAGGGATTGAATTTATCAGAGTTTGCTCATTCGGGGTATCGGACTCCGACACTTGGCTGGTAAGTTCAACCACTATATCAACTGTGCTATCCTTTTGGCGGTCAAGATTAGGCGTACATACTAATATCAGTGCAGAGACTTTGCACCGTGATTCATCGAGCCGCACTCATAGGGGACTGAACCAACCTTCCCGATTCATTTCTATCATGTCTCAACTTTGTGTGTTGTGATGACCTCCACTCCGCTTAACTATGTACCTAATGTATGTTTCTTTCGTGTCGTGTTTTTATTGAGTTCCGGTCCGGGAAATCATTAGTTGCCACCGTAATCTGTGATGGAGAGAGCATCTGCCCGCTCTCTCGAGTCTCATCATCCATCCTCTACAAAATAGATACTTCGGTGGAGAATAAACCCTCACTTTTTCTCTCCGATTCGGTGATTTCTCTGTGCGTGCTCTCCTTTCAATCCCGCCGCCGCCGGCGGCCGACCTGGAGGGGTGTTGGCAAACGAGCCGTCTGCAAACGAGCCGTCTGCAAGCGAGCCGTCTGCAAATGCAGTGACGGTATTGCGAGTAGATAGTATATGGTTGCTTGGCCACCAGAATAGTTACATTAAAGTCGGCTCAAGCTAACTCGGCTGGTGGGCTGGTGGGCCCCAGCTCCTCCGGCCGGGGGGTAATTAAGTTGTATGTTAGATTCTGGCCCGGGCGTGGGCTCGAAGGGCAGAACTATATTTGCTACATACGATCATCTGCCCGGGGTTTTACATTCGCGTTCAACTAATCAAGTTATGTGAGTATGTAAATAGGTAACTATTAGGCTGATGGTGAATGTTTCTTCTCTTCTCGTCTCTCCTCCTCAGACTGTACATTTCTTCGTTCTTTGCGTTCTTTATGGCTACTATAATTGTTTTGTTTTCGCTTGGGCTTGCTTGCTAGAACGAGTACATTATCACTCGTCAATACCCCGTACATACCCGCGCGAGTGAGTTGAGCCGATACTTAGCCTACTACCTACCCACAAATACGCGTATATTCTTCCAGAGTGTCCCAAAGCCACAAGGGGTGGGTCCAACTATCATGCGTGATTTAACGGCCACCTGTGACGTTGCCAGAAACAGACAAATCCCCTGGGTAGGCTCTAGAGTTCAGCCTGCCACTTCAGACACGAAACGGATCATAGAGGCAGAAATGACGTCTGCAGCGAATTGGAAGGTTGAGACCGGACCGAATAAGAAAAAGAAGAGCAAAGAGGCCGCGAGGAATGCAGCGCAGATGTGGGTCGGTGGTAGGATACGGGATTCCTCGCTACCCGAGTCCGAGCCGGTACGAGAAGCACCGGTGGAGAACACAGGATTGGCGCCGCTGCCGGGGAGCACCCGTCGTGAGACGGCGGTCGTCGGAAAGCGGATAGAAGTATCGACGGCAGATTGGACTCTGGGCTTGTCTATTCAACAGGACGTCGATACCTGGGACGAGAGAATCTATCGGTGCAGCCACTGCGATAGACCCTTTCGAAATCAACCCAGGCTGGAAATGCACAATCGTGCCCATCACGACGGTGCCGTACAGATCGAAACGGACAAAACTCTGCAGCCGGCCACCAATACTGCTGACTACAAAATCGAAGAAATTGTGGTTGGTGGAGGCGATCTGATTCTCGAAACGACGCGTAAGAATGGAAAGAAGATGGGATATCTCGTGGGGTCGCCGGTACTTGGCTCTTCGTCGAGGGTCTTCCATACGATGCTAGGACGCGCTTCGTCCTTCAAGGAAGCCATCGATGTGCGAGGTGCGGCTATCCTCGGATCCCAGCCCGTGGTCATGCAAGTGGAAGACGACTCCGAGACACTTGGGCGGGTGTTGAAGGTGCTGCACCATCGATATGAATTGTCGAAGGAGGACATCAGTTTCGAGGACTTTGTACGAATTGCCGAGATCTGTCTCAGATACGAACTGCGCGTCCCATTACAAGCACTTGCAGATGGCCTTAAGGAGTCACTGGATCTGGAAAATATTGTGACAGTAGAATCCGGGTATGAGGACTGCGTGCTGATCGCAAATGTGTTTGGATACGAAAGGCTCTTCACGGTTGCTACAAAGGAGGCGATGATGTGGTCAACGAAGGGATCGTGTTTTGAGCAGAACCAAGGGCTCTCTACCTGCACACCTTGCAGCATCACCGATGAGATCTCGCCAGCTAGGGACCCCCAGAGTCGCCATCCACTAACCCGTGGATAGAAAGGTTGGAGCAGAAGCGTGCTGGCCTGGTGAACACCCTTCGGATGCACATCCAGACAATCCAAACGGAATGGAGTGATACCCCACCCAAACAGTGTGCACAGACGCAAAATAACATGCAATGTGTAGCTCTCGAGCTTAGGCAATTCACGATGTTCATCGCAAGGTACCGGCTTAACAAATCGGCAGCTTGGGAAGGACCTCTGGGTGAAATCTCAACGAGCCTTGGAAAAATCCCGCTGCTTTCCCTAGATTCCCATTTTACATGCGACTGTGTCCTGGCACTTCATAATCTTATAAGTTGTACAAAGATGAGTATCCGGGATCTGGAGAGTATCCAGGGTCTGGAGCTATCAGAGTTTCCCTCCCAGGGAAACTGACGGTTTACTAGTAAGTATCACCACCATCTTCAATCGTACCTAGCACATGCCACACCACAATAGCTCGCACTTCACAAAATATGAAGCTAATATCAGTACAGCTATTTTCTGCCATGTGACCTCAAGATTGGGCAGTAGACTACCTTCTTCTTACTGATGTCTATCGTATCCAAGCAAACGGTTCTCATCTTTTCATTTCGATTATTATTTTCTTTGGCCTCTATCTCTTCCTATGTAGCCATTTATGATCTTTTTCACACTTTAATTTTTCGGCGAACCGAGTACCTATGAGTAAGGGTTCCAGTCGACCTCGTACAATAAACCGTTCAGAGTTCCACCTAATGGACACTTCTAGCTGGAAATCTAGCTATGCAGGTCGCACACGATTAACGATTGGCAAAAAAGAAAATAAAAAACCTCCAGCCAGCTTAACCCTATGGCATCCAGTATTCTCATCCTTCAGACGTCATCTGTGGCATCTCTCGTAGCTCCCCATCTAATCCACCAGCCAGTCCCATCTTATCGGATCTTTCCATCTCCCCGTGCCACTTGATGGCAGACAACAGTTGCCCTAAGTGATAGATACTTTGTATGTTGCTTAGCGCCACACTCACCCGCAGCCCTTGAATGCTGAAAACGCTAGCCCTCAGAGCCCTCGGAGCCCTCGGAGCCCTCGGAGCCCACAAAACCCTCAACCCGCAGTCCACACGCTCACCATCTCTTGCAAATAATCATCACTTACCTATTACACCAAAGACGAAAAACAACCTTTACAACCATCAACAGTCGACAGCCACAAACCACGATGAACAACAACGATAACCCCCCCATTAGCCACGCCGCCGACGGCAATAGCTCCAACGACAAGCTTACTCCCGACGGCAAGATCACGAACGACAAGCTTACTCCCGAGGAGAAGATATTACAGATGCAGGTATGGCTTCAACCCCTTTGTTAGTATTACCGAAGTCTAACTCCCCAAAGCCGACCCTTGAGGCGCTGACAGCGCGCCGCCGCGAGGTTGCGAATGAGATGTGCCGGAGGGACGTCGAGCTTTCTGTCATCGAGAAGGCTCTCAATGTGAAGCTGCAGGAGCCGGATGCCAAGGAAGAGGATATACAGGCCTTGGTCAACGAGATTTCAATCAAGACGGAGGAATTCGACGAAACGATGGCCGAGTCCACTCGCGTCGGAGCCAAGGTCGAACGTATCAAGCTCGATATGTACAAGCTGGTTGTGGAGGCGGAGAAATTGGACAAGGAAAAGGCGGGAGAGGCTTAGCTGAGAGTCTGGTGCTGCCTCACAGTGTGTCCCCTGGACTGGTTACATGATACCTAGGCCAGCTATTGACAACACTTCCGAATACCAGTGTCCTTCATTCCTAGAAGTCCCTACTGCGTGAATAGATTGTGTAAACTATCTATAATCAGGAAGAGAATACAAAAGAAATCCCACACCCAATACCCTTCCACGACGGTCCTACTTCGCCAATACCATGCCCTCAAGCCTACGCCCCTCTTTCCGTGCCGCATCTCTCCCCCACCACCGCCGCAATCCTAGCAGCTCCCAGCTCCAGCTCTAGCTCACTTGTATTCCGGACGTTTTCCGCATTCGCTTTCCGCTCATCGATTCGGGAATCTAGCTCGAATTTCCGATAATAGACAAACTTCTCGAGTTGGCATTTCTGCCAGTCCCAAAACTTGCTCATGCCCGCCGGCTCCGCCCACACTCCGTCGACCTTACTGACAAAGCGGGTCTTCAGCTCGTCCTGCTTCGCTGCTGCCGCCCCCTGATATCTCTCCCGGACTGCCAGCGCTGCCAGGGCAATCTAAACTCCATCACACCCTGAACCTCTCAGGGATTCTCCCAAGCAAGCCTCCCAATACATGAGCGGAAGAGAATCTCTGAACAATCCTGAGCGGGTATTACAGCGAACGTAGTAATCGTCCGAATCTCACCGGCGGTTTTGGTGTCCTAAAGGTGTGTGTAGCGCGTATTTCGTGGTATCCAGTGAGAAGGGAGGTGAGAGGAGAGGGATCATCAGTCATATTTCGCATACAGACTGTCTTGACTGCGGTGAAGTGTCCTGTGGGATGAATCTCCAAGGGTTCTATCCGCAACAGAAACCGAGTGATGTTTTGGGGTATGGAAGGCACAACACCATGAGCTCTGGTCAGAGCGCCACGGGATCAACACGGTATACCTATATTACCACGCAGAAAGAAACTTTCTTTGTTGTATAAAGCTTGATTTGGGGGAGATATTCGGTGCGCGGGAGTCTGAAATGTACGTTTTGGTGTATTAGACGTCAGTGCTCCTCGATTTTCAACGAATCGAAACCGGATAAAGGGCGAAATTCAAGCGGACTCCTTGAGAAAGTCTCCCTTTTAAAGAAACTTAGTTATGGGATTAATCTTTGGAGTTGCAACGTAAGGCGGTTGAGAAATCACATTCTAGTTGAGCCGTCTTCCGCCGGCGGTAGCTGCTTCGTTAATCGCCTTACTAAAGAACAACCGATTGCAGCATTGCTGTTTCGCCATACTCGCGCTTACTCACGAGCCACGACCTCCGATGCTTGATCATCCGAAGCCACTCACTATTTCTCGCAAGACAGCCGATTGAAGCACTGCTAAATCATCCTATTGCGCCCTGTTCTCAACTACCGACGGCCGATCTTTCGAGGACTCTCATCATGACTCAAAGAACAGCCGATTTTCCAGCAGCTATATCGCCATATTCAACCATACTTTCCACATCGAGCGACTCTTGGGTCTCTGCCGGGGCCAGGGAAGGACTGCAGAGAGGACGCGGGAATCAGTGCATACTATCACGGTCTAGTAGCTACTGGGTCGCATGTAATCAACGATTAAACAAACAAACAATTAGTCGGTCGTTTTCTGAGCTCAGCCGCCGAACGGGTTAGATGGGTGCACTGCTGCGTTGCCCAATTAGTGCAACCCTTGATATCCAGCGCCTGATCGTTTGAGGACTCTCGTTATGGCTCGTAGAACAGTCGATTAGATAGGTAGGTGTATGTACCACTGCCGGCTGCAGGGCCATAGTTCCTCAGCCCTCTTGTCGATTCTCGGCCTCGGATCTTTCTCGGAAATCTCAACCCAGCTGCCCAATGGCAGTGGACTGCTGCTCCACTACATGGCAACCCTAAATCGGAGGCCTACTTTCCTTATTAAGTCACTTCAAGGTAATGTCTCAGTTCTATTTTTCTGGAGCTTTGCGCACTGATGATTGCCCGAACGGGAAGTAAACCAAATAGAAATAGATAGAGAATTGTAGAATTATCTTTCAAGCAGAGTCAAGTCTCAAGATGCCAAATGTAAAAAGTCCACCGTCACATATCGCAATGGAACCATTAGATACCTCTTAAGTGAGACATTACTATAGTAGTTTCGCATCCCCGCCAGTGTTTAGTATAATAATAGTATGCGATATGTACGTTTCGCGGCCCTACCAATATTACTCTATATATACTCAAATAAAAGTAAACATGTACTTGATTACAATGTACTTTCATAATGTATCTATTGGTCGCGGAAAAGAATTCGTGCATGGAAGGCGTGGGGCATTGGACAACGTAGCGCCACATGTCACTCCCCTTCCTATGTATCGAACGTGCCCATACCAATCAATGGAGGTCCAGCCACTGCCACCGTGCAAGGGTTCGTATGCAGTAACGTCAAGTACGCATGTGCTCACTGAGACCCATTCCTATGATGTGTCGCTCTGGCAACCAACCAATAGAGCCGCAACCAATGTCGCGAACTGAATGAGCCATCTATAGTCGGCACATACTCTAAAGCATTACTTACCCCACTTTTCGACTCCACATTTACGTATCAGCACTGCGAGTCCGTCACTAGGGAATCCGCGATCTCACAAGCTATCTACTGTAAAGTATATTTCGACATTCCAGACTTCCCCGGCGCAACAGATTACCCACAGATCCCTGATCATCTCAAGAAGATGTCTCACGCCCAGCCCAGGAAACGAGATCGAGTGCGCGCTTTCATCAGACGATCAAAATCACGAAACGAGAAGGCGGAACAGCATGCGATAGCAGATACCAGCCCGTCGGCGACGCCCCCTTCGACGGCGAATGCGTCCGTCACCCCAAGTCTGCTCGGTGGGGTGGTTGCTCCAAACACACCGACCACATCGCTATCGGCCGGAGCACCCTCGTCGTTGACGCAGCAATTTACACCATTAACGGAGTCCTCGGTAGCAGAAGTCCAATCGCGAGGCACAGTCACGCCTACGAACATCGAAGCAACCCCAACACTTCCGCCTGCACCGCTATCTGCAACGGCGACGACGAAGAACGAGGGGCACGTCCAGACTAGAAGGGAAGGGGACCCAATTCCGGCGGTTACTAGCAACCGGGATGGCGCTCCATCGCTGTGGAGCCGGGCGTTCTGCGGCAGCGAGCTATCCTCGCAGGACCTGTCGGATGAGGAGCGCGCAATGCTGGCAGGTGTCGGTATCAAGACGGAGACACCGCTCCAAATTGCGACTACCTTGAAGGCCATGACGGAGGGAATTTTAGATGGAAAAAAAGGAAAGGATTGGAAGATCCAGGTCGGCGGAGAAGAAATCGTGATGAGAGATATCGGGATAAAAGTCCTGCTATGGGTGGACAGGTTCAAAGAGATCGGCGACATTATCGTTCAATACGATCCGGGACATGCTGCACTGCCGTGGGCGGGGTTTCGATTTCTACTGAAGGTTCACTGACTTAGCTACCCACCAGTTGAAGCAAACAACTAGCTAACGATGGTTATCACAGCTCTGCTTAGATAAACAGGAAACGGCGGAAGCGATCTTGGTTGGACTTGAGAAGACCGCCTGCATCATTGACCGGTGCGCAATCTATGAGTTTCTTTATCTCGATGAAGCAACGGCGGGGTCGGTAAACCTAGAGAAATCAATGCTCCGACTCTACACCGCAATCTTAAAGTTCCTTGCCAAAGCGATCAAGAGATCGAAAGGTGAATATCCTTACCGGTCATTCACTATTAATGTTGCCACTAATCATTTTATCACCGCAGATAGCCATATCAAGGCAGTATTCACAACCGGAGAGACTTCCAACTATCTGAACGAAGTCAAGGACTTGGAAGAAACGGTTGAACGAGATGCCGCTGTCGCCGAAACTCAATGTATGCTTTCTGGCCATGCTGTGAAAAGTAGACAATATTGACGTTGATACGATACAGCTAAGCGGCTAGAGTCCGAGAACCTTCGAGCGCTGCTGGGCGATATCAACATAACGACCTCACGCCTTGGCCTTCAAATTTATGCCATACAAGAAAAAATAGAAGGTAAAATTGTTCACGTTATTCTTTCCGAAGTGGATCCACTTACACTGTGAATAGGTTCCAGGAGGTCCGAAATCTTGGGATGGGTGTCCACGATTCCCTACCTGGACCATCACAACCTGATCACGAATGCGCGTGTAGAGGGTACCGGCGATTGGCTCTTTCGCAAGAGGGAATACTCTGATTGGAGATCATCCAGCGTTTCGAAGCTGTTGCTATTGCGGGGAATCCGTGAGTCTACCTCCTTTGATGCTGTGCCTAGTTCCCGTCTGAGCGGTCCATCTAGCTGGAGCCGGCAAGACGTATATTGCATCAAGAGTCATCGATTCTTTCCGGGATTCGACGCCTGAGAGGCTTGCGTACTTCTACTGCAATCGGGCTGAGGAGAACCGCCGGCATCCGGAAAGCATCCTAAACACGCTAGTTCAGCAGCTTACCCAGACTTTTGAAGACAACACACTCCTAAAGCCGGTCGTCGATCTTTATGAAGACCGTACGAAAAAAGGCCAAACATCTTCGCGGCTGTGTCTAAGCGAAAGCCAGGAGCTCCTCGTTCAACTCACGGATATATATCCTCGGACGACTATTTGCATCGATGCATTAGACGAAGTCGAAAAAGGAGTCCGCCTCCACCTATTGAAGGCGCTGAGGTATGTGGTTGAACGATCAAAGAATTTAGTCAAGATTTTCGCAACTACCAGGATGGACCCAGACATCGTCCGTCAATTTGAGATGTTTCCCAGGATCGAATTGCAACCCGATGACAATGCCAGCGACATTAACCAGTTCGTAGAAACGAAGCTCCAGGAGACCATCAAGTATGGACTGCTACTTGGGGGGGAAGTTGACCAGGAGTTCAAAAAAGAAATATGCGAGGCCCTTTGCGAGCGATCCAAGGGAATGTAAGTTTTGCCATGGTCAGTTCAATTACTGAAGAACCGAGCACCTGACGACTGAATTTAGGTTCCAACTAGCTGCACTCCATATCACCTCCCTCTGTGATATGTCCACTCACAAGGATGTAAGATGCAGTCTCAAAGCCCTTCCGAAAACCCTGAAAGATGCCTATACCGAAATATACAGCCGCATTCTGGCCCAGGATGGCAGCGCTCCTCGGCTGGCGATCAATGCCTTTCGGTGGATTCAATCTTCGTACGAACCGATGGGATCAGAATCCCTACTGGATGCGATTACGGCGGAAGTCAGCAGCTCGGGTGAATTTTCCCATGATACGGTGCATGCGAGTGTCCTACTGAAAGCCTGCCATAACCTCATCATCTTAGACGAAGGCCTGAACGTTTTCCGGTTTGCACATCTTTCCGTGGACGAATACCTGGAGACCCAGCTACACAAGGCCGACTGTCATGCCGAACTCGGGAAAGTCTGCCTTTCACTGCTATGCACTTCGGGTGTTTGGCAGGATTATGACACCGCTGTGGGCACGACACTGGGCGACAGCCGTCGTCACCTATTGCTGTACTCGGCGATATTTTGGCCATGGCATTACTCTCGTAGCGAAGACGGCTGTCAGATCTTGACTAGCCTCTGGAATACATTCGTATCTAATGACAACTACAAGCGATGGCACGACTACCACCATAGCTGTGTCCGACTACCGTATCGTTCAAACGAACCTTATTGGTCTAGAATTAAGGCTTGGCAGCAAGAAGGCGAACAGATTCTTTCGTCGGTCTGCATATTTGGGTTATCACGAAAATTCCACAACATACTCAAGTCCAGGCCTCCAGGGAAGGCTCGCATAGACAGTTTGCTTCTGCCGGCGTGTAAATTTGGAGACGACGATATTGCCCGGCTGCTGCTCGTCGACGGGGGAGCCGCCGCCTCGGTCACCAACAATGACGGTTGGACGCCGCTACACTGTGCCTCGAGTAACGGGCACGAGGCGGTGGCCCGGCTGCTGCTCGTCGACGGGGGAGCCGCCGCCTCGGTCACCAACAATGACGGTTGGACGCCGCTACACTGTGCCTCAAGAAACGGGCACGAGGCGGTGGCCCGGCTGCTGCTCGTCGACAGGGGAGCCGACACCTCGGCCACCGACGATCACGGTTGGACGCCGCTACACTACGCCTCGTATTACGGGCACGAGGCGGTGGCCCGGCTGCTGCTCGTCGACAGGGGAGCCGACACCTCGGCCACCGACGATCACGGTTGCACGCCGCTACACTACGCCTCAAGAAACGGGCACGAGGCGGTGGCCCGGCTGCTGCTCGTCGACGGGGGAGCCGCCGCCTCGGTCACCGACAATGACGGTTGGACGCCGCTACACTACGCCTCGTATTACGGGCACGAAGCGGTGGCCCGGCTGCTGCTCGTCGACGGGGGAGCCGACGCCTCGGTCACCAGCAATGACGGTCGCACGCTGCTACACTACGCCTCGTATTACGGGCACGAGGCGGTGGCCCGGCTGCTGCTCGTCGACAGGGGAGCCGACACCTCGGCCACCGACGATCACGGTTGGACGCCGCTACACTACGCCTCGTATTACGGGCACGAGGCGGTGGCCCGGCTGCTGCTCGTCGACGGGGGAGCCGTCGCCTCGGTCACCAGCAATGACGGTCGCACGCCGCTACACTACGCCTCGAGTAACGGGCACGGGGCGGTGGCCCGGCTGCTGCTCGTCGACAGGGGAGCCGACGCCTCGGTCACCAGCAATGACGGTTGCACGCCGCTACACTACGCCTCGTATTACGGGCACGAGGCGGTGGCCCGGCTGCTGCTCGTCGACGGGGGAGCCGACGCCTCGGTCACCAACAATGACGGTTGCACGCCGCTACACTACGCCTCAAGAAACGGGCACGAGGCGGTGGCCCGGCTGCTGCTCGTCGACAGGGGAGCCGCCGCCTCGGTCACCGACAATGACGGTTGGACGCCGCTACACTGTGCCTCAAGAAACGGGCACGAGGCGGTGGCCCGGCTGCTGCTCGTCGATGGGGGAGCCGACGCCTCGGTCACCGACAATGACGGTTGCACGCCGCTACACTACGCCTCGTATTACGGGCACGGGGCGGTGGCTAAGCTGCTCCACAACCAACAGGCCACAATGAACTAGCCAACCCTCTAACTGCCCCACCTCTCTCCCTGTCACTCATATTCATTCATGCACACGAGGTTGCTTCTCGAATCTTCTACTGTCACGATATATTGGTTACATATTGACGTAAGCTGGGTGTAGTTGGAATTTTCTAGTCTTTCTTTCTATTTCTCTCTCACATCGGCAACTTTCATTCTTGTTGGAAAGTAATTGTATATCCTTTTGGGTGGAATTTGGACTCTGGAGTGACATGCGGTGGATCGGGAACGTGATTCTACAGTCTTGACCGTGGTGGGAGAGGAGGGATTGGTTCATGTGATTGGTACATAGCATGAACGGTTGGATATAAAGCCGTAGCTACTGGTCGAAGGAGTATAATTCTAATAACTGAAGATTTGAAATCGTGCGACGATGGATATCTGTGAGCCCGCTAAATACGATCGGTAGTAGCATTGTCCGGCTCAAAGAATGAAAAAGGTCCGATCAGAAAGAATGCCGAGAGGAAAATGTACTCTTCTTTACCTCCGGCCCTGGCTCTGGCTCCGGGTACGGACTACTCGCTGCTAAGCTTCACACAGTTGCGTTGCGCAAAGTCTTAGTGGTGGTTTACATAGTAGATTCTCACTCACCTTCTAGCCATAGTTCTGATCATGATATCGATATCAGTTCCTCCGCAAAAGCAGCATCATCAGCAGCAGCGCGGTCAAGCTCGGGAGCATCATCCGCTGGCAGCACTGGGTACGGTAGTAGGTAGTACTTGCCAACCCTAGTATGGGCTTCAGCGGCGGGAGCAGTTGAGCGCGAAGTTTTCTATCATCCGTCCCACCTCAGAATCGAGTCATGTCGCGCAAAGATGGCTGCTGTTGGCCAATCCGTGCCCGGGTCATAGATGTGAATTATCGCCCCAGCGCCTCCCCACACCCCCGTCACCCACATCGGTTGTTGATTCCACGGTATGTATGTAGTAGTGGTAGAGATATGTCGGCCGGGCGTGGGTGAGTTCTGCGATGCCTACCTTGTACTTGCCCATACATACCCGGACACCTCGGGACCTAACAGGAACATTAATCGTACGAAACTACAAGGTTGCAATGCACGGAGTCTCGTCCTGGCTGCGATACAGCTCCGATGTTTCACTTTATCACCACGCGGCGTTCTCAAGAGAGAGTGAACCATTCTTTCCGAATTGAGGGTTTGTGGTGTTTTGATGTAGAGTTTTGGTGGCTTGAAGTAACAGTATATGGTCCTTCGACTACATACCTACAATGTATGTACGTAAGTAGGTTTTGGTAATAGAGTAGAGTCAATAGTACTATATACGGGCCGCCATTTTGTTGTCTGCCATCCCGACTCCCGAAAGGTGCTATAATATGAGATAATACCCGATGAGATCGGCTTGTAGATTAGATAAACGCTGGGGAAGGCTACCGTAGGTCGGTAACATCTACGAAAAGAAGGATATCTACCGCTAATAAATAGTAGAGGCGATCGGGTTAGGCTACTTTAGTCAGAGACTCAGAGGTGCCCATTACTAGTACGTACCTAGATGGAGCCCTGAGGAGTAGATAGAATTATGACAACTTCATCATCCTCTTCATTCTCTGCGTGCCCATCTAGGTACGGGATACGACAGCCGTGCCGTGCTATTATAATCTACATATTTAGCAACAGTCAAACACCAGATTACTATACTGCCCTCGTGAGCTACTTTACAGTCCAGGCGCCCCAGTTCATCCTTCCGTTGTGGAGCAATTCTAGAGTGGCGTGGTAGAGAAACCGTTGCGTGCAGTACCACTTCTCCTCCTACAACTACAGTAGAGTGATACTCCTCCCCGCCCAAGAAAACCAGCAATAGTTATCCTCTCCAAAACAACAATCCGCAAAACAACCATTCCAACAAGACAGAAAGTACTCACGCAAGAAACCGAACCCTCGCCAACCTGCCGCCAACAGGCCAAGTAGAGTACCTACCTCCTATAATAGGCACGCCACCAACCCAACCAGCCCCGGCCCATATCAACCTCACTACCCGGTACTCTATTTCGTCGACTCCCCTAGGTAGGCATCATCATCGCCGGTTCCTTACAGCATCCGAAACCGGTCTTTAGCAAGCGCAGTCGTATGGGTTTCGTTAAACCGTGATATCGGTATCACTCCGACGCGGCGCCGGCAGCCCACTCGTTTTCATTCATATTTCAGGCTTGCGTTTAATATAGTACTCTTGTCCGAGCCCAGCTGCCAGTGGCCACTCGCGCTCCCAGGCTCCCAGGCTCCAGTGCTACCTATAGGCTATTCATTCTTGCGTCGGTATGTGGTACCTTAATCCGATTCTTGGAATTTCGTCGTCGATAACCAGAGTAGAGTACTGCATCAGTAGGTAAGTACTTACTTCAGTACCTACCAATTTCTCAAACCGCGCGTGGGTATAAAGTAGAGTACGCAAGTTATACACACACCCACGGTCAGATCGGCAACCTGCTCGTCCCGAAACCCCCAGGCTCTGCTCAAATCCCCGCGATGCCCAGAGCACACTGCGAATCGCGACCGCACCAAGGACTAACACGGTCGTCAGCTGCGACGCATAGGCAGGTATTTAACCCAGAACAATAGTCGCCAAGTCCGATCCGCCCACGTGAACACGATGCTGTTTTTGTGCTTGCATTTCTCAGCACGGATCATTATTCATCTATTGGAAGTAGTAGCTACTAATCTACCTACTCTATATCTATGTAGTTGGACATATCCGTTAAAATACACACTTCATACTTCATACGCCGTAAAGCCAGTATAAACAAACACCCCGTAATAAAATTTACCACCGCTCCTGTTCTTGCTCACCGCTGCTGCTCCTCCTCCTGCTGCTCCTGCTCCTCCTCCACCGCCTTCTCCTCCGCCTCATCCCTCCTCCACCTACCAAACACCTCCCTAAACCCTCCCTTCCCCTGCACCTTCACCTTCCCCTCCACTTGCACCTTCCCCACACCAGCACCGCCCGCATCACCAACACCGCCAACGCCGCCAACACCCCCCAGCTCCACCAGCGGCCGCATACCCACCCTTCCATGGGCACAAATGAACGGCCACCTACAGTCCGCCAGTCTCGCAACCAGGGCTGTACACTCCTGCAGCGTCAGGGGGTCATTAAACATGACCGCGCCTCTGCACGCCCTGGAGTTGGCCATTTCCCGCAGCGGCGCGGGGATGCGCGCTAGGTTGCGGAACCAATCCCCGTCGCCGCCGTCTTCGTCGGTAGTGGTGGTGGTAGTGGTGGAGGGCGGAGGAGGTGGATGTTCCTCAAGGTGGTAGCAGTGTTTCCGCAGCAGCTCGATAGCCAGAAGCGGCTCAGCATTGCAGCGATCGCGAGCGACGCGCGGAAGCGTGTGGACGTGTACTCGGCTGTCACGGCCGGCGGCAACATCCACATCGTAGGCGATTCCCCAGCGGGAAAACTCCGCTTGGTAGCGGAGGAGCAGTGTGGCGTCGCGCGGGGTGATGGTGAAGATTAGCGGATTTTGCGTGCGCTGTGTGGGGTCTGGAGGAGCGGATGAGCCGGCGATCAGCTCCTGGAAAAGACGCTCGACGCGGATACGCTCGGAGGCGGCGTGTTGGTCGATTATTACTAGTAGTTGTGGCAAGGAGGTGCCCGAGGTGGAGGTACCGTCCATTTTGATCAGGATGTATTTTTGGTCGACCTGCGAAATTACGGTTGCTGTGCGGAGGCCGGCTTTAGTCAGTTTTCCGAGGCGCTGGAAGGTGCTGCTGTTGAATGGTTCTGAGACGCCGTGATGACAGCTGTGGCCATGGACGGAGGGTTCGAGTGAGACGGAGGGGATGGGAGCTTCGGTGGGTGGGAAGGCCGGGTTGGTCCATTTGGCTTGGATCTTTTGGAGAAAGTCATTGACTGGTTGCGAACTGAATGGTTTGCGTCTTTTTTCCGCAAGCGAATTGGGTTGGGTTGGGAATGTCGCGGAAATTGGTCGCTTCGTGCCTGCAGCAGATGGAGTTGTGCGTAGGCTGGTATTGCCCGTTCGCGTATTGACTTCGTAGGTCTTTCCGGATCTCGGGTCGGTCCAGTCAATCAATTCTACGGGTGCAGGTGTCGGCGTGTCACTAGGAGTACCTCTGCATGACATACTTCTATTGCTGCTGAGCCCCTTGTTTATCATCACGGATGGCTTCTTTTGATTTGTAGTATTTTTGCCCTCCGTCTCTTTGGCGTCGGGTCTGGCTGCTTTCACCCTGTTCCAGTTCGCCAGTTGCATCAGCCGTGGCGCTGCGGTGGATGTTGCTGGTTCACTTCGTCTGGAAGCAGGCGTGCTTAGTCTCGGATGTGCTTCGTCACTCGGCTCTGGTGCTTCCGAAGAAGATCGAGATCCCCTTCGAGAGTCCTCCTCTACCCTCCTGAGGGTGGGTTTGTAATGGTGCGCCTTGAGGAACTCGCAAACCAACCGCTGTAGCAGCTGGATCACCGACCGCAGATTCTAATCCTGTCAGCCCAACTCCCGGTCAAGGTGTTGATAAGCTCCTACCTCGCCCTCGACACCAGCCTTGCCATCGGTGCCCCCTTCTCCCCCCATAGCGGCTGTACCATCCCTGTATTCGATCCGTAGCACATACATCCCATGTCGATCCACGCTCTTCCGCGTACCTCCTCTCCTCAGCGTACCCTTCGCGTCAACATCCTCGACGATCCCGAACCCCGAGCCAGCAAAGATCCGATTGACCTCTCTGTGCAGTTCCGTCTCGGTGAACACCAACGGGAACCCATTGAGCGCAAGAAACTGCACCGCCTTCGAGCCGTAGCCCGTCCTACAAATCCACCCCTCAATCCTGACCCCATTCTGTCTCGCCTTGACATTTTCCCACAAGCCAGCCGCGCCAAAGACCTCGCCACCAAACACCTGCCGCAGTACCACCAGATCCCACGGCCCAGCACACGCTTTCCTCCCGCCCTTAACCGTCAGCCTCCTCGCACCACTCTCATCCCTCACCACGACGCCCACGCCCCTCGCCCTCCCGCTCACCAACAGCGCACAAACAACCTTGATCACCTCGTCCCACTCTCTTTCCACATCCCTGCCCTCCCTCGCCTTGAGGCGCACCGGCATATCGCCCCACAGCCCCTCGACCCTAACCGTGGTCCCGCTCGCCTCCAGGGCGGCATACTCCGCGGGCACGCCTTCAAACACCTTCTTCCCATAGCACCACCTCACCTGCCTGCTGGACCTCCAGCCCTGCGCGCGCGACGTGACCGAGAGGTTCGAGTGCATCGCCAGTGCCGCGAGGGCTTCGCCACGAGATCCAAAGAACCGCGCGTGCGCCGGGAATTTCGAAGTGGCGTAGAGCGTGCCCAGCAGCGGAATGTGCTCCGGGGGTATGCCGTGCCCGTTGTCGCTCACGGCGAATGAGGGGCGCGTGGGGTTGAGCGTGAGGGAGAGCTCGGTGGCGGAGGCGTCGAGCGCGTTTTGGAACACCTCTGAGATCGCCAAGGAGAGCGTGGGGAGAGTTAGACTGCTGCGGAGACGAGATATCGCGGAGGCGGGGAGAGGGACGATCGCGCGTGGAGGGCTGGGGGTCGACATTGCATTGCGTGAGTGGGCGGGAGAGGTGGATGGTAACTCATACATGGCAGGAGCTGGTGCACTCGAGCTCAGGGAGTGCGTCATGGAGCAAGCTAGGATACCCTGGCACGTGCATGACTTCGCGGTTCATCACTCGGTCGATAGTGATGCAGCCCCAAAACGCCGGAGCGGGGTTTACGGTGGTAGCTTGGAAGAGTGAGTCGCAAGGCGTTCTGGTGATTTTATTATCGCCCATTGACACAAGACCATCATAGTGACTACACGAAATTGGAGTATGAGTGTACATACAGCTTGACTTCTTGCCGCCATTTCTACTGCTTAATATCAATGTTCTTGAACCCCCTTGCCGTCTGCTCCACCGCAATCTCAACCGGCAACCTCTCCAAGCTGCTCGCACCAAAGAACCCCTTCACACCCGTCGTCCTATTCAGCACGAACTCGGCGTCTTTAATATCCGCCACCGGCCCTCCATGAACCAACACGATAGCCTCATCCTGTGCCTCCCTGACAACCGCCCTCACAGCATCCGCCATCTCCTGCACCACAGCCACGCACTCCTCGAGCCTCAGCGCCGAAGTCGCACCGATCTTCCCCTTCGTCGTGAGTCCCAGATGAATGACGACGATGTCCGCCCCCGCCTCCGCCATCATGACCGCCTCCTCAGGCGTAAACACATACGGGGCAGTCAACAATCCCAGGCGGTGGGCCTCAGCGATCATCTCTACCTCGCCCGCGAAGCCCATTCCCGTCTCCTCGAGATTCAGCCTGAAGCGGCCATCATACAGCCCCACAGTGGGAAAATTCTGCACTCCACAGAACCCCATCTCCCTGAGCTGGCGCAGGAAGCTCGGAATGTCCCTGAACGGGTCCGTGCCGCAGACGCCGGCGAGAACGGGCGTGTGCGCCACGATCGGGAGGACTTCGGACGCCATGCTGAGCAGGATTGCGTTCGCGTCGCCGTACGGGAGCAGTCCGGCGAGCGACCCGCAACCTGCCATCCGGAACCGCCCAGAGTTGTAGATTATTATCAGGTCGGTCCCCGCCGCTTCGAGGCATTTCGCGGTCAGCCCGATGCCGGCGCCGGCCCCGAGAATGGCTTTGCCGCTCGAGATGGTCGTCTGAAGCCGCGCGAGGGCTTCGGTGCGGTTGTGTGGGCGGGGCATTGCGGGGATCGAGTGGTGTGGAGTGGGATTTGGGTGTGTTGTGGTTAAGGAATCCACTGGTGGTCGGTCGAGCCGATTATGTGGAGTGCCCTAACTACACCTGATCTCGCCTGCCGGCTGATGCGCGCGGAGAAGGCCGCAGCTATCTAAACGAACTACATACCGATATCGGTATGCACACCAATAGCGGGGAATGGGTCACTACACGATCTGGAGTGAAAGCAACATACGATGGGCAGAAAGAAAGCCGAACCTAATAGAGGGAGCCGAGGCGGATGAGGACGGGGGAGACGAGAATAACAGGGAGCAGATGGAGAGATGCATCCATACGGGGCTCGATGACATAGCGGATACATAGGGAGCGGCCCGGCGGAGCTGCGGAGCGGCGGAGTGACACCGGATTGAGACTGCACGCCACGATGTATCTGCTCTGGTATATGCTTCCGAGTCTATTCGACAAGCTCCGAGGTTGAGTGATGGCCAAAACACCAAGACGCCACGTGACAGCCGCTCACTGGGCCAGTTGCGGCCCCGCCATATCGCCGACGACGTGTCGTGAGTTACATTTTGCTTTCCTTCTATAACCTATCATTACCTTCCTTGGCACGCGGAATGCGTGGCATAGGCTCGCATCCGGCCGCTCCTGCGGGCCGACAGCGAGGCCGGTCTAGTTAAAACGCCGGCATGTACTGAGACAGCTTACAGCTCACAGCTCAGCTACAACACCACCACCACATTATGCATCGCCTCATTGATATCGAACCTTAATGCCCATTCAGCTTGCCGCTTCCCACAACCCCAAGAACAAGCAAATAGCGACATCGCCCTCCCCCGTCCCTCATCCCCCAGCTTCCATTCCCATCCCATCTCCTCAACCTTCCGTCCATCTCTCCCCACCCCATCGATCTCACCACGATGGTCCTCGCCGCCCTCCGTGACCTCCTCAGCGATGAGGAGTTCTCCTACCCCATAGAGCCCTCCATCATAATCTTTGGCACATGCGACACCAAGCTCCTGCCGCTGCTAGAGCTGCGCAGCCTCCTCTCGCCACACCACCGCGTGCTCCTCGCCGACGTCGGCCGCACGCCGACCCTGCACACGCTCATCGACATCCCACAATCGAGCATCATCCCGTCTGGCGTGGAACTCTCGCACCTCCCGCGCAACGAGCTCGTAACCCTCATTTCCACCCACCTCACGACGCGGCTCTCACAACTCTACACCGCGGGGACAATCTCGGCGGCAATCTCCCTCGGCGGCAGTTCGGGCACGGCGCTCGCCGCCACCGCCATGCGCGCCGCCCTGCCCATCGGCTTTCCAAAGCTAATCGTGACGACCATGGCGTCAGGCGACGTCTCGCCCTACGTCGGCGACAGCGACATCACGCTCATGCCGTCCATCGTCGACATCGCGGGGGAGAACCACATCCTCTCGCAGATCCTGCGCAACGCCGCCGGCTGCATCGGCGGTATGGCCGCCGCCGCCATCTCCGCCGCCAACCCCAACCCCAACCCCCGCGCAACGAAGCGTGTCGTCGCAATCAGCATGTTCGGCATTACTACACCCGCAGTCGTCGCCGCACAGCGTGCCCTCGAGGAGAACGGCTTCGAGGTTCTAGTCCTGCACGCGACCGGTTCGGGCGGACGAGTGCTGGAGCGACTAGTGCGCGAAGGGCGGGTGGACGGGGTGCTCGACATCACGACGACAGAGATCGCGGACCTGTTGTGCGGCGGGGTGCTCTCTGCCGGCCCTCAGCGGCTCATGGCCGCCGCGACCAGGGGCGTCCCGCAGATTGTGAGTGTCGGCGCCACGGATTGCGTCAACTTCGGCCCGAAACAAACGCTGCCCGAAGAATGGAAGGGCAGGACGATATTGGAACATAATCCGACCGTCACACTGGTTAGGACTAGTACAGACGAGTGTAGGCGTATTGGAAGGCATATCGGCGAGACCCTGAGGAAGGCGGATGCCGAGAAGGGGAGGACCGAGGTGTGGTGTCCTGGCCGCGGGGTGAGTACCATCTCGGAGGAGGGGGGTCCGTTCCAGGATTTTGAGGCGGATCGGGCCCTCGCCGAGGAGCTGCAGAAGAGCTTGGGTGATGTCGCGTTTAGACATTTTCCGGAGGTTGCGCTGAATGATGAGAAGTGGGGAAGGGAGATGGCGGTGAGGTTGATGGAGATGATGGGGGCTGCGAGTATATAGACTTTGCGAAAAGCATGGGCCCGGGCTGTCACAGTAGGAAAAGCTTCGGGCCGAAGGGAGCAAAAGATTGATTGATTCAGCCGGGATTTGAACCCGGGTCGGGCGCAGAATGCTGGTGGCAAGCGCCCATGATACCCCTACACTACTGAATCGGTGATTTATATTACTCCTATGCCAAATGGCGATTACATAGTGTCTCAATGAGTGAACTGGTATCGATCGGCGAGACTATGACGTTGAACTTTTCCTCCCCACTTCTCCGCTGTTCCGGCTACCTACATCACCATTCCTCCCCACCACCTCCGCCAACCACCACCCACTCTCCACATCCACCACATCCACCGTATCCACCATGTCGTCCAACTACTCCGTCTCCAGCACGACCACCGTGTGTCCGCCCTCCTCCCCTCCCTCGCAATCCCGCTAACGTCCCAGCTCTCCAACGGCCTCCCCATTCCCTTAATCCACCTCGGCGTCTACGAGTCCGAGGGGCCCGCATGCGTATCCGCGGTAGTCTCCGCTTTGACCCTGGGCTACCGCGGCATCGACTCGGCGGAATGGTACGAGAACGAGTCTCTATGTGGGGACGGTATCCGGTCGTTCCTATCCTCGCACCCGCAGCACTCGCGCGAGGAGATATTCTACACCACGAAGCTGCGCGATAACGGCGGGTATGAGCATACCAAACAGGCGATACGCAAGAGTCTAAGCGAGTGTGGGCTGGGTTATATTGATATGTACCTACTACATGCGCCGTATGGGGGGAAACAAGTGAGGAGGGAGTGTTGGCGTGCGGTTGAGGAGGCGGTCAAAGAGGGGTTGGTCAGGACCGCGGGGGTGTCGAATTTTGGGGTCGGGCATGTAGGTTTTCCAGTGATGGGGGTTGGGGGCGGGCTAGGGAGGGGCAAGGCTGATGAACGGTAGTTGCGCGAACTCATAGCGGCGCCAGACCTTGCACTCCGGCCGGCGGTCAACCAGATCGAGCTGCACCCGTTCAACACGCAGCGGGAGATCGTCGAGTTCTGCCGGGCGGAGGGGATCGTGATCGAGGCGTACTCGCCGCTCGTGCGCGGGCTCAGGTTTGAGCATCCGGTGATCGTCGAGTTGAGCAAGAAGTATGGCTGCTCGCCCGCGCAGCTGCTGGTGCGCTGGGGCCTGCAGAATGGATTCGTCGTCCTGCCAAAGAGTACTAAGCAGGAGCGCATCAAGGAGAATGCCGAGGTGGCCGGGTTTGAGATCTCGCAAGAGGACATGGATAGGCTTGCGAACTGCCATGAGAAGTTGGTTACTGGTTAGTGCTTTCCCCCGGATCATCCCCCGTGAATAGCGCTGATAGGGACAGATTGGGATCCGACGGATTGCGAGTAGTGGATGGGATGGATGAGGTGGATTAGGCGAGTGACGGTTGTTTGTACATACTCTTCCTCTTCACAAGTAGCTCTATCTACATGTCTACGTCCGCAACAGTGTCCGCAACAGTGACTACACCAGTGTCCGCACCAGTGTCCGCAACAGTGTCCGCAACAGTGCCCCACGCCCTGCCGCCCACCATCTCATCAGCCCACCGCTTCGCCTCCTCCTTCTCCATGCCACCCCTAACCAGCAGCGTCTCGACAACCTCTCCCCCAAACCTCTGTCCCACAATCCCCGTCCCATCAACCCCGTTAACCTCCTCAACCACACCCTTATCCGCGACCACCTCACCCACGGGCAAGCGCATCGTAAACTTCGGCGTCTGCCCATAAACCCACTCCTGGCTCTCCATCTTCCTCACAGCTTTCATTACCAGCTCCTTCTCCATGGCCTCTTGCTCCCCCACCACCGCAATCCCAGCGTTCCCATAGAGGGTAGCAAACTCCTCCACCGCAGCACTGACAAACTCCTTCGCGTCGACGCCAGTATTGGTGACGGGACTGGGCACACTCGCGACGCCCCTGGCCGTGATCACGTCCTTGGCCGGACACTTCAACAGCTCCTTGACCCTATCCAAATCCGTCGAGAGCAGCATCGTGCCATGGTGATAACTCCGCAACCTCGTGAGCTTATACGCCGATCCGGACACCTTCCTACTCCCCTCGACCTCTGTATCAATCTTCTCCTTGAGCTTCTTGGTCACCTTGCCTTCGGGCAGCACCACGATATCGTGTCTCGCATTGACCGCGGCGCCGGCGACGCCCAGCTGCCGCAGCACACGCACCATGAGCTTCGCATGCGTATCGCGGTTAAACTCCGCGGTCGGCACAGTGACGGAGTAGTTAACGTTGCCCTGGTCGTGGAACACGGTGCCGCCGCCGCTGAACCGGCGGAGCAGGTGGACTCCTGGCGTGCGCAGCACGAGCGAGTGGTGCGTCTCCACCCATGGGTTCTGATTTCGGCCGAGGATCAGCGCGGGCGTGTTGATGTACACCAGCAGTGTCCGTGTCGTCTCCGGTAATGACGTGAATAGGTAGTTTTCGAGCGCGAGGTTCAGGTGCGGGCTTTGGGAGAGCGATAGGTAGATCTGCGTGCTGATTGGAGAGGTCAACAGCGCGCTGAAGGTGTGGGTTGGGCGTAGGAGGCCTCGCGAGGGGGACATCGTGGGATCGATCGGCGGAGGTGGGGTGGGGGATTGTGTGGGAGAGGTGGGAGTGGGAAGTGGTGGGGCTGAAATTGCGGATTATTGGAGGGATTAGGCGATGTGCGCAGGAACACGCATGCGGATTAGCTCGGGTGGAAGCCGTGGCGGATAATTGTTCGCGATCGATCGATAAAGCAGGCGACCACGACGGACGGCAGAGAATGGAGATTGGCGGCATGAGTGCGAGAGTTTCTCCGGTAGAGACAGAATTGCGGTCGATAGCGGAAGATGACTGTTGCGCCGAGTCAGACGGCCCCGTAATGGTCTGTCGGTCGATCTTATGTGCGGCGGGCGAGACGAGACGGGCGGATGAACAGAAACGCGGGGCAATAAAAACCCCCACCAAATCCCATCGACAGCACTCCTGACTCACAAACCCACCTCCATCTCCCTCCTCACTCTCAATCGCCATTTCCGACTCCCACCACCACCACTAAACAAACATGTCAACCTTCGGCACCTCTTTCCGCGTCACCACGTTTGTGTTCCTATTCAGAATTGTCCTCAGCCGCACTAACACTCTCTCCCCCCAGCTACGGTGAATCGCATTGTCGCTCCGTGGGATGCATTGTCGACGGTGTTCCCCCGGGACTTCCTTTGACAGAAGCCGACATCCAGCCGCAGTTGTCCCGTCGCCGTCCCGGCCAAAGCGCGCTTACCACTCCCCGCGATGAGAAGGACCAGGTGCAGATTCACAGTGGTACTGAGTTCGGCTACACTCTCGGCACTCCCATCGCTATGATGGTGCAGAACCAGGACCAGCGGCCACACGACTACTCCGAGATGGACCTCTACCCGCGTCCGTCGCACGCAGACTTCACCTACCTGCAAAAGTACGGTATCAAGGCGAGCTCGGGTGGTGGCCGTAGCTCGGCGAGAGAAACCATCGGTTTGTTTCCCCCAGAAGCACCGACGGGATGAGACTGAGCAGTGTACAGGTCGTGTCGCCGCCGCCGGTATCGCCGAGAAGTACCTGTCGCTCACCCACAACACCACTATCACCGCCTTCGTCTCTAGCGTAGGACCCATCCACCTCCCGCTCTCGAAGACCCCCGACTCCCCCGACTACCACGCCTTCCTCGCCTCCATCACCCGCGAAAAAGTCGACTCGTTCCTCCCCGTGCGCTGTCCCGACGCCGAGAGCAACGACCAAATGGCGGACCTGATCGCGAGCTACCGCGACAAGAAAGACAGCATCGGCGGCACGGTGACGTGCGTGATCCGCAACGTGCCGATTGGGCTCGGCGAGCCGTGCTTCGACAAGCTCGAGGCGAAGCTCGCGCACGCGATGCTGTCAATCCCGGCCACCAAAGGCTTCGAGATCGGCTCCGGCTTCGACGGCACCGAGATCCCCGGCTCGGTGCACAACGACATGTTCGTGCCGCACCCGTCCAACCCCGGCGCGCTCGCCACCTCCACAAACTACTCCGGCGGCATCCAGGGCGGCATCTCGAACGGCCAGGATATCTACTTCCGCGTCGCCTTCAAGAGCCCCGCCACTATCGGCGTCGCCCAGCAGACCACAAAGTACAGCGGTGAGCAGGGCACCCTCGAGGCCAAGGGCCGCCACGACCCCTGTGTCGTGCCCCGCGCCGTGCCGATCGTCGAGGCGATGGCCGCGCTCGTCATCATGGACGCGCTGTGTGTGCAGCAGAGCCGTGAGGCGTGCCGTAGTGCGCTGCCGCCGTTGAAGCAGCCTGCTGGCCTCAAGACCAAGGAGGTGCAGGATGGCAGTGAGAGGATCCCCGAGATTGAGGGGAAGGGACAGGGAGAGGTTTTCGGCGACGAGTAGGGGAAAAATAAGGATTGCGTAGGAATCAGTGTAAAAAAACTTGATAGATATGGGATTCACTCACACTGTAATTTGTACCTTGAGTTTGACTTCGGATTCGCAGTGGCTGTTGGTTATCTGTGGGTCATCACGTGCCTGCTTGCCGATCCTATTCTAGATTAACCCGGTCAAGGCGGCATTAGTTGATATCTTCACCATATCTCCCGCCTTGTATCAAGATTCTCTCTCGCCTTTAAGCAACCCACCTCATCTCCCATCTCGTATAGTGACCGGTTCACAATCACGAGTGATGATACGTGAATCCGTAGGACCACTTCGGAAGCTAGTAATTTACTGGTATACTTTCCGTGAATTCTGCCCTTCTCCAGTCTCCACAGCAGTCTTCACATACTTTTCTCTGAGCTCTCCAAGCCGATCCCACACGCTTGGAGCGAGCGAGCGAGTGCGGAGTCGGTTGTGTTCAACTTCCAAGCCCCTCGGGCCCTCAATATGGGATCGGATCAATTAGTTTGTGCTCATGGCAGGAATATTCAAATACTCCAGAGTCCAGGGCTAGTCTAGCGAGATCTTTCTAGCCAGGTTCATGTGATTTATTCACCCAATGTTGTACCTATCACATTGTCGACGATCGCATGGAGGCGGTTTCTGCTGACACCCCTCCATCATACCTATCTCGATGCTCAACACGTTGTAACTAGTGGGCGCCGCTTGCAGTCCCATCGGGCATCTGCTCAATAGCTTCGTGGTAGACAATACATGTAACCTGTGCTCCATCTGCATCATCTTCCCCTCGACGGTGCAAAGCGCTGAAGCCGGTATATCCTTCCTTTCAAACCTGCAAGACACTCTCCTCCGGGAGTCCTCCTCAGCTGAAGCAATCCATTCGGGTTTCGTACATAACTATTAACTACTCCATTGCTCTCGAAAGTATGCCAATTTCATTTCCGGAATCGGTAGAACAAACACGTGGTAATCAACAGAATGGATTGTGTAGGGTTGAAACTTGAAGGATTGCGGTGATGTCGGCTAGCCACATACGGTACTTAGTTCAGCCCAAAATTTCAGAAACTGGCAGTCCGTGGCGGCAAAATCTTAGACGGGCTGACTTCACACCACCCTCCAATTTTATAGGCTGGAGTAGGTATTAGGATCACTGGATAGGCGCGATGGAGCGTAAAGTAGACGCACAACGGACGGGTGGATTCTCACCTGCGAAAAATTCAACAGCCGTGCCGTGGCTCGTGGGATTGTAGGTGCTGAAGCCATGAGCGAACTAGGCGGGTATTCAAAGGCAGTGCTACCGCGTATTCAAGATAATGGGAGTGATATGGTATCAACACGGTCAAAATAGTTTTTGTGCCCTGATACAATATCAATTGGGTGTAGAAAAGGTATGCGTCCTGCGGGAAACAAAGTTTTTATTACCTCCACTAACGCCCAGCTCGTAATCGTTGGAATGAATTAAATACGACCATCTACTGTAGATCATGGAACATATACCCAGGTACACACATCATTCCTGTCTGCAGTCTCGCTTTAGCGCGAATGCGCTTAAGTGGGGCGGGCGCGGCACAGCGCCTTCGCCTCGCGCGTCCTCCACCTGCGTGATCGCACCAACACTCCCATTTTCTTCAAGATGCGGTCGCACTACCTTTTATTTTTACCCTCCTCGCTATACAGTACACTCAAGAAAGACCCGTTGGCGTAAATTTAACGCCCCAAGTAAGCACGAAATGACTAAACGCGTTTCTCCATAAAACAAGACAGAACAAAATAAGGCGGAATCGGCTGGCATTCGTCGCGGCATGAAAGGCTATAAACAATCAAAGCCTGAATTAGGGAAGTAAACTTAGCAAGAGAAAAAGGAAGTGAAAATGCAAAGAGATCCGCCAGTTTCGAGCGCTTTGGAACAGTGTCCCATTGATGTCGATCTACCATATCAACGACGAATCTCTGCACCAGTAGTGTGAGGACTGCACAACACCGACGCGGACGACAAGGCGCTCTGGATTGCAGCTGGTAAGTCATCTGGATCATCGCAACAGAAATCAGGTGGAGTACATACCTATGTACCAGTAGAAGACTATCTGTGACTCCTTTTGTTGGAGGGAAATTCCGTAAGTGTTAGGCCCTTGTTAGATGATATAAGGTTCTTCACGAATTCTTTAACACCGGGTACCCATGAGCAGTCGGAATGGTTGTCGGGGTATAAATAGACCCGAATTCTGCCACGCTGTTGGAAATTGTCTGCAGACTGGTGGCGCGTATGCTTTTTTCATCCGACAAGCCGCAGCGATCAAAAGTTCCGACAAACGCCCCTAGCTGAAGGTATTCGCATTCCGCCTGACGCCGGGATCTAATGCACCTCGAGATTGGCCTCACTTGTCCGGGACGTATGGAGAGTCGCGCGCGGACTGCCCGTATATGTGACACGAATTTGTCCATGAGAGCTTTCCATGATTCCATGAGTTTTTCTAGCAGAAGGTAAACGGTCAGCGATCGCGTTGGGGAAAGGGACCCTTGGTACCTAGGAAAATACATACCCGTCACCTTCTGCGGGGTGTGGATGTGGATGCTAACGTAGAAGGACGAGGTAATGGGTATGTTGGAGAGAATGATGTATTTTGACACCGCCGTGAAGATGGTGTCATATCCGAAAACATATGAAATCAACAACCATTCGATGTTGTTATCGAACTGTAAAATTCTCTGTCCTATCGGCAGGAAGAACCTGTCCGCGACGGGCTGCAGACTCGGCGAGCCGACGGAATGCCACAGTCGTGTGTGCTCGACGAGTCTTTCCCGGGTCACGAACGGCCTGCCGCAGTGGCAGCGAAAGATGGCCATCTCCCAATCTTCGATCCATGAATCGTCAACCGGCGCGAGGTTGTGCTCTTCTTTCCTCTCGAGCACGACGTCCGTCTGAGTCTCTAAATCGCGAGTGCTAAGCGTACGCTCGGTCGTAATGTCTATCCGTGCCTCGGAACCGTGGGCATCGACACCTGTAGGTGTGCCCGTAGTAGTCTCACTGTCCGAGTCGCCGGGTGCAACAGGCGCGACGGTTCCTCCTCTATCCTTCGAATCGACGGGTACAGCCTGTGTGCCCATACCAGTCTCACCGCCCTTGTCGCCGAATGCAACAGTCGCGACAGTGCCTCCTCCATCCTTCGAATCGATGGGTACAGCCGGTGTGCCCATAGCAATCTCACCGCCCGATTCGCCGGATGCAACAGTCGCGGCAGTGCCTCCTCCATCCTTCGAATCTATGAGTACAGCCGGTGTGTCCATAGTAGTCCCCAGGCCTGGCAACCGTCCGTTCAGTCCGTCCTGGGCTATGCCCCGGAAGGGGCTGGGTCGCCGGGCCCTAACAGTCTTCCGTCCGAACAGACCATTCCCATACCTGGTAGTCCCACCGCCCGAGTCGCCGGATACAACCGGTGCGACAGTGCTTCCTCCTTCATCCTTCGCATCTATGGATACAGCAGGCATACCGATACCGGCGGTAACTTCGGTTCTCGTCGAGCCCGCGCCGTCCGTCTCAGCGAGGACCAAGGTCAAATTCGCTGTGGCTTCATGGGCCGATTCCAAGCTGTCTGCGATCACGATTGCTGCATTCGAACTGTCTCTTACCGCCACACAGGGTGTTGGATTCGTATCGTCCGACAGCGGAGCTAGCAGGAAAGGTTGGGAAGTTGGTGGTCGCCCAAAAGTAAAGGCCATATGCGACAATAAATTGATTTCCTCTCTCTCTCTCGTATCGTCCGACATCTTGTACGCTCACGTCCGCGGTGCTGTTCCGATGCAGGTGGTGAGAGTGAAGTGGGGTGGACGGATGCGAGGTGAAGCAAGGGAGAAGAGAGGAAAGTCAAATATATGCCTGATGCTTAGGGCGCCAGGTACATATCATATGGGCGAAACGTGATATTCGCATGCTTAAGCGCCGGCACAGCTGTGGGCTCACCCACTCAAACTCACCCTCGAGACGACGACGATTGGGTGTGTCACAATCGCCGGGATCATGGTGTGCATGATTTCTGGTCAATTCGCTAGGTGTCAGTAGTCGTTGAGATTCTTCATGACACGGGCAGGACATACTTTGATACGAGAGCGAGAGACTGACAGATCGTTCTTCCCGGTAATTACCTATGTAGGCATTATGTACATACTGGCAGGGGACACCGTAACGTGACCGAAGTCGAAACACAGTTTGGTAGTGTCCCTATCACGTGGTGATGCCCCGTCCTCAATACCATTCCTCGGTCTTCCTCGTCGCCCTACACTCAGTCCTTGTGGTTTTGATGTGCCAACCAACATCCAGCTGGACTACTTCCAAGATGCCTCGAGGGGGCAAAACTGATGTCTCCGTTCCGGCTCAAATCCCAGTGACTGGAGCTAATCTATTTACTGATTTAGCCAACAGGTATAGGCGCCGAGCGGAGGTCGCCCGGCCATTGAGCAGTAAAAAATACCTACATGGGGTAGGACACCCACCGTCTTCCCGGACGGTTTAATCCCAGACGTCTCGCCAGCCACCCATGGTCCACGGGCCATCTGCAGCATGATTTCGGGTTTTGTCGACGAGCCACAGTGGAAAGCGTGCTTCTGGTACACACCCTCCTGTGTAGCCGCTTTTGCCGACCGACGACTTCGGACTTCGAAGGGGAAGAGCGCTTAATCGGGCTAATCTCTAACCTAACTAGGCCAGCACCCGATCTGAATTCGTGTGGACGTTGTCAAGGGGTACTCTACTTTAGTGCATGACTACCATGCCATTCATCCAGCCGCGAGACACCTGGACTGCCTATAGGCCTCACAACTACTCACACGGCCGGAAAGACTTATCCCCCTATTAGATCTGTGGCTATGATTTGTTCAACCGTAGTAAGTGCTCATCCTCAGCCACAGATCTAACAGGGGGGATAAGTCTTTCCGGCCGTGTGAGTAGTAAATATGTACTCGGGTGTGAGGGAAAGTGATGCACCACCACTATCACCGCAAAATGGTGCCTAAGGAGGTGCACCACTTACCCTTACACCCGTGTACTTAACCGGGTTGCGCGACATGATCGAACCCCTGCGGATATAACTACTATGCACTACATAATAGTACTGCGATCACTCGGGCCAGAGATCGACCCGCCAGTCTTCTACGATGAAACCGTAGACGGAATTTGGCTGTTCCATAGGCAGAGCCTGTTAAAAAAATAATCGGACACAGAACCTGGGAAAAGCGGAAGGACAACGGTAGTATGTAGGAGGCATCACGCACACGGCTGTTATTTTTTTTAGAGAGAGATCTTCCTTTTTATTTCGCATGCAGCCTACTTATCTAGACTATGGCGAACCGTCGCACTCCTTTCCTGCCTACTCTAGCCGGGGTTTGAGACTCCGTTACCAGCCAGCACGATGTGGCGCCGCTGCCTGCTTGCCAAACAAATAACAAAATAAACGAAATTATACTAAGAAAATATTACCGCATATCCTTATTTCCTACTTCCTCGCACCAGCCGCAGACACAGTACCCTTCTGGGCACTCTTGCTCTGCCCCCAATGCGATGCTTGCCTCCTTTCCATCCTCCTCCTCCAGGTCTGGTGGAGCTTTCCTCCCCACATCGGTCGTTCCTAAAAACTCTAGGATTGCCTCGCTACACCGCTCATCGGCGAACAACTCCGCTATCGACCACCTGTCTTTCCTTCTGTTCGTCTTCTTCCCAACCTTTCCCCACAAGGCTTTCTGCTGGCTTCTCCACCGTGAGCAGTTTTTGAACAGGTGCTCGCGTGATTGCTTGGTAGGCCTGTTGCACCACCAGTAATGATCATCCTCCCGCTTCTTTATCCACTTCAGGTACATCGCCGTGAGGGCGTGCCCTGTCTTCAGCTGGTAGAAGCGGGCGGCTAGCTTCTTTGGCGCTTTGGCGGGGAGCGGACCGGGGGTCTTTTCGGGGGCTGTCTGATATTGTACAAACACGGTGGATTTGTTTAGATACACACATGGGTATCACTCGCATTGGGTTTCCGTCGTAGGCCAAAATGCGATGGCGGATTTGAGAAGGCTACTGTGGCAAAAATCTGTAGAAATTGACACTGGATTGACACCATGTCTATGCAGGGTTTTTATTGGTTTGAGAATTTGGATTAGACCACGTATTAACCGCCGTACGTTTCGCTTCCTCCTTTCTCTCGATGGCGATGTTCATCGTATAGATTCTCGCCTCCACAGCGGCACAGCCGGCAACCCAAAGTCGTGTCACATGATACCACCGAGTGATATTTGGACGATTCATCTCACGCTGCGGATCACTTTGTACACATGCGACGTACATTGCGCTGGGAGGTTTAGCTACATTCCATGGCGATGGCGTACCTATCACCTCCGCCGCAGCTAGGTAAGTACTTAGTTACTTGCACGCTTTACGTGTTCATTAAGAGATGCGTGATTCACACTTTGCTTGTACCTTAGGGAGTGTCCTCATTTTTATCGGATCGTCTACTAGTACGGCAATCCCTACATTTGGCGGTTATCGTTATCGTCCAGTAAGTTGCAATTAATCACCCACCCCGTCATCCCATTTTCCTTCAGTTCGTCCATCTCCAGATGCAACTGAAGACGACGGTGCAGTTTGCAAGAGTTTTCATTCCCCAACGAGAGAAGCGCCTACAAACTGAAAAAGAAAAAAACAATTTTTCCGCCCTACCCCCCACCCCCCCGCCCACCATATCGACCAACCCCCAGGCGTCTAGTAGAGTCCTCCCCAGACGCCGCGGATGTTGAACCTCGGCACAGCCGGGTTCTCCATGCACAGGTACGAGAAATCGTACCTGCTCAAGTCGGCGGTCTATAGAGTAGTTAGTATCCACAGTGCACACGTCTCCTCGAATCGATTCATCAACTTACCGATGCGGCGGGTAACGAGCCCGCCAGCGAAGCTTGGCCTCCCAGATCTTCTTCGCCTTCTCCATCATGGCCGCGTACTCGGAGCCCACAGGCCCTGGCGCCTGGAGCTTTTCCCAGTACGCGCCAGATTCTTTCTGCACCTTAAGCTTGGCCAGCTGTCGCAGGGGACGTCAGTACGTTGGTCTTCACGGGGGGAGTCAAGCAGGGAAACTTACGACTTCCTTCACCTCCTCGTCGTCGTAATACCGCTGCCGGTCATCGTCGGCGCGGATGAACCTACCGCCGACGATGACCCTGGCGACGTTGGTGTTGGCTTCCGGGCCAGCCGGACCGGCTTCTGCACCAACCATAGGAGCAGCGGCAACCTTGCGGGCGCCCCTGCTCCTGTGTTCCCTCGTCTCCAGGAGAATTTTGGCCGCGGCCTTGCGGCGGGCGTCGATATCGTTGTCCTCGACGCAGCGATGCTGCTCACTTGCCCGCGCCTCCCTCGCCGCATCCCGACGCTCCAGCAACTGCTGGTCGTTGGGGCGCTGCGGAGGTGGGGAGACAGGACGCGGGAAGTAGGTGCCGTAGCGCCCGCCGCCACGGCCTCTTCCTCCCGCGAACGTACCCCGTCCTCGCCAGCCTCCACGGGTGTTCCCGGGAGCGTAGTAGTTGTGAGCACCGCGTCCGGCGACCTGGTCCCTGCGGTGTTCCTGAACCTGTTAGGAGCACCGCCGGTCTCCGTGGTGTCAAGATTAGACGTCCGGAAGGCTCTAGAAAACTCACGATCCCAAGGCTCCACCTGATGACGCGGCGCGGACCGTGCTCGTCTCAGAAGCCGAAGAATTTGAGTATCTCCTACGTAAAGAATATCCTGCCATGGACAAGACGAACGTGTATATAGAGGGCCTCTCTGGCCCGACGAGAAGTGGAGAATCAACTGGAAATTTTCTATCTATCTACCTATCCATCCCTATCTCTATCTTGACACCCCCAGTGCCCCACCACTCCACATGCCCGCTTCCCCCACCACCATCTAAGTTCCCCACTCTCCCTCCAGTACACCCGGAATCCACCCCGGCGCCTTAGCGCTTGGGGGCATCGGTGGCTGGGCCGGCCTTGGCAGTGGTCTCCTGCTCCTTGCCAGGAGCACTGTTGGTCGTGCTCCTCGTCTCAAGGTCGGGACGACGACGGTATGGGGCACTATTGTGGGAACGATTAAAGTTTCCCGTGTAACTGAGAATGGGATACGGCCGGCTCCTGCTGATCAGTTTGCGGGGAACTGGTACAACTTCATCGGAGTCATGGACGGCGACGGCGCTCATGTTCTGAGCAGTGTCGCCTGCGGCGTTGTCCTTGGAAATATCCGAAGTGACAGCCGCGGCGTCCTTGTGGGTGAGCTGGCGTCCCTCGATGCTGGTAGTTATATCGGCCTCTGCGACGGAAGCAGAATTTCCTGGAGTGATGTTCTCCTTGTTGATGCTCTCTGGCTCGTTGCGAGGAGCACTGTCCTTCTTGTTGGCGGTGAACTCGGCCGTCTTGGGCGGGCGCGCAGGGGAGACCGAGTGGCTTCTGGTTACGGGGTCGGAGCGACGACGGTGGGAGTTTTCTGTGGTTGTGTCTTTGGTGGTGGAAGGCTTGGTCGGGCGGCGGCGACCACGGACCTTTCCCTTGGAGACGGCGTTCTTGTCTTTAGTAGTGGCCCCGACAGCTTTAGCATTGGTGACAACTTCTTTCTCCTTGGTGACAGCGTTGCCCTTGGTGACAACTCTGTCCTTGGTGACATCCGACGTGTCGGTGTTCTTGTCCCCAGCAGCGTCACCCACAGCCTTGGCCTTGGCGACTTTCTTGATCTTGAACGTGAGTGTAGCGCCATTCTTATCCTTGACGACATACTCGTCCTTTTTGGGAGTGATGTTACGTCCCTCAGCGACGGAAGAAGTGTCTGGAGCGGTGGTGGTGTTGTTGGTGTTGCCAACGCCACGCGTGCTATTATCCTTGGAGACGACACCTTCGACAAGTTGGTGGGCGACGGGTTCAGAACACCATCAATCTTGAGACCCGAGCTGTTAGCGACAGCGGACTCAATGGTAGACAGCGGAAAAGAACTAAAATTGCTCTCCTATGCAGCGCGAGTGGACCTGTCGATGGGCCTTCGAGTCGACGTCAGGGTTTGGCTTCATAAAATCAGCCGCGGTGGGGCGTTTAGGAGTCATTGCAATTGTGCGTTGAAGTAGAGGAGTGTGGTTTTGAAAGGTAGAAAGTGTGGGAAATGTCGTCGCGATGCGAGAGGATGAGTGGTTGTGTGGGATGGAAGCAAAGAAGTTGTGGAAAAGTTGTGGAAGGAAGTTGTGGAGAATTTCTGGTGAAGGGAAGAAGTTGTGCTGAACTTGCTGTGAAGTGAAGAAGGAAGGGAGAAGAGAGAGAGGGAGAGCGAGGAAAATGGAGGGCGAGGGAAAGAAGCGCTAGCCTCGGAGATCGTTAGGGCTAGACAGCGAGGTAGAGCCCTATACATTCCATCACTCGACTACTTGTAACCTCATCATTACTTGCACTAGCTATTGAACCTGACAGTGACGTAGCATCTAGCCGATGGCGGTAGGGCTATTGATGTTCTCTCTCACTCCAACTTCTTTGACATGAATTGCCATGATCTGGAGAGATATTGAGGAACAAGAAGATGAAATTCAGTATTCGCGCCTGCAACTTAGCAGACCAAACATTAGAGGTAAGATACGATGAACGGATGCTTCTGATGTTGAACGACGTATCAAGCGTGCGCGCTGTTCCTCTTATCGACCCGTACCCCGCATATCTCGTTGTTTACATACTATAAATAGTTTATACCAGCAGCGGATGATCTTCTGTCTCCCAGTTACGAGTTACTGCCAGAGCTTTATATCTCACATCCGCACGACAATGTTCGTATTGTTACGCCCTTTCGTAGCTACACGGGTCAGGTAGGTATCTTAAGGATGCTGCATTGCGCCCTCAGCCCCTGTGGACGAAGCTTATCGCGCCATCATACATGGTGATCCCACTCAGCTGTCCCCCGCTCGAACACAACCCTTCTCCCACCGCTGCTCCGATCAGATCATGTACTCTCACTCGCGTAGCCTTACTATCTTGTCTCGTTGAGACCACAAGTTGCGATGAGGTGAGGTGAAAGTGGACCGTCTAGCAAGTTGGCGGACAGGAGGGACAGCTTTTTCAGCGCAAGAAGCGGAGAGGGTTGAGCAGCGAGGGTTGGCTCGTAGGGTGGGCTGGGCGGAGAGCAATTGCCAATAGCGAACCGGAATCGAGCTCGCGGCCAGCGGTCGGTACCAACAGCCGCGGAAACGAATATATAATCTGCCATGATCTACTCTACGGTACTAGGGTCGAAGGTAATGATGAAACAAAAAAAAACTTATAGCGTGATGCTGCCGAGTGATATCTAGTGCCGCAGTCTTGCCAAAAACAAGAAACCGTCACCACCCCCGGCCGGTCGGTGGCTTGCTTTCAAAACCCCAAGGGCTTCAGTGAATACAAAGGTCTTTCGCTCGGGAACTTTCCCGCAACCCCCTTCGCCGAGGCGATTGCATGGCCTAGTAGGTAGTAGACCACTGAACACGCGAATGGATTCGATGCTTATAAAGTGGTGGGTGCCCGGTGCCGCCACGACGGACAAGCTGGATCTGCCACAGCGCTGGCTGCAATGAACTAGCGGGTCACATGCCGTGCAGTGTGCTTTGAAGGGATCTGATGCGACGTCTTTACCGCCGATTTTTGATCCGCGTCAGTGACCACTGATGTGCCTCTCTCCACTTCTCGTCGCTAATCCACCTCTTGAGATGTGCCAGTGAGACGATGGGAAAGCTTTTTTTTGTTCATCATTCATTGTGCGGAGAAAACGAGTGATATATGCTTGCACTAACCTAGCGGCGACCAGCCCACTCTCAATCGCACCCTCGATTTTCGGCTCCAACCGGAGTTACCGACTGGCTTGCTGCGGCAACCTGTTGTCCCACCAATTTACTGCTACATATAGAGAATTCCGAAGGTTAAAGTATTTACCTACCTACTTAATTCAATCCCATCGAGAAGTCATTTGCAGGATTGAAGGCATGTAGGTAGGTATGCGGAGGAGTCGGGATTTGATTGCGGCTTTTGGGAATTGGGGCAGACCTTCTTGGGGGGGGGAGGGCTCCTGGTTTAAACTTTATGCGCTGGAGACTTGTCGGGACTCGCGATCTTGCAGTTACGTGTGTACCTACTTTGAAGCTAATCTTAAGTTGGATCATGTGATGAATCATAGAACTATCACACGGTAGTCTATGAATGCCATACCTAGATTTGCGGCGGCGGCGAGATTGGTGTTTTCGAGGAAGAACGTCTAGTTTTCTTCTTTTTGTAGGCGAATTATGCTTGATAACTATTTCGTATTTTTGGCTCGCGCACCCACCATACTATAGGGCCAATCTTCGGTATTGATGTTCCTGCCTTGAGGAGTGCTGGTAATAGGTATGGCAGTGGAGTCTGGACCGTGGAGGCATGTTTTGGCGGCCAGCAGCTGCTGAAGTTCGACTCTTTTTCTTTGTGTATGTACTATAACTACGTGAAATAGGCAGTTGTCGACATGTCACACAAGTATTTCCTGGCCATAGGAAGAAAGATCATACATTCCCATCAACAACTGCAAGTCTGCAACCAGCCGTTTTTTCCCCATGTTTTCGAATACCTAGGACTTAATATTTGCGGCGGTGCCGAAGAACATCATCCCGAATCTAACAACCATCAGACAAGTCTCCATTATCGACAACTGCGTCCCAGAGAAGGTGACGGGTATGGTGAGCTTGAGTCTTTTTGGCCAACCGGACCACCTCCCACTAGAAACGCCGGCTCGCAAACGAGAATCACTCACGGATCGATTGGCGGTGCGCCCACAATCGCTCTAAGAGTTCTCAGTCACGCTCGATACCGCGCGGCCAGACGCCGCCGTCGACGGCGTGCTAGATGGTAGAAACACACAGAGAAGCAGGAATGCGAATCGCTCCAGCGGGCGAATCTAGTCGGAACCCTAAGCAGGCTGCAGGCACGGCTTATTAAGCGAAGAAGACGTGTGCTTAAAGAGCGTGCACACTATCTCCACCGACGTGAAAACGGTTCAAGCTCTGTTTATTCGATTCGGCGAATCTCATCGCGAGTGCTCGTCGGTTGACGCTGTCAAGTACCTGTTACGTGCGGAATCTTCTGGCGTCGGTCGAGGGCTTGAGGCTTGAGGCTTTTACTTCCAGCAAACGGAGCCACAAATAGTCTGCTGATGTGTACTCCGTCCTAGCACACTTCCCCGAAGACGACTCGAACAGCTTACTCGCTGCAATACAGAGCATCTTGCCGTCCGCATCACGGCGTAAGCGGCCCTTAATTCTCATATGCACATACCAAGGCGGAATGGTTTACGGATGGACGGGACCGAAGTCCGTGGGTGATTCCTTTTCCGTGCTTTTCATTTCCCTGAAGTGTCACTTGAACGAGCAAATTCTTTCTGTTTTCCACTTCCTTTTTCGTCCTCGATGTTTGGTCATTACCGTATTTTTGACTGAGGTGGAGTGAGGTGAGCGATGGGAATGGACTCCCAGGCAGCTAGATATTAAGTTTCATGATGTTCTGTACTCTAGGTATCTGGTATTCAGTTTGGCACGATTCCTAACGAATAAGTAACATCTAGATGCTACATGCTACTGGCACAGCGAGTTACGAGTATTGGTACCCCATGGGGCAACAGTACCTAATACCGCAGTACATAATTCCACCGAAGACGTATGGGGGAGAGCCACGGGCAGGCCGCAGTCGCCTGCTATAGCTGTGCTCGTCAGGGCCACTACAAATCCGAGTGCCAAGAGCCGAGGACAGACGACAAATTCCAGCCAGCCTATCAGCCGTCCGGGGTCAGGTCCAGTCTCCGAGAGCATACTTCATCGTCGAACCGCCACGGAATTCCGAGCAGATTATGGATGCAAGTAGTTATTCGTGAACCAGATTCAGGCTCTAGCTAGTGACTGGTCAGATGGCCTCGGGACTCGAAGGAATGCAGTATGCCAAAGTCTACCGAATGGACGAAGAAGAAGAGCAGGAGGTTGCAGAGAAGAAGAAGAGAACGCAGTCGGAGGGCGACGGCACGGGCCGGAAGAGGCCAGCTACGGAAGGGCACATTGTCACTCGTGACTCCCTTGCGGCCGCAGACTGTCGTGCCCATCCGGACGATGAAGAACCAAGCAATCGTCGATCCGATCCCAGCATTCCGAGACGATGCCACAGCCGCCAATCAAATTTAATTATCTACCAGTGCAGTCTACACCGACACCGGCGGATACTACTATCCGAGAAGAGATTCATCATTCCAGTACTATGCATCAATACGCTCTTGAGTACTGGCAGTACATTGGACAGCGAGACATGGGAGGAAGTCGACGTCAGCCAGGAGGACTTTTATGATCAGGAGATACTATAAGACCATCCGCGCCCAGGCAGAGGACGAGAGCTACAATGCCGACCCGGACGAGGATCCCAAGGAAATTCAGTCGCCGTAAAGCGCTAGTCACTGCACGGGCCGATCCTAGAGTCCCGACATGAACCTGGATTCAGACTCGGGAAAAGGCCGCCGTCACTAGCAGGAGGCCCAAAGGCGAATTGATGACAAAAGGGAGAAGAAGGGGAACCCAGAAGAAGAAGAAGAAGAAGGGAGAGAGAAGGAGGAGGTGAATCCGGGGGAAGAAGACAAACGTCTGACTGATGAATTTAATTGTTTGGAACTGGATGAAGTCGGTGTATGGAAGTTGGCAGATTAAGACGGGAGAGAGAAGGAGGAGGTGAACCGAGAGGAAGAAGACGAAAGAGAGAAGAAGGAGGTGAGCCCAGAGGAAGAGTCCGAAGGCTTGACTGATGAATTCATTTTTTTAGAACTAAATCTCATAAAGGCGGTATATGGAAGTCAGCCGCGTTGAAGTCGAATCTGGATGAAGTCGGTATATGGCAGACAGTAGCGCTGCCGTCAGATACAGTCAACTGTCGGATGAGAGGAAGTTGGCGACGATCATGGTGAGGGAAGGCAAGGGTCAGATTTGAGGAATCCGTCGGAGCTTTGGGCGGAAACATAGGGGGTCCTCTGAGCTCTCTCTTGGGAGTTGAGACAAACGAGAGCAGTTGAGGAAATGTTGACGGATCTCGTGGTGCCACTCGAGCCTCGGCGCGATTCTCGTGACAGTTACCGAATACTAGCCCTGTCACCCTGTGTGTCGGAGTCAGTACCCTCCTCCTCCTCCACCTCCTCCACCTCCTCCACCTCCACACACCCTAGGCCCTCGGCAGTCCGGCTCCGATTATATTCCTTCCTTCCAAGTTCTCGCTCCCTGAGCTCCCACTCGGAGTCTCGGACACCTCACTTGCTGCATCTTCCTCAGCGGGCCTGCGGCCTCTGGGAACGTCTACGGTTAGTACCTAGGATGGATACCTACCGGTAGACCGCTGGGAGAAATCGAGTGGGCGGAATCGAGTGGGAGGAATCGAGTGGGAGGAATCGAGTGAGATCGGTACCCATCTGCCTATGTAGCCAGGATTTCCAGGTCTTCGATCTTGCCGGCTCATCGCTACATACGAGTGGTAATTGATAACCATAGTCTACAGCCTACCTACCTAGGAGGGATTGTCGACTCTCGAGTGTGGATTCTGGAAGAGGAAGAGAAGAGAAGAGTCTGCGAGGTGGCCGGATCACTGGTAGGTAATAAGCATGTATGTACCGGTATGTGAGTATATAGTCGATCTGAATCGCTTCCTCGGTTCCTATGAGCATGAGCATGAGCCCGACTTATCCGAACATACTATACCAACCTACCTACCTCACTGGGTATGTGCACAGGTAGTCGATCTGAATCCCTTCGTGACTTCGTCGGTTCCCATGGGCATGAGCATGAGCCCGACTTATCCGAAATACCATACCTGTCAGGCTGTCAGAAGCTCGCTTGGAGGCAGGTATGATAGGTACCTGGGTAAGCAGGCGTTGATCTATGTGTCTACTCTAGGTACGTGGTACCGCACAGCTCCACAATCCTCTATTGTCGAGTGACGAGTCGCCTGCGGCAAAGAATTTATCCGCATAGGTACCTAGGTAGTGTCGCCAGAGTGTCGCGTGCTGAGATCTGAGCTTTGAGCTGTGACCACTGAGTCACTGACAGTACTCTAATTGCAGCTCTACTCTAGATAATAGGTATTGTCGAACGCGGCAATGAATTTATCCTCATACCGAGTATCGCACTGTGAGCTGTCACGGTAAACGATGTAATTGCATCACTTTCAACTTGCCGAATATCACGGTAGTTAATACCTAGGTAGATATCCGTTCCTACCAGTGACCATTCGAGTTATCTACCGTAGGTTGCTGTAGCCATGGACGAGCTGCATGTCTCGATCCACCATCCATCATCCACTTCCGCTCGGTGATGCGGCATGCCTCGCTTCAGCCTTCAAACTTCAGGTAGGCCCGAGACCTGTTGCTGAACTCGAAGGAAAGTGTTTCGACTGTATATCCGGTGAAGTACCCCGAATCCATCCCCCATTGATTGTATGTAGTATGCAAGTATGTAAATCTACTTTTTCCGCCGTACATGCTGCCGTACATTCCGTCCTACATGCTGTCCTCATGCTGTCCTCCCTAGGTATACCGTCCCACGCAAATCACACACACAAAAAAAGGATATACAGAAAAGAAAAGAAAATAGAAGAGAAGGAAGAAAGAAAGAGAAGAAAGAGACATATGCTGGTCTACCCGAGAAGTACTTGATAGTCGTTGATAAACTACACCTCCGCCACGCCCCACGCCCCAATCGCGAACTCCACGAACCCACTGTAAAAGAGACGAAACACCTTGAAAGCCAGCAAGCGCAAGGAAAAGAAAAGGTAATTGAGAAAAGGAAAGAAAAAGAAAGAAAAAAAGAAAACCAAAAAGGCAACTATTTGCCCCGCGCAGACGCTAAACGATCCCGCGCTGTCTATACCCCTCCATTCGTCAACGAGTGATCACCGGCACCAGCCTGGTTCACATTCCGGATCGCTATTGCCAACATCAGTTACCGACCGGCTTAGAGTGAAGAAGAGAACGAACAAGATGATCTAACCATCTCCTCCTCAGCCCAACGGCTGACGACGCCTCCCTCGACCTCCTTCCTCGTGATCCCAGCGCGCGCCTCAGACAACCCCATGCTGACCAGGAAGTTGACTGTATCCTTCCACTCCTGCTCCTTCCTGCCCTTGTTCCACGTGAGCTCGACCGCCATGATGTCGATGACCTTCGGCAGTGCCTCGAGACACGCATTGACGTTCAGGAATGCGAGACGCGTGCGCCGGGCTAGGACGTCGACGGCGGTTTGTGCGAGTTCGCTGCGCACGGCGTAGCGGACTTCGCCGTCGATGAAGGGGTAGAGCTCGGCGAGGCGTTTGCCTCGCAGAGGAAAGCGCGCGTGGGTTGGCTCCGAGAGCGATGCCACCGCCCAGGCGCGGTCGCCGTAGTTGTGGGCGAGGTGGTGTGCGACCTCGGCGTCGATGCCGAAGTGCTGGATCAGGTGGATGAAGAGCGTCTTGGAGAAGCCGTGGGCGCCAACGAGTTGGACGTGCTCTGTTTGGCAATTGCCGGTGATGGGGATCATGCCGGGCGAGGAATAAGCGGCGGGTTTGGGGCCGGGCATGAGGCGGAACTCCTTGATGGCGGCATCGACGGCTTCTTCGGCCATCTGTCGGTAGGTGGTCCATTTTCCGCCGGCGATGGTGATGAGGCCAGAGTCTGAGATGTTGATCAGGTGGTTTCGGACGAGAGATTCGGTATTCTTCGCGTCTGGGTCCTTGACGAGCGGGCGTATTCCGGACCAGGCCGCAAGGACGTCGCTACGGCGGATGGTGATCTCGGGTGAGACGTAACGCTGAACCTCGGAGAGGATCCAGTTGATCTCCTCCTCTCGGGGGAGAGGGTGTGGAGTTATCGTCGTCGGCGCATCAGTGGTGCCGGCGATTGTGTTTCCCTGCCAAGGGAGGAAGAAGATCACGCGCCCGTCGGAGGTGCTCGGATCGATGAGGCCCTGGAGATATGCGAGTTAATAGGAGTCCGCGGTAGAGCTGTGGATAGAGGTGAGAGTTACCATTCGGGCCGGAGAGAAGTATCCAGGTAGCACGATGTGCACGCCGCTGCTGGGTGCCACAATCTCCTGGGTCTCAGCATGGTCAAGCTTTCGAATTGAGTCGGTGAATGGCCCCGTAGCGTTGATCACACCCTGTGATTGTAGGTGTTAGTTGATACGATCTCGGTGATCTTTAAGGATTGAAATTCTAAAAGGTCGCGAGTTTCACGTCCAAAAGAACGGATGAAGGGGGGGAACGAAGGGGAGAGAATTGTTGACTGGAAATAGTACCTTTGCTCGCACCAAGAAGTCGTCTCCGCTCTTCCCCGAGAGCAAGTCTTTCACTCTCACTCCAGTGATTCTGCCCGTCGCCGAGTCCTTGACAAGCTCGTTGACCTCGGCGTGGTTGACGACCGTGGCTCCGTACAATGCGGCCGTCAGTGCGATTGTGACGTTCATGCGAGAGTCGTTATGCGATCCGTCTGTAAACCCATCAGCCCCGTCAACTCAATCCCACATCAACACCGCAGCCTGGAGTTTTCTTACCGTAGTACACAAGCGCGCCCACCAGACCCGAGCCTCGCAACATCGGAAACGCCTCCAGAGCCTTTCCCCTCGTCAAGAAGTACGAGCTCTCGAGATTCTCCTTCCCCGCTAGGAGATCGTAACACTTGGTACCCGCCCAGAAGTACGGCGCCTTCCACCACTGATAGATGGGCAGCATGATCGGCAGACTCATACTCAGATGCGGCGCGATAGTCAGGAACACTGCGCGCTCCTTCAGCGCCTCGCGCACGAGTGTGTATTGTGAGTAATCCAGTTCCTTTACCGCCTTCTCCAGATACCTGACGCCCCCATGAACGAGCTTCGTCGACTTGGACGACGTTCCGGAGGAGAAATCGTCCCGCTCGACACACGCCACCTTCAGCCCTCTACTCGCGGCATCGAGAGCGATTCCAGCGCCTGTAGCTCCGCCGCCGATGATGACGAGATCGTACTGGGTGTCCTCGGTGCTGGCGGCGCGCAGCCGCGCAAGGTGCTCCTGCCGTGTGGGCAGAGTCGGTACCTTTGGCGGTGTAGAGTGTCCGCCGTTGGGCCCGCCTCTTGTCAGCTCGGCGTAGCTAGGTGTGGGTTTGGGGTTAAGCGCTTTGTAGGCGACGTATGCGAGTCCCGCCGATCCACCGATCAGGAAGGGCTTCGCCAAAGCTCGCGCGGTTGTGCGAGCGCCGGCCATTGTGGAGGACCGGAGATCGAGGGGCGCAGAGGCAGTTACGGAAGTGGTCGCGTTGGGAGGGAAGCGACTACGACGATGAGGTCAAAGAGGGGCAGCGCAGGAGGTGGAGATGGATGGAGGGTCAATGGTGGGGATACGGAGGGCACTGGGGGGAGTAAGGAGGAGAGGGGGAGGAGAGGGGGAGGAGGGAGAAGAGGAGAGGAGGTGAGGGGAGAGGGAGCGCGAGATTGAGGAGGAAGAATGAGTAGAAGAGGACAAGGGAGGAGAGGAAGAGAATGGGCAGGATGAGCGCCGTCCGTCCCTCCGTCTGACCCCCTCCAAGAACGCCTTGGCTTGGGGTGCATGTCTGCATGGGATGGTGCGTTTGTGTCGGGAGAAAAGACGGCCCGAGATCGACGCGACATCCCCATCAGGCCAGGCCAGGCACGGTTCACATGGGCAGCGGTGCCGCGGACGTGGTGGCGGCGAGGGTGGTGGTTGGCCGCCTTGCGCCTGAATGGCCGTGGCAGAGCTCATTCCTCTCTTATCCGCGGGACTTCATTCTTCACACACACGATCCTCCGCTGCTTTGGTATCGATATCTATCCAGTCATCGCTGCTCCCGTCAGATTCTGTCTTCTGCCCATCCTCACAGCTGACACGTGAAGCAGAAAAAATGAGAGTGTCCCCCTCCCCCCTCCCCATTTTACCGACGTCACCAGACACCAGTGCCCCTCCCCACCTTTCGACTCTTCACACTAGATACTTCGCACTCCCCTTAAACTGCCGATCACCGAAAGCCGCCAACCACCAGTTGGAAGCTACAAAGAAACCGCATCGATTCGGCAACACCGCGGCATCCGCAGACCCCACCGGAATGTCCCCATCGCCAGCGTGCAGCGTTCCAGACCAGAGGTGCAAATTATATGCACTCGTTTGTCCGAACTGCAGAAACCTGCCCACTCACACCGGAGAATCGAACAAGCAATATGAGCGAGCAAAACCCAAACGAAATAGTTAATCCGTCTAACCGAAGCTCTAACTCTATGCTGTGTGTAGAATTGCAACTCCCCCGACATACTGCTCACCCCCCCTGACCAGAGAATGCGTGTCTAGTCGCGAACCGCCGATTCGTTGCTGAAAGGAGCAACCTCTCTTCGGTCAAGTGCACACGAAACCCCGAGATGGCCGAGGTGCTTGCCTATTTCTCCGCTAGAGAATTGCGCGTGCGTTCTGGCATTCGAGCTGTGCGGGAGAGCGCGAGGGAGAGAAGGAGAAAGAGCGAGGCAGAACACCCACCGGCGAACTCCCCGCCGATATGCGCTGCCGTCCGCAATCGTATATATCCCCCGTCGCTCGCACGCGTCTCCCTGGAGTCGTTGCTCCGTATCCCCACATCCCTCATCCTTTTTGCCCGCTAAACGTGGAGATCCTGGCAGGCTGGGCTCGGAAAAACCCCGACAGGCCCGACAACCGGTGCTACTACGGATCATCTGTTTTTCCGGAACCGAGCAGGACCAGCCCCCCCTCCCTCCACCCCTTCCCCACGTCCCGTCGCCCCCGCGTTCGAACCGAGGAGGCAAAAAAAATCGAAAATCCCTGGGAATCATATGGGCTCCGCCAAAACCACAGGTACTCTAGATACCGGTACTACATGTACGCCACATCGCAGGAGTTCCTGAAAGCACCGAGGTACCGCTTTACATACACCGACGGATAGGATGCGTACGTATCATACCTATGAGGATGCCAATTCCCACCGAGCTTTCTTTCGCGTCGGCATATCTGCCCGGTCACCCGCTGGGCCGTATGCATACGTAGCAACACCGAGATTCGACGACTTCGGTCTGCTTTACGTGCCTGAGATGATGGCCCAGGGGATATAAGGAGCCCCTTCCCCGTTCCTTTTTCATTCCTCGCTCCTGCTTGCGTAGTAGCAGCTATCGGATGCCTGCTCCCATCCCTATTCTGCAGCTGCACTGGTATCGCGGTCTGAGTCGTCTGAGTCGGAAAACCATCTCCGTACGTGTCGATGCACCACTGAGGAGGACCCGGACCCGCGCAAGGCGATCTCCGAAGGCGCCCTGCCCTGCAGCTTCTCCAGTGTCCACCCCGCTCTGCAAACTCTATCTATCTATCTACCCACCTATCTATCTACCTGGCAACGTCGGCCCCAACACCGCGGCCGCGATATTCGGATTCCGGGAAATACGAGGATTGGTAGGAAGATTAAACTATTTTGTTGCTTGCTTCTTCTTCTTCTCCGGACCGGTGCCCTTCTATATATACAGAACATGTCTGCCTTTGGGAGATAGACCAGACAGCAAAACTCATCTCCTCCTCCGGAATCCAGATACAGCTTGCATTCCCGAGTCCTTGACTCCTTAACTGCTTCAGCACTGAGAACAGTGCTCCTTGAAAGTTGAAACTTCACCATCACCTTACAGCCGACGCTGTAATCTGACACATACTCTATGTGGACCACGACTTTCTTTCCCCGCATCCCACAGGGTCCGCCGGACACATATTTGCGGTTGAAATTGGTTGCGGTCACGCGCGGCGTGGTTATGGTTATTCTGCTGTGTATGGGATGAGATGGGGTACACAGGCCTCTCATAAGTTTGAGGTGGCTGTGCTACCGGTTTCCACGAAATCGCGGATATGAGGAAGATATGAAATGACAGGCGAGGGGTAGGGACGAAACAATTTTGGGCCTGCCGGATGCGGTGATCTCGTGAGCACTGACTGCTATGTTGAGGACCCTTACTGGGGGTGGATTTGAGCCTGAAGTCGTGAGGCCAGACTCCAGACTCCAGAGCTGGCTGTGCCAGAATTCCAGGCTTCCGGCCAGATGACGGATCTCGCATCTCATCGCGACGAGCGTTCCGAGGGATCGGGATTTTATTCTTTCTTTACTGGTTTGCCCGACTCGCCTTCACATACTGTTCTACTCTAATTGAGGTTCAGCACTTCCTCACGAGTCCACCCAACGCGGCGAATGACGCCATCCTGTCCCTCAGCTCGCCCCTGCTTTTACCCGCGGCATCGCGAGGGGTTAGTTAGATAATAATCAGATCTAGCGGGTTATCACGATAATTCTCTCATTCTCATCGCACCTCCTGTGTAAATGTAAAACGAGCTCACGCTGTACGCCGTCTTTGAATGTGCTCATTACTGGGAGGTAGGAGGTACACTTTGTATGTCAGACGGCGTTCCGTTGATTTCAAAGCCGGTGCCCGTGTTCTCTGATAGATGGGCAGATGGGAGGTAGATCAATAGATAAAGCAGCTCATCACCCACCACCCATCCACCTTCCCGCTTCTTCCGTTCTCATCAAACCTCCGACCCTATCCACGAACCAGCTCTACCAACACCACCACCAATACCAATAACCACACCTTCGAACCCCAAACAAACAATGCCTGACCACCACTACGAGCTCGAAGTAAAGATGTCCTGCTCTGGCTGCTCAGGCGCCGTCGAGCGGGTGCTGAAGAAGCTCGAGGGTGAGCTCCCCTTTTTTCCCCTCCCCCTCCTTTTCCCCCCCGCGCCCCCTACTCTTGACTCTCGCTAATCCCGCGCACAAAACAGGCGTTAAGGAATACAAGACCGACCTGGAGACGCAGAAGGTCACTGTCACGACGGACGAGACGGTCGACCTCGAGAAGGTCAAGACCGTCATTGGAAAGACCGGGAAGGAGATTGTTTCTGCGAAGGAGGTTGTGGTTTAAGTGGTAGGGAGAGGGATGGATACCCATGCGTTGCGATTGTTTTTTGCTGTGATGTGAGGTGGATAGTGGAGTTGTGAATGGAGAATCTACTACACGTAATCTACGATTGGGTTGTTGCTGTTGCTGCGCGACTGTGGTGGTGGTGGGTGCGATCGCCGCATGGGGAGGCTCACGCATCGCAACCTAAGCTTGAGCTTGAGCTTGAATAACTACTGTACTCGTCACAACCTCCATTTACTCCATCAGCTACAGCGTCTACTGCCAACGCGCACAGAATTCCAGGATCACGTCCATCTACACGTCCATCTACCACGCTACGGCACTTCCACCCAAGCTTCCCCATCACGCCCGCCCTCCACGCCACGCCCCGCCCTCCGCGCTCCACATCCCCCACCAATGACCATCCGTGCGAACCCCGCTTTACCGCCATCCCCAGCGAGCTCGTGACAACTCAACTCTCAGTAAAACGCGTCGCCTCTGCAGCCGCACCGCAACCCCTCATTGTTTATCCTCATCGCAACCCCTTATCGCGTCCTACAGGCTAGGTACATAAGAAGCATTGGAACGACGGATTGTTATGCACTAGAACCACTACCACTACCACCGCCGCCGCCGCCAGCTCGGCGTGCACTATCGGGTCGGCACCCTGCGCATCGGATCAGCTATCGAACACCGCCCCCACCCACCACATCCGCCGGCACAACTCGGACAGCTACATCTGCACTCTTCGCGCTCTTCGCGGCCACTCTCCTCCATAGAGTAGCATCCCGCTCACCGGAAACAACCAGTTGGCGGATACACTGGAGGCTGGCGCTATTAGGCAACGTCCTCTGAGCGGCAAGGGGAGAACTCAGGGCAAGAAAGAGCACAACCACAGGGCGAGGTAGGCGCACACCGCACTCGGCGTCAAGCACAACAACGCGCGTGCTTTGAAGGAGGATTAGGAGGGCCATGATAGGGATTGATGTTCGTCGGCGGGAAAGAACTGGATATTGACTATCGTCCATATACTAAGTATAGATTACGGGATACCCGCGGGCCGCAACGTGCGAAGCCGGCGGAAGTTGGAAGATCATTCCCTTCTACTAGGTAGTACATAATGTCCAGGCCGTTCGTCGCCTTGTGTTGGATTTCGTATCGCTACACCGTTTCTCATGTGTAACTACTGTGATCCGCCGGCATGCCTGCCCAGTGGCCGACCATCATCCGGCTTTAGTTATAGCATTGTTCCTTCGTAACGAGAGAGTTACCGGTCCATGTTGATGCTGGAGGAACTGCTGGTGATCTTGGCAGTCTGACATGAGATCGCAAGGTACTGTTTTTTGTTTTTGTTGAATCATCAATTGCGTGCGACCTATCTCGAGTAGAGTACCTAGATCACTGCAATATACGCACACCGTTTCCATGTCCACTGTCCAACTCAACCTTCCGTCAAGCAGCCCGATGGGGCTTCCCCACCCTCCGCCCCGGCCTTTCCCGAAGATACATGTACATAGAGTGCACCAAGGGAATATACTCTACGCAAAGCACTATTGGCACGGCGTCAAATATCCCGGGAGTGACAAAACATGACTGCCCAGCCGTTTCGGGTTCTGGCCTCTCTTGAGTGATCCCGAGTGACTGGATGGGAGGGGCACCGATATTACACACACGGATAGAGGAGATACGCCTCGTAGGCCTGGCCAGATGCGGCATAGTAATCAGAATAGGCTCTGCCCAGCGCCGCTAGCATTTCCCCGTCGCAGACTCCGCAGCTCCGCTTATGCCCAGAAACGCGCGGTGACGCTTGACGGCAGGCAAGTGAGGCACAGTCACTGAGCCACCGCCCGCTCTCGACATAGTTATGCTGTGCCAACCTTTCTACGCATGTAGGCCTCTCCATCCGGCAAACGAAACCAAAAAAGATCGACGGCTGATACACAGGATTCTGCGCGCCTTGTCGCTCGTTTCTTACTCTCACTCTTACATCCGCTCACTTTCCTTCTATATCACTAGCCTTTGTTCCGTCCCTCTTTTGCTTACAGTGTCTCCCCACCCTCCCAACGGGCCTGAGGAATCGTCACCACTTCCCAAAGCTCTCGATCCATCGTAATTGCGACAACCTCGAATCGGCTTTTTAGCGCAAACTCGGGGCACCCTCATTTCGCATTTTTGTCCCTGCACGCTCCCCGCGAAGGGGTTCCTTAGCGAGCGGCGATCAAACCCCCCAGCTGTGTAACGATACGAACGATACCTCCTACCTCCACTCCACCTCCATCAGCACCTCGGTCATCCCCCCCTTCCTGCTTCACGACCTCCTCCTCCATCGTATCTGTCATGGGCGACACCAAAGGCCAGGCGAAAGAGCAGTTCGCGCGTCTCCAACGCACGATGCAACCGCGTCTCTCGTCGCTGCAGGAACGCCTCCAGGCCGTCCCCGACCGGATCCAGAACAACCTGCCCGAGTCCCTCCAGAACCTCCCCGAGCGTCTCCCCAGGAGCTTTCCCCGATCCTCTTCCTCGGAAAAGGAAGATGATCCTCCTCCGCCCGTTACCCCGCAAATCAGCAGGGCCCCCGCTCTGCCGCTCTCTTACTCGAGTCCACCACCCCCCGCCGCCGTTGCCGCCGCCGAGCCCCTCTCATCCCCGCAATCGCAGATCCCGAAGGCCCCCGCGGCCACCGATCCAGCGTACAACCCCGAGCTCGCGTTCCTTGCCTCCAAAATCCTCTACCGCTCCGGAACGGACCCTGTCTCGGGCGGCCCACTGTTGATCCTGTGCGCGGCTGCGTTCCCGGACGCGAACCACGTCGACTACACCGTGCTGCTACCCTACGTCCTCGCGAACCTCCCCGGAGATGACGAACTCAGCACCGGCACCGGGTACTCGGTCGTGTTTTTCGCGGCGGGCGGAGAGAGGAAGGCCGTGCCGGGTGCTACCCCCTCGTGGAAGTGGACCCTGCAGGCGTATACTCTGGTGGGTGTCATTCGGGAGATTGCTGGGACCCTCGTCGAGGACCGGAGAAGGGACGTTGCTGATAGCAACGGACAGCTGGGGAGGGCGGTTAGGAAACAGATCCGCAGGCTTTGGATCGTGCATGAGAGGAATTGGATCCGTGAGTTGCATTCGGAGGCGGGGCGGGTGTGAGGGCGCGCGGGATTAATTATGCGGTGTGCTGACGCGGAGAAGGGACGATTTTTGAGCTTATGGCTGGTGTCGTGTCGGCTAAGTTCAAGAAGAAGGTTGTTCACGGTATGCTCGCTCACTTGTGCGCGCCCCTCTTTTAGACAGTAAGTGGCTAATGAATTGGGTTTGGCAGTGAATAATTTATCCGAGCTTGCTTTACACATCGATATCACGACGATCAACATCCCGCCCGCCGTCTACATCGTCGACCGCAAACTCGGCTATGATGTTGTGCTTCCCGGGTTCCCCAAGGCGCCCGTGTTTGGATACCGGCCATTTCCTGCCGTGAACCCTCAGCGCATGAGCGACAATATTTGCTTACCGATGGTCCTCATCGACACGTCGAACTACATTCGCCGACGCTGCTTGAAGGTGGAAGGACTCTTTCGGGTACCGCCGTCGCAAGCCGTTCTCGAGGTCGCCCGCGACTGCTATGACCGTCACACCCAACTACCCTGGGAAGAATGGGGGCCACATACGGCGGCAGGACTGATCAAGTTGTACTATCGCACCCTACCGGAACCCATGATCCCACAGGAATGCTATGAGCAGATGCACTCGCTGGTAGCCATGGAATCCGATCCGGAGAGGATGGTGCCTGAACACGAGTTGGCGGAAGTGCGCTTCGAAGTTGTGCACGCGCTGCTCACCACGGAGGCCACCACGCTCCCGTCACATTCGCGTATCCTGTTTCTACGCCATCTCCTCCCGCTCCTTGCCGACATCGCAGCCCACCGGGCCGACAACAAGATGGACCCCACCAATCTTGCCGTCTGCGTCGCGGCCTCGATGGCGCGCTCAAACGACATGATCGCGGACGCCAAAGCCTCGGCAGGCATCCGCAAATTCATCGAGATCGGCATCCAGCGCATCGACGAGCTAGCGCCGAAGCAGCCCGTCCGAAGGGCTGCGCCATATCTAGAGAAGCGTCGCAGTCAGACGCTCGACATGGCGGGCCTCAACCTTACCGTCGATCCCCCCACATACTACACGCGGCAGGTCTTGATGCGTAAGAAAGTTCCCAGCCCTACCAGTCCGCGTCAGAGACCGGCCTCGATGGGGTCCAGCGTATGCGATAGTCCCGTGATGGAGTCGCCGCTGGAAAATGCACTCTCCCGTATACTCCCGCCACCCTCGCCGAAGCCGGAGGAGATGAGACGTGGAAGTGCACCGTATGGACCGAGGCCGGCCCCGGTGTCGGGCGTCAAGACGGAGCGATCGGCTAGCTATGATTCAGTAAGCCCTTTGACTCCTATCCTTCCGCCGGTGGTGCAGCCGAAACCGGTGCAGTACCAGAGCAATCCTATACAGCGCAAGCCGGTACAATCGCAGGACGCCGCCTTCAGTCCTGTACCGCTGCCGGTGGCGCGGAAAGACGTACCTGTGCCCCGGCAACAGGCCGTGCCTGCACCACTCGTGCCGCGGAAACAGCTACAGCTCGATACCGCACAGCCGGTAGCACGGAAGCAGCAGCAACCAACACCCGGTTCCATCTCACCCAGTCTCTACCAAGCGTACCAGCCACCCGCTGTCCTAGCCAAACCCGGGCTTCTCCCACAAGCCCATGCGCTCCTCGCCAAACCCGAATGGGTTCCCAAACTTCCCCCGCGCCCGCCCTCAACCACCCCCGACCTCCCCCCGCGGCCCGCAGTCAGCCCCATCTCCCGGCCCGTATCCACGCTCCCATCCGCACGCATCCCATCCACCACCCCCACCCCCCGCCCAAAGAGCGAATACTTCGCCTACCACTCCCCAATCCCCTCCATCCCCTCCATCCCCTCCGTCCCCGTAGCACCCCTCGCAGCCCCACCCGCAAACCCCAGAAAACTCTCGATCCCCGCAACATTCCTGCAGCCGCCGGCAACGTCGGCAATGCTCGCAACGCCGGGACAGTTCGTTGCGCGCCCGCTGCTGAGGCGCGCTGCGAGCGCGAACTTTGGTGCTGTTGGGAGAGGTCGTGTGGGGGATGGGGAGTACCGGCCCCAAACCGTTAGGCGCGCGAGGAGTCAGCTCGATCTGGATGTAGGCGCGGGCGCGGTGGGCGAGTTGAGGGCGCTTTTTGAGGCGAGGGCGGGGATGGAGAGGGATAAGGAGAGGAGGGTGGAGAGGAGGGTTAGCAGTAGTGATTTTTCGGGGAGGGGAGGGGAGGGGAGGGGAGGACTCTAGAGGAGAGGAGAATTGGACTGGAATGGGAGGAGAGTTGTGCTTTTGGATTTGGACTGGAGGAGGATTGTGCTTTTTTGGTTTGGATCGGATTGGTTTGGTTTGGACGTTTGGCTTTGGTTTGGAGTCTATATTTCGTTTTCGTTTCTGTGATTCCCTTTTGGAATTTTTTGAGTTTAGTTTGCTTTTTTTGATTCGTTGATTCGTTGATTTGATTTGTGTGTTGTATTTTTGGTTGTGGGAGTGGAAGGGAGGATTCGGAATTTAATCGGTCTTTCATTCATGAATCGTGAATGGATTGGATTTCTGCAGTGCTGCTTCGTCGACGGGGTTTGAGTGTGCATCGCGAGGGAAGGTGGAATGAGAATGGGAATGAGAATGGGAATGTGAACGGAGAAGCGTTGACGCTTCGTGCTTACATACATCTTTTTATGTATGATACATATGATATCTACATACCAACGAAATTGGTGATCTTCAGGCTCGCATCCACACACACGCACTGGGACCTGGGACTGGGGATCGTCAGGTACTGACCGGCGACCGGTATGTAGGAGATGTATGTAGGAAGGTAGTAGAGTGGATGGGATCGATGAAAATCGCTGGTATGTACGTACGTCTATCAGGTATAAGCTTCTCCCGCGTGGGTGAGTCTGCCGTCTCTGGTCTTCAGTGAGGAATCAAAGGGAGTTCGGTAGGTACATATCTTGGGAATCGAGTGGTAATGGTTGGTTGGTTAGTTGGATGAATGGCTGGATGACTAGATGGATGACTAGATGGCTGGCAGTTAAGTGGCTCTCGTTCGCGGGCGGTTGAGTACCTAGCTTTCGTCGGCGGGCGGTTGAGTCTGGTTGGGATCGAATGGGATCGAATGGAGAGCATATATAAGCAAGTCTGCGGCAAGTCTGCGGCAAGTCTGCGGCAAGGCAAGGCAAGGCAAGGCACAGTGAATTCCTCGCGGAGACTGGAGGCCAATGGGCGGAATGAAAAGTCGAGTGACCGCACGAAACATCAACTGCCCACTGAGTCTGAGTCCTCGAGCTCGCTCACCATTCAGGTCCTCGGCGCTCGTTGTCCCTCTGTGTACATACCGTGGCAACGGCACCTGACCGTATGGCGGCCGACAGTATGCACGTGACCTCTCCAACCACCTACCCCTAACCGAACACTGGGCACTGGGCACTGGGCAGCCAGGCGGAACCCAGCGGGTGCTGTGATGCATCACGGTTCACCTCGTACTCTTACTCTTACTCTTATTCTCCAGGTCTTTATACGAAGTCCGTTTATGCGGAACACCGACGGCTCTGCGCTGCTCTGCTCAGCTCTCTCGGGGCATCGCTGCCGGCGGGTATCATCTATATATTTTTGTGATTGCGATCACCAGCACGGCGTCTTCTCACCGCCGCCCAGCCCGCCGCCCAGCCCGCCGAGAGCGACGAAACGGTAGTGTTACGCGTCGTTTTTCTTGGGCGCCGTCGTTCTGTCCGTCTCTCTCCGTCTCTCTCCGTCCCTCTTTCCCTCCGTCTCTCTCTCTCCCTTCCTCTCGGCGTCGCTGCTTGGAACCCCCCTCCCATTCCAAGGCCCGAAATCGCCACGCGCTTCACCACGCCGAACGATTGGGCCTCCTCCCTCCTGCTCCCCTCCGCTCTCCTGCCCTAGACTAGACTAGAGTAGACAGATCAACGAAATCTGTTTCACCATCCCCCATGCACCGGCGGCGCACCGGCGTGGCCGAAAGGGGCATTGGCGTTGGCGCGCTGGCTTGGCAGCTTGCATTGTGTGCATTATGTGCCTTGGCGGACTGGGATGGGCTGGGATGGGCTGGGGTGAGGCTGCTCTGGGTTAATGTGGTTAATGGGCGGTCGGATCAGGGGTAATCTTGTTTTTTTCATGCGGACATGAGAGTTGGAGACATGTGCGGCTTGGGGTTCGGGGGAGGTAATCTGCTTTCGCGAGGTGAGGAAGGGGTGAGGCGGTGAGATGGGAGGGGAGAAGGATGAGATGGGATGGGGTGTTGGGGACGGGATGGAGGTGAGTGGTGATGGAGGGTGATGGTGGTTGAAGGTAGATATGAAGGCTCTGGACGGGTTCCGGATGGGAGTGATAGATAGTCGCTCTGCTTAGGCCTGAGGTTGAAGTAGACTCTCGCTAGCGACGTTTGAACTTTGAGTTGTTGCACAGCCTCTGCCCCGGCGCTATGGCCGCTTGCCAGCTGTGGTTGGTTGGTCGAACGTGGAAGGAAGAAGGGCGAGCCAAAATTGAAAATGAAAAATGAAAGTCCAGTCTGTCTGTAACTTGCGATCGATGCCCAATGCGTGAGCCTTGAGGCTGGGCGGGCGGGTATTAGAGATCCCCTTTCCTCTCCCCTACTTCTAGGTACTTCTTGAACTCCTCCCCCCCCTCCCCGACTTCTCTCGATTATTCTTCCACTCTTCTTCGTTCCGTACTCTAACCTTACCTACACTCCTTAATTGGGTCCGTTAAGACTCGTCCGCCCTCAGGCTCCAAACATCTGCAAAACTTTACTCTGCTTTCCCGATACTCATTCTCACCTTCTTCACTTATTCACATTTGCCTTTTAAATACACCATAATGCGTTGGGTCACTCTCCTTGCCGCGGCGGCCACGCTGATTGGCGCTTCGTCTGCCGCTGTCGAGACCATCACCATGAAGGACAGACACTTCTACACCTCGTCCGGAAAGCCCTTCTTCGTATGTATTCCTTGACTGAGTGACTGAGTGAGAATGCATGCTGATGGTGCATAACAGATCCGTGGAGTCGACTACCAGCCCGGAGGATCCGCCGATTTTGAGAAGGGCCACGACCCCCTGTCGGACATCAACACCTGCGCGCGTGATATCTACATGTTCCAGCAGCTGGGCATCAACACGATCCGTGTGTACTCGGTCGACCCATCGCTGGACCACGACGAGTGCATGACGCTGCTCGCGCAGGCTGGCATCTACCTGGTTCTCGATGTCAACTCGCCGCTGCAGAACGAGCACTTGAACAACCAGGAGCCGTGGACTACTTACACCCCGATGTACCTCGAGCACATCTTCTCGGTCATCGAGGTGTTCTCCGGTTACGCCAACACTCTCGCTTTCTTGGCTGGTAACGAGGTCGTCTTCGAGAAGGTCTCGGCCAAGACGACCCCCAACTACCTCAAGGCTATCGTCCGTGACATGAAAGGTTACATTGAGCGCCACGTCAGCCGTGTCATCCCCGTTGGATACTCCAACGCCGACGACTTGGACTTCCGTATCTCGCTCGCCAAGTACCTCGAGTGCGGTTCCGAGGGATACATCGACTTCTTCGGTGTCAATTCGTAAGTTCCGGCCATTCCATTTCCGTGGGAGAAAATCCTAGTTCCAGTCGCTGACATTTTCACAGCTACCAGTGGTGTGGCCACAATACCTTCGAGGGCTCCGGCTACGACAAGCTCGTTGAGGACTACACCGACTACTCTCTCCCGGTATTCTTCACCGAGTTCGGCTGCAACGAGTCGCCTCCGCGCCAGTGGGAGGAGGTCGACGCGCTGTACTCCGACAAGATGACCGGTGTCTTCTCCGGAGGTCTCGTGTACGAGTACACTCAGGAGGCGAACAACTACGGAATCGTCGACGTGGCGAAGAACGGGCAGGTGAAGTCACGCACTGACTTCATCGCGCTGCAGAAGGCATACGCCAAGGCGCCGTCGGACGTCAAGCTGCCCAAGGGCGCGACGGCGCCCAAGCGCCCCGCGAAGTGCCCCGCCGAGGACGACCCCATCTTCGAGAACATCACGGCGAACATGACGCTGCCGTGGACGCTCGGCGAGGACATGATCAAGAACGGCGTTGCGGACCTGGTCCAGCGCGGCAAGTTCGTGACCGTCTCCCAGCGCGCCACCGAGTACGGCATCATCATCGGCGGAAAGACCATCTCCGACAAGGAGGTCGAGATCACCACTAAGACCTCAGACCAGAAGGCGCTTGCGGCTGGCGGCCACGGCGAGAAGACCGGTGGCTGGAATGGAAACACCCCCGCGGATGCTGCTGCCTCCGCCGATGAGGCTGAGTCCGCCGCTGCTGCCACCCCCGTTCGCGGCGCTATGTTTGTCGGCTCCTTGTCGGCCGTCGCGCTCGCGTTCGGTCTGTTCTTGTAGATGCGGTGCGTGCTTAGTGTGTAATTGTGCCGGACGGTGGCTTCTTTTGGGTGTTCATATTTTGTGTATACATAAGCTTTTTGGTGTTTTTTCTCTTTAGAGGGCAATGTGGTTTTTCTTTCTTTTTTTATTTGTCGTTTCGAGCTTTTTTTTTTACTTCTTCAGTTTCAATACCAGAGCGGGGCGTTAAATACCCTGAGATTTTTCGTGCGAGATTTTGTCGTCTGTCGGTGAAGGGTGTGAAGTAAACGTTCCATCTGTTTTGATTTTTCTTGTGTTGCGTGGTGGTGGTGATGCTGGTGGAAGGGTGAATGGAGATTCGAGAAAGTAATTGAGTGTTGTGTTGTATCGATGAAGTGTTGTATCACAGCCTGCCGTACCGTATGTAAACTCAGTGACGGTGAAGGCCAAGAGAATAAAGAACGAGCGGGAAACTCCAAGCTTATATCCTCCCCAAGCCTCAATCGAGCGAGGGGAAGGGAAAGAAAGCTGACGTACCCACCGCGCGGTTACGTGAGTGCGTAGGTCCATGTCGTCGGCAATACGGCTTCATCCCCAGCGAGTGGGTGGGACGCGCGGCCGGCGGGACATGGGGGAGCACTCGGGTTATTGCTACAGGGGACGGGGATCGTGAGATGGTAGAGTGGAGTATATACATAAGGTGCTGCGTAAGTGCTTACTCTGCCTCGGAAATCGGGATTCGCATATCGAGGATTCGGGTATCGACTCCGTCTCTACTAGGCACACTGCGATTTCCCGATTGCCCACCTCCGAGTCTCCGGCTCCCGATCCCTGACTCCCGGAGTCTTCACGTACCATATGTAACTACTAGTAGAGTATCAGTACATATCACAGGTAAGTAGGTGCGACCGCTACCCGTCGAATACATAGAGTACCTGCCTACCTAGGGCGACAAACCATGGACTGCCGGGAGTTGCATCTACGGTTGCGGGTGCGGATATCGACATCGCGGTGTAACACGATACGCGATTCGATGAATGCGGGCGGGTGGATTGCGGGGTGGGGTAAAAGAGGCCAGACCTATAGTAGTACTGGCACTCGAGGGTTTATTGATGCATAACTAGTACTGTAATCTCTTCTCGTATACCTAGTTATATTCGCCGGATTCGATGTAGACTGGTAACTGCACTGGTAGATATTTAAATTTTATTGCCGGCTGTATCGTCTCGGAACGCTGGGATAGAATCGACGATTCCCTGAGTCTTCATCGTCCGGATAGGCACGAATGTCTCGGGCCGCAGGGGAGTAATAGTGGGCCCTTTCCAATTCCGTAGCTGGACTCTTCCGGCCCGTAGGCCTTGCGTCACCCTCCGACTGCGGTCTCGAGTCTCTTCTTCTTCTCTGCAACCTTCTGCACAGCTCAGTTGCCAATCGTGCAGTATTCGCAAGCTTTATTCGATAACTCTCCGCTCGTACGCTCCAAATTCGAGTCCTTCCTCCATACCAGACTGTCCAGTGATCGTCGCCAGCTTCCTCTAATCTGACTGCATCCGCCTTCTAGCGACGGGGGCCTTTTCCGGATTCCCGAGATCGTAAAAGTCTTCCTGGCTCACGTTGACTTCCTCGCATGTGTCGCTGTAAAATCATCATCTATTTATTGCTACCAGTAGTAATAGCACTCGAGGGCGTAATACGTATTGATATAGTACAGGAATCGCCTCTCGGATAGTAGCACTCGCCGGTGTCGGTGTAGATTGCACTGGTAGATATTTATTGCTGGCCAGTGTATCGTCTCGGAATGCTGGGATCGGATCGACGATTGGGCCGTGGTTCCCCCCCCGTACGTCTTCGGTGGAATTCTTTATTGCGGTGGTAGGTACTGTTGTGGGTACTGATGCCCTACGGGACACCAATCCTCGTAACTCGCCGTGCCAGTAGTAATGTAGAGTCTAAATGTCACTTATTCGTTAGGAATCGTGGCAAACAGTTTACTGGATAGAGGCACAGAACGTCATGAAAACTTACTTGTGAGTGAGGTGGGATGCCTGTGCAAATACCGGATTTTCTGAGGTTCCACTTCGGTACTCTCGAGAGTCGGGATTTGTCTCATGTTACTCATGGGATACTCAGAGCTGCGATGTGGTCGCCGTGGAAACGTTACCGCCACTTGGTCTTGATTCTGGTTCTCGTAGCCTTGCTGATTCTGGTTCTTATAGCCCCGATAGTACAGCTGATTCGGCTGGTTCTGATACATCGGCTGGTTCTTTTAGTTAAGCTGATTTTGCTGAAAAGCCGCGGCCACTTGGATCGGGTGTGTTACCATTTGTATCAAAGTTGTCCAAGACGCCGTATCCGGGTCAGATTCCTCCCCGCGGCCCCGCCTGTAGTACCTCCCGACGACTGCCCTATCACAGAGGCTACCACCTGACACCTTCAACATGATCCTCCCCACTCCGCTCAACATCGTCTCCACCTATTGCTCCATATAGGTCGCCTGCTCCTTCTCCTCCGTCTTAGGAATCGTGATTTGTCTCCGCAGCCCTCATCTTCTCCGTCCCCTTGCCCTTCCGATTCTACTCTTCCTCGGACCTCGTACTTGAAGATCTCGCACCATGAATCGTCTCCAATCTCAATTGCGTCCGTATCGTAGTCCGAGACTGGATTCCCGCCACGATCCTGCTTGTCGATCTTCCTGACTATCGAGACTACTAGTACCTTCTAGATTACCGCCCTTCCTTGGAGCCCCCAGGCTGAAGTCACCAATAAGACTCTCCGTATCCTACTACTTCTCAGTCAGCGATAGAGCGACTTGGCCAGCGTATTCAGCATACCAGAAATGCCCTTGCAGGACTCGACCAGCTCGAGAGTGTGTCTCGTGTACTTGGGAATCGACTCTCCACGCTTCCGCCTCAGGAATAAGACGTCTCCCATAGTGTCGTCGTCGTCGTCGCTATGCTCGTCGGTATGATAGTGCTCGAGTAATGCGGCCACCAGAAATTCGAAGTCTTCAGCGATCCCTGGCTCGCGTTCGCCGCCCGCGGGTGAAGCTGCGAACTTTTGTGCCGAGGTGGGGAGTCAATATGGCGCTCTTCGCCTTGGCCTGATGATTGATCCGCTGGATCGGTGAAAAGATTATTCTCGAGCTTGGTAACCAAGGTGAAATTGCCGATAAATTCCTGGACATTCTCGCCCCCAAGTCCTCCGAAACGACAGATACTGATATATGCCTTGTCATGAAAGATTGCTGGGGTGCGGGTGATACGATCGTGGCTCGTCTTCCTTCTCCAAGCTCACCCCGTATAGGCTGGGTATCTCGTCTTCTAGGGTGAAGGCCGCAGCAGCAGCAGCTGAGATTCGCCCGGGTTGGAATCTTGGAAGCTGTCAGCTGTGCTTTCCGCCGTCTGCGTCCTTCTCCGCCGTGTATGTCTTTTCCGCCGTCTGTCGATTCACACGATAGTACTAATAGGAAAATTGGACCTTTTCCATCTATCAGGCTTTACGTACCTGGGTTTGGCGCACCAGATGAGAGACCCTCGACGGGTGCAAGCGAATGTAGACCGTGATTCAATCGAAACGTGGAAATAAAAGAGGTTTATGAACTTTTGTGGATAGGTGTCCGTGGTGCTGATAAAAATGTCTGATGTGTTGAATAAGAGACCGACCAACAGACAAACCAAAAAGCAGCAACAAAAAAAAATTCAACGTTCAACGACCGTATCGGGTCTGCCCGGCATGACACATAGGTCCCTCCAGACCTCTGCTCGCCGCAACACAGAGCCGCCTCGGACCTCGCGCTCCCACAATAGGTACTTGGGCGAGTGCTTTCTGATGGCGGCCTTACCAGGTACTATCTGAGCACCGTAAGTTTGGTGGGTTGTATTGGGGGCTGTCAGCTCCTCTTAACTCGCAGAATATCCGCACCACTATGTGGTTGATATGATACTACCATCTCCGCCGTTAATACACCATCGATCACCACAAAACAACCCAGAACCTGTCTCTTCGGCGCCGAGCCCGCAAGTACAAAGCACTGGCTCACGAGGAGGTGACGTGGAAACATCTCCGACGCCCCTCCCAACGAGGAGAAAACATGCATACCGCTTGATTAGAGCCTTGTAGCGGTACCGAGATGACAGCGTCCAGGTGCCTTTATAGGTAGATGTTTGACGATGGTGATCGTGTATCACTCTCGAACACAAGTCTGCTTCATCATCACATCACTCGTCGAAGCCCAGGTCAACCAGAACGAATGCTCCCTAGTTGTCGGGGCGTATACGGACAAAAATGAGCACCGTGTCTACCGGTATTCGACCAAATATGAGTAACGTGTCTAATCGAACGAAAATGGCCGGACGCCGAGAGGTTGGAATAAAACATTCCTATGGGGATTACTGATTACCTGCTGTAGGCATAATTTCTTTCGACGTTGTAGAAGAATATATTCACTGGCAAGATGGGGCTGGCGCCTATGATCTGGATGCTGTTGGCGGCGGCTTTTGGCGGCGGCCGTATGCTCGGAAATCGTTAAGGAACCGTGCATCTTGCAGCTGTCCCTCCCACCCGCATCGCATTATATTCCCTCTTGTCCCCTTCCTTTGCCCTGCGTTCATACCCCAATGTACGTCACAACCCACACATTCTATAAGAACAATATCCACGCCTACGGTACACACATCACTACCTCCGACAAACGACGAGCTTGCTGCTGCTACTACAACAACGAAGCACCCCCACATCCTCTCCTCTTCTATCTCCCCTACCACAACAACAAGCTGTCCCTCCTCCCTCCTCCCCGCACAACAACAAGAACAACAACAAGCTGTCCCTCCTCCCCCACCTCCCACCCCCCACCCCCCCACAACAACGACAACAACCGTTGGAACCAGAATGGCCAGCGAAAGCATCTTCAATACAGGTACGCCTAGCGGAGACGCAGCCGCCACAGCGGAACAAACCAAAGCACCACCAGCCATTGTCGAAGATTCTTGGGTCAACAACTGGGACTTGAACGTCCTTCACTGCGGATCTTGCGAGAGACCGTTTGTGACTAAAGAACGTCTCTCGGACCACATGCGTGTCTGGCATTCTGCCGGCTCACCGTCGCTACCGCCGTACGAGAAGCCTGCATCGAGTTTTACGGATGTCGTCAACACCCCGAGCGTAACCATCGTCAACGGTGGAGACTTATTCATCGAGACTACGGTTTCGGACGATTATCGATCTCCTGATGGCCCCGTACCCCCGGCCAATGTTCGTTTCCTGGTATCCTCATCGGTTCTCTGGGCGGCCTCGCGAGTCTTCAACTGCATGTTCGGCCCCGATTCTCCCTACCAAGAAAGGATCGATCTACGGCAGTCATGGATCACGGGACTTGGAGGTCCGTCAGTAGTGGAGCTTGACGACGATCGCGATGGCCTCCAATACGTTTTTAATGCTTTGCATTACCGACATGGGCTATTTCGACATCCCAGTGTGCTGCTGATGGCAGCCGTATCAGCCATTACTGAAAAGTATGAACTGCACACTGCAATGCAGCTCATCGCCGACGAGCATTTCCGGCCACTGGTATAAGTCATCACGAGTAGCTACGGCAACTGGCTGATTACGTCTTACATCTTTGGATATCACGATATATTTAGAAAATCGTCACTGGAATTAATTCTCTCCAGAGAAAATACTGTCTCAACAACTGTCAGTATTTTTACACCGGAAAGCGTGACAGGTAGTTCTTATCGAGCCAAACCTTTCTCACCACTGCTTTCTCTGACCATCTCCGAACAGATACGATAATGGAAAAGCCGAAGCTCATCTTCCACGAACTGAGCGAATACGTGCATACAGTCGAAGAGCAGCGCCCGGTCACAACCCCAGCGATGCGATCGAGTATGCGTGCTCAGCTCGAAAAGGTCTCCATGAGACGTACCAGCTTTCAGCTATTGGAAGGCGCTCGGAACAACGGTTTGCGCAACTATACGACGGAAGCCTGTGGTTCCAGACCCCTTATGTTGACCTTCCCGGATGGCGCACCGCACAACTCATGCTTGTTTGTCCCAAACATTCAAGATTTCATGATCACCCTCATGTGTTCAGTCCAAGGATTAGAACTTTCTGAATTCCCATCAGCCGCCGGGAGGAACAACTAGTGCTCTAGTACTGGTTTCACGAACACAGACTCGCAGCAGTTGAGCATCGGACTGTCCACTTGGCAAATGGGGCTCGAATCTTGAATTTCGGCCAATGGTTGTTTTTAGTTTCCATTTTTACTGCAATTTTAGAGCGTATGTCAAACTCTAATCCTCCAAATTTTGCAAGTGTCTAATCTCGTCACTCGATCAGTAGCTCGAATTACTTAGCGAGAGGGGTTTTGAAGTTCGCATTTAGGGCAATGGTTGTCTCTGATTTCAATTTTACTGCAATTTCAGTGCGTGGGTTAAACTCAAATCCCCCAAATTTTGCCAGTGTCTAATCCCGTAGCGCAATCAATAGTAGCTCGAACTGGCCACGCTCTTCGCCGTCTCTACACATGCCTTTCGATCAAACAAACGAAAGTCGTCACTACCTAGATGTGAGTACTGAGATAACATCGATGGAATAGGCTCAAGCTGCGTGCTTTCACACCGTAACGCCATTCTGCCGCACTGTCTCTTCGTCATCCGAAACTCACGTGCCTATGGGCCCGAGTAATCGGATGAGCAGATATCCTTCAGCATGGTTACATGTATTGTCTGTCATCTGTGGGGTAGTTCATACAAGGCTATGGGGGTTTGCGAATTGGTGTTGGTTGCGAACTGGGCCGATTAGTTTGCGTAAATAATGGCGGGGTTAAGCGGGACAGATTACCGATATATCTCTTTCCAACGTCTCCACGAGCCCTTGGGTCAAACGCCGGAATAGAAATGATTTGTACCTTGTCCAAAATGCGATGTATGTAGGGTTTTGCTAGGGAAAACACCAGGAACTGGTGGTGGTAGAATGCGCTTTACAACCTACCGCCAACGTGACCGCTGTAACCTGCCAGTCATTAGGAGCGGTTTGCCATACCGGTAGAATTAGCGCGCGTGTTTGTGGTTCAGCTACAGCTATCGTAGTCTTAACAGGCTTATAGACGTGAAATAAAATGGATGCCCTTCCTCCCCGCTGTTGCGCTGTTGTTTGCCTCTTTTGGTCCACACTGCATACTCCACACTCCACTTTCCACACTCGACGCTCGACACTCCAGGCTCCAGACTCCAGACCCCAGACTCCACATTCCACACTCCACACTCCACTCACTCTTCACTCACCAGTTTCCACTTTGCTCCATCCTCCCTCTGTCTTGACCAATAACCTACGCTTCCATTGCGACACCCCCTCTGGATTCTGAACACCAGAGCGCATCACGCATACCTACAAACACCAAGTTGCCGCTGCAGTAGTAAGTAGCATTACAACAGCCGCCGACATGTCACACATTCCCACCGCAGGAGGTAGCGAGAAGGAAACCACCAGCAACTTCCTACCGGATTTGACGCATCGCAATGTGGATGAGATTGTGACAATTGTTCACGGCGGGGACTTATTCATCGAGGTTCTGGTCGCGGACAGCTCTGAGATCTAAGGCGGTGATGCGCCCTCCAAATCGGTCAGATTCCAAGTACTAGCGTCAACCCTCTGGTCGACTTCGCGGGTATTCAACTCCATGTTCGGTCCGGAATCTCACTTCCTAGAAGCGATTGAGCTCCGGCGGTCGAAGATCCCAGAACTCGGATATCCTCCGGCCGTAGTCGCCCTCAACGACGATCCAGATGCTCTGGAGTACATATTCAATGTACTCCACCACCGACAAGAGCGTCTTCCGGAGGTCGACCAGCCGCTGATGGTGGCGGTGGCTGCGATTTGCGATGAATACGAACTTCACAGTGCGCTGCAGCCCGTCGCCGACAGAGTTTTCCTACCTCTAGGAGAAATCGCCTCGGAGGGCTTCGGCGACTGGATATTCATTGCGTATGTCTTCGGATACGAGGATCTGTTCGCGAAGGCGTCGCGGGAGTTGATTCTCTCCAACCAGGAAACAATTTCAACTATCAATGTTTACACACCCCAAAAAGTGACAGGTACGTATTTATCATCAAGCCGAACCGGTGTCACTACTTTCTCTAACCATCTCTCAACAGAAACGATTACTGAGAAGTGGACGCTCATCGTGAGCGAGCTGAGCCACAAATTGGAGTCGATCCCGGGGAACATGTACCCACAGTGAGATGCACGAGACTGGTTAGGAATACGAACAACTACGGCGAACTCTCATGCGAGATGGGTCAGTCCTGGCAGTTTTCTCGCGCGTTTGTCCGCAGTCAACTCTCTGGAAACATCGAGCACCAGAATTTGAGCGAGTTTTGGAAAGAAATTCAAATTCTTGAACCAAGGTCCGACTTTAATTATCATTTCAACCTCGACGGCGGCCATTACGCATGTTCATGGGTTCCGGGCTTCCAAAAGTTTGTACAAGCCCTTATGGGCTCAGTCGAAGCCATACTCTCCGATTTTCCCTCAAGCAAAAGGAACCACAAATAGGTGTGTACTACCAGTCTTTCTCTACTCCTTCAAGTTCTTCCGCTTCCACCACGACGATGGATTGCTGATTTACCTACTGTAGTGTGGACGGAATCTTTTTTTAGCGGCCATGACGTTAAGCTCAATTTTTTTTTGTGTGGCTGTGGCGAGTAGTCGCGTGTTTTTTTAGCAAAGAAAGGTATTCACAGTGTTTTTCGGTATGATCCCCTACACCAAAATGCGCCCTTTTGGAAGGAGCAGCACATTCAGTTAGAAAACTTGCTAATTTTCCGGTGGATCAGTTCGATGAAGTTTCGCCATCATTGTTTTGCAATGTTTACGCGTTTCGAAATAAGAGTATAGTTACAGAAGAAGAAAATCGGAGATCTAGCAGTATCCAATCACGAGTCGATCAAATGTAGAACCAGCAGCGTCCGCGAGAAAGTTACAATCCTCTCCGCCCTCCACCTCGTCCTCCTCCTTGATTTCTATCAGCTCCTTCTCCTCATCGGCTCCCTTCTGGTTCGCGTCAACTTCCATTTCTTCGGCGGCGGTGGCGGCAGCGTCGGCGTCAGCTTCGTCCTCAATCGCGGAACTGGCGGTGAGATACTCGGTTAGCAAGGCAAAGATTTCGAGGTACTCGATGAAGGACTCAATGGTCTTGTCCTTGGGATTGGGGATGAAATAGTTGGCGCTCATAATCTCGTCGTTTGGTGAATTTTAGTGGCGGGCGATTTGCTTTTAGTTGCGACTTGTTGAGCGGTGGGTTTTCATGCGTTTGATGGTGTGAGAGGAAGAAAGGGGAGATAGAGAAATGGGAGAGGAGGAATCTGGAGGGGCGAAAAGAAAAAACTCATAAGGTGTTTGGAGCTGAATCGCTCTTGAGAGCCACTATTGAGGCTTGTCTTTTTTTTTCCCTGCCCCCTTATTGAGGCTTGTCGTTGTCGCCGAGACAGCTGATATCACTCGCATATCGAGTGATCACGGGGGAAACGCCCCCCGAGAACCACGCAGCAGTGGGCAGTTACGACAGCTTGGGTTCCATAAATAGCCTCCAGTACGGAGAGACTAAATCTTACATTCTTACGGGAGGGCATGTTGCGTATCATTGCCTCGAGCCGCAGTAGGCAAGTCCATGGTTAGTGGAGCTGGCTACAGCCCACGACTCGACTGAGTCAGTCAGTGTGTTTTCCCATCAGGATATTGGACGACTCCCTGGAACCAGGGATATGAGCGTGGTTGGCTGTGTGGTTACATGGTCCTCACTCGGCCTTGATCCCGCATATCGTGTATCTGGAAAAAAATAACGTCAATATCCGAGTGACATCCCGACGACAAACCGAAACAACCCATAGTTCTCGCTGACTTTTAGCAGCAAATCTACTAATGGCGTTACCAACACTATCTCGCTATTCTTTCTCTATATACTTGTATATAGGTACACGGCATCTCTGGAAAGGCGGAATCCGAGTGAGATTCTATAGATGCCGGCACGGCGGAGCTATAGCGCTCGTGATTATTCTACCGTGAGCCCTGAGATCTCGGCAAAAGTGCTCTAGGAAGAGCGTGGAAGGAAACGGAAGTGTGACGTTGGACATCTTCGATGTTACCATAGCCGGCGAGCCGTGCTTAACGCTTGTTAGGTTCAGAATCTGAGGGGGTGGGTATTCACACCACAGCTAGTGCTATATCCGCGGAGGGTTGTGGCGGAGCTGTTGGTGAGAGAAGGAGTTATCAGCGAGAGGAGGAAGTGATGGAGGAGCTGCCAGCGAGAGGGGAACTCTCAGCGAGAGGAGGAGCTATTAGCGAGAGGAGGAAGTGATACTGCTCGTAAAAGGGTCCAGCAGGGCGAGTAGTAGTGGGAGGAGACAGTATCCGCGGCGGGTGGAGCAATCCGAGGAGAAGTAGAGCTAGTAGCAGGTACCGTATTAAACCGAAGTTGTGTAGAATCCAGCTTCTGCATTGAACCGGTCGGTAGGCGGGTAATGACTGCAGCTAAAGACGGTATTTCTGTGGCCCAAAGTGTTGGTAAGGTATTCACAAAGTTGTCGTGGGAACCGGTGTTCTCGCAGAATACTTCATCTTCACAATATAACAGTGACGGATTGTTGCTGAAACAATACGGCAACTCCTAAAGTAGCCTGCCCGCAAATGTAGTATTTAGATAGGCTCGCGTAGTCATACGATCAGGCATTTGTCACCAGCATTTTTGATAAATGTGCATTGTAAACAAGGGTGCGCAGTGTCACAACTATAGCAAGGCGACAGGATTTCAGGCACGACGCATTCGTATCAATCCAAATCCCATTGAGCTCGGTATTCTTAATCGATGCTGAAATTGCATAACTCGAGTAACACTCCTGTCCCGATAACACCACCGTTTTGCCATAGTAGGTATGAGTCATGACTACCCTTGTGTACATAGGTTTCATGCTGCAATGAGACGGTACTTGGAGGGGGTGGATGCACCGTGTATCCTCCCTGTCAGCGCAAGCACGTAGGTACTCGTATTTCTGTACCGGTATTGGACACTACCGTCATCAAGTCACCTCCAAGCTCGATCCATTGCCATTGTAAAGTCACTTTCGCTTTTCATCTATTGGCTCTCTCGCTTTCATGAATCTGTCGGTATCCTGGCCGATCAATATCGGCCATCCGTGAGGAATGTTTTCGAGGAGGTTACCAAACGGTGCTGGTTTGAAAGTGGAGTCGACCGGTTGGCCTACCGGCGGAGTTTGTCTTTGCAAAGCGAGGAGAGTAGTCGCCACAACGGAAATGGTTACACGAGGAACCGATGCTGACTCGTGAGATGCGCCGTGAGGCTGGCTTTGTTGTAGGCGAGCGCTTAGCTACCCCAGCTACCCCACCGTTGTATCTCGTCCCTCCACCTCCATCTCCCCCTTCCTTCCATACCCTCTCCGATCCAGTCAACACCCTGACCTCCATCACGACTCTCACTCTAGAAGCTTGCCATCGGAGCGTATCGCAGCCTCCTACGCACGACAAGCTCGCCGTGGCAAACGTGAGTACAGAACCACCTTCAGCACGCCTACCTCCGGCGGCGATGGAACCACTGTTAATTTTCCTACACTAGGATCTCTTAGCTCGGAAGTTGATAGACTGAACGAGAAGACGGAACACGTTGAGATCAAACTCGCACCATCACAGTTCATTGATGACTCCTGGATCGAAGGCTGGGACATGACCATCATTCGCTGCGGATACTGCACGAGACCGTTTCCGACGAAGCAAAGACTCGCAGACCACCTGCGTGTATGGCATTCCTTCGACTCACCGCCCATAGAGCCTTATAAAAAGTTCCTACCGGATTCCACGCGTTTCGATGTAGATCAGATCGTGGCAATTGTCAACGGCGGGGACTTGTTTATCGAGGCTACGGATCCGGACGGTTCTAAAGTCGATTTCAGGTAGTGGCATCAGCTCTCTGGATGACTTTTCGGGTTTTCAACTCCATGATCGGCCCGAAATCTCGCTTCCAAGAGGCGATCAAGCTCCGGCGATCATATATCTCGGGACTCGGAGATCCTCCAGTCGTAGTGGCTCTTGACGACGATCCAGATGCTCTGGAGTACATATTCAATGTACTCCACCACCGACAAGAGCGTCTTCCGGAGGTCGACCAGCCGCTGATGGTGGCGGTGGCTGCGATTTGCGATAAATACGAACTTCACAGTGCGCTGCAGCCCGTCGCCGACAGAGTTTTCCTACCTCTAGGAGAAATCGCCTCGGAAGGCTACGGCGACTGGCTATTCATCGCGTATGTTTTTGGATACGAAGATCTGTTCTCGAAGGTGTCACAGGAGGTGATTCTCTCCAACCAAGAAACAATCTCGACCATCAGTGTTTACACACCGCAGAAGGTGACAGGTACGTATTTATCACCAAGCCGAACCGGTATCACTATTTTCTCTGACCATCTTGACAGAAATGTTAATCGCAAAGCGGACGCTCATCGTGAGCCAACTGGTAGAAAGATTGATTTCGATCGGATATGAGCGCATGATTAAGCCCGGAGAGCCTCGACCGACCGTGAAATGCAAAGCCACCTATAGTGGCGACACAATGTGCGAATTCCTTCAGTTCGGACACTTCGTTGGGACGCTTGCCAGCGGACGGCTGTTGGAAAACATTCCGAATAAGAGTTTGCTCCAGATTTGGCAAGATTTCGAAGCCATTCAACCCGTTACACTACCTCAAATACGTACTAATTTACATGCCGGCTCATGTTCATGGGTTCCGGAATTCAAAAGTTTTATGCGGACTCTCATAGAAACGGACGAAGACTTGAAACTCTCCGATTTTCCCTCGAGCAAACGGGACCACAAATAGGGTACTTAGACCCCCCTCCACTCCGTGCGATGGCTTGCTTACTTACTTTGATTAAGAGACTTCCGAGAAGCGAAGTTTTTGTGTTTTGGATGCAGGGCAATGCTGTTCGTCGTTTTTCTCATGTCCTTTATTGTCAGAGCGAGCATTACCCCCACCCTTTCCCCCTTCCCCCTTCCCCCTTCCCCCTCCCCCTCCTCCTAAATGCAAGGCTTCGTACCATCGTTTCTGTCCGGTTATGAGTGAATTTTTGTATCTCTGCTCGATTCTCATAGTGATCGCCTGTCAGAAGAGTGTAGAAGGATTTCGTGTTTAGTCTCGTCCTCGCGATGTGAATTATTCAGCTCAGAGTCGTGTGTCTCCTTAGTCAAGAGTCGTGGTGATACCCTAACATGACGGCGGGAAATCCGTCGAGGGACCCAAAAACCGGTGATGGTTCAAAATCTTGATCAATTCCAGAAAAACTCAAAGGTAGCGATAGTGATACAAGGTGATGATCTAATGAGGACCAGAGACCGACGGCAGGCAGACAGAAGTAGTGACAACAGAGATAGATAAACGTTGGGCGATCGCATCGGGCCTGGATCAGGTCCCGCCAGGTCTCAATAAGGTCTCCTGTCTTCGGCGCTCACCGATGACACCAAGCCGCCTCTGCCTCCGCGCCCCTAACTGTAAAACTAGGTAGTCGTGATGAAGAGAGCAAGAAGGGGGTGACAACAGTGCTGCATAACGTACATACCTCACGAGATGCCCGGCTCGCCGCTTTAATCACCTTCTCGAAGGGCTAGATGTGGTGCCAACACAAATCCTACTCATCTGAAACCTGCTGTTTCGCACCAGAGTACCCCAAAAGGAACGAATACAGAAGCAAATACGGCGAAATAAAAAAACTCCCCCCCCCCCCCAAAACTCCGCTATCAGCAGAAACAGGATCAAATCAACCTCCCTACTCCATTTCGCATCTAATGGTCTAGTATACCCCCCACTAAACCCTCCCTCTCCCCTAACTAGCACCCCTCCTCGGGTCTCCCCTCACCTCGAGGGTCTCCGTCCACACCCTCCTCTCCACCTCCTCGCTACCCTCTCTGGGCCTCCTCCTCTCCATCTCCCTCCCGTGGCACCAAATCTTGGCCCTCTCCGCGAACCAGTAATCCTCCGCACCCAGGCGCCAGGGAAAGCTTCCACAGCTGTTGTCCCTGACAAGCTTGTCTACCTCTCCGGCCCCGTCGATTCCCACATCGACGGTGACGGCCGCGCACACGAGCCTGATGGCCATGGCGCGGGGGTTCTCGATGCCTCCCGGGAACTGGAGGAACGAGACGAGCTCGTCGAGCTCGTCTCCGTCGATGCCGGTCGCACGGTCGACGCGGCCCGAGTCTTCCTCGTCGCACCGGGTCGATCCGCGCTGGACTGAAGAGAAGATACTGGTAAACCCGTCGCGCTCGGGAGAAAACATATAGTTTATCTCGCGGTTGAAGAGGCGACGGGCCTGCGCACTGGAGTACGGCTGGTCGCTCGGCTGGCGGATGCGGTAGCCCAGTGCCACCCCGTGGAAGCGGCCATCCGGACGGTGCTCCGCCGCACCGTAGCCGCGGACTACGTTGTGGGAGAACCCCACTTCCAACACAGCTAGGCTGTACGGAACGTAGATGCGCACGAAGATGCGGCCGGTGCATCCGCCGGACTGCGAAGCGTACTCCGTGTGAACTGCCAATGTTCCGTCGCCGACGGAACGGCAGAACGACTCCTCGATGCCGGACCAGAGCAGGAGATCGTAAGGCGCATCACGGGAGACGGTGCGGAGGGAGTCGGCGGTCGTCGTGCCGTTCTCCGGGGGCGAGTATGTCTGCTTGGACTCGAGCTTGAGGCGGAAGATGAGGAATTGCTTCCAGGTCCATTCGTCGTGATCTTCTGGAAAGGGGCTTGGGAGGTTCCAGCATGCAGCGGCGAGGGCCTGGTAGGATGTCGTGCGCATGTCGACGGGTGAGGGGGGTGAGCGGCGCCAGGAGAGTTCCTTGGATCTCATGTATGGTCGGAGCAAGTATGTCCAGACATCCTGGTCTGAGCGGTGTACGAGGTAGAGAGTGATGTTCTCAGCTTTGTGCAGCTGTGGGAGGAGCTCCTTATGTAGAGCGACGTCGTCGTAGTACAGGCGGTAGAAGTAACGGCTTACTCCGAGTTCGTCGATGATTGAGCGCTGCATTCAATTTCAGTTGATGTTACTGCAGAAGAGGAAGAGAGGAACCAACAATACTAATGCCATTCTCGAGGTTCTTGATGGGAACATCCACACTCTCCTTCTCTCCCCATACGTGAACAGCAGAGGGTCCAATCGGGATGACAGTGATGTGAGTAGCGATGGGAGGTAGCAGGACCTCGGGCATAACGGGTCCAGCGGGAATGCGAAACTTCTCTGCCATGATCTCCTTCTGCTCTTCCTCACCGGCGAAAAGAGAGAGTGTAGCAATGACGTTCGGCATCAAAGCAAGTTGTTGAGGGGAAATCGAGCGGAGGTGAGGTGGAAGCCGAGCAACGAGTGCCCTCGGGAAGTTAGGGACAGTGGCCGTGGCTGCTGTTTGAGTGGTGTTGGTGGTGCTCATCATATAGCGTTGTCGTGGTTCGAGACGAGTAATGGTTGGGATGGAAAGAGATGGAAAGGCACTTGACCTCGTGGTATCGGGGGATGTATCGAAAGTTGTCGGGGTGAAGAGAAACTTGTAGTTGCTATCGCTGTTGTTGGTGTTGTCGTACGGAGAAGCAAGAGAGGACAAGAAGGAGATGGAGAGGATGGATTTGGAAATTTGTGGGGTCGAAGTTGTCGGGGTGCAGAGAAACTGTAGTGGCGGTAGCTTTTCTTTGTCGATAATGTAAGGAGAAGGAGGAGAGGAAGGAGAGGAGGGAGAAGGAGGAGAGGTAGGAGAGGGAAAGGATGGCTCTTGTGATTCGCGGGTTCCTAGCCCATCATACTTGCTCACTCACGCATCTCGGACGCTAGTACACAAACCTTAAATTTTTGGATCCCGAAGGACTATGTAGGTTGCAAACCTAACCAAGTATAAGACATCGATTTCCATTTCAAGCAAGACAAAGCAAAAACAAATGATATATCCGCACTCCTATGCCCTGACCAGGGCCTCAAACTCCCTCAACCAACCCTTCTCAAACCCTTCCTCTGAGAACCTCTCCGCACTCTTCCTCGCCCTGCGCCTTACCTCCATAACCTCACTCTCAGGCATACTCAGAGCCTCCTCGAAAGCAGCCGCAAACTCTTCAACAGTGGTAGCATGGAACCCGGTCTTGCCCCCTTCCACCTCGATAACGATATCCATCTTCGGCCCCCCGGAGTTGTGGACCACCCCCACCAACCCGGCCGCCTGATACTCCACAACCCCGATACCAAAGTGCTCGTTCCACATAGCATTGACCCCGACCCACGCCCTGCCCAACCACAATAGCACATCCGCCCACGGTGCGTCTGTCACAAACTCAACCTGATCCTTAACCATCATCTCTCTCGCCTGCAGACGCAGATCATAAACCCTCGTCGCGTCCTCAGAGTGTCTCACACTGCCCACGAGCACCAGCCTCGCATCCTTGTGCGCCTTCGTCTGCTTGTAGAACCTCGCAAAAGCATCGATCAGGAGCTTGTGGTTCTTCTCCGGTCGGAACTGCGCGATGCAAAGCAACACCTTTTCCCGCGGCTTATCGTCGCGCGCGGGGATCTTCCGCTGCAGCTCCGTCACCGCGCACGGAGGGAAGACAACGCTCAGGTTGGGATTCCCCCAAAGCGCGCGGACGTGGCCTGCCGTCCACGAGGAGTTGACCATAACCCGGTCGACGTACTTTCCACACCCCTTGTAGAGCGTCGCGAATAGCTGCCAGTACTGCCGCTTGATCTTTGTGCGAATGTCGGTGGTTCCTGATGGTAGAGACTCCAACATGTCGGTTGAGATGGTGGGGTAATGCACGTATGCTGCTGTGGGGATGTTGAAGAGGAGCTTTGCTAAGGCCACAGTGAAGGCGTAGCCCATCGTGTCGATGTAGATGTCCGGTACGAGTAGGGAGAACGCATCCCATGCGAGCACGAGGGATCCGAGAGACTGGCCGAGGAGCGTGAAGTGAGGCCAGGTCGAGGCAGCGACATAGCGGCGGGTAGAGAGGTAGAGGAAGATGACTCGTTCCGAGTCGAGAGTAATCGAAAAGCGATCCTATAACCGTGTCGCTGTCAGCCCTACTGCCAGGAAAGGGGCAGCAATGTGGATGGGTCGCACCTTAACGCGTGAGAGAATCTGCTCCTTGGACGCATCCTGATCGCCCGTGTAAACAATACTCATAACATTTGGGTAATTCTCCTGCACCGCGCGGATGGCGGCCCAAAGAACACGTTCCCCACCACCACCGGCATTACTATCCCCGTGTCAGCAAACCCTCTCCCCCTCCCACTCACTGTCCACTGTTCCCCCACACATACCAATACGGATGAAAGAACCCCACAATCTTCCCGTCGCCCCCCGCTCCCAGCTTCCTAAGAATAACCTCGCGCTTTGCCGCAGTGCGCCGGAGGAGATGCGAACCGAGGCGTCGCAGGAGAAAGCCCAAAACCACGTAGTAGAAAAAGAATGATAGCACCAGCGCGCCGATAGCGCTGCTGCCGACAGTTGAGGCGAGGGACATGATGAATTGTCCCTATGTCGAGTCGCGCGTGTAGTGGTACGGTGTGCACGAGGGTTGGCGCATGGACACTCTAGAGTAGCTGCTGAGGGAGCTGTGGATGACGTAGAACAGGGCGAGGGTTCGGAGAGCGGGTAAATCTGCGGATCGGGATACCCGAGCTTCCGGGCTCCTTCGATCGGCCTTCTTGCACACCACGCTTGTGGTAACTAGGGAATCAATAGGTTGCGCACATAAAGATGAGATTTATTTACTCAAGTGCACTGGAAAAAATGTGGGTTTATTGCTAAAGGCTGGGGAACTACTGCGAGACCCAAAAACGTGTGAAGGTTCAAAACCGTGCTCAATTCGAGAAAAAGTTCCGAAGCAATGATGATGACACAAGGTGATGACCCGATGCTGATCAGAGACCGACGATAGGAAGACAGCAGTAGTGACAACGGAGACAGATAAACGTTGAATGGCAGCATCGGGTCTGGATCAGGTTCCACCAGGTCTGAATAAGGTCTCCTCGCTTCGGCGCTCACCGATGACACCAAGCCGCCTCTGCCTCCGTGCCCCTCAGTGTGTATTCTTCGAGATTGGTTGAAGCCGGCAGTCCTCTGGATCAATAACATCCCTTTTTGATAGTATTCATCACTCATAAGTACCTTCGAAGAGTTGGCAAATACATAAATTCAGACACGAGAAACCTACTTAAGTACTCAAAGAAAATGGAACTGAACAGCAATAGATTCATGCAAACGATTGCGAACCGAATGAAGCATCGGCACACTCGTAAGTACCCCCTAAAGCGTTCGCCCCTCTCACTCCTCCCTAACTCCCTCACTCCATAGAAACATCGAAAGCAAATACATGCGATAAATAGGATTATATGAAAAGCAGTACGAGAATATGTCGTGTCATCGAACTAAATGCAAACTACATAAGCAAATGTGAAGATTTATATTATGTGGCCCTCAGATCAGGGAATTGTCCGCACAGGAGAAGACCATTCCTCCGGCTTCGCGCTTCATAGCTTCCCCGGAAGAGTAGAGTCCGAGAATCATCTAGAATCTTTAGTACGTAGAGAGAAATGGTGGAGTTCCTGGTACTCACGATGGTTACACCTAGGGGAATGATGGCAGCATTGAGGATGGTCAACATTGTGTTCCACTTTGTCTTGAACCAATTGCCCCTGTTCATAAAGAGCCAGAGATATCCGCTGACGCCGTCTGCGACGTTTTAGCAGCTGAATCCGCACCTTCAATAGAGGAAACTTACAGGTGAACCACGAGAGGAAGAGCGCGCTCTGAGGAACAAATCAGCATCCACCCACCGGAAAGGAAACCCAAAGACCTACGATCAAGCCCAACAGATTGTTGAACACGGGAATGGCGCTGGCGATGATCCAGGCCACGAGCCAGAGAGCGGAAAGAATAGCGACCCAGATGGAGTATGACTTCCAGCAAGTCGAACGGACCAGCTCCCTTGGGACCAGACGGATGTAGAGGTATTTCTCCTTGACGTCAGTGTTTTTCTTGCGGTTCACTGAGGAATGGCGCTTACAACGGCGACATGACCATTGATGACACCGGCAATGACGATGGTCGGCAGGGCGATGCCGTATGCGATCTTTGCCAGCAATGGGCCCGTGCTCCCGAGTGCGGGAGATCTGACGTCGTCGCCGGTGTAACAGTAGATGACGACAGCGGTGACGGTATAAAGGATCGTGTCGGTGATTTGAAGGGTGTAGAGTGCCTGGGCGAATGATTAGTCCCTGGATGAGCTTCTTCCAATTGAGATTACCTTGTGGAACTCCTTCGGATCCTTCATCTCGGAGAACAGGGTGAAAAAGGCGACATGCCCAGCTACTTTTGTCAGTCCCGTATCATGCTGCATCAGCCGCGGCCGAACTCACCATAGGCAAAAATGATATTCGTCACAGCTCCAAAGCCCTCATACAGTTTAATTCCAGAGTTGAAGATGCGAAGAGAGACATCCTTATCAGAAACACCGACACCGATCATGCAGATGAAGACGGCTGCCAAAACAGACGCGGATGAGAGGTAGGACATGTACGACATCGCCTTCATGGTCCTGGGCAATGTGCAGATCAATGAGATGGCGAAACCCGCAATCGTGAACCAGATTGTGCAGGTGGCGTGATCGGTGAGCACGTTCATCATGATGGAGAAACTGAGGATGTGGGCGCCCATGACGAACACTAGAAGCGCAGGTCAGTATGGTGGGGTTTGATCAAGACATCAGGAGTTTTATCCCACCTAGAAAAAGTAGCTGTCCCAGTGCGAAGATCTCATATCCCCATCGTCCAGCAATAATGCCTCCCGCTTCCGCGAAAGTGTGGACCTGTGGGTATCGTAGTTTGAACTGGCCAAGAACATATCCGGTGTATGTTGCGAGGATTCCTAGGCCGACCAGTAGAATGATGCCGCTATGAGGGTATTAGAATCGACATCCAGCCGGAAGTGGGGTATACTGACGGTATCAATCCAACCGCCTTCAAGGTACTCGGTAGGCTCAGGATTCCTAGGGAGACCGTCTCGGCGATCATTACAAACGCCGTCTGACTATTTTACATCAGTTAGCACATACAGACGTTGTTGATGCAAAAGAAATTGACACTCACCACCAGGTCATGGTCTTGTACTTGATGCCAGCGCCCTCCTCATTCCCAAACGGGTCTTCGCCAGCGCTCGTTACCTTTCGTATCTTCCCCGCCTCCTCCTCCTCTGCTGTGTCATTGATTGTTTCAATGTTCTCATCGTCTTTTCTGACAGGGTTGGCCATGATCGGTTCGGTGGATTCGGTTGACTCTTTTGAGATCGTTGTGGGGAGTTGTGGGAGTACTGGAGGGTGAGGGGCTGTTGCTCGGGATAGAACTGGCCTCTTCTGGTGGGTGGCTTTGGGGGCTTCCATCAAATTCTAAAGCTTATCGAGTAAGTTTGTGTGTGCATGCAACTGGAAGGTGTTTGTGCCAATGGAAGTGTAATCGAGGGCAGTCGGCGGAAAGTCGGAGAGGAGAAGAAGGAATTTGAAATATAGATCTGGGGGAAATGGGGGTGCACGACGAGACTTTATCGTTTTCCATCCAGGGCCCAGGGCCCCAGAAGCCCAGGACACGATACGGGCTACAGAGGAGCGTAGGAGGCGTCAGATGAGCAGTGAGCAGGTGATGATAACAGAGCAGGGCGGGGCGGTAAGTTGTAAGTATAATATTGACTTCCCAGGCGTGTTCACAGGACTCTCTGGGAGGTGATGTTGATGTCACGATTGGATTGCGGCCTCGACCAAGCGCAACTACGTAAAGCTTAAGACATGACTTAATACACGCTGGTCAATTGTATCCGAGGAGTGGCCGTTAGATTTCCGTAACTTGGAGAAATCTGACACGGATAGTGGGAATAGATATGGGTGAAGTTGCTTTATGTACGGCTCGATTGCTCCGCAATCGTAGATGACAGGTGGAGAAGGTTATGATGGTCTTACGTTGCATAGTTAGGCTCTAGCCCGGATCAGGTCAGATGGTATACACGCCCTCGTCTCTGTCAAAACATGATAGTAACCGGTGAAGGCAAACGTAGCGACCGAGTTTCTCCAGAGATGGACAAAGCGGCCGACGTTTCCGCAGTGCACCATGTAATCGCGCCATCGAGGGAGTGGATTTGGTCAGCCGAATAGCTGCCGAAAGGCTTATCTATGCGGATTTGGTATATTTGTTTGGTCGGGCTACTTGTAGATAAACTCGGTAGGCGATAACGCTGACAATTCCTATTGCGATAAACGTTGGTGGTCTTGAGTTTAATGGGCGGCCGACGCAACGAGTCGTGGACGATGATGTTTCAATATATCACTCGTTCCTGAATCATGATAGAAGGTACAGACCATCACCTATTTCCTACACTATCAGTCTTGTCTCTATGTGCAGAAGTACTTCTTACATCTCGTAGTAATTCCAAAAGATGTTTAACGACTGGGTAACTATGAGTGATCTACAGTGTCCCTGTGCCAAATCGAGCCTAGTCGGTGTACCTTGAAAGAGGGTTGCACGTGACATCAGGCCTCAACGCTGATCCACAGCGATACCCCACAAAATCTTCCTTAGTTCATGCTCCCCCCACCCCCGCCATCATCCAAAGCACCACCACGACAAAGTACCCCACACATACCGTCATGTCAGGTCGCGCCGTCCGCAAAGCGCTCCGTCAGCGCGAAGCCGAGCTTCTGCAGGCTCGAACACCGACAGAGGAAGCGTCGGAAAGCGAGGAAGAGCCCGAGGCAGCACCCCCGAAACCGAGCTTGTTTGCACTCCTCAAAGATGCGAACGATGATGACGAGGGGGATATAGACGATGATGATGAGCAAGTAGAGTCGGAACCCCAGCCCGTAGAGCTTGCATCGAAGAAGTCAAAGAATAAGAAGAAGAAGAAGAAGAAGAAGGATAAAGGGAAGGCACTCGCGACGGAGGATACCGAAGCAGTAGACGAAGACGACATTGACCGAGCTTTGCGAGAGCTAAACATCAAGACTCAAGCTCACGACGCGTCCGCCCCTATTGTGACATCATCAAATGCGGCTCCGGGGCAGATATCGCTGTCGTCAGTATTGAAGATTGATTCTCGGAACCTCGATGCTGGAAATGAGATGAAGAGGCTGTTTGGGAGAAACGCGATGCGGCCGGATGACAACGAAGGGGAAACCCTCGGACGGCGACGGGATCTTCGGATGCGGTTACCTCCGGGCGTTGCGGGAGGGCGGGCGCTTACCAAAGGACGGAGAAATACTTTCGTACAACCCAAAGACGAGTGGCCGAAGGCAGGGAGCGGGGGGTTGGGTATGGAGATTGACGACTCGGATCCAGCGACAGGAGTGACAACATACAAGTTTGTCCACAGCCGGTCATATCAGAGTGTGCAACAACAGTTCGTGATGTGTGTTGCAGCTATGGGTGAGCTTCCAAAGCATGCCAGCTTTCCCCACAACTGCTGACTTCGGTAGACCCCGAACGGATGAATGTGCTCCTTCAGCACAATCCATACCACATCACAACGTTGCTACAATGTTCCGAGATCTTCCACCATCAGCGGGACTTTACCGTTGCTGGCGACCTCCTCGAGCGCGCGCTCTTCTCCCTCGGGCGGTCTCTTCATTCCTCATTCCAACAAAAGCTTGCCGAAGGATCCGCACGACTGTCATTCCGTCGACCCGAGAACCGAGAACTCTTTCTCTGTGTCTGGCGTTACATCACGAATTTGTCTCAGCGCGGCACATGGCGAACGGCAGAGGAGTTTGCACGACTACTGCTGGCCATGGATCCGGAGGGAGATCCATACGAGATGTGCCTCATCATTGATTTTCTTGCCCTGAAGGCCCGACAACCAGAGCGTTTTCTAGCACTTACAGAGCACCCAACCCTCCGCCGGAAGTATGCCGATCTCCCCAATATCGCGTTTTCCTCAGCCCTCGCCCAGCTCCAACTCGGTGATGAGAGTCTTGCCACAGAATACCTCTCGAAAGCGATCACTAGATTCCCTTGGATCCCCACAATGCTGTATCAAGAGCTCGGGGTCAGCACTCAACTCCCACCAGCACTCTGGGGGGTCCCACCGCCCGATGACAACCCTCGCCAACAGATCCTTGCAAGTTTGTATATCGAACGCACTAAGGACCTCTGGAAGCAGCCCGCCTTCACCACATTCCTAGTCAACACCTGTTCGACGATCTACAACCTCCCCAAAACGCGGCTACTCGGCTCTTCGTCCCCATCAGTATCAATGTCCCTAGCGCGGCACGTGATGCTCACCGCCATGCCGTCGCTGATCACGCTCCTCCCCCGCGAGATCACCTCACGGGATACATCCTCATTCGACCCACTCCCGCCGGACGACGACCTCCTCAGCTACGAAGCAGAACCGCCCAACCTCGCTCCGATGATCCGGGAGACCGCCGGCGGCGGAAACGCGTTCTCGGCATTTGTGATGAGTATCATCCCCTGGTTCCGCGTCGGCGAGGACGGCGAGATCGATGGTAGACAGATGAATGAAACCGAGAGGGCCCAGTATAGAGATATTCGCCAGCAGCTGGAGCAGGCGGGATATCCGGATGATGCGTTGCGCCGCATGGGCGATGAGGCGTATGAGGTGCAGAGAATCATGCGCGAACAGCAGGAGGATGGACAGGCGGAGGGGAGGGGACAGGTTGAGGGAGCGGGGCGGGCGGAGGAGGAAGAGACGTAGATGGAGGGGCGTTTATCCTAGATCATTTGGTGGAGGTGTGTTGTAGCATAGAGCTATCATACGTCTTGGGCATCTCGGACTTCGTTAGGCCCGAATGAAGGTATTCGGCACGACATCGGCCACAGTCGTAAGTCTTGAAACAAGGCAAGCGATGAGACGTGACAATACAGACAGACATCTGTTTTGGGCTGATCTACTAGGTGTCTGGTACATCGCGTCAATCAAGCATGAGCAAATTTCTTCGTAGCCGGTGGTTTGAGTTTCGCTCGCTATGCTGGTGCCTCGGTCACTACCTTTTCATGTAGCCTGAACGGTTGGTGAGCACGCCGTTAGGCTCCAAGCAACATGTATGGAGAAAATATCTTACCCTAGCTGCCATGGATAAGTACCCGTGGATAAAGCGAGCGAAGTGAGTGAGTGAGGATTTGGCGCGGGACAGGCCAGTGCGATTTCATGGTCATATTTGATGATTTCCAAATATAGTCGAGTGACATCGAGTGAGATCTCCAGAACTTCGTCGTGAACCCCACGTGACTCTGGTCTAAACCAAGAAGCACGAATGGGAACAGCAAGTTACATCCAGGATAACACGAGAGTGTCAACTGTGCAAACAGCTACAGAGAATCGCATCTGCAATCGTCTCATTTGTTTGTTTTGGGTTTCCGGCGACCATCCCTAAGCCACTAGTAGCATCTGAATTGCTGCCATTAAGCTTCGGCTTCCGGCATGAATTTAACACTTGGGGGCGCAAGTCACTGTGCCCACTCGGATTTCAGTATCCACCCAGGTATATTCCTCAATTCTCAGCCACAGTGCTCAACACTACCGGCGCTAGCTACCATATATCCACCAACCCCCTTCCTCCCCCCCATATTTCATCATTCCTTCATTCCTTCACTATCCACCCAGAGGCAGAGGGATCTAGAGATCAATAGGAAACCCCGGGTGCCCCGCACACTGTGTGTTCGCGTAATCCGCGACGGCCGTAAGCTCCGCCGCGGTGCAGGCGGCCGCAACACACGCCGTCACGCTGGCGATGTAGGTGGCGTCCTCGCAGAGGCAGTCGTAGTCTGTGCACTGGTGTTAGAATGTGATACGGGTCAAGGGGGAAGTAGGGGGAGGGGGGAAGGGGGTACCGAGACCGCAGTCGGAGGCGTCGGCGGCGGCGAGGAAGCAGGTCAGGGAGCTGGTGGAGGTTAGTGTGAGGCGGAGGAGGGGGTGGGGAGTGGGGAGTGGGAGGGAAAGGGGAGTACCAGGTGGGAGGTAGCGTCTGGGCGCTGGTGAGGCCGAGAATGCTGGCGAAGACGGCGGCGATGAGGGTAAACTGCATTTTTATGGTGGTGCCGGTAAGAGTGAGAGTGGTGTTTGTTCTGCGAGTGGAAGGCAGTTGATCGGGCTGGTTGATGGGATGAGATGAACTTCGCGGTGCGAGAGCGTCCTTTTATACCCTTCTTTCTCCATGTTCGAGGCATGCTCTGGCTCCCCACTCCAGCCCAAGGCAAGTCCATTCAGCTTCTGATTCCCGAGGCTTCAGCAGCTGATGATCACGATGCGGTATATTCTGCTCAGCCAACAGCTACATACAGAACTACTATTTCATCAATTCCAAGGCACAACATCACCGCAAGGCAAACTAGGTAGACACACGGAACTGTACATAACATGTGTACCTAAGGCCTTGCAGACTCTCGACATTCCCGCATCCCCAGAGTTCAACGCCCAAACAGAAACAGCGGGGTGCATGAAGTACGGACGTACCTGATCGGAAGTATCACCTCCGACATCTCGCTAGATGTAGAAAGCCCCGTCCCCACAGCATTCTAAGCGACATCTGCCTACGTACAATGTGTCCCATGTGAAGCCGTAGGACCGAATACTTGCCCCACAGAGGAAGATCTGCAAGCAACAGCTGTCAATGCCACCTTAACGAGACTTCTGGGCGATGTACCTACCTACCTACTCGATGCGTGCGAGACGAGGACGTCGATCATCGCTAAGTCCGAGGGCGGGAGGTCCCGGAGCGCGACTGCGGGGATTGGGAACATGTGATGCTCGTCTGGACACTGCAGAGCCGGATCCGTGGCTAAGGTACCGTTGAGGCACCTATGCACCTGCACGCACTCGAAATCTCCTACAGTTGCTAGGTAGTCTGGTGAGAGGTTTTATGTGAACTATGATCTCCAGTTTTCCTACGTAAACACCTAGGTACCAACGTTCGTGCACAATCGAATCCTGAGCGCAGGTCCAACTACTCGCCCCTGCTGCACTGCTGATCTCGGGGGTCGGGAGATGGTACGCCACAGCCGCTCGCTTCCCCGCATTTTATTTGTTGCCGTCCATCCGACCATGTGTGAGTGTGGCGAATCGGGAAGGCAGGTAATCTTTCACATGTCCCGACCGGAATCATGATCCTAACCTCAGACCGAGTAGAGTACCTTCTAAGGAAGAAACGAGTAGCGGAAGAAATTTATATCATGCCTGGGCTCGACTGTCTCTTTGACCTCGTCGTCTCGTTGTTTCGCTACATGCGTTCGTCTGGTTTTTTTCGGTTTTCGGTTTTCTTTTTGGTTTTGGTTTTGGTTTAATATCTGGATCATGGCATACCCACTCGGTTTCCTTACCCACTTCACTGTCCAACCCGACTTTCGTCAGGCGTGCATAAATGGCAGTTTTCGAATCGCTACGCAGTAGTCGCATCTTGCTATCCGCATCGACTTTTGTTCTTCTCTCCACGTCTACTCTCCTACCCCCCTCGAGCTCATCGGCACTCGCGACCTGCCTTGGCTTTCCTGTCCTCAGTCCCGACCTGTCCCATCGATAGAAGTAGAGAGCACCAAGGAAATAGTACTAAAGAAATATAACTTCCTTTCGCTACTCCGCCTCGCCCTCTGCCCGTGCATCAGAACATGCCATGAAGGAGGATGTGCGGAGTAGGTAATAGCGGGAGTGACCCCGACTCCTCAATCTCAGCGCCCTCAGGGCCATGAAGAGCATGAAGGCTGTATGCGACGATGCAAAAGAATAGAAGACAGAGAAAAGTAGGAGTGGCATTGAATAGGCAATAAGACGCATAATATCTACACCCACCGATCGATAATCAGCGAGTGAGTTTACGTGAGTCGCTCTTGGCCACACTCGCCGAAGCAGCCGCACGACTTATTACCTACATATACAACACATGTTACGAAAGCCAGATTCCACTTCTTACGTAGATCCCTCTTACATATCTGAACCCGGCAATTACTCTAGTGAATGGTACATAGAAGCTGCTCCAGCAACCGAGACGAATCATGAAAACATACTCGTCCGCCTACCCGCACGCGGCGTTTCAACAGCGTGGGTATGTAAACGCGGCACACGCGCGGACGGCCTCCGCCGCTCTGGCCTCCCGTACGAAACTCGGAAGTCGAGCAGTTCATTTATCATGCCCGTACGGTTCGGCTCGAGTGCCGTTGCACAGCCACCCACCCACAACGATGATCATTGATGGCATGATCCATCAACCTTGAAGGCTTGAACCGCTGTCGATCTGAAACGTTAGCTTGGGCTATTTTTAGACCCGAATAATGTAACATGCTATAGTAGACTCTAGTTTTAACAGTAACATGCCAACAATGTTTCCGTTCGACACTAGGCCGGCACCAACCGTTCAACGTCGACGGTGAAGGTGCACTGCCCCACTACTAGAAACCTGGATTTAACTAACTGCACTCTGAGAGCCTAGAGGGAGTGCGAATCTGGGATGCATATTGCAAAAATTATGCGGGATAGATAGATCTAGATATAGATTGGAGGATATCTTGGTTCGGAATATTCGTGTAGATTGTGTAGGTTGTGTAGGTTGTGTAGGTTGTGTAGGTTGTGTAGGTTGTGTAGGTTGTGTAGGTTGTGTAGGTTGTATGGGTTGTATGGGTTGTGTAGGTTGTGTAGGTTGTGTAGGTTGTGTAGGTTGTGTGGGTTGTGTAGGTTGTGTAGGTTGTGTGGGTTGTGTAGGTTGTGTGGGTTGTGTAGGTTGTGTGGGTTGTGTAGGTTGTGTGGGTTGTGTAGGTATAAAATATAACGGGAGGGGAGTGTGTGTGCTACCTATCGCGGCCCTTCGCGGGAGTGGAGGGAATGTAGGTACATGCCTGGTACCTCATACCTCATACATACTTCATAAATACCTTACATAGGTACACACGTCGGCTTCGAGAAAGCTGACGAAGAGCGTAACAACGTACAACGGTAGCAGCCGTTTCTTACTCATCCGTCAAACACAGACGTACTCTCCCGAGTCCTAGTAGTACCCGCCTCACGGTATTACGGTTTTACGGAAAGTCGCAAACCCTGCCTAGTGCTCCAAGTTCTCCAAAAAGTTTTGCGCGCGCGCATTTGCGCTCATAACTGGCTCGGCTGGTAATTTGTTCGCGGAACAACCGTCTCTTCCCGAGATTCGTCCGCCTGTACGTACGTACGCATAAGGAAGGAAGGCACGGACTCGCGTTTTCCCGTTATTGCTGCTACTTTGTGTTCTCGGACTATTCTCGGAGATCGGGTGGACGCTGGAAGTAGTGGAAGTGTGCCCCGCGGTATGCCTTCCGAGTCCCGAGTTCCGATTGAGCCGCGAGCGGAAGGATGGAGGATCCCGCAAGGTACCTGGGTACATGACTAATTGCACATGCGACATGTAACGATGTGTGCTGGGTTGTAACTTGTAACTTGTAACTTGTAACTTGTGGCTTGTGAGGCAAAAGGCGGAATCAAGCTTTTGCTCCGGGTAGAGTGTGTATGGGACGGAGACGGAGGAGGGGGTAAAATACTTCTACCATCTACCCAGGATAAATCTGCAGGGACGAATGCGAATCAAGATTCAAGAAACCATACAGGTTGGACTGGTCTTTTCTCGGCGTGTAGATTTCCTGCTTGCTCGGCGATGTCACGCACCGTTCGGCTTGTCGGTGGTGCGTTCGGTTCTCGGAACTTGGAACTTGGACGAGCTTCAGTGCCCGGCGAGACTGGCGAGATCGGCCCGGTCGGCCGAGGCTGAGAGCGGGCCCTTAGCCACTGGTTAGTAGCCCTACCGCCAGCCTCGTCTGGGGATTCTTCGAGACATTTCCTCAGCGACACGGAAACTTTCTCGCAAGTAAGGGAGAGAAGGCCATTTCTCGGTGCACAATGATATTCATCTCTCCCGCCGTGCAGACTCCAGAGGTGTTTCGTATTGTTCCCTAGTGACCCCGCTCGGCGGCATCCCCCCCACGGCGATACAAGCTACTCTGCCAGCGGGACGAAGATCTACTCACCGAGTGTGGTAACAGGTAACTTGGGAAGAGAACAAGCACTTGCTGCTCCCGGGGATCTGCGAATAGTTTGAGCGGACCCTCTTTGAGTGGTGCGTCGGTCGGTCTTTTTATGATCGTGGCCAGTCCTACACTGAACGGACCGACTTCAGACCCATCACGAGAGCGGACTCGAGAATCTCACAACGCTCCTCCTCCCACTCCCCCCCGTATCTCGCCACAGACCTCGCCTGTCCATCCGCCGTTCCCCCTTCCCCTCGCTCACCTCATTACCAGCAACAACCCCGGCGGGACCTGAGAAGAGCCTTGGCCAACCCATCTGATTGGCCAACTCACCAACCTACCCCCTCCCCCCTCCTTCCTGGCCAAAACAACCAGGCGTCGAATAACCCCGCGACAACTCTCTGTTACATACAAAACCAGACACCTTCTGCATCCATTCGCCCTACATTTGGTCCCTTCCACTCGGCCCCCCCTCCTTCCACTTTACCTTCCCTTCCCTCCGCCAGCCGGTACTGCACCACACCACACCATACCATCATACCATACCATATTCATCATCATCACCAGAAGCAGCAGCATCATCATAATCAGCATCATCAGCATCATCTTCTTCATCATCCTCCTCCTCATCGAGCAAGCGCGATCCAGTTGTCACCTACCACGCAGATTCCGGTACGTAACTATACTTGCACCGTTCATGTTCAACATGTGAATGATCCCTCTTCCCGTTTACCCCTCCCTCCAATCCCCACTCCGCCCTCCCCCACCCCCGTAGTCGCCCTGTCAGGTCCGATGCTCCTCGTGAGCCTTGTGAGGCGCCGCCTTGCTGATCACGTTTTGCGTGCCGCGAATAGATACTCGGCCAGTTTAAGCTATCGTCCACATCACCTTGCCTTTCGCTTGCGTCGATAGTTAACTGCCGCCGCAGCCCGGCACCTCTTGCGCCCTTCTATCATCTTTCTCTCTTTCTTATTTCTTTCTTACGTGCCCGCCTTTGGTTTCCCTCTTCATCTCCATCGCAAACAGGCATCATAGGCGCAGATCAAGTGAGAGTTGCAGGGATTTCCATCTAGTTCTAGTTACAGCTTCCTGCCTAAAATCCTCCACCCTCCTTCCCCCCCCCCCCCCCCCCCCCCCACACCCACACCGCTGCTGCTTTATTTGGACCCGCTACCCCGCTGAACCCAAGAGCTTCCTCCCATTCCACCTCTTCTCCCCGCCCCCCCCCAAGCCTTCCACCCCCCATACACCTTCGCCCGACCGGAACAACCACGATAACCCTAATTCTTACTTCGCGACCTCTGTCGCGACCATACATCCCAAGCCGACTCCCCGAGTTCGGTCGCTGAATTCCCCCGCTTACGGACCTCGAACCGAACTCCGCATTGCGAACTCACCCTCGACTCGCATCGACTAAGCCCTTTCCCCCTCCCGAAATGGACACTTCGGGGCAAATCGAAGACGGCGCGTCCCAGCCGGGAAGCCATCGCAACTCACTAAATCACCACCAGTTTCCGCAGCCCGATCAAGGCTATGGCTCTCGGGCGTACGGTTCGCTGTCGCCGCCTCAGTATGACCCGCGATTCGCCGATCTTCCACAGGAACAGCAACAACAGCAACAACAGCAGCAGCACAACAACCGTCCGACGCATCAATTCGACGACTACCCGCTCTATTCTGCGCCCGAGGACTTTGGCTACAGAAATCTACCAACTTCTGGCGCAAGCATCAATCCTGCCGAACTCTCCTTGATGGACAGCAACAATAATCCTTCGTCGCATCATCAGCGTACGCCGTCGCATCAGGTCGAGCCGAGCGACCACGATTCTCCGGGCCATCAACAGGCCTATCTATCCTCGTCCACCCAGCCTTCGAGCACCGGCGGCTACGAGTGGGAGACCGTGTTTGCCGAGTCGGACTCGTGGCACCATCGCAGGGCGCCAAGTGAGTACTCGGACATCTCGTCAGCCGCACCGAGTCCGTACCTCGGCAACCAGGAATTCGGCGAGTCATCTTCGCCGCTGCTGGAAGCCCAGTACACGGGTGGTTCGATGCAGGATCTGCTGAACGCGCCAGGCGGCGACGCTTTCGGGATGGATACGTTTTCGCTGTCGGAGCGTGAGCCGTCCCCGGGGTTGAGTGCCACTCCGGGCTACCACAGCGCCGCCAACAGTCCCTACCTACCGCCACAGGATAACCGTTCGCTCGGGCTCGTACCGTCGATGCAAGGCATGATGGGGCCACCACCCCCAGCCGGACATGGCGCTGGGCTTGGAATACCTGGCGGGTTGGGAATCCACGAGGAGCACCTCGCTCCTCAGATCAGCGTCTCGTTTGCACCACCCCAGCGGCAACCAACGTTCCCTGGAAAGCCTGGAATGCAGCCCGACGACCAGGCTCTGAGACCACCCCCCAAGAGTATGTGTGCACCGAGATGACGGGGAGGAAGATGTAACGAATCCGAATGCTGTTTTCGTGCTGACGATATGAAACCGTATAGGCCCCAGATCGAGACCGAGATCCAAATCCGATCCTTATGCGAACGGATCCGGCGGACCTATCACGCGGCCTGTGAACTCACAGCCCGGGTCGCGAGGAAACAGCCCGGTGCGGGGTCGGTCCAGGCAGAACTCTTTGAGCCCGTCGGATGCCCAGCGGCCCACGAGCACCTCATCCACCAAGATGTCGCGACGATCTTCGACCAATTCGGTGCCGAACCGCGATTACATCTTGGAACTGGCGCATCCCAACCGCCCAGGATCGACCGCCGGGGACAGTAAACGTGTGCAGAAGCATCCCGCCACGTTCCAGTGCAACCTGTGTCCCAAGCGGTTCACGCGAGCCTACAATCTTCGCTCGCACCTGCGCACTCACACAGATGAGCGGCCTTTCGTGTGTACCATATGTGGCAAGGCTTTCGCACGCCAGCACGATCGGAAACGGCACGAAGGCCTCCACTCGGGCGAAAAGAAGTTTGTGTGCCGCGGAAATCTCAAGGCGGGCGGCAACTGGGGTTGCGGGAGGAGGTTCGCGAGGGCCGATGCTCTGGGACGCCACTTTAGATCCGAGGCCGGTAGGGTGTGCATTCGCCCGCTGTTGGACGAAGAGACGGCCGAGCGACAACGCATGCAGATGCAGCAGGGTGTCATGGGCCTCATGGGCCATGTCTCCTCGGCCCCCGACGGCTCGATGATGGATACTGCCGCCATGAACATATCGTTCCCCGTCGCACTGCTGGAACAGTATCCGGATCTGGCCACCATGAGCTGGGGTGTCGACGGGGGCGCAGGCGCCGACGAATACGACAACGATAACGGCTTAGACGCCAGCGGAGGCGAGTACGAAGATGGCGGTAGTGTCAGTGGAGGTATTGCCATGAGCAGTCATCGCAACAGCTACGATGGAAGCAGGGCTCCGGTTTGGGGTGACGATGGGTGGCATAGCGATACGGGTGATGGACAGGTGGTGCGGGTGTACTAGGAGTAGTCGTGGTTGATTGTGGTTTGCGATGTGAAGTGTGCGATGTGCGATTTGTTTTTCTTGTCTCTGTTCTTATCGGTACCCCATTTTTCGTTCCCTGTCTGCTGGCTGGTGGTTCTCCGTATGTTCTCTCGCATCTACTTGTTTCCGGTTCATAAAGGGTTTTTGTTTTGTTTTTATTTTCGGTTACCAGGTTTTTTTTGGTTGTGTCACTGGTGCTTCTGGTAGTGCTTCTGGTATGTGCGTTTTGTCTGTCTGTCTTGTCTTGTCTGTCAATACCCAGCCAGCTGTGAGTGAGTGTGTTCGATTCGTGTCGTTTTTTTTCATAGAGATTATTACTTATTCGCTGTAGTCTGTGCGCGGTATGCATACTAAGCCTTCGTTGGCTGCTTTTTTCGTGGGGATGTGGTGACAGCTCTGGTCGATGGTCAGCGTCCCGATGAACTTTGAGGCGGATGTAGGCGGGTGAATTATCGTGATTTTTGGTGATCTACTTGTCGGCAGCCACCAGCCACCGGCTACCTGGGTAGCACTGCCAGGATAGCACTGCCAGGATAGCACGGCCAGGCCAGGCTGATGGTCCGGCATCGGAACTATAGTGGTATGATACGGCTGGGCGGACTCCGGAGGCGATTCGGGCCCAGTCGGCTTTCGTCGTCCTTCCCAGTGCCCACTAACTACGGCCCGCATTCTTGGTATGTATATACAGTAGTAAAAAATATGGGCTGCTCGGGACCAGAGTGCAACTTGAATTGTGCAATTTCCATGTTGCTTCAGTACCGTGATAGAATTTAGCACCCAATGTAATGCAGATTCATATGAATGCGTCATGCCCGAAATCCTGTCGCGCTGCCGTATTTGTAACACTCTGTACCGGTTTTACAATGCACATTTGTCTGAAATGCTGGTGATAAATGCCTGATTTTATGACTGCGGGAGCCGGTCTAAATGCTGCATTTACATCATTTACCCTCCGTAGTGCGATGGCTATCATAATGCTAGGCAGCGAAACTACATGCGGCATTCTTTAGAATGCCGTTTTCTCGACATACTAGGTATTAGGTACGGCACCGTACGAATGGTTACAGCATTCATTCTTTACGAGTACCAACATAAAGGCAAATGCTCGGGTATGATAACTGCTGCATAGAATTAGGATACCGTCTCCTCCTACTGCTACATACAGGAGTCACCGCCGATCATGCCATAGACAGCTACTCCATCACTTCCTCGCGATGACAACTCCTCCTCTCACACCATCCCTCCCTCAGCTTCCCTTCGCTAACAAATCCTCCATCTCGCTGACAACTCCTCCATCTCACGGACAGCTCCTTCATCACGCCCCCCCTCACAGACAGCTCCTCTACTACCTCCTTTCGCTGACAAGTCCTCCTCATTAACAGCTCCTCCATCTCGCTGACAGCTCCTCCATCACTTCCTCACGGTGACAAATCCGCCTCACTGACAGCTCCTCCTCTCGCTGACAGCTCCACCACAACCCGCCGCGGATGCAGCATTGACTGGGCAGTGAATACCCCCTCCCTCTCCCCCCCTCTCTCTACTGTTGCTATTTGCCCTGCTAATTACCGTGCTTCAAGTCCCGCTGGACCCGCCGCGGATAGAGCGCTAGCTACACTGTGAGTACCGTCTCCTTCCTACTGCTAATACTCGTTGCGGATGCAGCACTGGATTCGCCCTGGAGGCTGGAGATGGCCCTCTCGCTGCCATGGAGCTGCCTCTCTTGCTGACATGGAAATGGTCCCTCTTGCTGCAACGGAGCAGTACTGGATCCGCCCTGGAGATGGACCCTCTCGCTGCCGTGGAGATGCCCCTCTCGCTAATGTGAATACAGCACTGGATTCGCCCTGGAGGCTGGAGATGCCCGCGCAGGTAGCCACAGCGCAGGCAGCCACAGCGCAGGCGGCCAAAGCTGCATCTTCACATTTAGGGCCCCCACGAAACCTCGATCATAAGCAACTATTCAAAGGGCGAGGAGGTGGGGGGTTTTCGGCCGTGTGAGTAGAAAGAACATTAAATAGTGAATGAAGTAGATAGAATACTAGATAGAAGTTCAATGCGAGACACACTGAATCACTGCATACAAACCGGCACCGTAGTGATCTAAAATTAATATTCATCCTCAATACTATACTCATATGAAATACCGAGATCGATCTGATGCTCATATCCATTGACTGCGCATAGCACGTAATACTGTGTTTTGACGAGTAGAAAATTCTAGTTGATGCTGTATTGGTCTAGTAAGGTTACGGGAGTTGTACGAAGACGCATTCATTTGAATACATGCCAGCATGCTGCCATAGCGCGACCAAAATCAAACAACAGGATGATTCACATCTATCGGTACCGACGTGGCAATGCGCATTACTTTTCTCAGTATAATGATTTTTTGGCCGTAAAGATTCCGCTTTTTTTGGATTGCCTCCAATCATTCTACTGCCGCCTGGCTCTGGTATTGCCTCCATACCGGTCAGCCCTAGTTGTTTACCACTGTATGCATAATGGTTGTCATCGGCCCGTCTAGATGCGCAAACGTGTTCCGATACAGCTTTCTTCATTCGTTGTGTGTGACTTCGTTGGATCACTATATGCTCATTCAGACACGCTCTTTATTCCTGAGAGTGCTCGTTCCTGTTGCACCCTTTCCAATTCGACTCACGAGGGTTAAGGCTGAATTACGGTACGTGCCCCGCTCCAGATGGTGATCCGGCATCCCTAACGCACGCCAACTAGCCATAGCTACCCGCAGAGCCCCACCGCTCCTCCGCGTCACCCCACCTTGACAGCCCCGCGATTCAATCGGCCTCCCACGCCGCAATGTCGTTCTCCGCCGCCCCGCGTCTGCTGCTGCGGCCACCGCTGCTGCACCCGCTCCGTCCCCGCCTCCACCGCGGCTTCCGCGCCTCCCCCTCACGCTCCACCTTCCTCGACGCCACGACCACCGTCCTAACGACACTACACAGCAGCAGCGGCCTGCCATGGGCGTTCATAATCCCACTCAGCGCATTCACCCTCCGCCTGGCCCTAGTCCCCCTCACCCTATACACGCGCACGGTCACATCGAAGATCATCACGCTCTCCCCCCTCCAAGAAGCGCGCACCCACCAGCTCGCAAAAGCGTACGCGAAGACCTCGGACCCGCGGGAGTGGGAGAAGCACGTGCGCCAGCACGCCGCCACCGTCCGCAAAGAGATGTGGGCGCGCTGGGGATGCCAGCGCTGGAAACTCTACCTCCCCTTGCTGCAGCTGCCCGTGTGGGTCGGCATGTCCGCTACATTACGCGCGCTGCTGCCGGGTCACCACGCCACCGACGAGACCTCTGCCGAGGTCGTCGAGAAAACCGCCGACTGGATCGTTACCGCGCTGGGCGGGCTCACCCCGCCCGCCCCAGCGCCTCAGGGCCTGCTGAGCGAGGGCCTGCCGTTCGCGCTGGACCTGACGCTGCCGGATCCCACGCTCACGCTGCCGCTGCTGTTTTTTGGCGCGCTCGCGGGGAACCACCTGCTACAGAGCTACACTGGCCCGCCGCCGACGACGGCACGGCAGCGCGTGTTCAGGAATTCGCTCGGTGTGCTCACGATGGTTATGGGGCTGGTGGCGGTGCAGGCCCCCGCCGCGCTCGTGTTGTATTGGATGAGTTCTGCTGGGTTTAGTTTGCTGTTGAATGCGGCGTTGCATGTGTATAGGCCGCTGCCACAGAGGGTTGAGAGGTGTAAGGGAGGCGCGATAGAGGAGGGGAAGAGGCTGATGAATGCGGAGGCGGTGGTGTTGGGGGGGAAGGTTGTGGGCTAGACGGAGGGGGGGAGGGTGGGGGGTTTGTAGGATAGGACAAGTTGATTGTTGTTTTGATATAGATGTAAGTGAGGGGACGGAATGCATAGCGAGGCTGTGTGTACGCGATGGTTTGACTTTACTATAGAGAGCCGGCTGGGAATGGCATTTCTACTGGGCGGTGAACAGATATGTAGTCAAATATCGGTCTGATGCATCAAATGTCCCGTCGTCTCCCCAGGAGGGCATAATGTGAATACTACAGAGAGGGGTTCAGACGACGTTATTTGCAGGCACTAGGTAGATCTGAAGTTGATAAGATGGAGGATATACAGTGTGTGAGCGGAATGCTCATCTGCACACATACACAAGTGAAACACGGCGATGTAAAGCAGCTGTCTGTGAGTTCCACGCAGCTCAACTTCTGCTTTGTCACGACTGGTCGGGATTTCACGGTAGAGTCATCTCATCTGCCGCGGGCGAACCAATGTATGAATGCGAAACCCGCGCAATTCATTCCCTGCTCAGAGCATAACAGTACAAACAAATCCCATCCAAACCAAACCAAACCAGCAAAAACCGCACCCTCATCCCATGCCTAATCCAAATCCGCCACCGGCAGCCCATTCAGCACCTGCGCGGTACTTCCGAGAGCCTTCAGCGCCTCCTGGGCGTTCTTAAGCTTAAGCTCCCTAGCCTCCTTATCGCTAACGAGGACAAAGTCGTAGTTGATTGCCCAGTCGTTGGCATCGACGCCGTACTTCTCCGCCACCGCCGGGTCCTCAACCTTGCCCACGTCGATGATCAGCGACGACTTCACGCCAAACACCGCGTCCGACGTCTCGTACGGGTCGCCGCGGATGTACAGTGAGCTAGATAGGCGGGGGGGGGTCAGTGTGTGTGTGACTCGGGGACGGGGGGGAATGGGGTGTTGTGACTTACGTCACCAGGGTATCGTAGCCCTTCGCGATGATCATGAAGTGCATATGACTCGGCCTGTATGGATGTCTATGTACCATCTCGAGCATCTTGCCCACAGGGCCATCATGGGGGATCGGGTAGGGGACCGGGCGGATGGCGCGGAACCAGAAGTTGCCCTCATCATCCGTTTTGAGGATCCCGCGGCAGTCCGGGAACGACCTATCGGCGTACTGCGTATCGTAGTGGCCCGTCTCGTCCGTCTCCCAGATGTCGACGGAGGCGTTGGCGATCGGCGCGCCGGTGGTGTCCTTCAACGTGCAGCGTACGAGACAGGCTTCACCTTTGCCGTCGCTGCAGATGCTGTCCCCGTGTGCGAACTCGTGCGCGTCTTCCGTGTGGAACGGGCCGAGAACGGTGCCCTCCGTTGCGTTTGCCGGCTTGGGGTGATTGATGTTCTCGACGAGCGTGGATAGGCCGAGGACGTCCGAGAGGAGAATGAATTCCTGAGGTGGTGCGGTTAGCGGGATGTCTCCAATTGAGTAGGCGGGGAGTGCGGGGCAGGAGTGGTACCTGTCTAGTATCCGAGCAGATCTGTCCGACGGCAGTGAGGAACATGATTCCGGCCATCCACTCCTCAGTGGTGAGGCGGGTCTCGCGGGCAAAGTCATGGAGATGCGTAACGAGACGCTCGAGCAGGTACTGCAGACGCCTATCAGGGCCCTGCGAGTTGATGATGATGGTGTTCTCGGTGATGTTGTCGGCCGTGAGGTCCTTCATCGGCGGAATCTTGACCTGGCTGGGATCCATTGCGGCGAGTACGGCCTTGAGACGGGCTTGCGGGGGAGAAATGGTTGCGAGGGGGAGTAAGCGGTAGTAGGGCGGGGTGAGGAGTGCGTGCTGAGATGATGGTGATGATGATGCGGTTGCAATGGCCAGTGCAGCCACGAACGTTTTATGCTCGGTTTTCCGGTTTTGAACGGGCCTCTATATCCGCGCGTTCCGCAGCCCGGATATAGTAATCCCGCAGCGGCTGCCTCACACGGTCTCGCATGTACTCAGCACCGTACACTCATGATGGCAGATGTTTGTGGGGGAGCGATCAACACATATTGCGGGGTATGTTTTAGAGCACGGGTGTTCGAGCAGGCATGGAGGCGGATATAGAGCAAATTGCAGCCCTGCGATTGGCGGAACAATTGCGGCGCGATGTGGGCGGTACTAAGCGAACGCGGCAAACTCCGAGCGAGCGAGCCGGAGACTAGGGATGGGCATCGACCCGTACATGGTCGGAGTGAAAAAAATGCCTACTCCGTGCCCGGCCAACTGTTACTCGGCTATGTACATGGCCTTTGGAAAGACAAAAGAGCTCGTTCAATAATGGCACCCCAAGGCGGGCCTTCGAGCACCTTTCTGTACGAATAGAGCCCACAAATTACTACAAGTGTGCTAGTGTCCCTGCTACTGCCCAAAGCAGAAATAAGAGTGAGCGATCATGAGTGTTTATGGCCCCCGCAACTGGTCGCCTTCCAAGCTCGCGTGCTCTAGATCGCCATTCGACTGAACACAGCAAACGGGGACAAAATCGAAACTGCGAAGAATTACTTGTTCCGAGAATAGCCCGTGACGCTGAAGCCTGAACTCGATCGCATTGTCGTTGTGCACAAATCAGTCACTCGCGGTGTCAGCCAAATAAATGTGCGACTCCAAGTACCGACCGTGTTGCCTTGAGGTGACCATGAGCAACCATACGTAACGGTATCACCAGGTGTCTGCAGCAGGACATTCGCAAGATCAGTGTCCGCCCGCCCGCTCGTTGCCGCTCGTTACTTCCTGCCCTCGTGGGGCGGCAAAGTCGGCGGAGCGGCATCGAGTAGGCATCGACTTGCGTGTGTCGTTGCCTCTTTCTCTTGGCGCATTCCGCATCCCGTCGCCTCCCCCACAATTCGTCGGGGCTAGAAGACCTAGGCTTGCAGGCATCCCGCGTGCATTCTCCGGTGTGCCTCGTGGCGATGGAGAAACCCCAGAACCGGGGTGGCTTCGCACTGCCAGAGTCGCACCGTACTCACTCGCGGAAAAATAAATTCGGTAAGCTGTGGGGAAGACCGTGCGGAAGGAACGCCTCCGTCGGTGTCAGTGGTGGCCTTGAGGCTTTGTGTGGCTGCGACGGAATAACTTTGTCAATGAGCTCCTACGAAGAAGAAGCTCTCGTGATGGGCAGAAAGTGTTCATAAAGACTCTCGGCCGCCTGTGCTAGCGACTTCAATTTCTACTGTACCACAGAGAGCAGACAACCCCACAGCTCAATACCTCCTACCCTACTCCCTCACACACTACATACCTCCCCACAACACAATCGAACAGAAGACCCCTTCCCATCCATTATCAACATACGAATAACATGCCGGCTCTCGATGTCATCATCGTCGGCGCGGGCCTCGGCGGCCTGGCAGCAGCAATCGGCACCTCTCTGGCGGGCCACAATGTGACGATATACGAGCAGGCCCACCACCTCGCAGAGGTATGTATCTCCAACTTGGCCCTGTTCGTATCATCTACTGACACCCGCCCAGGTCGGTGCAGGAATCCAAGTGCCACCCAATGCCTCTCGCATCCTCGCCAAATGGGACCTCGTCGATGAATTCAACAAAGTCTCCGTCTCACCGCACGCCTTCCGTCTCCGCGGCTACGCCACCGGCAACCTCCTGAGCGAGCAGCCACTGGTGCCAATGACGATGGATGCCTACGGCGCACCGTACTGCAACGTCCACCGAGCCGACTACCACAACCTCCTCGTCGACAAGTGCCACGCTCTCGGCGTCAAGGTGATGCTGAACTCCCGCGTCGTCTCCGCCGACTTCAACGCGCCATCCATCACCCTCTCCACAGGCGAGGTGCTGACCGCAGACCTCGTCATCGGCGCCGACGGCCTCAAGAGCAACCTCCGCTCCCTCCTCCTCGGCGGCCCCTCCCCCCCATACCTAACCGGCGACCTCGCCTACCGCATCCTGATCTCAGCAGAGCTGATGCGGGCAGACCCCGAGCTCGCCGAGCTCGCTTCCAAGCCCATAATCAACGTCTGGATGGGCCCTCGAGCGCACGCGGTGTGCTACCTGCTCAAAGGCGGCGAGGTATACAACATCGTGCTGTGCTGCCCGGACAACCTCCCGGCGGACGTCAACATCGCACGCGCGGACCCGGGCGAGCTCGCGTCGTTCTTCTCGACGTGGGACCCGCGCCTGCAGAAGCTGCTCTCGCTGTCGCACGACGTGTCCAAGTGGCGCCTGCAGAACAGCCGCGAAATGCAGACGTGGGTGCACCCCGCGGGGAGGTTCACGCTGCTCGGCGACGCCTGCCACGCCACCCTGCCGTATCTAGCCCAGGGCGCGGCCATGGCCGTCGAGGACGGCGCCGTCATCGGTGCCCTCCTAGCGAAGGTCGAAGCCAAGGAACAGATCCCCGACGTGCTGAAGCTGTACGAGACGCTGCGGAAGAACAGGACCGAGAAGGTCGTCAAGGCCAGCACCCAGCACAGAGACGTGTTCCACCTCGAGGATGGCGAGTTGCAGCAGCAGCGGGATGCCATCCTGCTCGCTGACAGCCGTGCCCCCGGGTTCCCGAATAAGTGGCGAGACGAGGAGTTCCGTGACTGGTTGTTCGGGTACGACGCGTTCGAGCAGGCGAACCAGGGCTGGGAGAAGTACAAGCGTGAGGGCTGCTTCTGGAATAAGATGGAGGTCTACGCTACGGATACTAAGTGTGCGCCGGCTGTCGTGACGGGTGCCAGTGCGGCCCTCGTTGTCTGATTCTTGTTGTTCCGGCCTTGGACTGTTTTTTGGCTGTAGATATTGTGTTTTTTTGCGTGCATCGGCCTTGCGCTGTTTTGGTTGGAGTAAATACTGTTTGGCAAATGAATTCATTTTTTCTTATTTCATAAAGTAATCGTTCGGCAAAACGTTTATCCAGTGACATACGAGAGCACTCGGTGATCGGTCTCGACCGGGAGCAGACCCAGAAGCGGGATATAGAGTGTGCGGGGAAGGATGTGTTGAAATAAACGCCACAACTCACCGCACCTATCTAAGTTCTTTCTTTTGTTGATTGGGTGATATATCGGTGATATGGGTGATATGGGTGATATAAAGACTTGCATCTCTCTCGTGTTCTTTCCTTTCCATCAAGTCAGATCGTCAATAGTTACAATATTGAGACTCCTGTTCCTTAACTCTCTCTCTCCAACGCATCTCCTGTTTGTACGTTTCCCGTCCGAACTTCCGCGCCGTCCAAACTACAGAATGCAGACAACAACCACACTGAACAGAGGAAATGGGGAAGAATGCAAAAAAAAAGGGGGGGGGGATTATAACAGCTTGCAGGTCATCATAGGTGCTCTACTAGTTATTAGTAGAATTTGATGAGCTCGAAGCTGTTATAACCCATGTTGTTTTCTGCATTCTTCTGCGACTTTTTCGAGCAGCTGGCCTTGTCAACTGTGTGAACTCGAGAGCATCGTGCAATTGTGGATACCTTTTCGCGTTGCCAGGCCGCGTGCGGAGTAGGTAACCAAGTACCCAGTCCAGGGATCAATGACGTCGGTCCTTGCCCCCTCCCCCCGCATCTAACCGAAGCTCAAGTCCCCACCACATCGGCATCAGGACCACGCCGCATGTCCCTCCGCGTCACCACGGCCACACGTTTCTTTATAACTCCTCGTCGTATTACCACCACAGCTACCGCCACTCACCCCACCATGTCCCGCGCCCCCAGAAAAAGCCCCGAAGCCCTACCGGCCTTCCGCGCCTCCGCAGACATCACCAAAACTGCGGCGCCCAATCCGCGCTGGCAGATCGGCAGTGGGGCTTCCTCTCCACCCACCACCGCAGCCACCCTCTCGATCGACCCATACTCACCGACGCGTACCGCCGGTGACAACTACCGGCTCCTCGTCTCGGGGATAATTCCACGACCCATCGGCTTCGTCTCCACACTGGGCAGCACGGGCGCCGAGAACCTCGCGCCGTTCTCGTACCTATCGCTGGCGAACCACGACCCGCCCATCTTCACGCTCGGCTTCTCGTCCGGCACCGGCGCGGAAAAGGATAGCTGCCGGCAGCTACTCGAGACCGGCGAGTGCACGATCAATATCATCAGCGAGGACTTTGTCGAGGCGGCCAATTACTGCGCGATCGACGCGCCGCTGGGGGTCTCCGAGTGGAGGCTCAGTGGGCTCACACAGGAGAAATCCGTGGTCGTGAAGCCCGCTAGGGTCAGGGAGAGCGTGTTTAGTGTCGAGGGCAAGGTTGTCGCGAAACATGAGTGGGTCAGTAGGACGACGGGCAAGAAGACCGGGACCATGGTGATCGTGGAGGGCGTCTGGTTTCATGTCAGGGAGGATGCGTTGCTCGAGAATGGGGCGCTGGATGTCGGCGTGCTCAGACCGGTCAGTAGGCTCGGGGGTGTCGCGTACGGACGCACGACTGAGGCGTATGATCTGCCGCGCCCAAGGTGGACGGAGGAGAGGGAGAAGGAGGAGGTGAAGAAGACGCTCGTCGAGGAGGATGGGCCAGGAAAGGAGTAGACGGTCGGATTTAGGAAGTAGACGACGGGTGGATAGACTCCATAGACTAGAGTACCGATTCTAGAGTAGGTATGCATCAGACACAGGATTATTCTCGGTGGCATAGTACCTGTCGCTCATGATGATTGTGAGCCTGAGCCCTGAGGCGGACAGGATCTATTTGGGGTATAACCGCCATGCCCACACACGCACGAGTCGATCATAGATTCATGGGATGAGTGAACCACGGAAGGTTAACCGCCATGCGCACGGCTGCGGAAGTGGCACTGCGACAGCAACACTGCTGGATATTTATGGTGTAGGAAGCGAGGCGAGGAGGAACGAATGGTTCTGTTAGGCGGTATGATACTATCGCCCATGGTACGGGTCGAGTAAATCGCTGTGAAGAAAGAGTTGTAAAGGTGTGGCGCAGTACTGTCCGTGCGGGGAGGGCGCAATCCCTCCCGACGGTGGCTTTTTCGCTTGTCGGTCTGTGCTCCCCTTGGAACCTTGGCGGGGAAGGGCCTTGAAGTTTGAGGTCGGTCTGTGCGTAGAAGTTGGCTTGGAAAATCCCCACAGCAGTTCTGGTTGTGTTTGAGGACCCGATGAATTGTTGCGTGCAGTGTCAATGGCAAAACCTCCAATATGATCGGTATGTATAGTAGTAACGTTCGTCCAGCCTCTCAGCCGCCATTTACCGTCTTAAACACAGCCCCGTCTTCAGCCCTGGTCGGCCGGTTGATTCCCTCGTACTCTACGCAGTCAGCTCCTCCGGCCATCACTCGCCCCTGAGCTCCAAGCCGCACAGCCCCATCCTCTATGTAGGCCCCCCATTGCCCAGCTTCTTGGAGTCGAGATATAAATGGACTACCTATATAGACTTCCTAGTCGTGACTCGGAACTCGCAAGTTTCGGCAAGCCTCCGACGATCTATCCGTTCATCCATCCACAAATGCGCTCCGTGCACCCATGCTCTTTAGAGTGCTCTAACTCATGCAGGGGTGAATTCGAAGGCTCAAGGAACACTTCACTATGCGCACATATTTATGCGGTGTACATAACTCCGTGTGATGCGTGAATGCCGTTCCGTCGCCGCGGATGTGCGGTAGGTAAGAGGTAGATATGTAGGTAGGTTTCCAGCAATTGCCGGAAGCCTGTGTATTGTGCAGTGTATTGTATAATACACTGCAGGCCTTTTGATTCTGCCGATAGGTATCATAGTAGAACGGATGGGTGCGTGAATTGTACTACCACCGTAGATATCTACTGTAGTATTCTTCCGTCGCAACGGAGGAGGCTATTCTGCTATAATAGAAGGTATCGGCGCTATACCATGGTCACCCGTGTGGTACCGATAACTACGGTACTCTACTCGTTCCATCCCTTTAAATTTCAACATGACGGGGAAATGAGTTCGGAGGGGAATGGCAAGTGGTACATATGGTAGATGTGTAGGCGATGATCATCTTCTACTACCGTTCTATATGGTTGGTGCTCTAGTAACTAACCACGTCGTTGATTCACGTCGTCTCCTTTATCTCAGACACGGCGGCGGCGGCGGAGGCGGCGGGCCACCCCCCGACGTATGACGGTCCGCCAGGATGGCCTACTATATAGTAGGCAAGCCACCACCCATACCGGTACATACCAACGGCGGTGGTCGGGATAGTTTAGGTAAGTAGGGTACCGAGTCCGGAACCCAGCAATAGGGTATCGAACAAGCTACCTACCCACCTACCTACCCGACGAATCAGGATTGGATTGTCTAGGAATACGAGAATAATAAGACGACTCTGAAGCTCGGAGCGTCGGGGTTCGGGGTTCGGGGTTCCGTGTTAGTGAGACCGTAGATAATAATACTAGTACTAATAATGACACTATATTCGGTGCGGTGTTCCTCTCGCACAGTTGCACTCGCGCTTGCACGTCACCTGATCCTTCACATCACCGTTCACGAAAAACGGCAGCGCAGTAGTACTATAACTACTAGTAAGTAGACTGGTAGTGTAAATACCCTACGCAGCATTTTTATCCGGAATCACTACTGGTAGTAGGAAGTTGGTATGTAGTACACAGGCAGTTCTCCGAGTAGATCTGCAGTACTATGGTACCGACTGCACCGCAGCTCCTACTACCACAGTACTCTACCACTGCGCCGCAGTCGGACGATTGACGACGAAAATAGAGTCGGTAGCCATCGGCCACTGGACATTGGCCACTCGTAAGCGCTGAACCATGGCCACTGGCAGTAGGTATTGGAGAAGCCCGCTGCGTGCTGGCCACCTACAACATCTACTATGGAGTCGAGTAGAGTACGGTAGGGAGTCGGCAGAGTCAGGCTCCGCAGCGATCGTAGTGCGGAAGCCTGGAGGGGATCAACTAGCCGCATGAAACAAGGCAAGGCGAGTGAAGTGAAGTGCAGTATAAGGCAAATTAGCGTGATGCTATAGTAGGTAGGTCAGAGAAGTATGTACCTTCTCCGTGGATCTTCACGGTATCATAAAACCTCCCGAGACCCCCCCCCCCCCCCCCCCACCCCCCTCCCCCCCTTCCTCGTGTCTTTTTTTCCTTTCCTCTTGTGCATTGATTTTCCCGCAGTCGACGCTCGTTTTCAAGATGCATATTCACACGTGGTGGTCGACGACAATGGCGATGGTGCTGGTAGGCTTTTCGGTGCGCGGCGCTGATTGTTATGGAGTGCCCGCTTCCGCCGCCCTGGAACGGAGACAGGCCACTACGACAAGCTCGACTTCATTTACGACGACGACGACTTCGGTGAGGTCGACGGTCACGGTTTCGGCAAGGACCACGATTCCTTCGACGGCGCCGACGGCGTCGGGGACGATGCGCGCGATCCCCAGCATCGCCGATACAAAGTGCGAGAGGTTCTGGCAGAATACGGCGATTCACAACAACTCGCTGTACGCGGATGGAGGCAGCTTTTCTGAGTTGGAGGGTTACATCAAAGGACCGAGTATGTTCTGTTTTCGTTTTCTTTCTTAATTTTTATTTATCGCTGACGGGATGAAGGTAATCTCACCATGGTCCTCGACCTGACACGGGAATTCTCGACGGAAGCGCCACCCTACACGACAATATCGAAACCCGACAAGTCAACCTTCTCAATGGGCATGCTGTTTTCATGGAAGGACACATTGTACCAGTTCCAGGGCTTCGCGCACGTCTTCGAGTACACGCAACCGCTGTATGGCGCATCCCGCGAGTGGTGGAACAACTATGGCAGCAAGCGGCGCACCGGCCAGACATTCCGGCTGTGGAGCCTTGACTCTGGGAAGGAGTGGGTTGCCGGCCAGCTGTTCACCGAGACCGAGCCGCAGAGGGCCGGTATTGGAGCTTCGGCGGTGATGGAGAGACGCGGGATGGGGTATTACCTGGGCGGCGCCATCGTTAATGCGGACGGAAAGTACGAGCAATCACTCTACGAGTTGATGACGGTTTGGGACGTGCGGAACAGTAAATGGGAGGCGGTCAGGGGTCCCGATCAGCCAAAGGTGGGACGCGTGAACGGCGTTCTGGTCGCGATGGAGGAGTTCGGCTCGAGCGGGATGTTGCTGGCGATGGGAGGGGTTCGTGCGTCGTCGTCCAACGTGAGCGTCGACCAGGAAGGGGTATGTCTCTCGGCCGGAGTGGGTTGTAATTTTTCCAGGCGATTTCTGACTGAGACCAGCTCGATTTCCGAATGGTCCAACTCTACGACGTCGCGACAAAGACGTGGATGTCGCAGGAAACCAGCGGCCTCGACTCGATGCCGGACCCGAGACTGGACTTTTGCGCCGTCGTCGCTACCGCGCCCGATCGCTCGAGTGCCCAGATCTACGTCTGGGGTGGCCTGAACTATGAGGACAACCTCGACGCTCCCATCGACATGTACATCTTGACTCTGCCTTTCTTCCGCTGGATCAAAGTGCCGTTTTCGGAGGTTCCCCGTGGATCCAAGAGTGGTCATCGATGTGAGTGATGCAATCGGAATGGACGAGTGTGTTTGTGTGTGTGTGTGTGAATAATGCTCATATTACCCCGTTCCCCACCAGGTCAGACATATAACAGCCGGCAAATGCTTATCGTCGGCGGCCAACAGGGCCGTTTCGCCACGGGAGCGGCCTCTATCGGTCCCGCCGAATACATCGTTCCAGGCACCAGCGATGATGTACCCATCGAGGGGACCAACTGCGTCAAGGGCGGCATGGGCATTCAGATCTTTGACACGACAACCCTCGAGTTCGTGAATACGTTCGATCCCACCGTGAACACCTACGAGATCCCCGAGACCGTATACAAGCTTATCGGCGGAGAGTGAGTCCTCCCCACCTCCGAGACTTGTTCCTACATGCTAACAGGCACAGTAAATCCGGCAATGCAACCGCAACCTCTCCACAAGTAGGCTGGACCGACGAGTCCCTGGGGACAGCGTTCAACCTGGCGCCGGTCAACCTCCCCGACGCCACCACCAGCACCACCCCCGGCGCGAACACCACCACAGAATCAAAAAGCAACACGGGCGCAATCGCCGGCGGCGTGGTAGGCGGGCTCGCCGCCGTCGCCATCGCCGCAGGCATCTTCTTCTGGCTCCGCCGAAGAAAATCGCAGCATTCCCCCCCGCCCCAATCCGCGCCCACGTACGAAACTGCCATGCCCCAGAACGTCGAGTACAACAAAATGCCAGACCACCTTGCTGAGGCGCCGGCGTATACGATGAAGCCGCCGGGCCCCGTGGAGGCGGGCGGCCGCCCGGTCACGGCGTCGACGGAGTTGCCCGCCGAACAGTATCCGCCCGCGGAGCTGTGGGGCGATGAACCGAGACGGAGTGAGTTGGCGCGGTAGCGGTAGCGCACGTACGGTGGCATATGGGGTTCGTGTATTTATTGGTATGATGGCGAAAGGACGTGTCGTTGCTGCACACCTGGGGTGTATATAGTTTTTGTTTTGTGGGATACTAGTGGAGCGAAGTCATGAGGGAATCTGGTATGGATGTACTTTAGTGAAATCTGTAATATGTGTGTGTGTGTTACTTGCCTACATCCAATCTGCAATCTGCAATCTCCGTAGGGCATTCGGAAGATCCATCGTGAGTCGGTCAGTACGACCCACGAGGGGAGTGCGCAGCCGCGTCTTCACCGAGCTAAGGTAGGTACATAGAAGATGATCCGGCTGATCACGAACATCGCGTCATGAATCCGGCGTGACCGCATATGTACATTCGCCAGTGAGTGTGCGGGCGTCCGAACTTCCACTCGATGTCCCCAATCCGCGCCATGAGTAACAAATTACTGTAGATACCCATTATCTGGTACCCACAGTGACCTCGGATGATGGATCCACTAGAGTGTGGCGTTCGCCCGTGAGGATTCAGCCGCCTCGTGGTGGTGCCTGCAGGCTGCAGCGGCTTCTTGCGCTTTGAACGAGCTGAGCTGAGCGGTGACGAGTGCTGAAATATGATACCTGTCGATCATGCGAACCAACGGGAGCGAAGGGAGCGGGAAGGGAGCTGGAAGGGAGCGGGAAGGGAATGAGGCTGAATCGCACCTGGCAGCTGCCACTGGGATTCTGTGATGTCTGATGATCGATGCAATAGAATGTGGCGCGCCCAGGCTGTGCTCCGGTGAGTATCTGGCCGGTTCGGAAGCTCGGTGCCTGCAGCGACCTCTTGCGCTCTGGACGAGCTGATCAGTGACCAATGCTGAAAAGCAATACCCATCGATCATGCGGATCCAACAGGAGTGATTCTGAGCGAAGGGAGCGGGAAGGGGAAGAGGCGTAATATCACCTGGCAGCCGCCACTAGGACTCGTCACTCACGCGAGCAGTGCCTGGATTCCTCGCAGCCGTTCGCAATGCTGCCTAATAGGGAGGCTGCTCGAAGCGGCTGCTAACTAAGCCTGTGGTCTGTAGTCACTGGCTAGTGGGCTGTGGTATGTAGTCAGTAGGTAGAGAGAGAGATCCTCCTGCTTTATTTCCCATGCAGCCTATCTAGACTATGGCGAAGAGTCAGTAGGTAGTTAGTAGTCTGTGGTCTGTAGTCTTTAGGTCCGTGAGTGACAGCGACAGTGACAATGTCAGTGAGTGAATAATCACCTACCGGATCCATAGTATTCGAACTTCGCGACAGTGTTTCTCATGTGGCTTTACTACGTATAGTGCGGTAGAGTAACTACCGGAAAACAATGGCGCGCAACGAAGCGCCACCGCGCAGTCAGTCGAGTGACAACTTCCAAGTACAGATTGGTGCCATTCTCGACATCTTACGTACCCAGGTAGGAATGTGCTCGACATTGTGGATGACTGGTAAGCTAGAGTCGAGGCGAGTAGCGCACCGACAAAATGAAACGAAACGGTGACTCGGTGTGACAAGGCTGTGCCATCGACGAGACGGGGAACGGGCGGCCGGTTGGGTTCAGTGACGAACTGGATGGGAACCGCGGCATCAAACAGGCACGCAAGTATACGTACTGCGCTTTCTGGCAAAAGGTCATTGTTCCGTAGGAGGTAGTCGTGCTTTTGGACTGTTCGGCCTGCCTAATCGGTACTGTGGCTGTCGTCGAGCGAGTGATGCATAGTGTCGCTGTCGCCTTGCGCATATTACTCTACCTACCTTACTCGTTCTAATCCTGTCCCCCCACCACACACACCACACACACACCATCCAAACATCCTCGCCGCACAAACAAGGATCCAGCTGCGACGCTGCGACGCTGCTCAAACTCAACTCCAACCTCTTTTTCCGAGTCTCAAACGTCGACGCCACAACGCCGCATTATGTAGGTACTGTACATACATAGGCATCATTGCAGTGCCGTCGCATACCGTAGATATCTATCTTGATCTTGATATTGATATATCTATACATACGCGGTGTCCAATCATCGCTCATAGTCGACTACGGCATCCGCTGCAGGCGCCGTACACTGCAGCAGACACTCGACACTGCAATATGAAGTCTGAACAGTGGAGGCGATATCACGTCTGTCGCGGTATTGATAGCGCCTACAAGCACGGTTCGGTTCAGTTCACTGAGCAGCCTCCACTGTCCAGACTCCAAATTCCAGACCCCAGAAGGGCCCCCACTAGTCACAGTGTCAAGGTGCGAAAAAATGCACACGTTCGTGGGACCAAACAGTCTGGAACTGTGGTACCACTTTCCTCTCCGATACCAGCTCAGCCCCGTGCGTCCTGTGAGTGCGAGGCGTACAGCCGCGTGCGTGGGTATTGGAGGCCTGGAGCCCCCCACCACCACTTCCACCACCACGGCCAAAAAGAAACAACTGAAAGAGAGAGCTCAGCCTTCCAGCGCGGGGCTGAGAATCGGGTGTGAATATCGGGAATCCGACTTTCGAACCACGCGCGGTCGGGGAGGCACGTGGGCGAGGTCTTGCTCCTCTTGCTCCTCTACGGCCTTTCCTTTTTTTCCCCTTCTTTTTTTCTTCACGCTTTTCTTTTCTCTCCGTTTCGTTGGGATTTGCAAACCCCGGATAGCTATGTAGGGGGGGGCGCGCCGTAGGAACAAACCACGCGGATGAGTAGCATCTCCGGTGGGTGGTGGGGTGGGGTGGAGGGGTCGCGTGGACTCGGCGGTGACTCGGTCTCGGTCATCTACCGTACTGGGTACCGTACTAAACGGCTGGGCCTGTCTGTTCTGGCGACGAAGAACAGACCCGGAACCGGAAGGGACATTCTTGTCTTCCATAGGTATTATTGCACCGTCCAGAAAGTCGGTAAGTTGGAAGGGAGACAATAGTAAGAATCGTAAAATAGTTCTCAGAGTGTGGTGGTGGTGGGGGGAGGGCGGAAATTTCCAGTGCGCAGAGGCTTGTGCTGCAAGCGCCCTCTCGCTGCGGTTGGCGGGCGGTCGCCTGCGACTAGGCACACCTCATGGGCCTGTGGCGTCCACTCACAACTCGCCGTCACGCGGCTATCCTGCCACCACCTCCGCCACAGTCCACGGATGCCCAGATGGTATAAGAGGAGACGAGGGATCCGTTTGGTCGGCCTGCTTTTTTGTTTATCATTCATCATCACCAGCATCATCAGTTCACATCACCGGATCAGACATATTTACATATAAACCAGCCAGATAACCAGACAACCAGACAACCAGAAAACAAGAGAGCCAGATAACAAGACAGCCAGACAGCCAGACAGCCAGACAGCCAGACAGTCGGAGAACTAGACAACCAGACAACCAGACAGCCAGACGACCAAACCAACCAGCTAGCTTCCATCCAACTAGCCAACCAACCCAACAAGCCATCACCCAACCACCCACTTCCGCCAGCCAACCAAAATGACCACCCCCTACGACCGCAAAGTCTGCTGCTTCGGCGTCGTCGAGACAAGCTACACCGACGACCGTCCCACCCCAGCACGGCGGACCCGCCGCGGCTCCGTCATGGTCGAGCGCTCCTCCGTTCCGCGTACGATCCTCGTTCCCGCGCCGCCCGCCCCCGCAACGACGAACATCTACCTGCCCCCGTCGAGCTACAACACCTACACGTACTCGTCCGTGCCAGCGGCCACCGTGATCGCACCCTCATCCCCGACGACGCAGCAGGTGGACACGACCGCGACCGCCGCAGCGATTGCCGAGCTCCTCGCGCCGACGAGCGAGGAGATAAGGCGACAGGTCTTGCTCGAGTCCTGCGAGGGGGAGGGAGAGTGGGAGTGCTCGGACCCTTCTCGCCAGCGGGATCGCGAGGTGCGCGCCGAGGTTGAGCGCAGGATTGCGAGCGAGCGGTGGATCGACGAGGAGGCGCGACGGGTGGTGCGCGAGCGTAATAGTCGCGATGAGAGGAGGGTTGCGGATCTGAGGTTGCTCGAGGACGGGGCACGCCGCAGAGTCGAGCAGGGGTTTAGACATAGTAGCTCCAGTCTGGGGTCCAGTAGGGAGAGGGAGTTTACGAGTAGGGAGAGGCTCGTTGTTGTGGAGAGGGCGAGTGACACCACCACGCACAGGTGCGATAATTGCCATGAGTTTGGGCATAGGGCGAGGGACTGTGAGGCCGTGGTCGTGGTCAATGTCGCCAGCGGAAGGGAGCGCAGGAAGAGTGTCTCGTACAGGCCGAGGAACCAGGTCAGGCATGTAAGGGGTATCTGATGGGATGGAGGTTTGTTCTGATTGTTGGGGACTCGGCGCTTTGTTTTTTCTTGTTTTTCGTTTTTGATTTCTAGCGGGGTTGGGTTGGCGGTATCTGGGTTTTTTTTGTTTACCGGCTTTTGTCTCTTGTGTTGTGGCTTGTATTAATATTTTCTTTCTTTCTCTTCTGCGGGACGCATGGAAAGGTTGGGTTATTTGGGAACGGGATGGGATGTAAAACATTGCTTTGGTTCGAACGTCTTTCATGGATATCAATATTGGGTTCTCATTATGCGTGGCATACAGCAAAAACAATCTCATTAAACCTCCCACTGCCCTCCTTCCGATCGTCCACTACTCGGGCTTGCGGCCGTATGCGACGTGGCTGCACTACCCGTCAGTACTCCATCTGCTACTTAGTCACCGTAGGAAGGGTACTCACAAGAGCGAATACATGTGCGTATTCTTATTCTTCACTGCCGCCAGACCATCGCGACACAGTTGCGCGGCCTCAGTGGGGTCCATCTCGAGGATCCTGGTCAACGCGGCGAGGGCATACGCCTCGACACCGGTCTCACTCATCAACAGAGCCATGGCGCCCACGTTCTTCAGTCTGCGGTCCTTGGGCCACGGCCCGAACGGGTGCTTCTTAGTGGTAACGTGCACGTCGACGAAACCGGCGTCTTCGAGACGCGCCTTCAGCAGTGCCGAGGTCGCGGCCGGTCGCCCGATCTTGGGTAAAGCGACTTGGTTCAGCTGGTACGCGATCCGCTTGAACGCGTTATCGTCGGACATCGTGTCGTCGTCGCAGAAGATCTCGCCCTGCCGAAGACTTAGCCCCCGAATCCAGAGAAAAAGAAGATATTCAAGGAAGTAATTACACCCAGCTCCGCCAACTCGACAATTCCCCCGGGTTGCGTGCACCGGTAGATCTCCCCCATGAGCTTCTTCCAGTCACTGATACTCTGCGCGAGATTACGCGCATGCACGAAGTCGAACGACTCGGGTTTGAACGTCCACTCGAGCTCGGCATCGTCGACCTCGAACCGGCAGTTCGGCGGGACCCATCTCGGCTGGATCGGGCTCAGATCTGTGCCGATCACCTCGGCGGCGGGGAACTTGTCGGCCGCATCGATCGCCCAGATTCCGGTACCGGTGCCCACGTCAAGGATCCGCTGCGGGCTCTCGACCGGCGCTAGGTGGATCTCGCCGCCGAGGAGGTTGAGCATGATCTCGTGGTGCAGGTCTAGCCGGTCCTGCTCCTTCTCGTCCGTGGGCATCGGGTTCTTGTTGACGCCAAAGTAGGAGTGGTAGCGCCGTCCATTCTCGAACACGTACTCGTTTATCGAGGAGGAAAGACTAGCGGTGCTCGTGTCGTAGCCGGAGCTGGCGTAGTCGGTGTTGCTATCGGCGAGCTAGATATCACGGGGCCGCGGGGCGACCGAGTCAGCGCGAGCGCGTGAAACGGGACGAGACGGGACGGGACGAGGCGAGGACTCGGTCTCGGCAGCACTTTGTCGCCACATACCACGGCAGGATCGACCTCGATTGACTCGGACATTGTCGCGGTTGTTTGATTCGGTCGTGAAGATTATTCCGGTTGTCGGTGAAGTGTGTGTAGGAGTGTGCGAGTGTGTCAGTGTGTGTGTAGGACGACGCCACTCCTTATAAACCCCCCCTGGCAATCCCGCCAGCTCCCATTTTGTACCATACATGTCGTTACATAGGCTGTTATCTCCTACTGGAACTAACTGCCACTACACGATGTTCCGCATATGCAGACACGTGCAGGTTGGCACGAACCAACCCAATCCAACGCCAATCCGAACGACGGCGACAGCCAACCCGGGAGTGCGGAAGGAGCGAGGAGAGAATCCCTTCCATGTTCCATACACCATTGCCGGCCGGGGCTGAGATTCAAGGTATAGAAATAGGCATGCGTACCATCGGCAGGGAAGACGTTTCTCATGCAACGTGAATGGAATGCGAGACGGCGAAGAAATCCAATGCGAGGCGGCGAAGAGATCCAATGCGAGGCGGCGAAGAAATCCAATGCGAGGCGGCGAAGAAATCCAATGCGAGGCGGCGAAGAAATCCAATGCGAGGCGGCGAAGAACTCCGAGACGGAGAGAGGTTGGTGGGACAACAAAGCACGACAGGATCTCTGTAAGCTATCCCGTCTCACTGACTCCTCTGTCAAGGGCAACATGACGAAACGACAAAAGCGTCTCCCTCGCCGAATTCAACATGGGCTCTCTGCCATGCCGGAGTGGCGTGGGGGCGATGGGGGGCCGTCCGACTAAGCAACGTAGGTATCTGCAGTTCTTACATATCTACACCCACTAATGCACATTCGCTCAGCGGCCACTCACGACTCACCGCTCTTCCTGCGGGTCTCTTCCAGCGACTTGCAAGACGTTGTGGATTCCCGGGAAGAATGGGGAAGGAGACGGAAAAAGAAAGCATGTCACCTGCAGCTTTTCCCCCTCCAGGAAGTGCCGTCCAGAGAATCATGCTTCGATCCCAAAAGTTAACGGCGGCAAAGCAGAGAACCCAGGAAAGCGCGGGACCCGCTGCATACGCATTTGGAGTGTCATACACGACACGAGTAACTGTGGGTACCGGTTACCTGGATGCTTACCCACTCAATTCATCCTAATTTACTCCGCAATGCATGCTAATTTGCTCGCATACCTTCCCACCCGATGTAGATATACGGATCTACTCGGATTCTCATTCACTCGATGTATACCACGTGTTCTTACTTCCAACCACATACCCATATACCCACATACCCCACAGCCCAACAGAACCCGCACCGCGCGAACCCATCTGGAGTACATTCCAACCCCGCCGTCGTCCCGCCGCCCGCCCGTCCGGTCCGGCACTCACCACTGTACAGGGGCACAATGTCTCGGTTGCACGTTCATTCCCATTCCAGCAGCCAGTTTGACGGAACCATTGGAACCCGGTTGTGGAAGTGTTATCGCTTTGACTTCATGCGGGCTCCGTTGGATGCGGAAGTGCACATTCTCCATGTCGCCCAGCGATTGGAAGAGCTGGCAGCAAGGGGAATCCTGCTACGTCGTGACTCGTCCGGTCGCTGGACGCCTCCAATTGGCCATTCCACTGCGTTCGATCCTCATCGTCTTCATCCTGCTTCAAAAGTTCACCCTCTTCGCCGTGGGGAGCTACTACTCTACTCCACTCTGATGTCGGTTATACTGGTATAAGGTTACATGGCACCGTCTTGGCGCGGGCATCATTTGCTCCACCTCGAGTGAACACCACCTAGCCTTGAGATACATATCACGATTCACCACTATCATCGCTTGACTCGCTTCAATAATTACCGGTACGTGTCTTCGCGTATATAGTCACACCGTAGCGATACAATCAGTGGCTGAACTAACCAGCGGAGTTTAAAACCTGGAAACTCTTACAACTCAACAGACGCCACGAAGTGACCCCAGCGCCTCCCCCGCTGCACACTAGGCGCTGCGATGCGATGAGCACTTGTTTCTAAGTAGGGGCGACGATAGGAGTTTTTCTCCGGTCATGTCACATTCCACGAAGCGGTTCAACGTCTTGCGCAGGGAAAACCGAAAGCATCCAGCACCAGCATAGCGGTCGAATCATTAAAAATTAAATTGAGTGCTCTCCGATCAAGGTTCCACACCCGATAATACGCTTCCTAAGCCTTATGTCACGCCCCAGATGTCCAACCCCAAGCTCATTTCCCCTCCCACCTCTTTAAGTATGTCCTCGATAGTCGTCGTTTCGTCTATACTGGCTGCAATACCGCCAGCACCAGCGTCACAGCCACCCTTCCCAATGAGCCCGCCGGAGTCGTCGCTCGACCCCGCCGAACCGGTACCACAATCCATGAGATCGCACTCGGCAGAATCGATCATGTTCGTACCGAGATCACCGCTGTCACGGCGCATACCAACGGGCAGGGGCGATTCCTGCGCAGAGGAGATACTCCCCGATGCCGACGACGATGAAATCGTCTCGGAATGCAAAGCCATTCTCGGTCTGGGCGGCGGCGGCGGCGGCGGTTCGATCGTCGCAGCACGTCTCGAGATCACACGCAGCGCCTGCTCCGCTAATTCCCACGTGGACGACATGTCGCGGAGTCCCACCACGCACTCCTCGAGATTGGCCGCGAACGATGCGATCGGGCCGTGACCATCCGTGAACGAAAGCGCTTGCGAAGTACCGCCTCTACCGCTGCCGCTGCCGTTCAGCATCATGCTTTCTTGGACGAAGACTAGTGCCGCCGAGAGCAGCATGTGCGGAACCATGCACACTGGGCGCTTGTCGAAGCGCGCGTTCCGGAGGTAGCTGTAGATCGTGCAGGTCTCGATGGCCGCGTTGACGCTTATTTGCCGCGGACTGTCGGTGAAGGAACTGAGGTGTTGGTGCTCGAACGGTCGGAAGATCAGGAGGATTATGGAGTGGTAGAACATGCTGTGCTACGCGATTAGGAGCTGAGCGTGCGTGATGGTTGGGGAGAAAGAAAGAGAGAAAGAAAAAACTCACTGCAGGACAAAGACGGCGGGAACTGCATTCTGCTGTGGGTCCAGAGATTTCGGGATCTTTTCCCGCCAGATCTTTAGCCGTGTATGGTACTCCTTCAACTTGACGGCGTCCAACTGTTGTCGAGGCGAATGCAGCACCCGCAAGGCGTCTCCGAGGACTTCAGCGAGCTCTGCGTATTGCGTCGCGATTTGCATGACCTGGCACGGACGGCGCGACCCATCCGGGGCCGTCCACGCGTCGTTCTCGAGCTCCTGGATGATGTTCGGCTTCGGGATACCGACGACGCTGCAGGGAAGCTGTGGGATCCTCCCGAAATGCATCGACCATTGCCTTCCACGGAAGAACAGACGATCAGCCGTTCAATACCAGTCCAGGAAACGTTGTGATCAATGGAGAAGAGGCGATCCTTACTTGTCCATCACGAATAATGCCCAGAAGGTGATCCGACGCACCTCCACTTCCGTCAGTGTAAACATGGTGGTGCTGGCCTCCAGCGGAAGGTGCAATCCAAGGTCTAAAGCTACATGCAACGACCGGCCCAAATACATCCAGCTCGTGGCGTCCCGACCACATCCTGCCTCTCGTGCCGCCATCAGCGCCAACGCTTGCGTTACCGTGAGCGATGAATGGCTCTCCTCAGCTAAGAGCAATCGTTGCGCTTCCCCGAAGAAGTGGTCGCCTCTGGTGGAGGGGTCGGCAGGGTTGGCGCGCGCGTCGACGTTCGTTGAGTAGTGACAGGCAAGCGCCAGTACGGCATTGAAGAGCAGCGGACTACAGTACTTCTTTCGTCGCCTGCGCATGTCCGTCAAGAAGCAGGACGTCGAGAAAAGGACGTGGACGGGATGGTGCCACGTAAAGTACAGATCCTGGAGATTTGTTAGTTGAAATGGTCTCACATGAAGTGCTTCTTACCAGTAGGTCGAAAATCAGTTTGTCGTCCGTAGTGACTGTCGTCCAATCCACTCCTTGCATCTCGCAAGAGCTTTGGTACGTCTTCCGCGACCGGGACCGAATTGACCCCAAATTCGAAGAATACCCATAGTGCCGCACTGCACCTTCCTCGTCGACCTGCAGCTCCCCGACGTTCTTCACTACGATTCCCGCGGGCTCTTTGACTGGCTCGGGAATCGACTTGCGCTTCTCGTGCTTGATGAATTCCACTGCCGTCGTCGCCGTCGAAGTGATTGATTGCAGCGAACCGGTTGGCCACAGCTGCTCGACGATGCTTTCAACCTCGGTTTCCGCCGCAGTACGGATCCGCGGTACGGTTTCGTCGAGCGAGTTAGTGTTCCGCCCCTCGCCGCCGCCGGGAATGCTCTTGCGACGCCGCCGACGACCATCTCCGTCAAAATCATACATACACTCCATTCGATACACGGCCTTGCATGTCGCGCAAGCCGGCATGGCTCCATCGCACTGGGGGTAGTGGCCGGAGTTAGTCAAAGTCCCCATCCCTCGTGAATGTGGATGATACGGGGGGGGGGGGGCAAAGACTCGCCTTGGATTTTCGACGCCGACAGGGTATACATGCGCTCGAGACGCATCTTCGCTTCGTATTCGGCGCCGGCTCGACGCCGGCGAGTGCCTCGGGAGGAGACTCTTGTTCCTCCAGTTTTGAGAGGATCGGCCGAACCATCATCGTCTCTGCGAGTCAATAATTGTCTGTTCTTAGCATAGCTGTTTCTTTGCCAGAGAGAAAGTCCAAACCGAGGAACCAAACCACCGAGGAATATATATCATCATGCCCCTGGTTTACACGTTCGCCACCGTATGTCGACGTGATGAAATGCCTGGAGGCACTTGACGTGATCTGGTGGGTGGGCGGTGGGTGGCCATCGACGACGTCATGGAAGTTGGATCTGCGGCTGTACATACATAGCTAAGGGACATACCTACGTGATCTAACGACTCGTGCTCATAAGGGTCTTCCGGCAGCCACAGTGGCGGGCAAGCGAGAATTATCCCAGCGTAGCAAACCACCACTGTGGAATGCTGTGGTAGGTAACCTGTCACCGAAACCAGTGTCATTGGAGGGGCGACTGAAGCCTGGTAACCTCATGGTGGCCAAAGCTTGTCGCATACGTTTACCTCAGGGTCTGAGTAACTAACTTTGGCCGTGCGAAACGGCGGTCATCGTCTCGTACCTTCACTGTGGCGATCGCTATTTCCGCGGGGCGACGACTGGGCGGTGAGAGCTGTTACGTTACTTCTGCCGCCACTATCATAGATAGTCTGTAGTCGTCAGAGCAGCGTGGCGCCGAAGCACGCAAGGTACCTAGACGCATACCTACGCCTCATAGATGGACATGTCGCATTACCGCACTTGCGGCGGCGAATCGGCCGATCTGTGTGCCGTCTCTTCAAGATCGGCTCCGCTCCTCATCGTGAGCGCACCCAACCAGGTACCATCGTGAAGTTCGGAAGCTCCACTTCTGTTCTTGCTACATGCCGATACCGAGCTTGGAACAGCTCGTGATGGACAAAAATAGATGGACCAAGCGGTACGACAACGGCGGCGGAGAATTTCGGTAATCCGAGACGGAGGAACTGATGGAGTACCTACCGTATAACCATGAGATTCGAGTCACAGTCTCTCCGAAGAAGGTGCTACCGTACTGACCTCCTCCGCCAACACCACGGTATCACTCGTCTACAGTCAAAATGCATCAGGCTCTCCTACTGAGTCCTTCGCCTTGATGATTTAATCTCTGCTGTGTAAATAAAACTACCGTAGCACCTTTTGTGGGGCTGATTTCCTGGAAACTGGACAGTGGCGAGAATTCTCGTCTGTCTGTGGGTCAAAGCTTGCGAGATTCGGTACCGGTAGTCATCGTTGTGCCGTCAGCCTGACAAACGTTTTTCGTTGCAATAGTTTTTTAATGGGGAAATCTTCGAAATCCACAGGACATGCTCTGCCTCGCTGAATTTCTCGCTCGCTCGCGAGAGATCTTCCTGTTTCATTTCGCATGTAGCCTATCTAGACTATGGCGAACCAACAAACTCCTTTTCCTGCCCACCCTGGCCAGTCGAGGTGAAAGCCCCGGTACCGGCCAGTCCGATGCGGCGCCCCACTTCTCCTGGCAATCCGCCTCGGGCCGGATTTCTCGCTCGCGTGGTGGATAATGTGTTCCTGCGGGCTGCGGATTCGTGTGATGTTTTGTGATTTGTCGTCGGGTGCTCGTCCGAATTTACATTGTGCGCCTTAGTCAAACTTTAATAGCCGACAGCAAGTAAAGTGAAGTGTTATTTCGCGGGCCTGATCCACTTGCCGTTTAAAACACAAGGTGGCCTTCGGTCCTGATAGTTTAACTAACGCCTACTTTTAAAAAGTAACCGAGCATCAAACAACGCGTTCACCACGATGCGGTCACGAGGATACGAGGCCCCTGCCAAATATCTTCAAGCGAGAGGATCGGTATCGGTAGTCCAAGTGAATACATGTGTTTCATCGAGGGTTGTTACGTGCGCCTCGGTATCGGCTTCCCCGTATACATAGACGACATTCCCCACCGGATTAGCCCGAGATTAAAACTGCTCACACACAGAAGAGTAACACTTCTTTGTCACAAAAATTCGCCGAGAGGCTTATGCATATCAAAATCTATTCTAGGCCAGTACTGTAATATATTCGGACCCCGGAATATATACCGAGGCAGCAATGCTCACCACAACATCTCTCGCATCAGGCTGGCTTTTTCCACACGTGCACCGAGCCGTCGTGTTAGCTGTAGGTATTGACGGGTCCGTCTTGAGGGTACGAGTTTCTCCTGCAGTGGCGGACGTTATTTTTCCGCCTCCATAACCGTTTGCATGTTTCTCTCGGGCCGTGGCCTCGGATCAGTTATTGTCACCGTCGTCGTCGCTGCGATCGACTCTCGCCGAATCCGTGGAATACATGGAGGTACCTAGATATAAAGCTTCCATGAAGCCCTTCAAGTTCGGTAGAGCATCATCCAGCCGCACGACAGCAGTCGAAAGATTCTCACCCATTCAACTCGACTTTCAAACCACGATGAAGTTCACTCTAGACATTACCGCCGCCTGTATTTCGTTGCTCGCAACTACCACATTCGCTCTGCCAGGCCCAGAGATCCACAGGCGTGCAGTCTCGCAAGAGCTCTTCCAGGAGTTTGTCCGTGCAGCGCAACTCTCCCACGGCGCATATCAGAACCGGTGCGCATCGCCCGTCGGAACTACAAGGCTCTATACCATCCGAAATTCGCAATATGATACCGACGGCTTCATTTCTAGGGACGACTCGAGGAAGGAGATTGTAGTATGTACACACGGCCCTCCGAATCCACTATTTTGCCTACGTGCGGTGCGAGATTTGGCTGTCTACTGACGAATTCCAACGTGCAGGTCGCGTTTCGTGGAACTGGTGGGATATTGGATGCGATCATCGACCTGAGAAACACGCTTGTTCCGTACACCTCGCCGGGCGCGGATGGTTGCACGGGCTGCACTGTACGGCTCGCTCACATTGCGCATGCGTTTTTGGGATGACCACTGACGATACGCACAGGTACACCAAGGCTTCCAGCAGCAGTGGAACGCCGTAGCCGCCGCGGTCGTGAGCCAGCTGCGCACCGCCCTCGGCAGGAACCCAGACTACACCATCACGATCACGGGGCACTCGCTCGGCGGCGCGCTTACGACCATGTCTGCGCCCACGATCGCGAAGGCGTTCCCGGGGAAAGTCACGGCATACTCCCTCGCCTCGCCGCGTGTCGGGAACCCCGCCTTCATTGCCTTCGTCGAGGCCTTGGTTCCGAAGGAAAAGCTCTTCCGCCTCACACACACGGACGACAACGTGCCGCAGGATCTGACCCCTGCTGAGGGATACCGCCATATGGCAACCGAATACTGGATGAGCACCGACCCGGTCACGGCTGAGAATATTGTCCAGTGCGACGGCGGCGAGGATCCCACGTGCAATGTGGCGCACGCAACGGCGAATGCGGGTGAGTGGTGTGTTGCTGAGAATTGGAGGCTCGTGCTAATTCGTATTCTGTCGTAGGGCTGACGGGTATCAATGAGGCCCATTTCAATTATATGAATATTGACTTCTCGGCCGACGAGGCGGATTGCTGAGTGTGACATGCAGTACCGGTTCGCAGATACGTAGCAGTGGTGGCTGGAGCTGGAGATTGGCTGCGGTCTCTTGTTCTCCTGTACTAGTACTTGCTTTTTCACTGTAGTTCGTTCTTTGAATAACATCCACACAAACGTCATTGTTCAGAAGTGTCACCAACTACTGGGGCTCCCATCGTCTTCACCCAACAGTGCCAACACCGAAGTGTAGTTGCAGAGCCGAGCAGGAAATAACCAGAACTGGAACAATGTGACATGATAATGATGAACGTTTGACTGCATGCGACTCGGGGAGCTATATGACAATTATGACTCAGGGAAGAACCAATCTAAACCAACAGCGTGTTAGAGTAATATTCTATGATGCTACCACATCTACCAAAATTGAAGGCGGAGTATCCGGCCACTCGCCGACATTGCGGGCGGCTGGGATGTTGGTTTTAGTATCGGAACATACTGGTAGCTTCTGATCTACACTCGCGTGGTATATAAATCATAGTTGGACTGATGTCGGACGGTGTATGTTCTTTCTTATTATGCCGGTAACCACGTTGGATCTCGTAGTGTGGTGTGTGGAGTACTTGTGGTCTCCGCGCTTCATACCTACGACTGGAGGGGCTGGTGTGACTTCGCGTTTGCGACCCCCGCGTTTTCGCGTACGTGGATTGACGCGTTTGGGTTTCGGCTGAGTTAGAGATCAATGTGCCATCATGATTCGTGTTCCATTTGGCAGTCCTTCCAGTGGATCCGGCATGACCCTAAAAGAGTGGCGGCGTCATAGTACTTCTTTCACTTCTGCGCCTCCTGCTACCTCCACGATCAGTCCGCTGCCCTTCGGCCTGCTCCCCGAAGTGTCGCTCCTTCGCCGTTCGATAACCAGTCCTTCCTTTACCGTGTTTCTCGTTCCCACGACTTAGACCGGCGGATTTTGCCTAGGCCTACTATGTAAAACATTGTACTCGGTATGCAGGTGTTGTTATACTATCGAGGGTTCCTCTCAGCATAATTTGTTGCTACCGAAATGGTCTTGTGATCTATGCGCGAGAGAATGATCGCGGCGGTTGAAAGTGAGAAATGCAGAAGGTGCTTTTGCGCACCGTACTAAAAAGTGAGTGCGAGTAACCTTGACGAATGGTAACAATTCACCAAGATATTGCTTGGGCAGTGTACGATAATTTGTAGGATAAAAAATGCTCCTTATGGTGCTATCATGAGCGCAATCGCACAATTGTGTGGAGCAGACCGGCTTAGTCCGCTGCGCCTCGGGGCCTGCGGTGCCGAGCGTCGCCTTACCGGAGCCTATCTATGCTACGCGGCAGCTAGCTGGCGGCGTCGCGAAACCTTGCCGCGGGCCGAGTCCAGGTAATCGCCAGTGTGTAGGGGGGAGGGGAATAATTTTATTGACATATCTATGGACCTAAGTAGATCACGATGTCCACGCCAAAGAGAGCCACCGCTGCGAGACTAGCTAATCGGCGTCCCTCGCCTACCCGCGAGAGAATACTACACTAGCGAATAGAAAAGAGCAAAAGAAAGCGAACCAATTTCACATCTTCCGCGCCCGCTGCGCAACTACTTGCCTCGGCCCCTACCAGTGTATCGGTACTGATCGTGAATTATCGACATGACGGTACTCTAGGAGAGGGTTGGCAGAATCTGCGGCAGTGCACTGCTTGACCCGATCGTGAAATCTTTCGCCACACCTTCGCATTTATATCTGTTCTAAGCCACTGGGCAGAATTAGCCATCTGTAGATGGGCTGGCCCAGGTTTAGACACGCAGCTCATCTAAAGGTGGGTCGATTCTCACCACTGGCCGGACCATGGGTAGATTTTTTCCGGTTCCTGGGCTGGCCCAACTTTAGACAGGTTGTCTCCGCCGAAAACGGCTAGCAAACTTGAAATTTTCTTAGCCTGAACCAATTCTCGTCAGCAACCCAGACATCAAACCAACAACAGCCTACAATACACCCGTTAAAATCATGTCCGCCGTGGATGTTGCATCTCTGCGTTTTCAGCAGCAACATTTCAGGAGCTTTAAGGATCGATGACGAAACGAGCTACAGAATACATGACAAAGGTTAATTGTACCGGAAGCCGAACCCTACAGAACGTGCAAGATGAAGTGTTCTATTACCACCGCCCCGCAGGAAGCGACCACGGCGGACAAAGACTTCATCGACTGCACTACTTGATGGTGTCGTAGTAGAAGGATCGGCTCTGAGAAAGAGGAGAACTCGGGGGTGTGATAATTCAATTCAATTGATGCTTAATGGGGATTGGTACTGCCGAATGTAGTCGCCAAAGTGGTACCGTAACAGTACAGCCAGCAGCAGTGGTGGTGGTGGTGGTGGTGGTGATCTCGAGCCCGTAATATTACTAGCCGGTTTCGGGTTCAGCATACAATTCTATTCCTAGGCCAGCCCACTGGGGCAAAATTCTATGGGTAGTCTGGCCCAGGGTGAGATATCTGGCTCCTGGGCCAGCCAAGGAGCCGGAAAAAATCTATCCATGGTTCGGCCAGTTGTGAGATCCGACCCACCTATACACGGGCCGGTCCATCTGTAGATGCGCCGGCCCATCTAAAGAAGAATAATTCTGCCCAGTGGCATAGAACACATCCTTGCTACAGACGCACCCGTTACCTTCCCACCATTGATCTGCGCCCACATCGTTGACCATCTTGACCGCCCGGGTAGATGATACTACTAAGCTTCATGTCACGATGGTTAGATTTTCTTACCTGGTAGGTTTATGTCAAGATTCAGAAACTGAGAGTACTGTACCTTGGTGATCTCAGCCAACGACAACACCGATTATTGGCCGCCCTTCTCTGTAGTACATAAACCCATGTATTCCTATCTGCACCTCATGCTCCGTTCCAAGGGATACATCCTTGGCCTGGACAGTTGTTTCGCGGTGTTGTGGTGACGACGAGGATTTATGGATGTTGTTGGTGTGGTCGGTGTGGCTGGTGGCCCTGCTTATTAGGATCGTCACCTAAATCATCCTCGTATTCTGGGCCCTGGCTGGTGGTGTTAGCATGGAATACACGATGACTTCTAGCCTGATTCCTATCGATGAAGTGCAGGATGCGTCGGTGTTCCAGCTCAAGGATGGGTCCTCTTGGCCAATTACGCGAGGCAACGCGAGCCTGGTTGAACCGTGGGCGGGCTATGCAGCTATATTGCTTATCTCTTTGACAGGCTTGGAGGATCTATCTACAAAAGTGAGAGGAAGCGCGGTTTCTAGTGCCAGAGTGCTTTCCACCACAAGAGTTGTCGGTCGAGTGAACCATGAATCATGATCATTGGCTCACTCGAGGTAACATATGTACTTCGCGACAGACCTTGTAGCTACATACATGCCAGTCGGCCACAGTCACGTAGAGACTCCCAAAACACCCTCTATATGCTCAACACGAATTATTAAATTCCTTCCACTCCGCACTCCCCATCAATGAAATAAACTCCAGTGAGTTAATAAAGTACAAAACCATGTATACATGACAGCCTAAACAGAGCTGGACCTTCTCTTCAACTCCAAATCATATTCCTTCGACGCCGGACTTCCATCCTTCTCGATGACGCCCTCCAGCTCGTCAATGCCCAGGTGAGCCTTTACTTCCGTCTCTAGGTCCTGGTTGTTCAGCATCGATGGATTGAACGACAGCGACCCCTTCGGCACGAAAGTCGCGGCCATGATGATGGCAAAGATTATCGCTGTAAATCTTGTTAGCAGGAACTTTCACGGAGGAGAGGTATACGAAGGGAAAAAACATACTGAAGTGAACACCGGCTACATTTTTAATCGCGCCGTGGATATCGCCTCCATCCGAACTTCCGCCGGTCTCGGCATACACGTGGTCGATGTAGCGTCCCAGAAGGGGAGACGCAATAGCGTAGAGGACGATGTAGGTCGAGTAAAGGAATGCCATGACCGCACCCAACGGTGACACGTTCTTCGACTTGCTTTCGATTCGTGCGAGCGAAGCCTGAATGTAAGCGGCAAGGGAGACATCTCCAGCCGCCCAGCCGAACGAGATGGGAATGAAAGTGCCGGCTACCATCCACGCGTCCTGGACACGCCCCGTAGGTGGATACCAGAAGGCAAGGTACCAGACGATCAAGAGCATCATAGAGTCGAGCCGCAGCCAGGGAATGGGCGTCTTTACCACCTGCGTGAACAGGAAGACGAAAAGAGCACCGAGAAGTTCGCCAAAGTTCGATCCGCCGACCATGATCTGCGACCATGCAGAGTTCCCGAGGTATCTCTTCGCAATGGCGGGCGCAACGCCGTTCTCGAGGTAGCGGTGGCCGTACAGCGCGATCGAGTAACCAGGGAGCAGCCAAATGAACTTGCGGTCCGTGAAGATTATCTTGCCTCCGGTCCAGATGGACTCGAAGAACAACCAGAAGCCGCCTAGAACCGATCTGATGTATGTTGGCTGCGTGCTGAAGACGTCCGGCTTGTGCGCGACGAAGCCCAAGTCGGACATGAAGTACCACACCGAGGCGGCGCAGGTGAAGAGGATCGGGGTGACGATGAAGGAAAAGTTATTCCCGAGCTTCGGAATCAGCGCCAGAGCGGTGCAGAAGGCGCCAGAGGTTCCGGCGATCTCGTAGAAGATGTGAACCATGGCATCGAGTCTCCGTAGCTTCTGAACATTCCCGCCCACGATATCTCTGGGGACCACTCGCCGGATAAGCTCAACCATACCGTACGCAATTCCAGACACGCAGTAGATCGGGATGATGGCATCGGTGTTGTAATCACCGTAGTAAGCGAAATCGGTCTTCTTGTGCGCCTTGGTCCAATTGGCGGGAATGATGGTGCCGCCGGTAGCGCCGTCGAGGATGAGGAGGATGGCGGTACACAATCCGAAGACGAGGATGGCACAGACGAGGACGTTCTTGGTGCGGTATCGCTTGATGAGTGGCGCGATGAGAATGGATCCGACGCACTGGAAGGCTTGATTCAAGCCGGTGACCATTCCAACCCGCTCGAAAGTATTTGCCCGGCTGCCGGAAAGTTGCGCATCGTAATCGTAGCGGTTGGTGCAGAGCGCTGAAGGACACACCTGGAGTTCAGAATTCCGGAGGAAGTACATTGTATGTAGCATCGGGCAGGAGCTCACGTACCGATGATCGAACCGTTAAACGCCTCAAGGCCGAACTTGTAGAGCATGATCCCGCCAATGTAGATGGCGATGTTGCGCTTCTCGCTCGCCGTGAACGCTTTCCAGCTGTCGGTGAAGAGCGATAGCGCTCCCATTGTGGAGTATCGTCGAAGTCGAAACAGAGATGTCTTGGTGCTATCTGGGTCCCAATTTGATGCGGACGATTTCCCTTATAGCTTCTCTGCGAATCGTCGACAGGCATCGTAGGGGAGACCTATTGCGAAGTAAGCACCCCAAGATGCATGTTCCAGCGACCAATCAGAGGCCTGCGTTGGAGCACGTACCACAACCCAAAATAAATATCACCGTCGAAAACCGCTGCAATTGTTAGTTCCGCAGAATAGACGAAACCAGGGATAGAGACGGCGGGCCGCCCGAATATTGCATAACATTTCGAGTGTCCCTCCACATTCAAATGGCGCACCTATGGAGCCCGCTGCGTGCTACACGTGGGACTTAGATTTGAATCAACGAAGACGTTGATTTTCATCGCTTGACTTCTCGGTCGCCTTGTTCAGCTGGTGGCTGATCCGAGGAACACGGTTCCGCCAGACGACGCGAAACGTGCTCCAGCCATTTCGCCTCCTCCACAACCACAGTCGTCGGAGGGTGATCCGTCCATGTGCTTCGGAGGGTGGTCCGCTACCTAGCCTTCCGCTTGATTCCATGCCTTGAGAATCAAGCGCTTGGAGAGATCAACGTTTCGTGGGGTTTGTAGTGTGCCATTCGCGTTGGCGGCACTTCTGCGTCCCCGTGGGGCGGTTCCATCTACGTAGCCTTGAGGCACGCACGCCACCGCCTCATATCAGTCATCGGTGTGCAGTGCAACCGTGCGTAGCCCTGCGCTGATGCGCGCGCGCCGGAACGTGTGGCCGTTAACCCCCCGATATCACCCGCGCGACATCGTTGATCACTCGTACACGAGGCTGGCAGCATATTGGGTGCTTGCTGCATGGGTGTTCTCAGCCGGAGGCCAGGGAGGAATCCATTCTTTGCGGAAGCAGAGGAAACTATTCTTGCTGAGCTGCGGTTGCCGACGAAATGGCGGCCAGGTGTGCGGCGCGCTGGGTTGAGCACAAAAGATTGGAACCGGGTGTAAGAGAGGCGATGCCGCTCTTTCTGCAACTCTGCCAGGCATAGTACGTGACCCAACCCCCTCCCATGGAAGTCGCGACCGAGCGGTAGTAACTATGGCCATGGCAGAGGATAGAACGAAGCGTGGACGAAGACGGAAATTATGGAGAAAGAACCAGACGAGGATGCAGTGCTGCGAGGAGGAAACCGTCGTATACACAGCCATGATCTATCAAGGTCGGATGCTATGATGGTTAAACAAAGAAAAAGTTCGGACAGCTTCATAATAGCCGCCTTAGGAGGAAGATTCCTACGTGCAAACGGCTCTACTAAGTTCGCCAGCGGCCATGCTTTTGTCAGCCCCGCCCTTCGTCCAACTTGTTTTCTTTCATGATCGTTCCCTTTATGTCCGCTGCACACCGCCATTTCCCCCACGAGCCTCGGGGAGTCTCCAGTCAAGAAAATAAAACTACCCACTGAGGGTGGCCGAATTCGTGAAAGCGGTTGCACTATGAGTCTCGATTTTCGCGCATTCGCCATGTGCTCATCCCCCTTGTGAGGCTCCTCGTTTCCTCGGTCTCGTAGTCCTACTTCGCGTGTTCTAACTCTTGATCATGAGGCCTCATGTCGTTTTTACATTAGTTCCTTCATTCTCATGTCGGTACTCCACCCACTGGCTGCTCCGTGTAGTCACACGGCGTACGTCCGGCGTAATCTGAAGGTGAATATGTGTATCCTAGGTGCTTGCGTCGCTACAGTCGCTACAGTCGGTGCTGTGCACTGCAGGAATATCTGGTACTAAATTCCTACTAGCCACCACGAATCGATGGCAACCCTGAGTGTCGAGACTATGACGCGGATAGGCATCATGCCAAAGTGCAGCAGCCGTACGGTTGTGAACATGACTGGCTGCGAGGGATTATACCGGTAGTCGCCAACTCATACGGCAGTGCTTTGCTGTTCGACCCTGGTACACTCTGCAATATCATCAGTAGCAGTAGAAAGTACGGTGGAAAGCGCAGCAAAGTCATTGGGATTACTTTCTGTGCTGCCACCTGAGAAGTCATGTGCTTTGCGGCAAAAGGGTAGTTGTAGGCCCAGTGATAGTCAGTTATGTACTCAACCATTGATAAATACTTAGGGTTGTTGAGAAAAGTGGCCATTCCCGAGTTTCCGAACCTGTTATTCCAGACGTTCGGCGACCAGATGGAACATCTTACTGCCAAAGCAACTCACGCACCACCACAGGCTACCGAGCACGTTCACCATCATGCGGACAGTAAGCACACAACACGGATAGAAATACGAATGATGCCTCCAGTGCGAGAACAAGTAAGTATCAATGAAACCAGCCAGGACTGACAGGATTTCGGGGGCCATTCTACCGAGATCACATAGTTATCATTGTTTCGGGGCTGCCTGCGACGACGCACCCGCTGTCCCCTCTGGCGGAGGCGCCGAGCGCTCTATCGATGAATTTAAAACTCCAAGAATCCTCACGACGCGGCTCAAGCTGTCGATTAGGTTTTTGTTTTTTTTGTGTGTGGGGGGGGGGGGGGGGGGGGGGGGAGGGGGGGGGGGGTCATCTCCTGATCAACAGATGGCAGAGACATCGATCGTGATGTAGCGAGTTGGTACAATCCGTCAATACGGGGGCCGCATTTGAGCGGGACCGTGGGAGAACCCCCTCGGGTTGGAGCGGGAAGATAAATCGGTTCAGGCTGAGTATGAGGCTGTAGGCTCTGATTTCTCGCTGTAGTAGTGACTCTGCCTGTAAACAGTGCTCGCGACGTTGAAGATTCGTTGTTTCTCCATGAATGGAATAAAGTAGTCTCCTTCCTACGTTCGCCTCCTTTCTGTACACGCTAATACTGTTTGCCGGTTCTCGTCTCCACAGCCTGCTGAATAACGGATCGGACGAATCGTGGTCGAGAGTGTGACAGTTGACCAGGCGTTCGAAAGATCGGTCCATTGGTGCATGTCTCGGTGGAGATGAATAGCAACGGATTCCATAGCAAGAGAACTTGCTCCGCCACTGATCACTCCCACTTCGCCAAACATGCCCAACCCTTTTCCCAATCTTGAGTACCAAGCCCTCCACTCCACTTGAGGCTTGACCTTCAGCCTTCTGAACACGTTGCCTGATGCTGATATTCTCTCCCCCTTCAGCGCCTCGGAGCGTATTAGCAATCGCCCTATCTCCTCCCTCTATTCTACAAACCCCACGGATTGCACTCACCACCTTCCTCCGTGCAAACGCGGCAGTAGCAAAAACTCTTTGGAAGGGGGATACTGGCGGTCTAGGGGTGGCGGGATTCGGAATCTTTCGTGTGAGGGGATCAGATCATCTCAACCAATGGGCCATCAGAATCTTGAGATTTCTGCGAGCGACGCACGCAGGTCAGTTCTGTACGACTGATTCAACAGAATCGTCACACAGATTGGGTTCAAATGCCAGGCCAAGTTGGCCGAATCGAGATACCACCAATCTTCCGTTACCTGGTTCTTCGTGAGTGAATGCAGTCCACTTCCCAAACCCTCACGGAAAAGATACTCTACACCATCCATTCATCCCTCCGTGCCCCTATCCCGTCTCCTCACCTTAGTACCTTCTGTGTTCCCACCAACCTAACCCGGCTACCCATCAGAAAGTCCAGCGGTAGGCGCCCTCGCAGTAGTGCGGCTGGTCTGACGAAGTATCCCAGTCAGCCGTAGGCGATCTGGTGGATCTACAGCCCAGCAGGACTAAGATTCGCTATATCGCAGTCAGTATTTGCATGTTTCTCTCGACCAGACACTCGCTGACATCCCCAATGTGTTCATTGCACTCGTGATCTTGTTCTCCGGGATTGGTGTATATGTCAACCCAAAACGTGTGATAGATGGTGACCGTAAAGAAGAGTGACTGTTCAAGATGGTTGTACTACTTGATATCTCCTGATGTAGAATATGTTGTGTGATATGTGATGAGATATATGATTTACATTAAATTCGGCTCAGTTAGATGCCATACGTGCTACAATAGCCGAAAGTGGGGTGCAATTGCGACTGAAAAAATACCAAAGGCAGGTTTTTATTTGGTTGATATTAAGTAACAATCTGTGTGTGTAACGGCACGGTTGGGCAAGGCTCCAGGTAGCGAAGCCGGGCAGGGAACCGGGTACTGGGTTCAGCAAAGGCAAGACAGGTTCAGAGGACACGGCAAAGCAGTGCTCAGTGCAGACGGCAATTGAGAACGGACGCAGGGACAAGGTGTAACTGTCACGGCTCGCGACGGAATGACGAAGGGAGGGTTGGCACAAGGATCGGGAGAGTTGGGGGGCAGTGCAGAGGCAGTGCACCGGCAGTGCAAGGATGAGTCGCAGAGGATTGGGGGCTGTATGCAGGGAGCAGGGATCGCACAGTAATTAGTCGCAGGAGATTGGGGCTGTGTGCAGGAAGCAGGGGTAGTGCGGCTGCGCAGGGTATGAGTCACGGAAGTGGGGTACTGGCAAGGTGGATTTCTCAGGGTCTGGCACACGCCCACGGTCATTGTCAGGTTGCGGGAAGAAGTGGAGGATTTCCTATATAAATGGGTCGTTGCCCCTCTGTATTTAGTTCTTCACGCAACAACTTGTTAATTCAACCACTGTTACCTCTGTCCTTGCCTCGGCTGCCGTCTGCGCCGTAGTCCTTGTCCCTGCCTCTGTTCTCAGTTGCCGTCTGCACTGAGCCCTGCCTTACCTTGTCCTCCGAACCCCTCTTGCCTCTATCGAACGCAGAACCCGATCCCCAGCCCGTCTTCACTACCTGGAGCCTTGCCCGACCGTGCCGTTACAGAAAGGCCAAGGAAGCAACAGGGGTCAGGAAGGGAAGGACAAGGGAAGGGGACATCTACGCAGGAGCAAAGGAGGCTCTGGTAGGGGTTCCCCAGAAGGAGATCGATGCCCACAAAGCATCCAAGTGCGACTGTTGGCGTTGCGGACGAGACGGCCACCGAACCTTCCAATGCTACGCCAGAAAAACAGTCGCGGGTACCGAACTCCCTGAGAGTCCAAAGGTGTCATCCGTGACAAAGAGAAAGCGGGACACCCAGGATGCCGAACCCACTCGACCA